GTGAGGGGAAAGGGGAAAAGATGGGTTAAATCGGGGTTCAAGTTCAATGTTGGAGGGCGTTTCGGCTATGTACTTCAAGTTCTAGACCTAGACTATTCAACTTCGCCCTAAACAGATGACGGTTGAATTTTATGAAATCAGAACCATGTTTTTATTTTATTTTAACTATCCGAGTCATACGAAGTTGTTCTGTATCGATTTTAAGAAGCGGGATCTTTTATCCACTGAATCAGGGAGTCACCCAGGGAACAGAGAACCCCCCCCCCCCTTCTTCCCCATCCGTTCGCCGTGAACCGAGCTATGAGATGGAGACAAATGGAGCTATGATATTTTATAATGATCCATAAGAGACCCGAAGTTTAAGGATTTACCTGGGCAACCTTGTGGTTCAATATTGAAGTTAGTATTTTATTTTCCAACGGAGTATTTTCTCCCCTTTTTGCCTACCGTGTTTACCTAGCGCAATATACAAAAGTACTGCAAAATTCGAATCCTCTCTCTCTCAAAAAGCAAACAAAACAAAAAAAAATCCACCAACAACAAATTCTGCCTTGCGATTAGCTTACAGCCTTGTGGAGGCCAACTTCCCCCCCCCTTCTTATACAACTCATTTTATAGGTCAACTATGGTCTTACCCAGGTGGTGGGTCCATGTCAAGATCCCGATACCCCAGCAGTTGCATCTTACTACTGTAGTACGGAGGTCGGTCCGGAAAGTTCTCGCCAGAAATTATAATTTCTTTTTCTTGATATATTACCGGCCCTGTATGTCAGGTGTATAGCCTGCTGTATATTGGATGTATTGCCGTGTTACGTACTAGGCTAAATATTGCTTATAACACCCGTGGACACGTAGATCTTTATCTTTTACCCCGCCTACAGTCCGTACACCCCTTCACACTTTTATCCCACCTACACAGCTACACTTTTGTCCCACCTATACAGCTACAATGAAGACCAATATTGCGCAACGTGCTGTCATTGTATACCTAAGGGCCCAAGGACATGCCCCTAAGGAGATCAGTGAATTTATGAATATTCCACGGCGTACTATAGGAGACATATGGAACCGTGCACTCGAACGAGGTTTTCAGCCGAATCAGCGACCATTCAATATATCAGATGAAATGTTAGCTGATAAAGCACGTTCTGGGCGTCCATCTAAGCAAACAGATGAGCTTAAAACCACACTTGGGGCGAAAATCCGTGTAGACCGCTATGGGCGTGAGAAAACATGTGAACAGCTAGCTGCAGAGCTACGCAGTGAATCAGGTTAGTTATTCTAAGATTTGATATTTTATTTAGTGTGTTATTTAATATGTTATTTAGTATAATATTTGATGTGTTACTTGGTGTGTTATTTGATATGTTATCTCATATGTTACTTGATATGTTATTTCCTCTAATATTTCTTCTATAATTAGGGATTCATATATCAAAAACAACAGTTTGGCATGTACTACGAAAAATTGGCCTACGAAAAACAAAGCCTACACGTAAGCCTGGGCTTGCCGCTGAGCAGAAAAAACAACGTCTTGAATGGTGTTTAAAACACGCCCATTGGACTATAGAAGACTGGAAGAATGTGATTTGGACTGATGAAACTGCGGTTGTTTTATTACACCGTCGGGGTGGATATCGTGTATGGCGTACTTCTAGTGAGCGGTTCGTCCGAAGCTGTATTCGAGAACGTTGGAAGGGGGCCTCTGAGTTCATGTTTTGGGGTGCTTTTTCTTATGATCAGAAGGGCCCCTGTCATTGTTGGGTACCTGAAACTACAGCCCAAAAGCGTGAAGCAGAACACCAAATCGCCGAATGGAATACTGAATTAGAGCCTATTATGCGTGCAGAATGGGAGCTTAATTCAGGTATACAGCGATTAGGGCTACGCAATAAGCCTGGAAGACAACCTCAGTGGAGATGGACTCAGAAGAATGGAAAGCTTGCACGCAATTCGAAAGGTGGAATCGATTGGTACCGATACAACACCGTGATTTTAGCCCCAAAACTACTTCCATTCGCCCAAGAATGTGCTCGAATTCGAACGAAAACAATAGTTCAAGAGGATAAAGCACCAGCCCATTCACATCACTACCAACAGCGAATATTTGATATAATGGGGGTCCAACGAATGATCTGGCCTGGAAATTCGCCTGATCTAAATATGATTGAACCTGCATGGCCTTGGATGAAGAGATACACTACGCGAAAAGGAGCACCTAAATCGCGTAAAGAAGGGATTAAAGTATGGGAGGCTGCGTGGCGTGATCTACCACAGGCGCAAATTCAAGCTTGGATTGAACGTATACCATGGCATATACAGCAAGTCATTAGACTAGAAGGGGGCAACGAATACGGTGAGGGGCGTGATAAATTAGGTGAAGTAGCCCCTAGCGGGTTAGGTGATAACGCCTATAACAGCGGCAGCGGCAACGACAGCGACAGCGACAGCGACAGCGACAGCGATATATGGGAAGATATGTGAATATTTACTGTTTCAAGCTGTTATTATATTTCAGTACTATATATTTCCGTTTTATATACATCTTGATTACGCGATATATTTCAATATTTACTGTATATAGCCTAGTGTGAGAAAAAGAAATTATAATTTCTGGCGAGAACTTTCCGGACCGACCTCCGTATACTCGACTATATATGCAAGAGGCGGGTGGCACTGAAATATGGTTGACGTTGTATCTGACCGTTCCGAGCCTCGCAATGATATATGATAGCTCGGATTTGGCGTCGCGTTTTACCCTGTGGATCCGCAACTTGGGGCTTGCGAACGCGAACCTTGGGTTTGCCATCGGTTCCCATCGCAATTGTGCGCCATTGCCCCACGCGGGAAGAGGGGGAAACAAAGAAAAGAGAAGACTATACACTAGGTAGGATAGCATGAAGGATGGATCTTGTTTAGTGGCAAGGATTGGCCACTGACAGGGATATGGACGGAATCTCAATATTAGAACGGTAGAATTAATTCGAACCGAGGCGATATCACAGCTTGTTAATTTTTAATCATTAATTTTTTAGTTTTAACTATTTTCGTTTGTGTTTTCAACATTTTAATTCCAATGTCACATTAGTTACTACTATGTTACTATTTTTCTATGTGATCTCGGTGTACTCCGTATATTGTATAAAGTAGGGCCAAGAAAGTAGGCTTTTGGCCGCTGTCATGGGACTGCGCGGTCGATCCCCGGATGACAGGCAACGAGTCAGTTTAGCAGAGTTAGAGTGATTGATCAAGTGCTGCAGGCTCCAGCACACGGCCAATGCATGAATGGCCCGCTCTTAAGAAGTAATATTTTCAATCTAGGGTATGATTGGTCCGGTAGCACGGGAGGGCCTTGGTTTTCCTTAATAGAGCAAATCAGAATAAAGGAGGTGGATTTTATGGAGTAGAGAGAGAGGGGGGTTTATTTGTGAGGCCTGGAACGGGACGCCCTCGGCAGATGCAAGGTATTATGATCCTAGGAATGAGTTTTTTTGATATTATTTTTTATTTATTATTATTTTTTGATATTTTTAATATGGATTTATTAGAGAATAGACGGGGTACTTTGGACTTTCTCTCAGTTGTGATAGATGAAAACTCTTCTTTACGGGTACTGAGAGCCCTGGAGGGGACTTGATGATTACTTACTAAAATCATTTATCTTTTCAATTCCTTTCTTTTCAATTCAAGAATTCATATCAATTGAATCCTTTATCTTAAAAGAAATTATATCTGTAGTAACATCAAGGCAAAAAAGAAATATCAAATTACAGAATCCAAAATACAAAAATACCAACTTGGTCATCCATGGATACTGGTATGGTATTTGGTATAATACCCGTCACTTGATAACCTTCATAATACCACTGGCATATGGTAATACCGTATTAATACCTCATGTGGATACCTCTTATGGATCGTCCCGATCGAGCCCCAGAAAAGAATCAACTGGGTCCTCTCGACTCTCCAGAGCTCTTATTCCCTTAGTTCCCTCCTTTTCTGTTTTCTGTTTTCTTTTTTGGTTTCTTAGAAATTGATCTTTCTATCTAGTCTTTTGATTATCCTTTTCCTTTTCCTTTTTTTCGAGCTTTTCATCGCCGCCGGTGGCATAACATTCATTCATCCCTTCCCAAGGTTCTCTCCCTTGCGTACGATTCGTTCACCCCAGATCGGAATTTCTCTGTCGTCACTTGTGTTTTGCGCCTTGCTGCGATCTTCACAAGGCTGGGACCACTAAAACTCCCCTTCATAAGGCATTGCTTCACGCATTGACGCTCCCTACCGCGTTAAACTGGATTTGCGACTGGTCATTCCCCTTTCGGGTATTTCAATGCTCCGGTCTCCTGGAAACCTGCGCTTGTTTATAGTTTGATTATACTTGTTTATTGAAAGGGTGTGTGTTCTATCTAAAGTTCGAATCTGTCAAGTTCCGTTGGAGTATCGGGTCATTCGAGTCTCCAATCTTGAAACCCTTATCCTCCTCCCCCAGCATTCTCCCCCTCTAAACCCTCCCTGGAATCGCACATTCCACCTTTTTGGTCCTATATAGTCTCTCCGCCATTTGATCATCCTAGCCTCGATTCTAGCGCCCCCCTCAATTGACGATTGAATGTTGTAGGATCACCACCACTCCCAGCCCTCCTCGGCGATCTCCTTTCCCCGCGGTCTTGCTCCCTGGTTCCTAAGCCGTTGAATCCTCGCCACTTGAGTCATTCGGTTCTGGGCCCTTTGAAGCATGTCAACTGTTTCTACCTTCGCATGAACGCCTCGGTCAGTGACCATTACGGCTTTGGGGAATTACACCTAGTGTGGACAAAGATATGGAACCAATGAAGCCGAACGTCCCACCGTTAAAGATTATCAAGTCGAATCTGGATTTCACTGTGTCGACCACATCACCGAATCCCGATTCTCAATTTATCACCAATTGTTTTTATTCGAATCACAGTCAATCTGATTTTACTCCGCCATTAACACCACACGGAACACAAGATATCAACATGGAACCCACCGAAGCCTCCGAGGCACCCACCGATGCTCCGAGAGCCGTCTTTCATAACTACCTGCGCGCCTTTTATCCATTTCACCCCGCTGGAAATGTATCGCCATCGACTGTCACTCTCCCTCTGGACCAGGGAGATATCATCCTGGTTCACTCCATTCACACCAATGGCTGGGCCGACGGTACCCTGTTAGATTCTGGAAATCGGGGCTGGCTACCAACGAATTATTGCGAAGCATACGATCAAATCCCCATGCGCCCGCTGCTACAAGCACTTACGGATTTTTGGGACGTTATTCGTGGGGGATGTGGGTCATCATTAAAAGATTTTGGAAATCAAGACTTAATGAGAGGACCCATTGCGGGTGTTCGGTTCCTTCTGGTACGTGCGGACTTGGCAAGTCAACACAACCATTGACAAATAACTGACATCAGTGACAAATTACAGGAGAAGTCTGAATGCCTGACACGAGAATCACCATTAGTTAAGAAGTATGATGGACTACGAAGGATCCGAAAGGCCTTACTATCAGATCTTTCATCGCTTGTGAAGACTGCTAAACGGTTTCAAGATGTCGCTAATGGAATGCCCGCGGAAGATGAGGTGGAAAGTATCCTCGATGAGATGCTTCTTAAGGCCTTTAAAATTGTCACTCGGGGAGTTCGTTTTCTCGATGTTTGGAATGAGGAGGTGGGATTAAGTCGCACAATTGCAGAGCTGGAAGCTGCGGGTGATGGTAACCCAACACAATATGATATGCCACCCACACCTGCCTCGGAGACCTTCACCGAGGATACTGCACCAATGTCCGACAGTTACTCCGAACGCAATGAGTCTCGCCAGATGACTCGTAGCCGAATGGATGTTAGCCGAGCGTCAATGCGCACCGAAATGCTTGACCACGCTCCTCGACCTGTCTCTGTTTCTACTAAGCGCATGTCTATTTCTCACCGTGTTTCATATTCGGGAGCTTCGACAGCGATCCGTGCTCAGAACCTCGCATCGGAGCGACTGGGAACTACCTACGATGCTTTTCTCGGCGTACTTGGATCCTACATTGGCCTGCATATGCAGTCGAGGTCTTCAACAGAGCTGGCAGTCACTACCGAACAAGCAGTGGAATCTTGTCGTTCCCTCCTAGAGGTTGTTGAGACTGTCTGTACCCATGATTCCCAGCGAAGTGTTCTCCTTGAGGAAGCTCGCGAGTCTATGGGTGAGAAACTGAATGAGCTGGTTGAGGCCGCTCGCAATGTCTTTCGTCCAGCTAATTCACAGGACGATGACCAGATCTTCATGCCAGAGCTGGGTAAGCGTCTTGTAGACGCTGCTACTGACTGTGTGCGAGCTGCGGGTAACTGTCTGGCGAAGGCGCGTCTTGTGCTGGAGAAGATTGGCGACATTGAGCTTGAGCCAGTCAGTGAAGAGACCGAGTCTGCAGACGTCCCTGGCATTGTTACTTCTCAGGCCGAGACCCCAGGCGAGGAGAAACAAGAGCTTTCGTTGCGACTTCCTCCCCCTCCACTTACGATTCCAAACTCGACTTACACTCCCTCCACCCCTGGCCTGAGTGATGCTACCACTCCTTCATCTTTCCAATCCCAGCTTTCCTCCAATAATTCCTCTCTCCCCTCTTCAACTCTTTCTTCTCTTCCCTCTTCCGCTATTCTCTCTACCCACTTCGAACAAATTACTTCATTCTCTTCATACGACAGCAGTTACCGTGAAAGCCAACCCAAGTCCGACGTGAGTGAGTCCTTCGGACGCGGTGTAACAAGCACGGGTAGCAGCTTCACATACAACAGCCACGCACGAGACTCCGAAATGAGCGGGATCTCACAAACATCGACCCGCGCGACTTCGCCTGATATTTCCGGCAGCTATAACGTTCCATCACTGAAAGAAAGTATTAGCTACTCGACATTGGCGGAAGAAAATGAGGAAACGGAGGCTCATCTACTCGAGAAGACTTACGCGCATGAGCTTGTTTACAAGGAGGGCCAAGTGATGGGCGGAAGTCTCCGCGCACTCATTGAGAAGCTCACTGCGCATCAGTCGACCCCCGACGCGATGTTTGTATCCACATTCTACCTTACCTTCCGCCTCTTTGCTACTCCTTTGGAGTTTGCCGAGGCTCTTACTGAGCGATTCGAATACATTGGTGATACCCCTCACGCAGCTGGACCTGTCCGTTTGCGCGTTTACAACGTATTCAAGGGCTGGCTCGAGTCTCACTGGCGCCACGACCGTGACGACACTGCCCTGGAGTTCATTGTGGATTTCGCTAAGAACCGCTTGACAACTGACTTGCCCACTGCTGGTAAGCGCCTCATTGACTTGGCTGAGAAGGTTTCTGCTGTTCACGGACCCGTCGTTCCTCGACTGGTTTCTTCTATGGGCAAAACAAACACATCTATTGCTCAATACGTCCACCCTGATACCCCTCTCCCATCGCCTGTTCTTGGAAAGAAGGAGATCAACCTGCTTAAGCAGTGGAAGACTGGAGAGTCCTCTATCACCATTCTTGACTTTGATCCATTGGAGCTGGCTCGGCAATTGACTATCAAGGAGTCTCGCATTTTCTGTTCTATTCTTCCCGAGGAGCTCCTCGATACAGAATGGACCCGAAAGTCAGGCTCACTTGCCGTCAATGTCCGTGCTATGTCAACATTATCAACGGATCTTGCTCACCTTGTGGCTGACTCCATCCTCTACCTTGAGGAGCCCAAGAAGCGGGCTGTCACTATCAAACACTGGGTTAAGATTGCCAACAAGTGCCTGGAGCTTAACAACTATGATTCTCTCATGGCTATTATCTGTTCCTTGAACTCGTCAATGATCTCACGGCTCAAGCGCACCTGGGACATTGTATCCCAAAAGACAAAGACTACTCTGGAAAACCTTCGAACCATTGTTGATGTCTCACGAAACTACGCGGTGCTCCGACAACGTCTGCAGAACCACGTCCCACCGTGTTTGCCTTTCGTGGGCACCTACCTCACTGATCTTACTTTCGTGGATCACGGTAACCAGTCTCTTCGATCCTTGCCAACAGATGACGGCGATAGGGCCGTTATCAACTTCGACAAGCACATGAAGACAGCCCGAATCATCAGTGAGCTCCAGCGCTTCCAGATTCCGTACCGTCTTACCGAAGTTCCAGAGCTACAGACCTGGATGCAGAACGAGCTTGTGCGTGTCCGCTCCGTTGGAGAATTGGCCGCCCAGTCTTTCTACCGTCGATCTCTCGTCCTCGAACCACGAGAGTCACGCAGTGGTGCTAGCACTGTTCCCCAGACTCCATCAGAGTCTAGTGCTCCTCCATCAATCCTTGAAAATGCCAAGGATAAATTTGATTTCCTTTCCTGGACACATCCTTCTAAACCAAAGTCCGTCGCGACTAATGGTTAATTTCTATCACATACCATCTACCTTGCCCATTCTCATCCTCATACATTTAATGACTTATGACTTTGCACTTGCACCATATTATCCTTCGCGTTTCGCGTCTTGTTTAGTGTTTATTCCACCGGTCCGCTTCTGATTCCTTCTATGCTGGCTGCATACTACCTTCAAATTTCTTGTTCTTTTTGGAAATGTTCTGTGAATATCTTTCTTCGGGCGGCGCTCGTGTCTTTTTTCTTCCTCTATTTGGTTTTCATCGGCATCAGAAAAAGCGGCTTTGGAATTGGTCCGGCTGGAAAAGGAGTACCATAGGACTTGGTTTTGTCTTTTTTATTTTCTTCTTCTATTTCTTTGGGCATGGGCTGGACTGGGGTGGAATGGGATTTACATTATCTAATCCTAAAGGATAAGCCTATGGCTTTGTACAAGCATATTAAAATTCAATTCAAAACCTGTTCATTGTCTATCTCTTTCAACTGTACATGCAGATCTAGATCTAATCTAGCTGTACCTGTAGTTCTTGATCTTCCGTAGTGTAGTGTAGTGTAGTGTTGACTCGATCTCGATGCAAGTGTAATCCAATGCATGTAAGTCTTGATGCACCCAAGCAACTTGTACACAAGGAATGAAATGAGATGATGATGATGACTTGCTTGGTTTCACTATCAGCATCATGACGAAGCTGTAGCTACTTATCCCAGACACCACGGAAAGGTGCAAGTCTCGTCTGGGGGTCATACACAGTGCCCGTATGACTAGGCTAAAGAAATCACATGAAGGCGTCCGACATGAAAGGAAAATAACATGAGTGTGTTTCAAGGTTCTTGTACAAATCAGTGTTTCCCCTATACAAATGAGTCGTCGATACATGAGTCTCTTCATACAAATCAGTGTTGTCAATACATGAGTGTCTTTTCTCGTACAAATGAGTGTGCCCCAGATACATGAGTTTGTTGTTTTTGTGTTTTTGAAGTTGATACTATTCCCGCCACCCGACCCTATTGTGTTGCTTTTGTTGCTGAAGTTGATATGCCTGCCCACCCGACCCTGTATTGTAGTTGCCCACCCACCCGTCCCTTTTGTGTTGAAGTTGATACTATTCCCGCCACCCAACCCTATTTTGTTGCTTTTGTTGCTTTTATTGCTTTTGTTGTTGAAGTTGATATGCCCGCCCACCCGACCTTGTGTGCTGTTGAAGTGTGTTGCCCGTCCACCCGACCCTGTTTTGTTGCTTGTGTTGTCTTGAAGCCGATGTTATCCCCAGAGGCACAGCCTTAGGGGCCCGCCCGCCCGACCCTTTGTTTTGTGTTGTCTTCAAGATGATGTGTGCACTGTGCCCACTTAAATGAGTGCCGTGGGAGTCGAATGATCGCGTGAGTTCTCCCAAGCTCAAATGAGCGTCTGAGAGATGAATGACTGGTATATCTCTCATTTAACCTGAGGAATGTGTCGCCTCGAAGTCGATTGTACCCAAAGGCACAGCCTTAGGGGCCCGCCCACCCAACCCTTTGTGTTTTTTTTCTTTGTGTGTGACGTCGAGTCGATGTATGTATGTTGTCCCTTTTGCTTGTAGAGGCCCGCCTACCCAGCCCTTTTTTTGTTTTTGTTTTTGTTTTTGTCTTTTTTTTTATTGTTGCCCAGGTCTTTTTTGTTGTCTGTCAATGTGTGTGTTGTGCCCACGAGATATCAGAATGACATCCCCCGCCCGCCCTGATGTATGTTTGTGTGTGTGTGCATGAGTGTGTTGTCCCCATATCATGAACCGTATCACGAATGATATGCACCCCAGTTCTTTTTTGTGTTTTTTGAAGACCGTGTTGTCTCTAGTAGATGTGTCTGTTGTCCGTATAGGATATCAAGAATGATATCAACCGCATGTCTTTTTTTTCTCCATTTTGTAGGTTTTGGAGATGATGTGAGTGGATTTGTCTCCAGTAGTTGAAGTTGAAGTATGTGTTGTCCCCAGAGGATATCAAGAGTGATATCCACCGCCCGCTCTGTTTTTGTGGTTGTTTTTGGTTTTTCTTTTGGAGATAAATGTGAGGATTGTGTTCTCCAGTTGTAGTTGTAGATGTATGTGTATTTGTTGTTCCCAAAGGATATCAATAATGATATCCTGGTACTACCCGTATAGTGAAGTAAGTGGATGGCCTTGTATCTCATCCGTGAAAATGTTTTGTCCCCCGTAGGGGCCCGCCCACCCGCCCTTTTTGCTGGATTTTCTTTTGGGATCTTTTTGGAGATTGATTGTGGATTTGTTTTTGTTCTTGTTTTTTGTCTCCTTGTGGATTGTATTTGTACCAGTTTCGTCCTCAGACATTTTCAAGTGTCTGTAGGAGCCCGCTCTCCGCCTTTGGTATTGTGGAATTTGGAGATAATGTAAGTACTTTTGAGGTACTTCTCCTTGTGAGTGGAATGGTCCCTAAAGAGGGTCCCAGAATGATGTCAATAGTGACATCCAGGTAGTGCCAGTCTTCCTCCATTTTTTTCGTGGATTTTGTGTTTTCAATTTTTTTGGTGACGACTTCACCCTTTTGCGCCCTCATCGTCCGATTCGCAGAGTGATTCCCAGTCTGAATCACTCTCATATCCTCCTTGATCCTTTCCCGCAGTGTCAAAGATTGAAGACACATTTGTTGTGTCACTTTCATCAGCTTCCTCCTCCGCCTCTTCTATGGGCAACATATGAGGTAGTTGCGTCGTGACCCCCTTGCACTTGGGCTTGGCCCAGCGTAGAATATCCATCAAGGTTGAGTCAAAATTGTCTCTCATGACCTTCTGTAGCTCGGTCATTTGTATCTGAAGCTTAGAGTCCATGTAGCCAGAGATGATGCGGACGTGGCCGCCGGCATAAACAGAGATCATGAGGACCTGATTTTATATTAGTCTTTGTTTGTGCTCACTAGGTTGAGGGAACTCACGGGAGAAGTGTGGTGGAAATAGTCTGAGCGCCTTGGTCGGAATTTTTTCGTTGCAAGCTTCTTGTAGAGTTTGTTTTGCATGAGGAAGGAGTCTTGCATGATGGCGATCAGATAGCTAAGCTCAGCGATGCTCGGTCCTCGGGCATCTGGGAGTTCTGTTTGCTGAATGAATGCGATGCGATGGCAAGCTTTGTAGCTGCCAGCTGCCTCTGTCGAACCAATGGGTTGACAGCCTGGGGGTAAGGTGTTGTCTTTCTCTACCAAGCTCAGTAGCTTGATGGGGAGCTTTTGAAGGGTCTTTTTGATCTTCGAGTTGAGACTAAAAGAAGTGTTAGGATTGTATGTGGAATTGTGGCCACAAAGGGAGACGTACGTGATGTTTAAATATTTGTCAGGCTCTGGTCCCTTGATGGTGGAACTAATGATGTGGCTGAATAGTTCGCTGACAAGGGCATCGCCCAGTCGCTCATCCCGTTCCGGCTGGCGCATCATGGCCCAATATTTGAAATTGTAATTGAAAGCCTCAAAAAGGTCGTTTTTTGGATGCAGGATGTCAAATTTGGGGCGCTGTCTGACATCAGGGTAGGCCTTGAACCAGGAAGTGACATATGGGTCTTCTTCTGGGCCTGTGTAACTGCAGTTTGAGTCGTACGAATTCCAAGAGTTGGCCTGCGAACGCTTGACATCGCGTTTGGGGTGGAATTGGACATCATCGTTGGCCTCGAACCAATGAGTGATGTATGAATCTTTTGGGCCTTCGGTGAAACTGAACGGGGTGAAATCCAGTAGGCCTTTCTCTCGTAGATTGACGAGCAATTTGTAGGAATCGTCGTCTTTTTTGATGTGCTCGAATGCACGTCTTGTTTCTTCTAATGTGTTTAGATTGTTGCGGTATTGCCATATCCATTGGGGAAGACAAGGGCCGTGGGCCCTCGCCAGCCAGGTGGGTGGCGTATAGGTAGCGAATTGAATTACGGGCATTGTGTTATGGGGAGAAGGAGAGGAAAGAAGAAGGAAGAGGGGGGAGAGAGAAGTTTTTATACCCAGGATATGGGCTCCGATTCCTGCTTGACACTTAGTACTGGAATAGGAATGGTTCTAATTCTTCATAGGCTTGGTTTTGCCAAAAGCGATTATTTTCATATCAAAAAGGGACATGGAGCGGCCTGGAGCGATGTAAAAGTACTAGCTCTTAACTGAACTATCTAAGAGAGTGCTCGGCGACTATTTCGTACTCGGCATCTCAGTTTATGAGAGAAAACAAAAGAAATATTCTCTTTGTGAGGAGTAGAGAGATGTCACGATGTTACTAGAGTCGGTTCCCTTTTTGGTCAAATTTTCCTAAAATGGAAGTATCGTGACCAAAGCGTAGAAGAGCAGGAAAAGGGTGATATGTGATAAACGAAATCAATCTTGAGGTAAAAGAAGATTGAAGGGACTGGTGATTCTAGAGGCGAGGCTTCATATTGAATTAACTGAGTAAAGAGAACTGGTTTCAAGTATCAATCATAAAGTGTTCAGAGAATTTGAATTTTCACTTCCAAGTTTCGATTTCAATATCTAGATCAGACCTGGAGACTCGTGTCGATGCACATTAACAGATTTGAAATCGACATCTGGACTCGATTCGTCACTACTAGTATCTCTTCACCTGATTCTCCAAGTTGATCTCTTTCTCATAAGCACAGGTCATTTTTCATTTCCGATTGAATGAGAAGCCGTACGAGTTCCAAGCTTCTTGTCATAACTGTAATTGTATTCACTATACAGCAAACTATACAAGGACAAAACGAGACTGAGCGGGGTATTCAAGTTATGGTCGCTTTAAATAGTATATACGCGAGGGGTGAAGTCGTATTGTGGGTGTGATATATCAACTTTGATGTATGCAAGGTTGGACTCGGACACGCCAAATTTCATCTGAATCATATACATGGATTCGCACTGGCAGATGCCAGTGACACATACTCGTCATGAGGGGTAAAAGTTTACTACTGAACCTGAAACATTTGAAGGCTTATAGTAAATCTAGGTTTACATGAAATGGAGCAAGGTAACGATCTTGATGTAGACAGGTGCACCCAACTGTGAAGGTGATTGTACGTCTATTCTTGAAGGCACTTGTATCTGTTCAAGATGTATGCGACTTGACCACTCATGAATGTACATATCGCTTCTGAAACGCCTGTACAAAGTCTAATCCTGAATCATCCTCGCTTCCATTAAACGCCACGATACTTGGATCCAAATCTTCAGAATCAAACTCTGGCTGTGGCCGGAGGTCCAGAATAGGGATCATGGAAGGGCGCCCGTGGGCACATTGAAATGGAAATGCACATTTTGCCAAGCGTGAGACCAAAGTTTTACAATCATCAAGGCTTAATGGGTCATTGAACATTATGGCACCTCGACATGCCCGCGAATTAAGGAGATCGAATATGCCCTGGGGACAGCCACTCATCTTCTGCAGCCACGCATGAGGAGGGGGATCTTCTCCCATGGCCTCCACAAATAAAGAGCTGTGATCATTCGGACCGTTTTTGTTGAAGGGTTTGCCGGGACCTATGGGTTTTCTGTCGCCTTCCTCATGTGTCCAAATTTCACGACGGAGTATTTCAATGACAAGCTGAGGATCTAGTCGACAGCGTTCCGCAATAAGCGCGGGGAGGGAATCGACCAAGACAGTGACTTCGGAGACTGAGATCTCTTGTACATTGTATTGAATGCCCCAATCCTTGAAAAAACTGGAGTACTTTTGAAAAAGGCCGGCCTCCGTCGAAGAGATCTTGAATGTTATTGTCTCTATTTCCAGGGTGCAAACTTCAACCTCGTGTAATGAATTTGATGGAACAAACATCTCATCAAAAATATTGTTCAATGCGACAGCGCTCGTCCGCCGCATGTTGATCAATCAACACCAAGACTGCTTCCGGATAGCCCGCAGTTTCATTTTCGGCATTGAGTTTGACGAGAATGAACTTTTGATCCACCTGTGCAATGATGGTGGCCGTTGCGAGACTTTGACGTTGCAGTTTGCCCTTGAACATGGCAACTTGAGTAGAAGTCAAAGCTCCAGCCAGAGCTCCACTGCAGTGAGTGATTTTGTGAGAAGTCCCAGCATCCAAAAAATTAGCCTCAACGTCAAACCTCGGCAGCGGCATCTCTGTACGCGTAAACGTAGGATTGTCCCATTCTCGAAGTAGGTTCTCGACCCAACTGTCTTGATCCGTGGAAGTTGATTTTGTTCCAGTCAGGGTTGGAAGTCCAGACCTTTGCAGGCCCGTAGATGTGGGTTGAACCGTCTGACCAGTACGTGAATTGATCAGATGTTTCTTCCCTGTACGCCTGTCAAACCAGGGAATCATGCGGTCAGTCTGTGAATTATCGACCTCTAATTCACCCTGGCTTGGTTGGAGCTGAGATTGATCAGCACCAATTGGCTCTGTATAAGATATATTGGATTGTAGAATATTTCCATGTCCATGTGGAATGGATGAGTCTGTTTCGCGCGTAAAGAAGGGCGAAAGGCGCACCCTCAGCGCATCTACAGTGGTCCGCCCAGACAAAGCATGATCACCAAGACCCTTCGCAGTCTTCAATCTAGACCAGTTTTGAAGATTTTGACTGGTAGTAGCTGCATGCGGTCGTTGAAAGGACGGAAGTTTGAGACTGTTGGTAAAGCTTTCTTCCGCATCCACTCTCACAGGGCGTTGCCTTGATGAAGTGAATTCAGATCGACTCTGCCCGGCAGACATAGCTTCTTGAGCTCGATTTAGACTTCTCCCTCTTCGTGTTGCGCTACGAGGTCGAAGTTTCTGCTGTTTTAAGAACTCTGTGATCATCGCGTTTAATACTTCAATGATCCCTTGAATTGACTTCTCTGAATTCGGGGAAATCTCGTCGGCATCTTCCTCAAAAGGGAGAGCGACGCTTGTGTCAATGCGTATATAAAACATGGGCCACCTGTTTACTCCTTTTGCCCATGATTTGCCACTTACACTGCTTGGGGCCTCGGAAGGTCCCACAATAGGCGACTCACAAGCAGCGGAGGTGCTTCGAGATGCCAATCCAGAGAGTCCAAAGTCCGATGACGCTATTAGACGATTGATCTCGTTGAAAAGGATATTCGATCCATTCCGAGACAACACCGGCTCTTGACCAAGAGAGATGAATTGCAGTTTCTTCGAAGGGCTGGGGATAGTTGATATCGCCGCGGAGATCTGGAGGTCCGGAATTTTGGCCGATATTACATGCCATGAGTCCATATTTCGCGACCTGATCAAGCCAAACTGTGCCATTATAGCTCCGATTCGAGCAAGATCAACATCGCCAGAGGTTTGCAAAGGAGACTCAAGATTGGGACTGTCTAGACGGATAGAAAATCTTTTGCTTTTTTCAGTGTCCGAGATAACAAGTTTCAATAATTGAGGATTGGCTAGCAACAAGGAAACAATAAAGTATCGTAGATGATCCCACTCTCGGTCCAACTCCTCTGGCTTCTGGAACGCGAGAGCCCGACTCTTGACACGCACAGGCATATTGCCAAAGAGGTCATTCAGCGTCACGCATGTACCGTGCTCGCTATATCGAAGATTCTGGTGCACTGGTGCCGGAATCAAACGTGCAACAGGTCGCGAGTGATGGAAGATGATTGAATTTGTAGTCGGATACTGAATATGACGAGACGTCACTGTCAGTAAGGACAAAGCAGCCAGTGAGTACAAAAATAGTCCGCGATGACCGTAGTTGCCAGGCTTCCCAAATTTGGACGTGTCTGTAATAGAGGTTAGCCAATCGTCGGCAGATATTCAGGCTCAACTAGTTGCATACGATGTGCTTTGCCAATGCCTCCTGTGGATTCGAACTCGGTTGGACGGATTCCAGCACCATCATCTTCGACTATGCAGCCTCCCCGCTTGAAGTCCACTGATACGTGAACTGTCTTAGCGCCTGCATCGAGAGCATTCTTAACCAATTCCAAGATAACACTGTTTAGATTGGTGATCGCAGTGGAAGATTTGATCTTGGCGGCAACATCAGCAGGAAGAGCTTGGATTCCTGCTTTTGTCGAAGACATGCTTGAAGCCACAAGCTTGATTGAATAGTTGGGCTAAGAAAATATGCTGCCCATTATTGCAACGACGATCAGTCCCAATGGCGGCAAGAACGTTGCCACAGTATCATGGTTGTCACATCGAATTCATATGAATCAAAACAACTCCTAAACTTGATGAAACATTTTAAAATAATGAAATTTCAATCCATTCTGCAATAAATCCAAGATTGACTTAGTTGAAGTAGAAGTTGAACGTGAAAGAATTCTAGACCATCAAGTGACATCAAGGGGGGCACATGACCTGCACGGATAAACAGTGTTCCCGTCGTGCTCTCTCTCTTTTTGCCTCGGCGCGAACTCCCTTTCGTCTCTTTGTTGCTCTTGAGTTGGCGACAAACTTTTGGGGGGGTTTGATTTTGACATATTAATCTGAATTTGAAAATGGCTGCAACTGAAGGACCTGCGCGGGCGCATGGTAAGCACTCAAAAGGAGATCTGTCCTCACTCTTCTGTGGAACGTCGCATTAATGGGTTGCTTTACAAAAGATCGCAACGGTCGCCGCCGCCCATTTTCGAGCTGGATGAAGCGTCTTGCAAGCCTTAAGAGCTCATCTGACTCTACTTCAAATCGCTGGACTCATAGACGACACTCAGCAACCAAGACGAAGAAGGGGGGTCAAGGCAACAATAACCCATATCCACTATCTGGAACAATCAATCGACAAGCAAACCCAAGCGGTTCTTATGACGACAGCGAGCGCAATGGCCGAGAATCTCGCTCTAGAAGCGACCCATCACTAGTCTACTCTGCCTACGATAACCCTGGCCCCGAGACTGGTACAAAGTCAACAGCACCCACGATATCCACCAACGGCGATACTGCTATCTCCGATGCAGCATACTCGAAGGCGGGGACAATGGCTACAGCCGGCGGGGGTATAAGCTCTCATGGAGGAGGGGAAGGAAGCACCTTCTCTTCGCCTGCGCCCTCAGTTCGCTCGTTGGCAACCACCTTAACAACCGTGCAGTCAGCTGCGCCGTCCACACAACTCTACCCTGTACAGAATGGACATAACAGCACTGGACATGGGTTCTCAACACATAGCTCCAGCCAACAAGTTCAGTTCTCGCATCAGTTCCCTACCTCTTCATCCCCCGCCACAGCTGTGCCCCCGCACTTGATACCCCACAGTCAGTCCATGACATACAGTACAGCAACCGCAAATAACGTTCTGACCGACAACGCATCGATCCTCACCCTAGCGAGCTCGTCCAAACGCCGTCGCCGAAACTCCCTTGATACTAATGCATCAGTGCGTGCACTGGCGCCGTCGTCCCTGTTTGGTGGAAGTCGCGAAAGTCTGCCGTTGAGTGTTCTCAGCGGCAATGTGGTCGAACCATCAAATGCATCTGCCTTTAACGCTCAGGGTGTCTTGAGTCGACCTAGTATTGTGGGACTTGCTAGCGCTGAGCGCATCAGCGTCTACTCCGCGTCTGGTGTCACGCCCATTGCCAATGGCGCAGGTGAGAGAGGAAGCTTTTATACAAAGCCAACTCCTACTGCCGGCGATGGAGCTAGCATCCGTAGTGGTGCGCCTTCACACAGCCGCAATGATAGTACAGCTGCCAGCATTACTGGTGTGAGTAGTCCGCTTGTCATAGCCTCTGGTCGTATCAGTCGCAGAAGCTCCGGATGGGGAGAAATCACTGGCGATGAAGAAGATGAGGGGAAGACAGGCGATCGAACTGACGAGAAGCCAACCATCAAACCCGAGTTCAGTTTCCCAGAAGAACCCAAGGATCAGTCTTAAGCAGGATTCTGGGACTTTGACCTTGAAGAGGTGATATGAAGACCTCCAATGATGTTACGCAAGCGCGGCAAAGCGATTCTTTCTTTTCTATTCTTTTGTCCTTCACACTAATGATACGATGCATGCAATCTGGAATGGGGGAGGGGTGCTTGTGTTAATTATGCGGCGTTTTTATGCTCGGGCGTTCTGAGGCTGAAATGGAGTTTTGATATACTCATGGTTTGCGCTTTCTGTCCTTTACTTTGCTGCCTGCTTAAATTGAGAATTGCCTCATGTACGCATAATGACCCAAATGATAATTTCTTTTCTATCCAAGCGTGTTCAACCAAGTATGAGCTCTACCCGTACTCAGGTGCTAGCTGTACGTCGTCGAATGATCATCGGCATATCATATTGGTACACAAACCAAGCATTCCGATATTTCCACTCATGCTTCGAGTCAGCTAGTTGAATCTGTCATCGGAGATTAGCTTCAAAAGAACACAATAATCGTAGAGGGAGGTTACTCACATCAAATGAGCTATATAGCGTAGCAATCAGCTTCTTGATTTCCAACATAGCAAGATAACGACCCATGCAAATACGACCACCTCCACCAAACACAAAGTCAACTGTATCCTTCATCCGTCTATGCCGAAGCTCAAATTCCTCCATACTTTCATTCTCGCCTTGTAGCCAGCGATCAGGATTGAAGTCATCAGCATCCTTCCCAAAAACCCCATAGTCACAATTTGTGACAAATGGGTTGATACCAACTTTGGTTCCTGCTGGTAAGAACTGTCCATTTGGAAGTTTGAAGCCCTGTTCTGGGACCACACGCTCAAATATCATAGCTATACCGGGATTGATGCGCATCGTCTCAGAAATAACGGCGTCCAGGTATGGCAGGTCGCGAATTTCTTTCCAAGGAGCAGGTGTGGGCAAAGAGGTGGCTTGAAGCTCGGTGGCAAGTTTCAATGATGCTAATGGAGCCTTTGCTAGGTAGTAAAGCACAGCGCGCATGGTTGCAGAGCTTGTGTCACCGCCAGCGAGAATGCTGAGCATTAGCCAGTTTACGATCTGTTGGTCGTTGACCATATCTGGGTATGCTTTTTTCAACTGGACGTATTTGTCTAGAGTGTGGTCGACGGACCCGATCTTGATCTTTTTGTTGGCCAGCTCAGCTTGATACTCTGCGACGACCTTGAAAGCATACAGAACACCGGTGAGAGTTGGCTTGGGGCCAATCCGCTTGATAGGGTTCTTGTCGAGAAGATTGTCGACCCATGGAATTTGGGAAACCTGTCATGACAGTGTTAATTGCGTACCTTCGGATATAATGGATTGTAGGTGCATACTGGTGCAAAGTACTCAAGACCAGCGGTCGAGTCAGTGATCAAATTATCAACATCTTTCTCCTGGTCAATGAAACCATAGTGACGACCGAAGCTAAAATTGGCAGTGACATCCCAAGCAACTGGAATCAAGTATCAGCAAGTTTTGCTTTTTCTAAATAGTTTAAGTCAAAAAGTAGGCTCTTACAAAATCCAATCCACTCATCAGCAGGACAGATTTTATTGGCATTTTCACCATCAATAAATTTTAGAGACAGCTTGTCCACGAACTTGCTGATGGTCTCGTCAATTAGAGGCTCATATTCAAGAACCTTGGTCATACTCCAAAGACCACGAATAGGTCGAATGTTTTGGCTATGCCAGTCTTCATCTTGGGAGTTGAACAAATTGGAGAGACGATGACCTTCAATAAGTACATCGTTTGGCCTATACATATCACTCTGGATTATTCACCCGTCAGCGAGGATGCATACAAGAAATTCTAGTGCATAATACCTTCTTCCATGGATTCCGAGTCGAGTAAATAGTCCGAATCAATCTTGGATCAGAAATGCTGATACAATTCGGACCGATCTGTACAGCGGCCCCATATTTGCGATGCAGCTCAAGGTGCTTGAGCTCAACACGGCCGCGATAGGTATGAACCGCGCGCCAGAAGTCCGTAATCTTGGCAAGTAGCGGGCCAGGAATACCTCTCAGTGGCGAAAGCAATATGTCACAAATCAACTTTGTGAGGCATAAGAGTGCTACAGCAGCAAGACCTTGGACCCACGAGGAGGAAACAAGCAAAGAGAGTACCGCCATGGTATTAAGCACAGACAAGAAGACAGGTCAACTACAAAGGTACGCGAGGGATCACAATACAACTCACGGCAGGTAAATTGCTATTTCTGAGGCATGTTTGAGAAGCGGAGAAATATGGGTCCTAGAGCTCGTTTTGAGAGCCATAAGAACCCTAGGCCTACTAGTAGAGCCCTGAACCCTTATGTCACCTAAGAAACGCTAAACCGTCCATCAAAATTTTCTCCACGAGATTGAACAGGAGGTCAATGCGAGGAGCTACTCTGCCATGGCCATGAATAGCTAGTTTGTCAATGTTTGCAACCTGTCTATAACAGGCTATTCCTAATCATAACAAGGGTGCTTTTAGCACGGGGCGAGACGGGATGTGGAGCCGGAGTCATAACGTCTAAGTCCTGAATGGCTCGTTAGCATGTAACTATCTCAAATTGGAATGCAGAGCCTAGAACATTTGAATTTGACAGCGGAGCTCCCCGAGCACGCACAGAAGTTTCCTCATGTCGATTCCTGCCGACTTCGCGCAAGGTGGCTGATATGGGAAACGGCTAGAGAACTTTGTTCAGATGCGAGAGCGAAAATAACTAGAGTGGAGAGGAAACTTATTAGGCAAAGATGTTCATTTTAGCAAATCTCTGAAGACAATGGCTTTTTGAATATGTTTTAACTGGCTCATCGGTATTGTTGATTGTCAAAAACTGGGAAGTTCACATTTGAAAAAAAAAGATGTGATAGATCAACTATCCCAAAGACCCTTTGCCTCGATTTGTAAAAAGAAATGACCCACTATGCATGGGGATTGACTCATCTGAACCAGAAAAAGCTCCTGTCATATTCTTGAAAACGTTAGTTTGAATTTTTTGACATTAGACAGCTTGGTCGTGATGTTTAAATGGCTTCAGAACCCAGAGGCATCGATATGCCTCGCAAAAGGGGAGACTCGGAGTAGTCTACGAGACTCACTCAAAGTCTCAAGTCTGAATTGATTTTTAAAAATGGTTTCATCTCAGCAGACTTCCTATATGCAAGAAACCCGAGCTCCTGTTGTGCAAGGAGTGATGTGGGTGATGGCAATAGTCCCTTTGGTGTTTGTTGGGATGAGACTCTATGTGAGAATCTTCTTGAAGCATGTTTTCGGCTGGGACGATTTCACCATCATCATTGCAACTGTGAGTCTGAATTTGAAAGAAATATCTCTTGTTCTTCAAGCTGATCTGAAATCGGTAGGGATTTTTGATTGCTTATGCCGCTGTGTGTCAAGCAGCGACCACCGTGGGTCTTGGGAGACATCTTACTTTTGTCGAACAAAATCCGGATAATCTCATCTCAGTGGCTTTGCTCTGCGATATTGGTGAGGCTCTAGCAATCTTGGCTTGCACACTTGGGAAAACCTCGTTCGCTGTGACGCTCTTGCGAATTGTGGTGAAAAGATGGATGATCATTTTGCTCTGGTTTGTGATTGTGACGATGAATCTGGTCAATGTCTTGACGGCATTATTTGTGTTTTTGCAATGCAAAGATCCTCGGCATCTATGGAATCCTGCAATTCCTTCAAAGTGTTGGCCGTCTCATGTGTTCACTGACTATTCATTATTTGTGGGAGGTAAGTTTTCCACGTATTTACCTTCACTGTTTATTTTCTAACACATCATCCAGCTTACTCTGGAGCTCAAGATTTTGTTTTGGCCCTGCTACCTTGGACGATCGTTTGGAACCTGCAGATGAGGCGGAAGGAAAAGTTTGGAGTGGCATTTGCCATGAGTCTGGGAGTGTTGTGAGTATTGATGAGCTTCAGATGGGGTGACTTGGACCATCTTGACTAAATATCTATAGTGCTGGCGCAGCTTCCATCGTCAAGACTACTTATCTTGTTGCACTTTCAGCCAAGGCAGACTTTACTTGTGAATCTAATCAAGCCCCTAACACAATTATATTGCTCCCTTGACTAATCCTCGTGTGACACAGGGGAACTCGCTCCGTTACTCTACTGGGCTGCAGTCGAAGATGGCCTAGCAATCACCGCCGCCTCTATCCCAGCTCTCAAGCCTCTGCTCATGAGACTATTCCCAAGTTCATCGGCGAATGACAACTACAATATGATTTCATATCCACCGAAACCAAGCAATCCGAAAGTCTTCGACAATTCCCAAGGGGAGGTGAAAACGGACATCGTGCACCCTCCTAGTCTTGATGACAGAGATAGTCAGACGGGGATTTTAGATCCGCAATTAGTATGTGGAAAAGGGGACAATGGTATCAACTATACAAGAGAACTCTCGGTTACATATACCCCGTCTCCATGATGCACATATGGGTTCAAGTTACCGGAATGGCGTTTTTAAATTGTTCAATGCTACTCTTTCATACATGAGCGGCTCGAGGGTTGACAGATATCAAGGGATGCTCAACAATATTATAGTCTGAAATACACGAATCAAAACAGACATACTAGAATTTTTCCTTTGTTCACGAATAAATTACTAGTATACAGCCATTGGCTTCGTGCTTGAAACTGCTGAAAAATGTTTCGGCCTGTAGTAATGGGGACATTCTAAATAATCATGGCTCATGTAATCTGGACTGAGGTAGATTCAGTTGAAGAAGCCCAATCATATCGCTGGCATCAGTCTCATTTTGAACACAGTAGGTACTCGTATGATTTAACTATGGTATCTACCTCAAAAGCTCGCTAACTCCAAATTTCCTCAACACATCCATTCAATCCCTTGAGGCTGTTAAGACTGTCCAGGTGTTGGCTCGTACACAGCAAATTTTCTGCCACATACGGCAGATTAGAAGCCTAGACAAACTGTATTGGTTACCACCAAACTACATGGTAGAGGGCACTGTATCCGATGAGTTAGTATGTAATCAAAAGCAATAAAGTGGCGGATTGGAAGCGCATTTCCAACTTACACATATCTTTGCACCACTTGGGTTAGATGCTGGTGGACATGTGTTGAGGCTGAGACAGCAACCAGGAAGTGGTCCGCCTGATATGCAAGTCGTTCCAGTGGGACACTGCCAACAATATTAGTCTAAACTGGAAAATATATTCTCTCGAGAAAGTATCCTTACGCAGATTCCTGCTGCTGCGCAGAATGGTGTTGCGGCTGGACAGCTAATGCACAGACCATTGACACAAGAACCTCCTCCTGGTCCGGGAGGACACTAATCACTTGTTAGAAAAATTGAAAATTGAAGACTTGAGCAAGCCAGGCAGGGTATACATACTGATTTATTGCATTGTCCACAGTTACTCAAGCTGGTTGTTAGATCGGCGCAGACTCCATTGCAACACGCCGGCAACGTGCCATTACAAGTCGGCGTAGTGCAAGATCCACAATGTTGAATACTCGAGCTAAGATCCGTACATGCTCCATTACAGCAAGCAGGTATTAGACCAGTGCATGGTAATGCGAGGCACGAGCCACAGTGGTTAATATCCGTGCTAAGATCCGTACAGTTTCCATTGCAGCAGGCAGGACTTGTACCAGTACATGCTGGCGTAGTGCAAGTTCCACAATGTGCCGTATTACTGGCCAGGTCTGTGCATGTCCCGTTACAGCAAGCGGGCTTAACGCCCAGACAGGGAATAGCGAGACAGGATCCGCAGTGGTTGGGATCGGAGCTCAAATCTGCACATGTTCCCAGGCAACAAGCTGGATTCCCGCCTGTGCAAGCCGTAGCATTACAAGCACCACAGTGCTTAATATCCGTGGATAGATCAGTACAGTTGCCACTGCAGCATGCTGGGGTAATACCTAAGCATGGCGCGGCTGTGCAAGATCCGCAATGCAAGAAGTCACTGTTCAGGTCTGTACATACACCAGAACAGCAGCCTGGCATAACTCCAGTACATGGGGATGAGAGACAGTTGCCACAGTGTGTGGTGCTTGATAAAAGATCGGCGCAGGTCCCATTGCAACAAGCTGGGAGTTGACCCGTGCATGGTGCGGCCGTACAGGATCCACATTTGGTAATGCTGCTACTTAGGTCGGCACAGGTTCCATTGCAACATGCTGGTTTCTGACCGAGACAAGGGATAGCAAGACAAGATCCACAGTGATTAATATCAGTACTCAAATCTGAACATGTTCCCAGACAGCAGGCTGGACTTCCACCTGTGCAAGCCGTAGCATTACAAGCACCACAGTGCTTAATATCCGTGGATAGATCAGTACAGTTGCCACTGCAGCATGCTGGGGTAATACCTAAGCATGGCGCGGCTGTGCAAGATCCGCAATGCAAGAAGTCACTGTTCAGGTCTGTACATACACCAGAACAGCAGCCTGGCATAACTCCAGTACATGGGGATGAGAGACAGTTGCCACAGTGTGTGGTGCTTGATAAAAGATCGGCGCAGGTCCCATTGCAGCATGCTGGTAGTTGACCCGTGCATGGTGCGGCCGTACAGGATCCACATTTGGTAATGCTACTACTTAGGTCGGCACAGGTTCCATTGCAACATGCTGGTTTCTGACCGAGACAAGGGATAGCAAGACAAGATCCACAGTGATTAATATCAGTACTCAAATCTGAACATGTTCCCAGACAGCAGGCTGGACTTCCACCTGTGCAAGCCGTAGCATTACAAGCACCACAGTGCTTAATATCCGTGGATAGATCAGTACAGTTGCCACTGCAGCATGCTGGGGTAATACCTAAGCATGGCGCGGCTGTGCAAGATCCACAATGGAGGAAGTCACTGTTTAGATCTGTACAAATACCAGAACAGCAGCCTGGTTTTACTCCAGTGCAAGGAGGCGAGAGACAATTTCCACAGTGTGTCGTGCTTGATAGTAGATCGGCGCAGGTTCCGTTGCAGCAAGCTGGTAGTTGACCAGTACATGGTGCGGCTGTACAGGATCCACAGTGGCTAACGCTGTTACTTAGATCATTGCAGGTTCCGTTACAACATGCCGGCTGTTGACCGAGACACGGAAGCGCGAGGCAGGAGCCACAGTGATTGATGTTTGAGGTTGTATCAGTGCAATTTCCGGAGCAACATGTTGAAGCCGTAGGCGGACACTAGTATATGGAGTAAGTTTTGACAGACTCGGAAGGGGCGAGTATTTTAACCTACTGTTTTGGTGCACGAGCCACAGTGACTAGAGTTAGAACTGAGGTCGGTACATGCCCCAGCACAACATCCTGGAGTAACGCCAAGACATGGAACTGTGAGACAAGCTCCACAATGATTTGGATCAGAGTATAAATCAACGCATCCTCCAAGGCAACACGCAGGTTGGATTCCAGTACACTATCACAGTATTAGTAATTCTCGTTAAGTAGTATATACTTCTTCAAGATGTGCGAACCGTTGTGCTGCAATTTCCACAGTGATTCGCATCGGTTGCGATATCCGTGCATTCCCCTGTACAGCAAGCCGGTATTATGCCCAAGCAAGGTGTGGCATTGCAGGCTCCACAGTGCGCGTTATTGTTGTTCAAATCAGCACATGTACCCGAGCAACAAGCCGGATTTGTACCGGTACACTGCCAGATATGAGTTTAGTGATATTTTGACGGAGAGGACTTGGAGTTACTCACATTCACACCACATAGTCCACAATTCGTGGCAGATGCACTCAAATCAGCGCACTTTCCAGAGCAACATGCAGGTAGTAATCCATTGCACTATTAAAACCGATCTCAGTATGATTATAAACGCCAAGTGGGATAACGTTGGACTTACTGCAGGTGTCGTGCATGATCCACAATGCTGAATGCTCGTTAGATCTGCGCATGTGCCGTTGCAACATGCAGGTTGAGTACCAAGACACTATAAGAATCAGATTTGAGTCTGAAGGTATATATTGTTTCGCTAGTGACACTCACAGGTTGAGCAGAACAACTCCCACACTTGGTAAGTGATGTAGCAAGGTCCGCACAACTTCCAAAACAACAAGCAGGGTTCTGACCGGCACACTACATGGAAAATATCAGTTAGTGCAAATGAACGGTTACTGGGATGTAGAATCTTTCTGACTGTATTATTGCATGAGCCGCAATTTTTCAGGCTTGTTCCGAAATCGGTGCAATTTCCTGAGCAGCAGCCAGGAATTTGTTGCCCTGCGCACTAGATTGCTGTTAGTCGAGAGAGTACATTTTGCTGAGGAAGCATAAGGAGTGGTGTTATTGGAAACTCACTGGCGCATTACAGTTTCCACAGTTGTTTACATCTGATGATGTGTTCACACAATTGAAGTTGCAACATGTTTGATTGGTTGGACACTGAGAATGTCTGTTAGTCCAGATAGCCTCATTTTAGTATGGCTTAGCTTACTGGCTTCCATGGAAAGAAAGGCGCACAGAGAAAGCCAGGATCTTGAGTAGATAATGGCGTGGCTCTAACAGTGGCGACGACAGAGGGTGTGGAATTCAAGGGTTTGGCATCGGTCCATACAACCCCGCTTATTAGAATTCCTATATTCAATTAAGATTAGCCTGGAACTTGAAGACTTTGGGTTCCATCCTATCCTACCGGCTATATGGAAAAGAAACATCATTTTACTGGCCATTTTAATGCCAGGGAGGTGATGATGTGAATAGTCCCAAATTCCTCGAGACGATAGTACACAACTGCTGAAAGCCCGAGGCGCTTTCACGAGGGTCATTCATTTTAAGTGTTGTATAAGTATCCAGTACAGCTGTTTCGCACATGAAAGCCTCGGTTTGTAATAGTGGTGGGTTGGTATCGACGATCTCGTCCCTTATTCGTGTTACCTGGCTGCATCTGTCCGCTGATATACCGGGTCCATCGAGACAGCCCTGAAGGAATACTGTATTCCGTTCCAAGGCAATTTTTCAAATGTCTAGGATTCTGCCTTGGTTCATTCTAGGGAAATGCGCTCCTAGAATGAGCTCTGATAGTGATGATGCAACAGTATCTTGATTTTCGTCCTTTGATGAAGATGTGATACACTGTAGCCTTCGTTGTTGCACATATTCCAAGTCTTATTAGGCGCAGATAAATCACCGCTCACTCTCACTGGAAATGGGGTTGATGAGATCAATGGATGTAAGTTTATTAATCATTCAATATCCAACAAGATATCATACCTTCAAATGTTGTGGCTGACCAAATTGCACCACTGGCAGTTCCAAGATTCTTACCTGAATTCAAGATTACTCAGCCTTGAAGGGTGAGATCCCTGATCTGCAAAGTCAAATCCCTGACTATTACCCGATACGACATTGTCGACAAGCTTAATAGTGCTTGGTTCGAATCAAAGGTCTGTACTACCAGACCGCAGTACTGTAACCAACGGCTGTATGACTTCGGACGACTCAGTAAGCCCTGGAGAGTGACGAGATCGCACGGTATAAAGCAACTCTGTGCGCACCGAGTTTGTCAAATTGAGCATGCTCCTGAAAGCTTCAAGTTGAGACATTTAAATCTCCTGACTCCAGAGGTTCTTCTCGACAGATGGCTGCAGAAGAACATTTGAACTGAAAGAGCTTTTTTTGTGGCAGGCTGTCACATTGGAGACACGTGATTCCCCATCTTTTATATTCCAACAGCGATTGAATCTAATATCTCGGGATATCTCATTATATGAATAGTAGTTCCGAAAATATACACGTGTAATATGCTAAATACATGAGTCGTTAATCATAATGCCCATGGCACCTCGATGTCTAACTCCTCGGCAACTCGTAGTGCGGAAGCAATGCAGCCTTCAAGTAGCACCATTCCATCCCAGCACCAGCTACCGACAAGCCAGATGTTTCCATCTCCATTCCGCCACTGCTTAGAATCCCCAAAATCGCCAGATGTCTTCGGGTCGAAAATCTCCTTTGTGACTTTCCGGCTCAGGGGAGTTCGTAAAGTTCGCGTAAAGAACACAGTGTGTTCGATTTTTGAGGGATCAATAGGAAGAATAGGCGAAGTCGTAATTATTACCGAGGAAAGATGTTCATGCGTAAATTCCGTGGATGAAGAATTCGAGCATAGATGAATTCTTTCTGGCGACGGAAGGCCAGGTTCGGAACGGATCCCCCCCACTAACGACCTGATTGCATTTGGGTAATCGGTCAAAGTCACGATGTACATAAGCGGGTACAGTCGAAGTAGGTATTACAGCCAACGCACTTCGTAAGGGCGGGAAAATTGCACGGACAACGTCCGGTGTGACCGCCATAATAACATGATCGAATAGTTTGGACTCTGTCAAGCCAGTAATATCGTTCTTCCAGGTCAGTTGCACTTTGGCACCGACGTTCTCGACCCTGATTGCAGCTGAGGAATAGTGCACGTTGAGACCCTTGGAAAGTTTATCTTGAACTTTGCTAACGCCACCGATGACAGTGTAATGTGAGTTCCCGAAAGTTTTTGCTTGGTAGTCGACGATGTCTATGGCTGGGAAATCCAGTAGCGCGTTATGAGGGCAGGTTGTCACTGCAGACATGATTGGCAGGTAATAATTCTTCACGAAGTACTGTGGCAAATGAATGCGCGCCGCGTACTGACGAAATGTTTCCGAGGGCCTTGAGCCATTGGCCTCTTTGGGCTTGATGATTATTGAGCAGCTCACAATCCAGAGGTAACAGATTCCCAGATACAGGGCCTCGATAAGCCATGTAAGCCATGTAGAACCTTGAGGCCGTAGCGGGGGAAATTGATGAGTGTGAGATGAATGAATAAAACTGGTATGTATTTTGGGACTCCTGCCAGGCTCTGTTTCATTCTCCACAATCGAAAACGGGAAGATAAATTTCTGCTTGCCATATTCGATCCCAAAATAATCATACATGCGCTTCAAATTATCATAGAAGCCGCTTGCAAACGCGCGCATTGGTAAATCCACGCGTTGTTTATCCCCTGACAAATTTGAGACAGTGAGAGATGCCGAGTCAAGCGACAGAGTTTTTTGCTATAAGAAGGTCAGCATTTGAAGCCGTAAATTCATCCAATGTTGACAGAGTCGCGCACCTTTTCGAAGACTTCTACATCAAACCTCGCGCGTGAGTCGTTTCTTACTATCCAAGCAGTGATCAACCCCGCCATACCAGTGCCAACAATGGCGACTGACTGGCGTGGTTCGACCGATGCCATGACTGTAAGTAAAATTTGAGTTGATCAAAACATAAGAACACGAAGGAGCTGAAGTTGGAGTACTTGAGGGACCGGAAAAAAAAAGGCTTTGTCAGCCAGGGACAACGGAACCTTGGAACCTCCAGACTTTCTATTAAGAGCTGAATCCTCGGTTATCGTTTATCGTTAGGGAACCCCTTTGGACCCCATGTGACTTTACTTAATTTGGGAAACGATTAACTTACATTCCCGTTCCACCAATTAAATAACTGCGATCTGCCCCTCGAATAACCTTGATCAAGTAAATTCTGCGATCGCACATTGGAGTATAGAACTTCAATATAGTAGTAATTTATATGCTATAGTCAGAATATTTACTATGTCATTACATACCTAGATACATACTTGGCATTCATTCCAGCACTTTCTGCAAGATTCTAATTACATAAATCATAATTAATCTCAATTTTATGCATGCCAGTAAACATTGAAATGACGTCAATCTAATATACACAAGGCTACGATAAGTGCGAAGTGCGGAGTTAAAGTGAAAGGAATGAAGCTGAGTTTTAAGTTATGACATACGCGAAGTATAGTCAAAATCCATCGATTAATGTAATGCGAGTCATGTTCCTGCACAATTGAATCTACCCCCGGGGCTGTACCCCCGTTCTCCAACACTAACAGTGTCCATCACCCAATAGATAAGAGCCACGCCTTCGTTTGCTTGTGCAACACCCTTATTTACACTCGCAGTTCTTTTCTTTTTCTTTTTTTGTTTGTGTCACCATAAAGGGTCTTCGCACATAAGCACTAACTGACACTGGTGAAAAGTGTGAAAAGTGCGATACTAGGATCCCGCTAAATCCCGATCACACAAAGCTGAGGCTTGGCGCTTCCCCTGTCCAATCGGTCCGAGGAGTCCGAGGAGTCGGAGTCAGGAACGTCAAGTTAAACAACGTTTACTAAACCAGTAAACTGTTTGCATATCACCATCAATCGCATGAGTACCTCGGGGATACCTCTGGGGCTATTTTTGGAAAGGAATCTCTCCAAGATAATAGTCAAACATGCTGGGGTTCATCCAACGACTCTTCAAAAAACCTCGCGTTGAGCTGTACGGGTTAGATCATGCTGTGCTCAATATTGAGCTCCCACCACAAACTATGTGGATGAATATGGGATACTGGGAGGTAGGTCCTCTTCCATTATTGTTAACCTTGACAAATCTTACTAACTTGGTTCAGTCTACAACTCATTTCCCTGATGCCTGTCGAGCTTTGTTAGATCGCGTCTTATCCAAAGCTGATCTCTTGAAAGATCAAGATAAAAGGCAATCTATCAGGTTGCTTGATGTCGGATGTGGATGTGGTGATCAGTCACTTCATCTGATTTCACTCCGAAGAAATGACTTCACAGAAAATAAATCGGGAAGAGGAGAAGCATCAGGCTTTCAAGCTTCCTCTGACGTAGCACCGTCTCTCCGTTTTCAGCAGCCTTCTTCATTGATCAACACATATATAGGTATCACGCTTGAACCCAGTCAAGCAGCACTGGCCAAATCTCGGGCCCAGGATAACGGGGCCGCAGGGAATGCACCTGCAGATTCATCAGTAGAAATTTTCTGTGCTGATGCTGCCAATCCGTCAAGCTGGTCAGGGAACTTGCAGAACTCAATTGAGAAATTAGCTGCTACTTCCATAACCACTGAATCAGCGACATGGCTCCTGGCTCTCGATACAATCTACCACTTTCGCCCATCTCGTCTTCCTCTTCTTCAGTTTGCATGCCACAACCTCAATGCTTCATACATGGCATTTGATCTGATCCTCGCGGATAATATATCCTGGTATCATTCTTTCCTTCTACGGATCATTTGCTGGTTCCTGGGAGCTCCATTTGGGAATATCGTTACCAAGGACGAGTATGTGCGTCTTCTGGTTCGTGCTGGATATGAACCTGGGCAAATTGAGATGGAGGATATCTCGCAACATGTTTTCGGTGACCTGGCGGCATTCCTGGGGAGAAGAGTTCAAGAAGCAACACCGTTTGGGTTGACGATGGGAAAGTATCGGGGAGCTAGGAAGGTTTTCGATTGGTGGGCACGGACTGGTATTATGAGAGGTTATGTGGTTGTTGCGAGGAAATCTCAATAATCATGACTTCAGTTCCAGGTCCAAATTTGATAAATTTTTGTTAACATCCATGACTATACATATAGTATGTGTTAGTGCCCGGTGGTATGGCTGGCTCGACCTGCATACTATTGACAACTTGAAGTGTGCTATCTGCTAGGAGAGCGTCCACCACAGACAGTAAAGATCATGATATTTGCACCGAGTATATGATTACCGTTAGCTTGAAACCGTGTTCCTCTCGGCAATTAGCAGCAAAGAATTGGAACAAAGTATGTTATGCTCAGGTATGATCTGATTTGTACTATGCAGTGTGTCGAGGAAGCTGGCAGAATCAGGCGGTGGACACTTGAACTTTGGGCTGTGCTGTGAGGAGGGGGATAATCCTCTTCTTTCAAATGTTCTTTAGAATGGCTAATAACACAGCGCTGGAGCCAACATCTATGCTAAATCAGCTGCTAGTAGGCAGTCGGACTAGCCAATTACACTCATAGTACTTGTCCCGAACCTGACTTTGGGATGTTGACAAAACTTGCTGCCTAATGTTGTTTTACATTCTGTAGCTCTCATAATTCGGCCATTTTCTATATTCTGCTTGCCATCTCCTTACTTTCTTTTGAGGTCTTTGACTTCAAGTCATCCATTCTGGCGGGTCCCTGGCCAAAATATCTGCCTTTTGTTATATACAATCATCTATCATGACCCCTAGGCTGGATCTTGCGCCGAGGAGAACCCGAGAAAGCACGTCCAAAGTTCGAACTGGATGCAGCACTTGCAAAGCTCGCCGAGTTAAATGTGATGAACTGAAACCCATATGTCAACGCTGTGCCATTGGAGGTCGAAAATGCGAGTACAATACCGCACGTACAGCACCACGTCGAACGGTGTTCACGGTATATCTGCCTCCTACCCAAAGTCAACCAGTATTCTTCGTAAACTACGGGGGCCTTGATTTCTTCCACCAGAGTATTGCTTCGAAGCTGGACGGACAGTTCGACTCGCAATTCTGGAGCAAACTTGTACTGCAACTATCACACTCGGAACCCTCAATTCGACATGCTGTATCAGCCATTAGCGTCATTTATAGAGACGTCGATTCATCTTTACTGCATCCAGCAGGCTATGTTAATGCCAACCCTGAGGCTCAACAGGAGTGGAATACAGCAGTGAAAAGTCTATCAGCTCGAATAGAAACGCATCCAAACTCGATCTTGGTGCCTTTGGTGTGCTGCCTTCTGTTCACGTGTATCGAGTTTCTCAGAGGCAATGGTGAATCTTCTCTGCTTCACGTTCAGAGTGGATTCAAAATTTTAGCCGCACTCCATCGCAAGGACCATCAAGCCCCGGGCTCAGGGTCTAGTATATCGACCAACGATCATAAAACCATCGAAGATCACATCATTCCGATTTTCTCACGTCTGAATGTACTCTGTTCTCTAGCTGGCATAATTATCCCACCCGTATACGCTTCTACAGCTAACTCAAGAGAAGACTTTCCTCATGAAGACCTTGGTGATTCTAGGCAACGACTTGTTGAAGACTTGGATCTATGCATTCGATTCATTCACGACGCCATTCTCAAGGCAGATATGTTCCAAATCAACGTCGACGATCTCATTGAACAGGCAAAACTCCAAGCAAGGCTAGAAGTATGGCGCAACCAACTAGACGAACTTCTTGAACGAAAGCAGGCTGCTGGCAACATGGCAAAACAGGATGCGCTCAATATACTGTTGGTACATTATAAAATCATTTACATCTGGATACGAGTCTGCACCACAGCTGGAGAAATGGCGACAGACTCTTACCATGTCGACTTTGAGGAGCTTGTGCATTACGCGGAACAGATCGCCAAGCCGGGCATGGGAATGGAAACACCACAATCCCTGTCTTTTGACATGCAAATCCTGGGGCCTCTGTACTTTACTGCGCTGAAATGCCGGCATCCTGCAATAAGAAGACGCGCGTTAGAAATGCTTCAATTAGCACCTCGGCGTGAAGGGCTCTGGAACGCACATTACGCCTACGTAACTGCCAAACGAGTAATCCAGCTGGAAGAAAGGGACCTCAATGGACATGAACTGCCAAATGAGACTTCGAGGGTTCGTGGTCTCCCTCTGCCCGATGATGAAGCACGGATCTACAGTCTGGGCGAGATGTCTTTTGAGTATCGGAAGTTTGATCACAACGTCATACCTAGTCCGACTTGCCCGGGGATTCTTGAAGCTGTTTTCCAGACAAAGCCGTGGGGAGAGTGGGGAGAGCCGCAGACAATCACGGAGTACATCAAGCTATGATGAAGTGGGTATGTGTTCAAACTGGTGGACATTCGATATAGAGTAGAAAGTGGTATGTATGACATGGCTCCAGCATTCTCCCAGCTCGGGGTCCAGTGGTCAATATAGTGACTAGAAACGCCGTATGGCTGATCGGGCTATGTAATGCATAGATATCGGATTGATAGCGAGCAAAAATAGAGAAAAAAAAGATTAGAGCCTTGGACTATAATGCTTACACAGCCGATTTGATGTATTAAGGAATCTATCACCATGTATGTAACGTTACATATTAATATTACACCTCAGTGCTGAAAAGGACGGGGGTTTATGTATTTGCCCTGACTCTCAAGTCGATCAAAGCGGGGTGGAGTGGAGTGGGGCGGAGTTCTAATATAGTGGAGAAGCCGCCTACGTGGGGTGTTTTGATTGGTGAGTGGCAGCTCGTAGCCGCCTAACCCAAAATGATCTCGTAAATGTCTAACCAGAAAAGGAAGTACGTAGGCGATCAGCTCCGAGATCCTAGACTTCGACAACTTGAAGTATTTATTCTTCGCCGCATGTCTCGGTTGTTCATTTATTCCCTTCACTGCCTAGAGAGACACTTCATTCACTAGAACGATGCACACCATCATGACCACAAAGACTGAGACGAACAGAATGTTTGACTTAACGTTCGCGGCGCGAGCGCTACAGCTCACCTTCGCCATCATAGTCATGGGAATAGATGGCTATGGTAAGGAGATTCCGGGTATCCCCTTCCATCCATTGACAAAATTGAATTCTGACCCTATCACATAGCAATTCACATATATCGCGGCCACACCGTCTACGAACAATTCGAGTACGGCAACTTCTACGCTTACATGGGCGTCCCTGATGCGTGGGGCTTCTTAATTTTCTGTGCTGGGTGGACATTTCTGGATGTCATTTTTGCTCTCATTGCTGGAATCAGATTCGGGCATTCTAAATTGATTGGTTATATTTGTCTCGTGACTGAAGCTGTAGCTCTTCTCTCTTGGCTTGCTGGTTTCATTGCCGTGGCTATTAACATAGAGAGCAATGAATGTCCCACAGAAGAGAACGGATGTGGGCTGCTTAAGGCGGCGACAGTATTTGGGGCGCTGGAGTGGCTGCTATTCATGGTTACCACAATGCCCACTATCAAGTTTGTCTTTAAGAGCACTCGCAAAGGGTCTTCTGAGCCTGAAGTCAGCTCCGCTGTACCTGTTTGATCAAGAGCACAGGACCCATGTGGCATCAAAGCCATCAGTTCTACGAGCTATCTCATGTGAACCTTTGGCCTTGATCAATATCTTTATTCAATAGATGCCTCAAGAAACAGACTTTTTCGCACCCAGTCTGGGCTGTTCCGTGAAGCCTGAGCAATCCATCACAACCATATTTTTCGTGAAGCTTGACAAAAGAAAGTATCACAGGAATGAGAAAATTTACATACTTCATGTGGATGAGCCTTCAAATGTTTCAAATGTTTCGGTGAAATTATGCTTATGTACAGCTTATTCTTCAATATTCTCCTTCTTGGCGTCATCGTCAAGTTTTTGCCTTATCATTTCTTCCTTCTCTTCAGCCGTAAGAGAACCCCGATGATATAAGTGCTGTAAGTCTTCTCTGCGCACTCCATTATTATAAAAAGGTGAATTGCGCATCGTAAAAGAATGGTAGTGGTCCTTTATCAACATCGCTTAAGCGCATGAATGTGTCAACGACGAACGAATCCATATGGATATTCCGACACATAACGTATGCATCCTTTGTCTTGGAAATCTGATAGATTGCTCGCTTGATACTATAGCTCTCTCGTATCCTATCCCAAAGCTCCTTGTCACACCCATCGAAAAAAGGTCATAGCAGATATACAGTCTCTAAAGCATTTCGACGATATTGAGCCGTATGCTAAAGCCAGTATTTGGCTCGATCCCAACTTTTTGTATCAGCACAGTGCTTAATTGTTCAGCAAGTGATTCGGCCCATGAAATAACGACTGCTGAGGCTCGTGATTTATCGGGTGCCCAATCTGCCTTGATAACGCATCGCAAGGTGAGGTCCTTTTTTAGTGCTGCGCCGATCTCAGGGCCGAGTTGGAGCTGTATGGTCTCTTGGTCCATAGGACAGATCATGATTCATATGTAAGGCTTTCTAGCCTGGCCAAACTGGGTTAGTTCACTTCCAGCACATGTGCATCATGCGGGGTATGTATACATCCAAAATGTACCTATGGTAGGTACCTTCGCCATCTTACATATGCAGATTCAAGTTAGAAACTGCGAATGATATTACTGACATCTGGAAATTCCGAGTTTCAATGGAAATAATTTTACTAAATGAATCTGCTGGTCAGATTTACCCATGTATATTAGGACTAGTTCACTGCGCCCTCCACCACTCTAGAATGGTTTCATCAATTCAAATATCCTAGGTACGAATACCTTTGAGAGGACATATCTGGTAGAGAAAACGCTGCCTTGGGTGGAAATATTTAGATGTCACTTCAGGTTTAACCGCTGCACCTTTCTTATGGACTGCCGCCCTACAAGTTCTGGGTCTCATCATCTTGTCCAGTTTCAACCGGCATGTCCTCAACATCCGGCCCTTCTGAGTGTGTTCTGTCCTTACTACTTGAGTCCTCCTTCTCTGACAGTACGTCGAACCCCCGAGATCTCTTCATTCCTCGGTGAACCGGCCACTTCTCTACGACGTTCGGTGGGTTTCCTCCAGTCATAAGGGAGCAGTAAATGCTGCAGGCCCTCTCTACGTGTCCCATCAACGTAAAGTGGCGGATTCCTTAAATCAGAAAAGAAAGGCCGGGGTCCTTTGTCCCAATTACTGAATCCGATATACTCATCGGTCACCTCCGCATCCGCTTTTGGATTTCGAAACACGAAGCAGGATGTTCCCCTCTGAGCGATTTGATAAACTGGCCGCTTCAGATCAAAGTTGTTGTGGATATTACTCCGGAGCTCCTTGTCACACTCATTGAGAAAAAGGTCAAGACTGATCAGAAGTGTGCGAGTTTGAAACATTTGGATCATATTCAGCTCTACACTGAAACCGGAAGTCTGTTGTTCAACGTTTTGCAAGATGCCGGCACTGAGTGTTTCAGCAAGGGACTGTGCCCAAGCGATAACAATTGCGGAGGCTCAAGATTTATCACGTTCGTACTTGGTCTTGATAAGGCACCATAAGGTGAGGTCCGCCTTCAAAGCTTCCTTTGTCTGACCATCGACTTGGGCGTCAAAATTCGTCATGACAGTGGTAGTGGAGGTGAGTACGTTCTAATATCACTCAGATGAATCATTAGATGGTTGAATGCGCGGGTGAGACATGTAATGGATTGCAAAGGTACCAGACACATGCCAGTGGGGGAACGCGTGGTCGTTGAATGCCAACTGAGCAGTCAGCCTAATACGTCACGTGCAAGGCTCTCCACACCAGTGCCCCACAGGGCCCACTAATACATTGTCTGGGGAAACTTGGAACCCAAGCTGTATAATACATACTAGTAGATTTCAAGTTCTGCCCGTGGGTGGGAGAGAAGACTCATGAAGGACCTCCAAGTTTGAACAAAACGATTGAATATGTATGAAATTCAAGGTCCCACACTACCTACTAGTATGAAAGACATAGCTGGCAACCATGGATGGTATCACTTACTACAGTACTATGCACTACCAAAGCACCCGAGAGATTTCTGTGTACAGTTAAAAATTCAAAGAAAAGGAACCTTGCACATGTGAAATGGTGGAATTAAAATGCAGATAAAGCACGCGAGTAGGTACATATCCGAGTTATCAAAGAGAAACTGAGAACCTGAACAGTTGACCAACCTTACATAGAAGCCTTCAAGTTCAAACCTTGGAATTTCAAGTTGTCTCAAGCTACTACTGGTATGATCATGCCCGTGACTCTCATAGACATCTCCAGGGCTGATAGACATCTCCAGTGCTGGATGAATATGTATTGAAAGAAATATTGAAATACAACTTGAACTCAGATAAATAATAGGTCGCATGCCTGACATCCATTCCAATCTCTTGACATTAAATCTCCATATTCAGCCTAGCAGCTTCAGGCAATTCCCATCTATCTAGCAAGAAAAATTCACCCAGAGGCAATATTCAATGTTGGCACCCCGCGTCTGAAATATTATAAAAGTAAGTCTCAAATCCCTGGGTACTAGTGGGATTCATATAACCTTTACCTGTTCTGGCATCAATTTCCCCAGGAAATATTGACAGGGCCTTATGGAGAGGAGGGGGAGCTGTAGCTGGGGTTGATTCTCGAACAATAGTCGCAATGGATAGGACTGGTCCTTCGTACGGAGTTGGTTAGAGTTCGAGAGTGTATCACACCCTTACACTGGGGCTGCGCTTCCCGCGTCGTCCCCATGAAGCAATTCCGGCGAGGGCAGAAAGCTCAACGTAAAGGCACATGATTGCTTCTGTTGGAGCCACGAAGGAAGTGTTTGAAAAATAGGAATGAAAAAAGATCACAGGCTAGTTGAATCTTTATCTTGTTGAGTCTGAATACAAAGCTGTTTTCGAGAAATAGACATGACTCTTATATAGAGCAGCGAGCGTTGTCTATACGCTTCCCCTAAACAACGCCTTTACCTATAGTCTTGCCCAAGGCGGATTGAGGGTGTATCATCAGACCAAACAATAGGTGGAAATATAGGAGCAGAGGCTCAATATGCATAGCAGCGTCGGCTGAAGCCCGTTTTCTCTTCCCAGATGAGCATCGCCGTTTCCAGTCGTCTGGTCGAGGCGCATTTCTTGGTCAAAGGATAAGTTTTTGGTCAGTTGATGGCTCTGTTGCCTGGATCTGGGCCGCAAAATTGATTAAATCTCATATCCCATTGCATCTCTATGCATGGGCCTCTCGTCCGTTGTCATTGAAGACGTATTTTGACGGCCTATGATTGACGCGGGTGATGGTGAGGCTTGTTGAATGCTGGCTAGCCCAGAAAGCTCTCTCAGTGGCACTGACTGAGCCTCTAATCTCCATCCAGTGAACACAGGCATGCCCCAGCATGTGGTTCAAAGTGCATTTCCGGGCCAAACAATTGGTGGAAATGATGAGCTTGTGGCTGCGATGCCTAAAGTTGCGAAATAGGGCTGCCGCAACTTCTTGTCGTTCGCCCTCTTGAAAAACAGACCCCTCATTTGCTATGATCAATATTTTGTACTCATGCCAGCCAAAATATTGGGTGAGGTCGCTGAGATTGCTTGGTGGCGCCTAGTTTTGTGCAGTAGCGCTGATCTATACCACAGCGGCTAGAGCCCCTTAAATCACATCTTCGAATTTCAAGTTAGAACACCACTCCAATAAATCCCCAAATATTAAGGAGAATCAATAGAGGGCCTCAAAAAAGTGGCTCTCATGGAGCAGTGTTATCGTAATGAGAATATCATCCAGTCGAATATTTTAAATATGGGGGGCCGCGCAGCCCTAAATGATTGAGCTAGGAGAGCAATATCGATCTCACAGGCCAAACCGAGTTTGCCCGCGAATCAGCCTTGCGGATAGCCTACTAGTAGATACTGGTCTTGTCAATTTTGAGTCATTTCACTCCATTTTACAACTCACCGCAGACATCTGGAAGCTTGAAGTCCCAAGGGTCCTCCGAGCCAGTGCCACGGGTGTACGTGGCTCTCATGCGTATGATGAAAATTATGAAAAGCAAGGTTAGTATAGACTTTGGCCTATCTTTAACTTTTTCTGGTTTCTTCTGCTAAGGATCACTACCAGGCTATCATCGCCGAAATTTACGCATCGACGCCTGCGACGAGGACTCATGAAGTACTGCTGGGATTGGAGGAGACAAAAACCTCGGGACAAAAAGAAAAAGCTGCAAATTGACAGAAAATGAGATTCAAACCAGGTGCCAAGGCTGGGAAGAGGAACTAATGCACTATCTTTACTTCAAGTTAGAAGTTTCTTCTAGCGTTTACCAGGAACAATCAAATGATATTAGGTGGACGCGCTTATTGACCAAGGATTATGACTGATAATAGCCAAGCCATTAAGGTATCACTAAGTTAGATCGGAATGGGAAATCTGGAATCTCAAAATAAAACGCCAGAAGCTGGAATTGAACCGGGGACTTTCAAATCTGATGGGGAAATTGAAATTGGGTGCGCATCGAGGTGCGAGGTGAGATTCTGCGAATACCCTCACTTGATACATCCATCACCACACCATCATCCCTGATATCTCGCTCAATCCTGGTTATTTTCCATTTCTGAAAAAAGGGATAACAAGAGCGAGCCTGAAAGTATTTTGTATAAAAATATCAAAAATTTTGAAAAAAAAAAAGAATTGCCCGCGGCCGAAGCCGCTACCCTGCCCACCCGCCGGTCACGCTCAACCACCAGCCAGGACCCAGACTATCTTGGCCAATGCCTCTGTCCTCGCATCGAGTCAGAGACCGCTGACCGTTAGGCCAGTTGGGCTGAGTTGTTAATTTTCTCCCCCAACTATTTATGAGGGAGCCTTAACTGTACTACTCTATCATTAGCCTTCGCATCACAGATATCATAATATCTAAATCTACTATTTTGTATCCACCTACCTAGTACCAAAATACTTGAGACTGTGGCCTGCTCCATCAATTTCATTGGTCATCCATGATATTGAGATTGGATTCCCTAGCTCTTCCATTAGTTGAGCCACTATACAGATCGTTCAGCTACCGGTTCAAACTATGATGAATGTCACTCATCTCCAGTATTTTGGTGATGTACGAGGCAAGGTTTTTAAAGAGACGGTCAATATGATAAATGTACATTACTCATGATTTCAGTGTTCAGTAGAACCTTGGAATCTGTATGCAGTTTGATATTTTGTAACATTGAAAGAGTAAAGTGCGTCTAGAAGAAAATTGCACTGAGAATAATCATCACTCATGGTCTTCTGCCGCCCCGAGGTAGCCCCCAACCTGCTAAAGAGAAGATAAATTCCAAATCGCTGAAAACTATAAACAAGAAAGAAAAGGGAGATGTCAAAAGAACATCTCAAAGCAGAAGGGGAGAATAGCAGTACTTAAAACCAGACCGCGAGCGACAAATTTATCCTTTGCGTATTCTGTTGGCGTTTTGGATTTTGCTATTTTTTTATTTTTTTTTTCTACTGCTTTAGACAGTAGTTCCAACACCGTGCTTAGCAGTGGAAGGTTTTGAGGGAGCCTCATTGCGAGATGCCAGGAAGCTTTGGAACATGTCTGAAATGGCCTTCTCGGATTGCTCGTCGCGCTCCTCGGTGCCGTTCTTCTCCATGATCAATCCACGCAGCCAGTGGTTCTCCAACTCAAGCTGGGAGACACGAGCCTCGAGGGCATCGTTCTTGTCGTTGGTATCCTTAACAGTACGCTCGAGAGCTTGCTCACGCATCTTCTTCTTCACACGGAAACGGGCACTGGCAGCTGTGTTCCGGCGGCGCTTATCCTCTTCAGCAACGAAACGGGCGGCCTCCTCCGGGTGAGGCTGGGGTTCCTTTTGGGTGTTCTTGCGCTTAGGCGCAGCAGGAGCCGGGACCTGGGCTGGGGCAGCGGGAAGGACATTTTGAGCCGGAGCCGGAGCGACGTTCAGTGGTGCGTTAAAGGGCGCAGCGGGAGCGGCCGCGGCCGGGGCCACAGGCGCGTTAGGAACAGATGGCACGGCGGAGAATGGCGCATTTTGAATGTGCACCTGGGGCGCATTCACACCACTCAGATCGGTCTGGAAATCGGTGATATTGATGCTTCCTTCTGTATCTCTCGGTTAGCATACAAACATGACACATACAAATCGCAAATAAGTCCGATTCTCGGTGACTCGATGTGTTTGGACAACAATTCATCGCAGGGCTTTCATCCATCACGTGGTATGGCGTAATTGCGGAGAAGACTCGCGTCTGATACAGCCAATTGCCCAAAGACAGATCGGCCATCGCCGAACGCTGTTCACGCGCCACCGGAGAGGTACCGGAGAAGATGACCTGCAGGTCCTTCCGGGAAACTTTTGCCAGGGTCCAATCCGCTACACGAGTCATGGGTCCATTGCACGTTCCCTAAGGCGCGATATAAGGCCAAGTACACGTGCGACCAACCCCGTGCAGCGCGTGGCTGCCATGAACCAATCATGCAATTTTTGATTCTGCATGAATCAAAAGATGCATGTATGGCCCCATTAATACATCAACCGCGGATAGCGGTGGTGTAATTCAGGGGAATGGATACAGCATGCGATCCAACATTCATATGCGTCCAACCACCATCGAGACAACCAATCGATACCTAAAATCAAACTTCGACTTACCATTCAGGAAGTCCAAAAACTTCATATCTCCAGACTGCGGAGAGTGGTCGGAGACCTCGCCCTGTGTGTGCTTCTCGTCCACGGCATCGAATGAGGGTAGGTCCAGGCTGCCGAAGTTGTCGAAGTCGAAAAACTCGGTGTTGGTGAACATAGCCAATTCATCGTCGAGGTCGAATGCGCCCTGCTGCTGCTGCTGCTGCAGGGCCTGGTCGTAGGCCGACGGGATGGCGTTCAAGTCATCGAGATATTGGGAAAAGTTGGGGGCGCGACGCCCATTGTAACCGGCCATGATGAATCGGTTGTCAGGTATTCAGCTGAGTAAAATAACCAGACGATATATCCACGGATTGATCGAATGTCTTGATCCGTTTGAACGAAGACTCGTGTTCGCGCTACGGTCGGAACGGACGTGACTCGGGCTCGCCGGATGCGGCTCAGTCGGGAATGAATTCGGGGTTCACCAAAGGGTTGGTGTCGTTTCTTTTTTTTCGATGTAGATGCGCTTTCTGAAATCCACTCTTCGAAGTGGAGGTGAGATGTTTAAGGGATCAAGTAAGTCGAGGGTTCAGAGTCACTCTCGGGGCCGTGGGTTTTTTCGGTTCTTTGAGTTTTAAGAGTGGGGAAGAGGGGGTGATGATTAATCCCTATTTCGCCTCCTTCACTTTCCCAAGTTCTAATCTCAAGTACTTTACTTTGTTACTTCATTATTTATGATCCTTTGACATTTACTTTAAAATTCACTATTCATGGTTCTCTCAATTCATCATTGATCATATTCCCCTTTGATTCTACTCTTCACTCTTTATTTCTTGTCCTGATGGCAAGGACACGAATCCACACTCCGATCATCGGAGACGACTCCACCGGTCCACTATGAATCCACTTCCGGGCCACTGCCCCAAATGGGGTTTAGAAATGAGGGTGAGCCCTCACACAGATCAAATGGAGAATGAATTACATTATTGCCTCGTTCTCTCCCTTACTCCGCACATGTAGAGTTGACGTTTTACGAGGCAATATGAGGCAATTGACCGGGACTGGAATTCCAGCGATAAACGCGGCTTTGATCAAATCTTAAAAAGACAAGATGGACAGGGATCTGACTCCGGCACCGGTGATTGGCAAGCATGAAACCCCATCATTTGTAAGCCACTGTACTAACCTTGGAAACTCTGGATCGGGTGAAGTCACATTGTTCTCATCCTGGTTTTCCCGAGATCTTTCCGAGCAATTATTAATCAAGGCTGCTAACATCGAGGGTTTGGTCTAACCAAGTTACACTGTGGTCTTTGGTGGGACGAACACCTTGGACAGGGTTCTTGAGCATGGCTGGTGCACCTTGCAGGGAAGAGCTGCACAACATGCTGCTCTTAAAATGCACGGACTTCGCAACGGCCCGACTACTTAGCGCGGCCACTGGGATCCAGTTTCGCTGGACACTATTAAGGATGAGTTGATTATTACAGCTTCACCCTGAGAACCATTGAAGAGGGTTCGCAATCATCCTAGTGCTAACTCAGTCCAGACGATTCAATCAATCCCAATGTTGGATCCATAGGAAGAGGTTGGGGCGGCCTTCCAAGGTTCGACAATTGATCACCTAATCATGTCTCGGGCAGCGAGCCCAAAACCTTGATCGACTAACAGTCCATGTTCACACCATCATTGATGGAGAACTTGACATTCATTACACAATTTTGGAATGATACCTATCGACTGCTAAATTTGCTACACTCCGAGGAATGATATAGCTCGAACAAATCCTGGAATCTCTGCCATGGCTGAAGCTTTCTTCAATGAATATTCTAAGGTTTGGTTGTACACTGTCTTTGTCAACTGGCAAACATACGCGCACAGGCCTCGGACTGAGGGGTACGATGTTTACTCTTCATAAGCATTCCAAGGCTGTCTCTCAATAACACATGGCTATCAGTAGCCCTCCTATAAATTAAGAGTCTGCTTCTTACAGAGGAGGGCTTTTAGCAGCAGCAGACCGACGCTGTTCCCTCTTACCGCCCTACCTTCCAACTCACCTGAATGCCTTGGACAACCATGACTACCCGTTGTTATTTTAGTGCTGACATGGCGTTTTCCCTGCTCATTCATGGATACTGACTTCCCGTGTAAATATGTATTCATGACTTCCCTAGCCCCATCAACCGCCCGGGCGGAGTCCGGTCTTGGTCTCAAATCCGTATCTTCTAAACCTGTGCGGAGTACTAGTAAATGTGATAGAATCCATCTAATGGTCCAGGCAGAAGCCAAAATTCCCCAAATTAAATACAGATCTGATAAACTAAAAATCCGCTTATTCCCTCTTTATTTTCTTCGCGGACGCCATCATCTAAAGCCCACTGCCTCCACAGTGGGAAGATCATGATGGCATTAAGTTGCTCTCCAACGGCGGATACGGTCTTTGGGCCTCAAGTCAGCACCGCCTGTCGCAGCTTTGATTTTACACTCTATTTTGAGGACATCTTCCTCACGTGCCTCCCAGCTGCATGCCTCATTTTGCTTGCACCTGTTGAGCTGTGGCTACTACGAAAAACACTTCGCCAAGTTCAACGGTCCCTACTTCTGAAATGCAAGTTGGTAAGTTCAATTTGAGCGTTTTATCACTTTTTGTGGCGTGTCATTGACATACTTGCTCCGTAACAGGCGGCTTTGGGTGCTCTTTTCGCATGTCAATTTGCATTTACGCTCGTCCGACAACTACGGACTCCGGTTGTCTACACGAATGCATCTCTACCATCAGACGTGGTCGAGTTGATCGCGATTAGTAATGCTATCTTACTCTCTTATTTCGACCACTGTCAATCTGTCCGACCGTCAACATTCCTTGTGTTATATCTATCAAGTCGCTCTTTATTAGGACTCGCCCGGATCAGAACATTATGGCTCATCCCAGGTGCCAGGAACGCTGCAATCCCGTTTACACTGGGATTTGTGTGTACCCTGCTGTCGCTATCTCTTGAATCGAAAGAAAACGCAAAATCTTGGTGCCAAATGCGGAGAAGCCCAAAACACCAGAGCCTTTCAGTGGGATTTGGAAAAGAGCAAGTTTCTTGTGGCTCGCTGCGACATTTCGAAGGGGTTATGTGAAGGTTATGAGTGTTCATGACCTTCCGGAACTGGATCCAAAACTCAATAGTCAAGTTGTTGCGCGAGAGTTGCAAGATAGCTGGAGTCAAGTTCGTAAGTTCACATTGTGTCTAGATTGTGCAGTTAGTTAGCACTTTGGGCCTGATAAGAACTCTAGGTGACAAGTCAGCTAAATATGCGCTTCTTCGGGCATGCTTCCAGGCGTATCTTACTCCATTTTTGTCTGGTGTTTTGCCCCGTCTTCTTGTGTCCGGCTTTACGTTTTGCCAGCCGTTCCTTATGAATTCAATGGTGTCTTGGACTGAAGATAGCGACGCACCAATGTATTCTGGAAAGGCCATGATTGGTGCATATGCTCTGGTTTATATGGGAATGGCTGTACGTTCACCTTTCATTCTCTTTAATCTTTCTACAACATCTTATTTCTTTTATTCCTATACTTCGAAGCTTGTTGCTCTTGATGGTTCTGGGAGGCTGATATCTTATGATAGGCATCCACAGCTCTGTACGGCTACTACACATTTCGCGCAACAATCCGTCTTCGAGGAGGTCTCGTCTCATTGATTCACAGACAAACGATTAATGCCAGAGGAGTTGACCTTGGGGAAACTACCGCCATCACCTTGATGGGCACGGATGTGGAACGTATCGCAACCGGGTTTCGATCAATTCATGACTTGTGGGGATGTCCGATTGACATAGGTATTGCGATTTACTTGCTGGAGCGACAGGTTGGCGTGGCTTGTCTCGTTCCAAGTATCATTGCTATCCGTCAGTTACTCTGGAGCAATTGAGAGGATAAGTGTACTGATTTCAATAGTTTTCATATTGGCAACCTTCAAGCTTTCTTCCGCCAGCAACAAGTTTCAACGACAATGGGTTGAAAGAGTGGAGGAGAGATTGCGCTTCACTTCTTACTCACTGGAGAATACCAAGGCTGTCAAGATGCTAGGCTTGTCAGAAAAGGTCTTCTCGATGATTCAGCAACTCCGACGCGTTGAAATCGCTACTTCGGCAGTCTTCCGCAAGCTGCTCGTGGGTGTTATTGTGCTGTGTGAGTTCCATCATACCAGCTCACAGTATTCGCCGGTCTGACTTTCTATAGCGAACTCCCCCGCTGACATCGCTCCAATGGCGACTTTTGTGGTTTATGTTATTATCGCTCTCGTTAAACAAGATAACACGATACTGGCTGCACAGGCATTTACCTCGCTCTCTTTGATATCATTGCTGACAACACCTATTCTGGACTTCATCCAGTCTGTACCCCAAGTTATCCAATGTTTAGGATGCTTGGATAGAATACAGGAATATGCTAGCGTACCCGGTCTTTATGAGGATGATCAAGGTCAAGATAAAACGGATGGCAAAGATACCGAGATCAGCCTCCAGAACATTCGAGAATCAACCAGTCCAGGAAGTGATCTGGTCAAATTTTCGAACTACAGTGCCGGATGGAAGCATGGCGCATCATCAGTTGTGCGCGAGATCGAGTTGAGCATCCAGAAAGGGAGCATCACCATGGTAGTCGGGCCTATTGGAAGTGGTAAATCTACCCTTCTCGATAGTATGCTCGGTGAGACAGTTGATATGAGTGGAAACATTGAGCAAAACGTTTCTCGCATTGGATATTGTTCACAGACGCCATGGCTACAGGGTGACAGCATTCGAAATAATATCATTGGCTCCTCGCCAACTGATACAGACTGGTATACTACAGTAGTAACCGCATGCGGACTTAGTAAGGATTTGGCTCAGCTCAATCGGGGCGATCAGACAATTCTCGGTAATTCAGGTCTGACAATCAGTGGAGGACAAAGGCAACGCATCGTAAGTGATTATTGCAACGATGCCATCGAGAACACATTTAAACTTATAATAAATTTTAGGCTTTAGCTCGAGCTCTCTACGCCCGATCCAAATTCTTTTTGTTAGATGATGTCTTTAGCGGAGTTGATGCCACAACCACAGAGTCTATAGCAAGCAGCCTGATGGGCGTGAATGGTCTATTCCGTCAGCTCCAGTCCACAGTGGTTCTTGCTACACATTCTGGTAAGATGTCCCATCAATTGTGTGCAAACTTTCTAGCTCATATTTCATAGGCTTTCTCCTTCAATACGCCGATATCATTTTTGTGCTCAACAACGGGACTATCGTTGATTCCGGTAGCTTGACAGGTCTTCAATCAAGGAATTCATATATCCAAGAATTGAAAGCAACAGGGACAATGGCTCTTTTGAAAAAAGAAAGCGATGAGACACTCGAAACTGCCCAGGAACTCTCTCATGAGACAAAAGAAGTTGATGTGGAGGATGATGAATTTCTCAATGATGAATCGTCAACTGATCCTACGCGCCAGGGTGGAGATCTCTCTATTTACGCTTATTACATATCAGCTTCCGGGCGGACGTCAGTGACGTTCTTCATTGCTATGGTTGTGATCTGGGCCTTCTGTCGTGAATTCTCAAGTAGGTCACAACAGCTTGCCGATCGTGATGAATTCATTTCTGACAACGATTGCAGCAATCTGGTTGGATATATGGACAGCGGCAAATGCTAAAAGTCCAAACTCCCAGCTGGGAAAGTATATTGGAATTTATATCATGCTCAGCTTGATTGGAATATTTTTCATGGTTGCTGGTTGCTGGTGAGCTACAAAGTGCAAAGCTATTTGCCACTATTCATTAATCCTTATACAGGATCTTCTTCGTCCGTATCGTGTCTAAATCGGCACTTCAACTTCATGGTAACCTGGCAGATACTACGATGCGGTAAGCTCATACTTCAATTCCATACATTTAAGGCATTACTGATTTGAGATAACAAGGGCTTCATTCCGGTTCTTCTTGGACGTCGATATTGGCAGCATTATAAACCGGTGAGTATTATCTCCTGTCAAATTCCTCCTGTGATTATGTCCTCATATATTTTTGATATCCAGATTTAGCCAGGATATGGATCTCATCGACATGGGTCTTCCTCTAGAAGCCCTGAACTTTATCGGCGGTAGGTCCTGTATGATTGATTTTATCAATGTATTGATCTAATTATACACAGCTGGCGCCACCTGCATCGTCCAAGTAATTATTATAGCCGTCTATGCAAAATATCTCGGCATCATTATCCCATTCCTAGCCATTTTTATCTACATGATCCAAAGATTCTACTTACGCACATCTCGACAAATACGACATCTGGACATCGAAGCAAAAGCACCACTTTACACCCACTTCCTCGAAATTGTCAGTGGTGCGACTACAATTCGCGCTTTCCGATGGCAGGAGGCATTTGACAAAAAGTTCACACCCTTGTTGGACCTCTCACAGCGCCCAGTATATATGCTTTACTGCATCCAGCAAGGTCTTGGGTTCGTTCTAGATTCTATTGTCGCGGTGATGGCTGTGGCTTTGGTGGCTATAGTGGTCATTTTACGTCGCATGTTCAATCCCGGCGACGTTGGCGTTGCCCTGACCATGCTCATGACCTTCAATTCCAGTCTAATGCAACTCATCAAATTCTGGACGAGGATGGAGACTTCCATAGGTGCCGTTGCTCGTGTCAAGAATTTCGTGGCTACCACTGAGCCGGAAGAGTCGGATATCGCTTCCCAGGTAGAAATACCTGCGTCATGGCCGATGAATGGGTCGATTAAGATCTCAGATATTACTGCTAGCTACTCGTAAGTTCAATCTCCCAACTAAAACACGGAATGTCTGGAGGGCAAATGCTCATTCTGATCATTACATGCAGCCCGGAATCTCCACCTGTCTTACAAGACATCTCAATGAACATAAAGTCTGGTGAAAATATCGCAATTTGTGGCTCATCCGGCAGCGGGAAATCCTCACTCATTCTAACTTTGCTACGAATGATTGAAATCCAGCAAGGCTCAATAATAGTTGACGGGATCGATATTTCAAAATGCTCGCAATCGGAACTCCGAACTCGACTGAACGTCGTAACTCAAGACCCGTTCATTGTCCCGGGCTCAGTACGCTTCAACATTGATCCCTTTGAGATGGCATCAGATGATGCAATCATCACTGTCCTCCGTAGGGTAGGCCTATATGAGAAGATTGAGGAAGGAGGTGGCCTTGATATGGAAATGAACTCTGAGTCATGGTCTATGGGACAACGTCAGTTACTTTGCTTAACACGGGCAATGCTGCGAGGTGGGAAGCTGTTGATTCTGGATGAGGCAACTAGCAGGTATGTTTTAGAACTACTTTGACAACCCTGGAAGAGGGATAATGCTAACAATGTTCAACAGTGTGGACCATCAGACTGAAGAGCTGATGCAGGAGATTTTTGATACCGAATTCTCCTCTCATACGATTTTATCTGTTCTTCATCGACTACGGTACATCCATAGATATGATCGTGTCGCTGTTCTCGAGAGTGGGTCACTGGTGGAGTTCGACTCTTCTACTGCATTACTTTCTCGTGATTCGCGATTCGCTGCGCTTTACAATTCTGGAAGTCATTGAGATCGTTATCTCTCAAGTTGAAATTATGTTGGCCACTGGCAATACTCAACTTGAACCTTGGAAGATCTGAACTCATTCCCGAGGTTGAGTCATGCACATGTGATCATGCCAGTGGTTTTGGCTGTGCATTTGGCAACACATACCTATATAGTTCAAAATGTTCTTATTGATAAATCGGAATGAGAAATTTCAATTTGAAACTCACATGTGCAATTGTTTAGTCCTAATATTAGCAGAGCTTAATTCTTCACCTAGAGAGAAGATATCGATATTCGTCCTTCCAAGGTTTCCAACATCGTTCATCATTGATTCAAATTTGAATTAAATACTTTGGAAATCAATATTTTCTTAAGCTACATATGTAGACAGCCATATTTACTCCGATGTGGGATCTTCAACGGGACTACTAGTAGGACCCATTGTAAACAGTAAACTTGGTGATTGATAACATCATTTGAACAGCAATATTTGTCTTTACTTGGAGCTGAAATTCTTAACCACAAGTTCAAACAACAACTTGACTGACCTTAAAGCTATATATTCAGACAAAAGTCCAGCTTAGTAAATTGCTAATATTTGAATCTAGACATCTACTTCCGAGGTTAGATATGTATATATCCACGTGACATATGTTTATCAGCACGTGATGTTGTTTATGAACGCGCGGAATTCAAACTGCAAGAAACATTAGAAATCAATACAACAAGCTCATATCTTGGTTAATTGCTTGTCGATCATGCAATTACTTTAAGAAGGTACTCAATTTTCCAAGGGCCCCAATCCCTGCCTTTTCAACGGCCATGGCGCCTCCAAAATCAGTTCGCGCCCCGACAACGGCCAGTCTACCAAACAACCTCCGTATTCCCTCGACTGCACAATCCTTGACCAAGACTTTGAACAAGCTTTCCCGGCAAGCACTTCTTGATCTTGCCCTCATATGGTTGGACGATCAAAATTTCAAGTCATTTCCACCCTATCTCCAACGTGAAGAAACCAACAACGAATATGAAGAAGCGCTACCATACCCCGCCGCGGAAACCATCGAAGAAGCTCGCCAGGCATACGAAGACATGCAAGAACGAAAAGGCGGCAAGCGCGAAGTTGTCGAGCGAATCTTGGAAGGAGATTGGCGCCAGGGTATCACATTGCGACAGCTCGCTATGGCAGATATCCGGTACATAGAAGACCATCCAGCAAGTTCACGCTGGACAGCTCTGGAACTAGAGCGCATCGATTCAAAACACAAAACTTCCACCAATTCCTCCACCTCAGAAGCTTGGGCTAGCAATATACCCCGAATGCAACCTGCGACATTCGTAAAAGCCCTCCAACATGAGATCTCCTCCTCGTCAAAGCACATTACCATCTCGCCCGTTCCAATACCCTCCCTCTAACCTTCCTCCGAATATTCATCGTGGACTCACCATACCAATCCCCACGACAATCCCATGAAATCTTCGCCGACGCCTCCCGCATCATCTACGTCGCTTTCCCCGATAGTTCCCCATACATCTACACCTCCGTCGCGATCACCACAGGCTCAAACGCAAAACCTATCACATCCTCAAGTTCTATCGCGACGGATCCAAAGAGCCTCCATCGCTTAGTCCGTGAAGCCGTACCGAAAGCTCTCTCAAGACCTCATGAGCGATATACATTAAAGGCTACGGCGCTAGCAACGAAAAACCTTCCTACACTCTTAGCTCTACGTGGAGCAGGACGCTCAACGGCTGCGAATGGCAGCTTTAGTATTTTTGCCGATGCAGCGCTAGAAGGGAGCCCATTAGATCCTCGTCCTTCAAATACAGTTGCTGCCGAGGAACATATGCGTGGTGGACATAAACCTATTAAAGATGAAGATAAAGAAAATAATAGCGAGGTTCATTCGCAGGAACTGCAATTGCCAAGTCATCCTAAAAAACGCCATTCCGGTACAAGTACTGGTATGGATGGATCGATTTCACCATCTTCGAAAAAACGGCGTTTGGCCGTTGACTCGCGCTTTGGGTCGGCCTCGTCTTCATTGACTCCGGCTCCGCTCGATCGTCTGGATATTCGTCTTTTGGATGCGCCGGTGGAGGACCGTGAGAATGATACTCGAACGGGTGTTTTGCCTCCGTTGTCGCTTACTTTCTCTGGCGCGGATGTTATTGGTGGGATTCGGAAACTCGCTGAGCTTGGCGTTGTTGATCCTGAACGTATGCCATCTTGGATGACTGGTGAAGAAGCTGTTAGTATGGCTGTTGTTCGTGGGGAAGAAGGATTCTAATGAAGAACTAGCAGGTGTATCTCTTTTATGCTCGTATTTATATTGCATATGGCGTATTTGGTGCTTGGATTTGGGATTGGTTTGTGATACCCATAAGTGGCCGGCTGATATTGACGGTCGTGAATTTATTCAAATGGATTTTGTTATCCTTCAAGTTTTAGAACATTGCTCTATGCTTTCAGTTTCCTTGTATCATGCTAGTAATAATGAAGGGATTTCAGAAGAGATCAAGACAAGTGAAACTTGAAAAGAATATTATGCACTATGGAAAGTATTGATCGAAATGGCAGAATCAACTTGAAGTAGCACCGAAAACACGCCATCCATTCTATTCGATAACCACGCCCTTGAGAACCAGATAAAAGAAATCCGCCCAGCCTATGCGTAGTAGAATCAATTCCATAAAACGCCTGTTCAAACCATCTCTCACCCTCCTTGCACTGCTGACTTGTCGAGCATAAGCCAGGCTTTCTCGAGGTCAAGTTACTCCTGCTGCCCAGAAGAGTGCGACCGACGGACAGTTGCAGAACGCGAGTAAAGTGAATATTCTGTGATAGGATAGATATTAGTAACTAGCACCAGCTTACACGAATAATGGAAGGAATGTCTGAATACAGAGATGGTCTCGTACCGCGTCGTTCGGGCATTCCGAATTGTGCCCCCACATTGATGTAGCCATCTCGGCCCCGGCGACCACTGATGCGGAGGGTTTCAATGTCATATTCATCCTCGGCAGTCTGGTTATATTTCCATGAAGCACGGCTAGAATGGAACAGTTAGCTTAGGTCAGTTTTCACGGGTTTCATTGTTCACAACTCACCAGTACACACAACGAACACCGGAGTTGCGGGTTGTCTTTGCCCAGTCCGCGAAACACTTCTTGTGAACGTTGTTTCCACATGATGCTTGACACCAGATGATCTCCTCCTTCTTTTCCGGGTCGGTTTCGAATTCCATGAAACAAATGGGACAGTCACCCTCAACAGGCTTCCGGTTGCCTTCGTTGTCCTCAACAACACAGGACTGAATGCGGCACAGAGGAGATCCTTCCCAAATCTCACGAATCTCCTAGGCAGTTTTAGTGTGAGGTCTGTGCAAGTGACATGTCTGATGGGGGAAAACATGGGTCAAGTTACTTACCGAGGACAGGAAGGCTAGCTGGTATTGCAGGTTCGTCGGGGCCTTCAGAGCATGGACAAGAGCTGAAATTGCCATTAATTAGAATCAGTTGTGGAAAAATAGGGAATAAGAATACTGTGGGGAGTGGAGGAGGTAGGAATTACCGTAGCAGATGTGCTTGCACGGCACACGTCTAAACCGAAGATCCGGACAGGTGCACGTTGGCACCTGCCCAACGACGACCTTATACAGGTTCCCGGTTGCCCCAACCACGTCGAAGGAGATCTGGGGCCCGTTATCCTCTTCAGTAAGCTTGCCATTCATGATGAACATACTAGATTCTTGTTAGCCAGCGAACACAGAAGGGGATACTGATACTGGAGGATACGGACTGTTGCATGGCACAACGGTGCATCCGGTCATTAAATGATGGCGAGGGCTCAGTCTGCCATTCTTTCTTGCGCTTCTCAGTGTCGGACGTAGGTCCTTCTACCCGCTCTCGGGCGACAGTTCTGGGAGTTGCAGTTCGGCGCGTCGCAGTTTTACGTGTCGCAGTTTTACGGCCCGCAGGCCGTCCCTTCTTCTTGGGAGCTGCTGCAATCTCGACGCTCACTTCGTCATCACTTGGAGATATTTTTCTCTTGCGCAGAGTTCTTCCAGTCGTAGAGGTGGCTGCCATCTTCTTGGACAGCTCTTGAATCTCATGGTTCGATTTTGCTGTCGCTGAGCGCGTGGTAACCATGATGAGAGATAAATTCGATCAAGATGAGAACCTTGGAGTGGGTGTTCTGAAGAGTTGAGAATTCAAGCAAAGAATTCAAGTAAAGGCAGAGTAGAGCAGCTTCGTTTGTAGAGCTCTGATTACTCAATATTGATATACTGGCAAGGCCTCAGATGGGGAAAAGGCAATCAATGAGGTGTTTTTTTGACGTCACATCGCTGAGACAGCTCAACAATGGGCGAGTCAGACAATTTGTCTCGTGATTTCTCGTATTAAATCAAAGAGAAAGTCAAGAGACAATGGTGGACACGATATTCTTTGAAGAAAGAGTGTCAAAGAGCAAAGTAGCTGCAGACCCATAACTGAAGTTGCGGTCATTACCCGATTTGGTATAGCGCCATAGACTTGGAATTTGAGGAACGCCACCTCTCATCCACACGACAATGATAATGCATCTACATATTATGTCCGATAATTCAATGCAAAAGGGAGAGAAATTTTTGAATATTGCAGTCATATTGTATGGGCTATGACTCAGGTACCAGTGGGGCAATCATTCAAGGTCCAGCTTGAATTTCTAGGCATGATTCCAAGGTTCTAATAGTAGAAAACACAATCAAAGTCATTCTGATTCCAAGGTTGTTTATTTATCAAATTGGAAGGGTTTGAGGCTCCGGGATTAATGGAAGAGGAAATATGCAATCAGCTGACGGTTCTAGAGTATCTTGCGAGCGACTGTTTTCAAATGATGTGGATTAGAATTCTTCACTGAGGAAGTCAACTTGTAAGATTGGGTTGGTTCTGACTTACAAGGAGTACCTTTCATTGTTATATAATGCCTGGCACATCTTCTGCTGTTCTTCCTTATCACGCCTAGAGCCGAAACCCATAGCATTCAGAAGCGCCTCGCTAAAATGATATTCTTGAAAGAATAAACTGGCAAATTCCAATGGCCTTGGATAAAAACCTGCTGATTCCCAGTCCAGTAAACAGATACGGCCATCATCCAACCAAATGAGGTTTCTCGGGGCTATATCCAAGTGGCACAGCACTAATGGGCTAGGATCAAGATGAACCTCTCCATCTCCAGGAAAAAGCCGACTATTAAACCAGTCTTCCACTTGTTAGACACTGCTAATGAATAGATCATTTGTATGTGGCCATATCAAGCCAGTTGACGGGCCACCACCTAGGCTACCGGCACTCTCCGAGGTAATAGAGTGAAAATATCCAAGAATACTGGCGAGTTTTCGAATATGAGATTCTGCAAGAGGATCTACAGTCTTGCCCAGAATAAAATCCGATACCATGTAGCCCCAACCCTCATCGTCCACAAAAAACTTATGAGCCCGAGGGACTATGACGACATTGGGATCAATTATACTGTACGCTTCTTGCTGGTTCTTTGCCTCGTACGAGGAGACATGCCGGCCGAACTTGACTGCTAAGTCATAATTTGGTAGCTCAACGACTCGGTTGCCATACTTCGAGCCTCCAATAAGTTGATCGTCTGGACAAGAACGGCAATAGTCGATGATCGACTGATGATTGTCTATCTGAACGGACATGCTATCAAGATTGAAAGTAGACACAGGCGGAGAGAGTTGAGAAGGGATAGAAACCGATGGTGGTCTCAGACTCTCAGTCGTTTTCGTGCGCATAATGGGCTTAAAATAACATCCAATCAGAACTCGCATGACCTAGCACACTCTTCATCAATATAGCGTTTGAGCAATTATTGAAGATACTGGACGTGATGTGGGATTAAATCTTTCTGTCTGTATCTTTCCAATTAGGATCTCACTTTGCTCTCAGTATCATGAAGAGAGTAAGAAACAGATGGAGAATCGTTGAAACATATGGCGCTAACTGAAACAAATAAAGCTAAGCCCAATATAGTAACTCACCCACTATGGAGAGGTGGGTCTTTATGTGTTTGCACTGTTTGTCTGAGGTTATCGCTATCAGCGCATGGCATCATTCAACTGCTCAGGTTACCAACTAAGATGACTTGCTGAGAGTGCTTAATCGACCTTACGTTTCTCAGCCAAACACTACAATATCACATCTATGGCGCGTCCTCGAGCTTTGTCAGGGGCAGATGCCCCCAAGGAACCTCACGCAGTCTCCCTGAAAGGTAGGCAACTACGGGCGCAAATGACCTACGGGCTAACCCGAGACTGACCTTGCAATATAGTCTTACGGTAATTGTCTCGTTCAGTTCAGTTTACATTGAATACATCGCAATCCTGACAACCTCCAGTCTCTCCCGACCTTCTTTGTCTTATCAATCCCCTCTCCCTACTGCGAATACCAAGATCTCCCCCAAAGCGTCACTCAGCCACCCCTCCGCCGGTTTCGATGACCGATTTATCATAACACCTATCGTGGGTCGCTTAAATATAAATTGTCTACCTTAAGAACCACCATGTCTCACTATAGCAATAGCTTACCCTTCCCCCGGCATTCGGCTCTGTCTACGTTGGAGAAACATTCGCTTGTACCCTGAGCGCGAATAACGAAATTAACGACGATGAGCCCGGGCGGATCGTGACATCAGTACGCATTGTGGCGGAAATGCAAACGCCTTCCTCCGTGACATCTTTAGAGCTCGAGCCATCGGGCGATTCGGCACAATCAGATGGGCTGCAACTCGGCGAGTCATTACAAAAGATCGTTCGTTACGATCTCAAGGAAGAAGGAAACCATATTCTTGCTGTTAGTGTGAGCTACTCGGAGAATAAAATCGGGCAGGATTCACAGGCCGCCAGTGGTCGAGTCCGCACTTTCCGCAAGTTATATCAGTTCGTCGCGCAGCCTTGTCTTAGTGTTCGGACGAAAGCATCGGAGCTGCCGCCCTTGGAAGTAGGAAATAAGTCCCTTGGTCCGTACGGGAAAACCCGACTAGTCCGGTTTGCCTTGGAGGCGCAACTGGAAAATGTGGGGGATGGACCGGTTGTGGTTAAGGTAAGGAATGCATCGGTCTTGTCGGGCATAAATAAATGCCCGTTTCAACCAAGCCCGCCCAGACTAAATAAGATCCTCCTTGGCTTACGTACACCTCACAGCAAACCCGATTAAATCCCAAACCACCCTTTAAATCCCAGTCGCTGAACTGGGATGCGTTGGATGAGGCATCCGTTCCTCCGACATTAAACCCGCGCGATGTATTGCAGATCGCTTTCTTGGTAGAACAGGAAGATGGCAATCATGAGGGCCTGGAAGCTCTCCAGAAAGATTTACGGCGGGAAGGCCGCGCCACCCTGGGCCAGTTGTCGATTGAATGGCGCGGCGCCATGGGGGACAAGGGGTTCCTGACTACCGGCAACCTAATGAGTCGGAAACGTACATGAAGCACGGTGTGAGCCTGATGGAAGTGTCTCCGGTGTTGTGTGACGGACTACTAGCCGGATCCCCGGTGCAAATAGCCGTTCTGGTTGCAGGACACGAGCGTGCTAATGGCTGGGGAGGGCAGAAAGGATTATTTGAAACGATAAGATTATGTACATACAATAATTTGTCAGGGTGAAACAGACCCGGGTGTGTCTTTGGTTGCAAGACTATGTTCCCCTTGCAGGCCTAGAATATCAATTGGTGTGTTGGCATGAACCTACACCGACAAACAACCGCGATAGCCACAACTACCAATCTGAAGTATTATTACTCGGTACTTGGTATATGGAGTAATCTAGAACATCAGAATGATCTAGATTTGAATTAGGCACACGATAAGTGGGGTCATTAAATTGAAGGCCTTCAAGTTCATTTAGGTACATGACTTGTGTCTACCGAGCCGCAACCTACCCTAGCGCCACCAGCACGGGATCGGAAAGCGGCTTCTGCCATGCAGCTGCTTGTTTTGAAGTCATACAGCAGGGGTAACGCAGAGTCAAACCTTGAAAGAGAATGAACTATGTACTCAGAGGCGGTGGAAACCTCAAGTGCTGGTATAGGTCTTATCTACGGAGTACACCACCACGTACTCGATAGCCCTGGTTCTAGACAGAGATGTACAGTTACTTTCCCAGGTTCCCCTGGAGTTCAAATGTTCTAGATGCTGTATTTCCACGTTACTCCATACTACTAATACACCCAGGTGCCAGATGAATATCATCAACAAAGGACAAGTTGGGTATAAAGATCCATAGAGTCTAGACCCATCACCTGATATGGATCCAGCCCACTGGGATTTTCAGCTCGGCTCCACGAATCTAGATCATGATAATAATAAACACCTAAGTTGTTTTACACTCCTATTCAAATGTTGTTATTCTATTTTTACTTTTTTTTGACCATTTGAAACCTATAAGGAGTACAGATCCACATCATAAGAATAATAATATTGCTATGCTAGTGCAGTATGAAGAATCCAGGAGAAAGGCTTATCGCCCACCGCTTCTTAAGGCCGAAACAGATGCAGGTTGGGATAACCTTACCGTAGTCCTGAATCGTATGCAGATAGTCCAAACTTGAACTAGACTCTGACACGCCTCCACGTAAGGTTCACCTGCAGCCACTTGGTGTTACGGTGGCGGGCGGGCTGAAGCCTGGCGTTATGATACTCTCCGCCAATCGGGAGTCCAAGAAGACACGGACATAATGTACGGCATGGAATGTAGACTGAGCTAGGTAAGGGGGATTCAAGATTCAAGGTGTCCAAGTTGTTAGAATAGGTCTTTGTGTACGGAGTAAATAGTGTTGAATCATGAAGTACCCCGTACCCGTCCGAAAACTTCGTAAACGCGGTCGTTGTCAAGGATGGGAAACTATTCCGCACCCTTGTCCGTATCGATACAGAAGAGGAGTCCATCAATGGGCCATCATGCACGGCCAGAATTTCACGCCCCTCAGTGATCCACTTTGGGCTGGCTTAGGTAGGGATCGGCTCCCCAGGCACAGGCCTCCACTTGACTCCTGAGTCAAAGGTTATAGACTCAGACTCAGGAGTACGAAGTTTTCAAGGATAAACTGGATCAGGAGTTAGTGTGTAGAGAAATTGTATGAATTGAGGTAGATCTGAGGGATCATCCACTATAAATCAATAGGATCCATGGATTGGATTATCATCGGGATAATCATGAACATGTGTAGGAACTTGAAATCGGTGATATGCATGCAACTCAGCTTTGGGAGTCCCCGACCAGTTTCCCTCTTTACACAACTTTCCGTTTCTGGATTTAAATTCAGAATCAAATCAAAATCTGCAAAAACTGGAAAATACATACCTATCAAAGTAAGACTAACCCGGGTGCCACTGATGTAAGAATTAATGCCTTTGTACCATCAACTTGAACCCATGCAATAGATCAGCGACTCTAAGAACGCCATGTCTCACACTCAGCCAAAAAAGAGTAGAAATCATCGTCATACTCCTATAGTATTCGTGTCAATCCCGCCCCCAAGAGGTGTGATAGCAGTGTCCGAGGCCCTGATGAACCATTGAGAGTTGCCTTAGGGCGCCGTTAAAGGATTTCCAGGGGTTGCATTAGATCCATGCAAATGAGTCGCTCGGTAAGCACCTAACTAGGCATGAGCAGGTGGGCGCTGATGGATTCTTTATGCATGGAAACCCTACTGGGTACCCGCCCCCAGGAGTTAGAGAAGTTTGGGTACAATGAATCTGTGTGGATGGATTTCAAAGAAAGTGTGTGAGCCAAGTATGGGCCGATTGAGCTCCACTCGAACCGATCAGCTCACCAGTATAAATCGGTGGTAGGTTTTTTCTTGGTGGAGACCAATCGCGGAGGTTGCGGTTCTGGGCGATTGGATTGTTCGAAATAGAAAGCATTGCGTGTACTCTGTACTCCGTACACAGTGCATTGAGTAAAAGTACCGAAGGCGGAGTTCAGTTGTGGGATTTTCATATTGAAGTTTCTGGGACAGCCATGTTATATTGTGTCAAATCGCTCTAATGTTCTTTGATCCGCAATAATTGAAATCCCGAGTGCCTGGAATCCCTTTGAGAGACCCAGTCACAGTGCAAGTGGCCTGCAGGATGCTCTCCCGTGTCACTTTTGTATCACTGAGTGATCTTCATAAGCTCGGACCAACGGGAATATAATGGTTCTCATGGGGAAGGATTCGACGTAATGAAATAGAGTGATTTTAGATTGACCAAGCAGGTACAGGTACATGTAGCCTAGTAGGAATGCCCTAAGACGGGAGTGGAGAAACGAGGTGTGCGTGTGCAGGAAGCTAATAAGTACAGGTGCAGCAGACTTAGTTCCAACTAGTAACCGCATTACAGAGTACGCAAACATCCTTATACAGAGTAGGTAGATAATAAAAAAAAAAGGAATAGTAAGACATAGTTTCAACTTAAAGTGATGACTCGGATTTTGATATGATTCAAATAATTAAAAGCAACTATCTATATTATCTAGATGATATACACTTAAAATGCTTATACTTCTATAATCTTATAAAGTACAAATTCCGTGCAGCTTCTCAATTCACTGTAATAATTCCCCACATTCTTTCTGTGCTTTGTTTTTTTTTCTCTTTCTTTTTTATTTATTTTATTTTTCTCTATTTTCTTTTCTTTTTTTAATATTCTTTTTCTGTACCTGCGGGGGTTCTTTAGAATCTACTATTTTCTTTGGGGGTCTTTTCGTCATATATTTCTTCTCCTTTTTTTTTTTCTTCTTTCTCCCGTCGATACATACAAACCCACCCCAAAATTGATCTTCACTCCTAAACCCCTCGCCCCTCCTCCGTTCCGACTTTCTCCTCAACCCCCCCAATTTGTCAATATCTTCAATCGATTTATTCTACATTCCTAAACATCTGTACTTTCGTGTCATTCCACTTTTTTTGTGGGAAAACCCAGAATTCTCGCTTGATCTCTCCCCGCGGTTCCGAAGTTCCCCCCGCGCACCGCACGTTTCTTTCTACTATCCGGCCGATTAGTCCACCCCCTGATTGATAAAAAAAATTGGAACTTTTTTTTTGCATTCCATGCGGTGATAAGTGCGGTGGTCTACGGTGGAAAATTGACCTGACAGGGCGATTGGTCAACTGCGACAATACATGATGCCTTCACCAAGTTCCCTAGAGGGTGCTCCTTTGGCTGATTACTTTTGGATTGCTGGTTTAGATGGCTCTGAGGTCTTTGAGACATATAAACGGCTAGGTGATGAATATCGGATCAATGGTGCAGCTTCTCCAGGTCCGGCCCTCACCGATGCTATTCAAGAAGATGCAGATGCCGAGGAGGAAGATCCCGATGGAACATCCCGACCTGCTTCGACTTTATTCATGGGAAATAGCCGGCGTGCCTCTCAACAAAGACTATCTACACTCTCTCGTGATTCGGGTCAGACCAATGGAGCGAGTAGTAACCGTAGTAGTGTTACAGTTAAGGGCGCGTCATCGCCATTGCGTGCCTCTGCGCTGTTTTCCGAGGATTTTGATTTTGATCAGGCGCTGATCAAGTTCGCGTCGGAGAGAGATACCTTCTTAACGGATTTGAATGTCAGCGCCGGCGCTATCACTCAGAATTCGCGACCGCGATCCCGCGTACGTACTCAGAAGATTGTCTCCGAGGATAATCAAGGCTCGCCTGGTCTCCTTCGATCCGGTATCGGGAGTGTTCGTCGACACATGGCATTCCGGGATATGAATAGTATGAAGAGACAGCCTTCTATTGCTCGGCATGGTGAGTTTACATTCGTTCTTACTTGTTGAAGCTTTATTATTGCATTGGGTAGCTTGACTATATAAGGTTAAGTATAGTAGAGTTTTGCTAATGTATGTCCTTTCAGCTTCGGTGCGAACCTCGCGACGACTCAGCAATTACAACTCGGTGATCCCAGTCCCTCAACCGCTCGAATTCTCTCCCTCCATGCATCCATTGAAACGGCGATTCGAACCCGTCTTGTTAGACAGATACCCTACCCGAAACATGAGCGAGGAGCTGAAAGTCCGAGGAAATTTCCCAGACTATGTCCCTATGTTCGCATTCCCGAATGATATCAATATTGTATCCTCCGATGAGCGGCCAAGATCGACATGGCACGGATTCGCTATGACAACGGATAATGGGTCAAAGCTTCATGCAATTTGCGTCATCATCTGGATTCCTTTGAATTCACAGGCCGCTGATGAACTTGAAAAGCGGTGCGAGGAATGGCGGAAGGACAACATGACAGATGAGGAGCGTGAGTTGGCAGCAAGTTTGGGAGAGCGATTGGCCTCTGAGCGTGCGAAGCTGTCGCAGCTTCTTGCCCAGCTGCCTACCGTGCCATCAGGGTCTGAATCGCGTGAGCAGCTGGAGGATGAAATCAGCGCAGTCGAGGAGAAGATTGGTCTCATGACAGATCTGTTACGTCCGGTCCGACATGGCGCAGCATCAAAGATCGAGGGTCTTACAGATGGTGATACTGGATTTTGGATTCCCCGTGCATACGGTATTCTGGGCCGAGAGAGCACAATGACCACTTTTTGGAAGGAATGGTTGAAGGCTATTGTTGTTCCAATGACTGAAAACTCCGTTCAGCGCGTCCCGCCTAGTTCTCCGCGGATGGGCGTTTGGCAGCCATTGGAGCGGTATGTGATGAACCTTTGCACAGAGGCCTTCTGCCCAGTCTCCTCTAAAACACAAGTCGAGCTGGCAATCCGAGAGTTACGACTGTTTGCTCGAAAAGAAGCACCCAATGAACTCCCTGGCTCTCGAAACACTGACCTCTACGCCTTGTTCCGAACCCTCTCGGTTCCCAATATCATCATTTTGTTTGAGTACGCTCTCACAGAATCACGGATCATTTTTCTCTCCTCCCATACCTCCATGCTTTATCTTGCGACAAGAGCCCTGGTCGATCTTCTTTTCCCCATTGAATGGCCTGGTGTGCTGATTCCAGTTCTCCCGGCGCGATTGGTCCAGGCGATTGAAGCGCCTTGTCCTTATATCGTTGGAATTGAACGTCGTTATGAGAAGGTTGAATTGCCCACCGATGACTTTGTTCTAGTGGATTTGGATGCCGACATGATTGAGAGTACCTTGCGCCCAACGCCGCTCCCTCGTCACCAACGGAAAAAGCTCCTATCGCTTTTGCAATTAGCTGCTCCTCTCCACACCCGCTGCGGTGTCCCCACCGGGCCGCCAGCGTACGCGATTGAGACATATCCTTGGGACTCTTTCTTGACGGAATCCCCAGCTACTTACACCGCTAAGGCGCCGCCAACTAACCTCGCTAAGTATGTGGGACTCAATTCCAGCGCCTTTGGCTCGGCTGCTGTTGTCCCGAACTCTTACCATCCTCCAATTTTCAATGCTTTCCTCCATGCCCGTCATGAGCAGGCTACATCTCGGGGCTTTTCATCCAAGAGTCATGAACGTCCTGGAACTAGCAGAGCCACCGCATCTCCACCTTCTCCCCGTGAGAGCTCTCCAACATCAGGGTTCTTTCCCCCGCCGCCTCCGACGCCTTCGTCGCGGAATGACTCCGGTATGGCTTTGCAAGCATCGCTGCGAGAGAAACGGTCTGGACACTTCGATGCTGCATCTAGGAGAAGCTCTTCGTTTGGCATGAACCGGCGTCCCAGTGCTCCCTTCCTGGGACATACATCTAATCTTTCAGTCACAACCCTGAACACCGATTACGGCGCTGGTTCAACCTATGCACCATCGGTGTACGCCCAATCCACCATTGCTGCGTCCACTATTGTTCCGCAAGCCACTATGCAGCCAGTGGGTAACTCGGAGGGCACGTGCTGGGTTGAGGGCCACTTGTTCCAGATTCAGCCGTTTGACGAGAAGATGGTGTGTACAATTTGCGATGAGCGAGCTGACGAAGGAATGTATAAATGTTCTGCCTGTAAGATGATCGTCCACAATCGTTGTGCCACTCAAGTCTGCCTTGTGTGTGATGCCGCTTTCCACGCCGATCAGGTTCGCGCGGCATTCGTCAGATGTTTTGCCAGCTTGTTCTATACGTACAAGAAGTACCTTGTACCAGCAAGCGGCGACAAGAAGAAGGCTGGAATGTATTACACATTCAATGTCGAGGCTTTCATGAAGAGTCTTCCCCATGAGCATGCAGAGTACATTGCAATCCTCCAGCAGACTCAAGGTAAGTCACACATCAGTCTCACTAACTAAGTAGCAACTGATTGACGTTAATTAGGCTTCAACGAATTCATTGCCGAGCGAGAGAGAACCAGCCCCAAGGATAAAAACTCCAAGATGGCTCTTTTCGATGAAATCGTGTTGTCCAAGCGCAACCGTGGTCGTACATCGATCTTCTCTGGTCGGTCCACCACAGATTTCCTGTCCGATACCTCGAATCACCTGTGGCGGACTGCAAACGCCACATTTTTCGCGCCCACCAGCCGCAGTCAGCAGAATCTCTCGCAGGACTACAGTCGCATCAGTACCCGAGGTGAGAAGAAGTCTACCTCCAGATATCAATCCCCAGGCACCAGCTCACAATCCCTCAACAGCCCCGGCCAAGTTGGACACAAGTCTGATGAAAGAACCCCGCATGATCCATGGAGCTCCCCGGGTTTCCAAGACGGCAAATACTGCCCGCAGGAAACCGCTACCTAAGCTGATGAATGGTCTGGCGATCTCTCCGCCAAGTTAATTGGTGTGAATTCTCGAGAGATCATCCGGACCATGCTTCTAACTCGCTGCAACCTCGATTATCTCCCTTCCCACACATAACCCCCGTGTGACCTAACCTCCCTTATCCTCATGAAACATGAGAGTCCGATTCTCACCTCGGACCCGAATTTCCCGAGGTTAAGACCTCATCCATGTCCAATGGAATCGAAAATTCATGGATACTTCCCGTCCTGTCCGTCTGGGATGTATGTGTCTCCGGAAAGACAGTCCGCTGGCCGGGCTGAACCTTTTCAACCTGATTTTCCTCAAATGTCGTTGTTTAGCCCACCTTGATCATCCCTGTCATACTACTCTTTTGCGCCTGGTACATGCTTTATCCCGCAGAACCAAGCCTTCCAGATGACCTGACTAATTAATCTCTTTACCTCTCACATCTTGACTCTTATCATTCATCTGTCTCATTCGCTTTGGATATTTGCGCCATTTTACTGGGATTCGCGTTTTGATCTTCTCGATACACCGCTGTTTTTCTGGGCCACCTTTCCTCGTACATAGTGTTCTCTCCGGCTTGATACCCCAGTTGAAATGCACAAAGCCCAAAAAGTGTCGGATTGATTTATTCGCATGATACATTGTTTGATTTGGTGGGCTGATCTTTGCAAAAATTTCTTGATTTATTTTGGACGCCGTGATCTTTTTGTTTCTTACCCAATACCCCCTTGACTCGGCTGGTATTTTTCTCTCGTTTTTTTTCACGTACAGTGGGCGGTCAATATTTTATTTTAGTATATCTTTTTTTTCCTTTCTCAATGTTGTGTTATGATACAATGGTCGATGGTCACATCGGGTGGATGTCTACACGGCGATAGGATGAAATTCCTGTCTTGGATGTTAATGATGTATCTTGTGAATATGGAAATTTAGTGCCAGTGGTGATTATGTTGACTTGTTCATAGATTGTTGAAGGATTTTGTACTATATCATATTGAACAGTGGATGCGAATACTAGGAAGGATTGCCATTGCTCGAGTTCAAGTTCAAGTTCATATATATACTAGGTAGTAGACTTGTTGATGCACATCAATTGATGTGTAGTGTGGTGGCTTTCGCCTAAACTCCGTTTCATCCTATCATTGCCAGTGCACCACACGCCATCCCATTTTGGGCCTATTACTGTATCTTCTTGAACCACTCAGCTTAGAGAATTAGCACTGTCCTGCCTGAATGGATTCAGTGGATAGCTCGGAACAGATTGGATCCACCTGGGCACCTGGGATTTCTACTAAATGGAGATTTTCCCCGTATCAGATTAGAGATAGTATGCTGGTTGTTTTATGTAGGTGTCCAGTTTAAACTGCAATGCCAAGATTATACTTGAATTTTTTGTCCTACCAATATATTTGAGTAAATATGGAGACTGGATCTACTAGTAAATCCTGGGGTTCAAGTTAGGGTTGAGAATCTAGTATGTACTACCTACATAGTCTAAGCACCAGAGAACACTATTCTTCCGAATATTCTTCCCCCTCTAAATATTTTGAATTCATGACTTTAATCCTTAATACTATTATAACTTTCATTATTTATCCCATGTAATCCCACTCATCTCAGTCTCTCCCCTAAACGGGAAGCTCTCCGAGATGCCCCAGAATGATGATCTACTCTATGATTGGCGGAGAAATGCTTCCCCGAGTCTTCCCCCCCGCGCCCCCGGATGGATCCTCGAAAGTGCACATCGGGAATGCCATTTCTTCCAGCTCTCTCAATGTCGCACTGTATGCCAATCGATACTTGGCCTTGCCGGTCTCCCCGTATTAAACTCTATCCACCGTGCGAATCTCGAATTGACCTGATTTTGTTCCGAAATCCGCTAATACACTGCCCCCCCTTAGGTTCAGTGTGGCTCAAAACTTGAACCCTTTACGGTCTATGTGACGCGGATACAACCTTCTCTTTGATATTCGTGGTTTCATTCTGACCAACCCCCTTTTTCTCTCCCGCGGGATTTCATCGTTAAGCCCTGTTGTTTCGTGGCTGAAAAGGTTGTTCAAAATCTTGACTTACCTCTCGTCTCGCGTGACTCTTTACTATCCGAGCTCAACGGCGCTTGTCAACTCAACTATGAAAAAGCCGAGGTCTGCTATGCGATGATGCCCACTGCCCTCCCGCCCATGGCGACACCGCTGCTTAATGAGACTGCCGCCGTCTCTGCGACGGCTATACCGGTTGCCGGTCCTCCTCCAACAAACAATGCTTCGTCCGTTCTCAATATTGCTTCGATAGTCGAGACTCCTGTGCCCGAATCGTCGAATCACTCAAATGGAGCTCTGCCTTCATCTATCGATCCTCCGTCCCGTACCGTTGTGATTGTGTTCCGTCCGACTCAAGAGCATATCGTGCACCTGGTAGCAGAAGTGCTTGGGAAACCGTGGACAACAGAGACATCTCTGGCAACGTTGACCAAGGCCAACGATGCGGTTGTGGCTGGAGTTTTGGCACACGATCTGGTACACAGTTTAGAGGGATGCGATAGATCGACTCTGGTATTGGTCAATACACATTGTGTGGAGGATGGATCTGCACCCGAGGACCAGTTATCCGAGATCTGTGATTACGAGTTCCTATACTCACATAGTCTTTTCCTGCGACGCTATTTAACTCGTTTCCTATCGTTGATTCTGGGCCAGACGAGACCGCATGAGGATCTCCGTACTAAGACTCGGACCAATTTTATCTCGACTACCTTCCCGGATGTACATGCTGCTTTACCGAACCTCGATATCCTCTCGGTTGGGTCGGATGCGGTGGAAATTCGTGTGGATTTGTTGGTTGAGCCGACATTGAATGGAGTACCGGTTGGCTCGGTGCCTAGTCTGAAGTATGTGGGTCAGCAATTGATGCTACTGCGCCAGCACACGGAGTTACCGATTATATTCACCACGCGATGCAAGAAAGAAAATGGGAAATTTCCCATGGATGACCCTGCTCTGTTTTACAAGTATTTGCGACGGGCGATCCAGTGGGGTGTCGAGTACGTGGATGTTGAACTATGGCTTCCAGAGGATATTCGGCGGCGCTTGGCAGAGACAAAGGGTCACAGTATCATCATGTCGGCCTTCCATGATTTCTCCGGATCATGGAAGTGGACTTCGCCTGAGGCCCAGCGGATCTTCACGGAGAGTGCCAAGTATGCCGATATCGTAAAGATGATCGCTATGGTTTCCACAATCGAAGCAAACTACGAGCTCGAGTATTTCCGCTCAACAGTTAAAAACCGTGGACCAGGCCCCTTGTTATCTGCGGTCAACATGGGTCAAATGGGTCAACTTTCCCGTGCGCTTAACACCGTCTTTTCTCCTATTACACACCCTCTTCTCCCCATGATTGCCGCGCCCGGTCAACTGACCGCTGCCGAGATCAACGAGGCGTTACACATTATGGGGCAACTACCCAAGCGAGATCTCTACGCGATTGGCTCATTCCGTGCGACGCCACACTCAATGTTCATGGAGAAATGCCTGAATGAACTAGGCCTCCCGCATACATTTAGCTCGATTGATCGCGGCCCTAAGGGCACAATGGAATCCGTCATCTCGCAACCCCAATTCGGTGGCGCCTCAGTCAACCCGCCAATACCCAGTTCCACAGTCTATATCCCGTCGGTAAGCGACGCCGCGCGAGCCATCGGCCTCGTCGATACCATTGCCATGCGCCCCACTGCAGAGGGACCGAACGGGAACGGAACATCCCTGATCGGCGAGAACACCGCATGGAAAGGGATCCGGTCCACCTTAACAAGGGACTACGTACCATCCGCGTACCGGCGCCGCGCAGCAATTATCCTCGCTGGATCCGAAACAGATGCGTCAGCCGCCATCTTCGCGTTACGCAGTCTTGAAGTTGGGCCCATTTACACGGTCGGCTTTAAAGCGGTTGGTCCCCTCGCTGTAGGTCTTGAACCGTTTACATCGATTCAGTCGGTGAAACTCGTGGAACAACCCTTTGTTATCGTCTCGGCGTTACCACCGGAGAAATCGCTACTCGTTCAACCTCTTTTACGACATTATCGTACGAATGGTCGCTCTTCGCCACCTTCGACCCGTGGGAAGGTTTACCTTGATTTGACGACTGGATCTAGGAAGGGTGACCCGCTTGGTGTGGCTACTAGTGCTGGGTGGACGGCGTATGGATCGGAGGATGTTAGTGCGTGGACTACGGTGGAAACGTTGAGATTGTTGGTTGGGCAGAATGTGCCGTTTGACTTTGTACGAATGGCTTCTGGGCGTTCTCTGTTTTAAATTGTTTGTTTTGGTCTCATCTATTATATCCTTATATAGCACTAGGTAGTATACACTGTAGTATACTCAGCGCTGGCGGTGCAATAGATCAATGTTGGCATTGGCGTGGGTTGGAATTTCATGTTGATCAATATTTCTGTCATACTAGCAATCAATATCGCAAACCATTCAAGCCTGAGATTACCCCAAGTCGCTATAGTACCTTGCATCAAGTATTCAAGTTCTAGGTTACGATCTCCACTGCCGGTGGCAGGTCATTAGTTCAAGTTGACGCAATTTCATTTGCCAAGGAACCATTCAGAACAAGACGCGGTCGGGTATTTTGAATGCATCAGGATTCATGTCTTGCGTTGTGGCTGACCTACTACCTGACCCAAGTTAACGGCGAAGTCCGTGCAGACCCTCGGCTGGATAAATGCTTATATCCCCAGAGTTGCATGGAAAAGTCTCTTGATGATCCTGCATGCAGGAGGGTGATTCCTCTGCAGAACTGCAGGGCCCAGGACCAAAGCTCTGCGGGGATTGTTCCAGGGCAAGAAAAGATGACCCAAATCAGTAAGTACTTTGTACAAGCGAAGCAAGCTATAGCTAGACAGGGTTAGTTTCCGTTTCTAAAACAGTAGCTTGCGCCGTCGATCGAGTATTCCTACCTGGAAAAAGTGTTCTTTCCCCCCGCCGGACGCCTCTTTTCTCTACCTTGGGGGCTGTTGGGGTTTCATCATGCCCGATCTGGGTGTGCAGAATAACAAGGAGGTAATGTGGGGTTAGAATCAATTGAGAAAGGGGGTCAGGTTCTTGAAATTTAGTATTTTGTGCCTCGTGATGTTTCGAGTGAGAACAATTGACAGGGATGTGTAATTCACTAGACACCTCGGGACTCAATAGCGAGCCCTAACGGCGCGGGGGAATGTAATAAAACGGGAATCAACCCCGAAGGCTGAGTCTCCACTGAATTGTAAGGGTAATGAAATGGTGGGGTCTGGGGGAAGATGGAAGTTATTGTACTCATTCCATGAGATTAATTATATAGGAGTAAAGAGATAAAATGAAGAATCAAAGGATAAAACAAATCAAACAAACAAAACAAAACAGACAAAACAGACAAATAGATCAAACTTGTGACAAAAGACAAAGTAATAGCGGGTCTCATAATAGTAACTCCGGCGGCACTTCTCCGCATTTTCCCCTTCTCCACAACTTTTCTCAAAGGGCCCTGTTCTCCCCCAGATTTCATTCTGATTCAGATTGGCTGATTCTGGTTCAATTCCTTTTTTCGTTCTTTTTTCCCTCCATGTATACATTGTAATCAATGTGACGATGTCTCGTCCTCAGGTCAGCATCGACCGTCTCACACCCCGCCGAGCGACGGTAGAACCACGCGAGGCAATGAACTGCAAATCCTGTCGCAAAAGAAAGGTACGACCATGCGCAAGTCTAGAAAAAAAGGGTCTTATCGGATAACTAACTCTTTATTTGATTTTTCCAGATCAAATGTAATCGTTTGCGACCAAGTTGCGAGGCCTGTAAGGTCTTTCAATGCGCCTGTGTCTATGGTGAGTTCGCGGAGAACCGTCGCCCGCCGATCCGTGGTCTGATCATCTCCGCTTCAAGATGCCATCCCCAAAAAAAGAGGTCCCAAGACAGACGTCCTTGAAGCCTTACTCAAGAGAGTCGACGGATTGGAGAAAAGACTTCAAGATGAGAAAAATCCTATTTCGCCTACTTCCCCCGATACTATCCCCGAACATCTCCCTTTAAGCCAGCCAAATGGCCGCCGAAATACCATAGAAGCTACCCCGTTCAATCCATACCCACCTCCAGAATCGCGACCGTCTTTATCAATCCCTCGGGCACAACAGCCAGAGACTTTCTCGAGACCATCAGGTCATGTTCCGTCGAGGAGCTTGTCACAACCCTCTCAGGCTCAAAATGGCGTTTTGTCTGAAATCCTCTTGGATGCCTATTTTACAAGGTTACATGGTAAACCGTTCTTCGTTATGGATGAGTCAAGTACAAGACAGCGACATCAGTTGAATCAGTTGCCCGCGCATTTATCTATGGCTATAGCTGCTATGGCACTCAGGTATGTTGAATGAATCAGCGGGGGAGTTCATGTCAGCTAATGGGATTTCAGATATACGCATACATTCGGTCAACCGGAGCAATCGCTTCATGTAGGACTCGATGCTGCTTTGCAAGCGCGGCGCATGGTAGATGTGGATAACCCTACGCTAGAAGGGTTACAAACTTTGCTCTTGTTGTCGCAGGCTTTCTTTGCCTATGGACTAGGGAAGAAAGCATATATGACATTCTGTATGTGGACCCAACTCCTTTGGTATAATTTGATCGCTAATTGTAGTAGCAAACTGCGTGGCTATGGTCGTCGCATTGGATCTTTTCCGTGAGCTCCCGTCCAAAAGCAATGTGTCACTTTCGGAGCGAGAGGTCAGACGTCGGTTGTTTTGGGCGGTTTACCTCATGGATCGTTTCATTGTTTGTGGCTCACGTCGTCCATGTCTCATATCCGATCATTCCATCGTCTTGCGTCTTCCTTCATGGTCGCCCCATGCGGCAGGTCTTAACATGGAGGGGGAGCTCTTCCATGTTGGTCCTAATATTCAATATTCTGCAGACTCGCGCCGGAAATCCCCAAGCGCGGCGTCGCTGCTCATTGATATCACGCGCATTCTTGGTGTCACTAACCGGTATCTGGCTGCTGGTGGTGTCAAAGGAGATTCTCATTTCCCTTGGCATGCGCTTTCCAATCTATCCAAGATTCGTCAGGAGCTGGATATTTGGGCAGCGGGAACTCAAGATGTCTTCGCCTCCATCGAGGCACTGTTTGGGCACCCTGAAAGTACGACTCTGCTACTAAGCAAGCTGATATACCATCTGGTTCACTGTCTACTTTACCGCCCTTTCTTACCAATCGACCTCGTGGAATTGAGAGGGACTGGGCAGCACCAATCGTGGCAAATTGAAGCTACCAATCTGTGTTTTTCCCACTCGAATGCGATTGCAGAGCTCGTTGAATTGGGCCGCAACTCTCCCCTGGTTGAGTGGCCCGCTTTTGTCGGCTATTGTGTGTGCACCGCGGGCACTGTTCATGTCCATGGTGTTCACTACAAAGGCCGCGAGGGCGAGGTCTTTTCATCTAGTGCGGAGTTTTTGACTCGAGAGATGCATCAGTTGACATGGCTACGAAACGCTTGGGCAGGTGTACAACATCAACGCGAATTACTGCAGACTATTTATACCTCGCATGCAGAACTTGTTCGCAATCTTGCGAGTAGCCCAATGCGTTTCTCGCCGGTCTTTCATCTTGAGGACTTCTTGGACAGATACCCTGGCCTGACGGTGGATGGAGCGCATGTTCGACTGATAGATTCAGGCGATGAACTACGCCCAAGGTTTGTAGCTTACGCTCTTCTCATTTCTTCTGATCTTTGTCCAAGCTAACTTTCCACATCAGCATCCCCAGCCTAGTCGATCGTCAGGATCACTTTTATGCCCGGTCTATGGGTCCTCCCTCATACGGCAGTCAAGGCTTCTTCCCCAACACAAAGCCAACGCCACCTCCCTTCCAGTCCACGCAAAGTCCCGAGTCCGACCGACATAACTCCGCGTCTCATGGAGGAACGGGTAAATCAAATAATCACCCACCATCCCTCTCTCCAACAATCCAATTCCACCAAACACCCAGCCAGTCACAAGCATCACCGACTCTCTCATCCATCTTCCCTGTTCAAGGAACCACCGATATGTCACCTACATCAACAGTACCACACGCCGACCACAGTCACCTCGGCCTCCACAATGCCTTCTCCCCATCAGCCTTTGGCCTCTCCCCACCAGCTTTCTTAACCGACCCATCACTAAGCATAGCCCCAACTCCACCCTCAAACCCTCAATACGCGACCTTTCCCTTCGACGCTATCAATATGAATCTCAATGGAGTTCCCGGCACTACTGCCCTAACACCAGGCGCACAATCACAGACTAGTGGATCCCACACAGCTGGCAGTGAAACAGGGAACCTGGAGAAAGACCCTTTCCTCAGCTTACTGGAGCAACTCGCCAAAAACGAAAACTCACAGGGTGGGCCTAGTGAGCTGGATTTCTTCTTAGCGGGTGCAGTGGATACGGATGATCCTGCTGCGGGTACTGTTGATCAAGAAAAGATCGGAGGAGAGCTTGCATGATTGGGTTTCTGTATAGGTGTGCTTGAATGCTTATTTCCTGCCAAGATTGAACCTTTTCTTAGTTCAGCTTGGCGGGTGTGGCTATTGGGTACTTGGTGTATAAGCTTTGGTTTTGGTGCTTGATTTGGTTTGATATTGCCCAGTGATGGATACCCAAAATTCTGATGAGAGCATTAGTTTTTCGTAAATACTTTATTTCTTGGATATACTTGTTATCGGGTTTATTATCATTGCATTGCATCATAAGGATTGCATACTCTATGAGTCTCAACATTACTATCTTAAAAAGAAAACATGAAATAAATCTGAAATACTTCAAAATAATTGAATTGAACAAGATGAAATGCTTCTATTTACAGTATATATTCAACAAAACATAATCACATAAATCCTTTTCATCCTACAGTCTCGAAGAGCTGGTAGGAGCATTAGACGCACAGCAAGATGAAGAAAACGCATTCGTAGACTGCGTATCAACACAAATAGCAGAAGGAGGAACCCAAAGACCAGGATTCTTCTCATAGAAATTGGAAGCCCGAAGCATAACGCTAACAGGCTCAGCAGGCATGATCGGGAAATCCTCAGTACGAGGGAAATGGGTCAATCCAAACTGAAGGTAACAGACGATATCGGTATTCTCGATATTCTCGTTTCGCTTCGCCCAATCCAGGATTGTGGAGTTGTGAGGGTGGTTCTCTTCACCGGTTGATTGACAAACGTAGTCACCGGCTGGGAAGAGCTCGTAATCTTTGTAAGGAGTAACCCAGAGAGGCTTGCGTGCGAAAGCTGCACGGTTGTACACGGTACTACCGGGCTTCGCGAGCAATGGTGGACAAGATGTGTTCAGGATTTTGTATGCGACAGGCTTCTTGGCAATGGTGTTCCTGCGGTTAGGGTTGATGATATCCCAGGTACGGTTGGTCTCGTAGCAGTAATCCGCAGCACCCTCGAGAGCTGTGCGCAAAGGTGTCTTCTTGCTGAGGAAAGCATTGCCGTAGGGGTTCTCTTTAGAGCCGACAGCGTGGTCTGCAGAGACGGCGTCGTTTTGAACGACGGAGTTGTTGACACCGTCGATTTCGGGATCAATGCGCAGGGAGAACAGGTGCTGGTGGTTGTGCGCGGTGATTTGGGGAGCAACTTGTGTACCGTAGGGAGCGGCTTCTTCGGATGGGTGCAAGCAGTATGTGTTCAGCATACCGGTGAGCTTCATCTCAAGCTTGTAGGTTCCGTCCAGAGTGAAGGTGTGGTAGAAACCGTACTCGTAGTTAGCGGCGGTGATGATTTGAGAGATGATGAGCTTGCGGTCACGAGCGGAGATGACGGTGCCGTCGCGGTAATCAGTGTGCTTGTAGAGAAGTCCGTTGTCCTCTTCGTGAATGCAGATTGCGTTCTTGATAACGGCGGCCTCACCGTTGCCGGTGGACATCACTCCGTCCATGTAGTGGATCGCACCCTTGCAGTCACATCCCAGCTTCAGGGAGTTGGTCATCAGACCGGTGCCGTACTCGCCGACGTCGAAGGCGTGCTTCTTGTGGTGAGGGCCTTCGGGACAACCGTAGGGAACGACCATCTCGACAACACTGATACGGTTGAAAAGGGTGCGCTCGCGGTCTTCGTACATATCGTGGGAGCGGACATCAGAGATGACGATACCTTCGCGGTAGTTGAAGCCGATGTGCATCTTGTAGTTAGCCCAGGAGAGCTCATTGCCGCGGATCTTGAAGGAGACACCCTGAGGCTGGGTGATATCGATTGGCTTGAGGCGGTCGTGGATGTACTTGTCACCAATGAACTCGGGGAGGTAGTTGTGCTCCTTCAGAGGGACAGCAGTGCGCTCGCCATTGACCAGACGAACGTCAACGCTAAGGATCTCCTCAGTCTCGGTATCAGCGACAACGGAGAAATCCAGAGGGTGTGCGTATTGGTTATCGAAATCGGAGGTACGGTAGTAAGCCAGACCCTGTTGCAGACGGTGCTCGTAACCCCAGCGCTCGTCGATACCAATGGCCCATGCATCAAAGAAAACCTTGGACATATCGGTAATGCCAAGTTCCTCACAAGCACGGATGACACGAGAATCCTTGCGAGCAGCACGCTCCATAATATCCAAATCCTCCAAGGTCAGAGTAGGCATGACATCCTTGACCTTCTTGAATTCCTCGACCTTGCCAGTGACCAAATTGACCACGACCTCAGCGACTTGCTGAGTCTCGCGCTCAATGATAATGGCGAAGGCGCGGCGATCTGGCGCAGGGATCTTGCCCGCGCGGAAAGCCTGGTATTCGGCCTTGCGGGGCTCCCGCAATGTGAGACAGTTGAACTTGACAGTCTTGGGGCTAGCATAATCGCGAATGATCTTGGCAGCCTCTGGGATTTCCTTAATGGAAAGCTGATCTGATATCGAGTTAGCTATGCTCATAAACATTTTTTATCAATTCCTTTGAAGACATACCTAATGGGTGGGGAGTTCCCTGTGGGAGCATAGCAGCTGCAGCAACACTTTCATAGTCACCCTCCCGGAAGATAGTGTAACCCGGGATGGACGTGGTATCAGGGGCAGACGCCATATTGAGAATTAAGCACGAAAGATTGACTTGATAAAGCTGTAACAAAATCACCAATTGCGTTCCCAAAGGCCCTTATATAGTTCTCAACCACATTTCTATCTGATCGATAGAAGCCGCATGGACATTCCGAATCAGGCAGTCGGGATGTCTTTGGGTCAGATAGCGTGGCTCGCGAGTCTTCCCGACCAACTTTTTGAAGTGGATTTCCCGTGGTTTGCTCTTTCTGGTAAAAGCCTGGAGAAATGGATGATCTGCCTGAATTATTTTGCTTTCATAATATCTTTTGCGTAAACGCTTTCAATGTGCGGGAATCTCCACCAATCATACTGGTTTTTAACTACATGCAGGGTGCAGATACAACTCACCGATAGGGCAGGTTGACCCTAGAATTTAGCCAAGATTAATTCAAGCTTATTCTTGCATTGACTTTCCTCTTTGGGCATGTTTTACATGTTTGATCGCGGGGCAAACCACGTGAGATAATTTTGCCACGTTATTCTCCGATAAGCCTTATCTAAATCAGATTAATCAAAAATCAGATTAATTAGATGAATACATGTAAATGATCATAATTCAAAATTACTTTGATAAATAGGTTACGAGTAATCGAAGGTGAATCTGATAAAATGCTTTGAATAATTCCATTAGTTTATCTATGAGTCTATCTCTCTATCTATCGGTGACAGCTTCAAGCGTTGCGTGGACCTACCTCATTAGGTTTAGCACTGCCGTTCTCTTCTCCACAACCGAAACATTGGGTGGTTGAACCCCGACCCGAGATCACCTGGAGATGCCGGTGTGGGCCCTCGGTGGGCTCTTCTCCAGAGTTCTAGAGGTGGGCTTCATTGGCCTTCCTCTTTGGGAATGTCGTTGCGAGAGATTACATTATAGCTATGCAGCTATTACTCCGGACTTTAAGAGCTGCTATCGGCTGTACTTGACTTGGAGCTTACAACTTTCAATTAGTGTCAACACCGTTTTACTCTCAAAATGGCTTTGACTGTTCAGTGTACTGCACCTAACGGTCGCAAGTGGACTCAGCCTACTGGTCTGTTCATTAACAACCAGTGGGTGAAGTCTTCAGATGGTGGCAAGATTGCTAGCATTAATCCTGCGTAAGTTATCTCTTTCAGATATATTGGACTTCGAGAATTGCATGACTTACTCTTTTCTTAACTCGAATAGAACCGCCAAAGAAATCGCTTCCGTGTATGCTGGAACCGCCGAGGATGTTAATACTGCCGTCAAGGCTGCGCGTGCTGCGCTGAATCACCCTAGCTGGCGGGATCTGTCCGGTCTTGAGCGTGGCAAGATGATGAACCGTCTTGCACACCTTATCGAAGAGAACAAAGAGACCCTGGCCACTATTGAGACCTGTGATAATGGAAAGCCATACCTTGTCTCTCTGAACGACGATATGACCGAGACTGCCGAGACCATCCGATACTACAGTGGCTACGCAGACAAAGTGTTTGGACAGGTTATCGACACAACGGTGGATAAGTTCGCCTATACTGTTCGTCAGCCTGTTGGTGTCTGTGGACAGATCATTCCGTACGTTTCATTATCTTATGTCCATAATCTACAGTAAACTGACTAGTTCAAGATGGAACTTCCCTCTTTCAATGGCAGCTTGGAAGCTTGGCCCCGCTCTGGCCTGTGGTAATGCTGTCATTCTGAAACCCGCCGAACAAACCCCCCTCTCAATCCTATTCCTTGCCAACCTTATCGTGGAAGCCGGCTTCCCGCCCGGTGTGGTTAACATCGTCAATGGACACGGCGCAGTCGCTGGTGCCACTCTCGCCTCACACATGGATGTGGATAAGATTGCATTCACCGGTAGCACTGCGACCGCGAAGCAAATCATGAAGATGGCCAGTGTGAATCTGAAGAATATCACACTTGAGACCGGCGGCAAGAGTCCTCTGATTGTGTTCGACGACGCAGATCTTGAGCAAGCGGTTGAATGGGCACACATCGGAATTATGTACAACCAAGGCCAGATCTGTACTGCAACATCGCGTATCCTGGTTCAAGAGAAGATCTACGATCGCTTCATTAAGGCATTCAAGGCTCAGATTAAGAATGTCTCTAAGGTCGGTGATCCATTCGAGGAAACTACCTTCCAGGGTCCTCAGGTCACTCAGGCTCAATATGAGCGTATCTTATCTTATGTTGATGTCGGTAAAGCTGAGAAGGCTACACTGGAGTGTGGTGGAAAGCCATTCAAGGGGGTTGGTGATGGCAAGGGATTCTTCATTGAACCTACCGTTTTCACTAACGTATCTCCCAAAATGCGCATTTACCAAGAAGAGGTCTTTGGACCTTTTGCTGTCATTGCTCCCTTCAAGACAGAAGAGGAGGCTGTGCAGATGGCTAATGACACTACATATGGTCTTGGTAGTGCCCTTTTCACTACCAATCTGACTCGCGCTCACCGTGTTGCTAAGAGAATTGAGGCTGGTATGGTCTGGATCAACTCTAGTAATGATAGTGATTGGCGCATTCCTTTTGGTGGCGTCAAGCAGAGTGGTATTGGGCGGGAACTTGGTGAGGCTGGATTGGATGCCTATTCGAGTATCAAGGCTGTGCATGTGAATATGAAGTCTAAGCTGTAAGATTTGAAGATGTTTATGGGGGTTTCAAACTCGCGATATTTTGTTTATAAAGAAAAGAAAATCAATATCGGGTTCTAGTCTACCTTGCGTCGAGCAGAATCATTGTAAAGTAGTAAGTTTTCGGTACCTTACATATGTTTTTGAGGTCGTTTCCAAGGTCTCGATGACACTAATGATAAACAGTTGAGGCGAAATCATAAGGAAGTCGGATGCTTTGAATTTGACTCAATGAAATTGTGTAGAGGACCAGTCAGTACAGGCGTTGAGTTATTTTCATGGTTTTTCCTGACTCCGAATCGGACATGGACATCTGAATGAAGGGGTAGTTCACCGCCACATGCGTTTTACTTATAGGAATTAAAGAAAATAAAAACTTGCATTGACTCTCGACAACTGCTGTCTCCAATCTATTTGGGCTAACTTCTAACGTGCAATCTAAATCTATTCTTCATGTAAAGCTTTTCATCCACTCTCCGTTGTCAACTCTGCAGCTCTTTTACTTCCCCAAAAGTTGGATCCCAGGAATGGTAGATCAATCCTTCTTTCTTGCAGCAGGTGCCGAGGAATCATTGGCGATTGCCTCTTGTGCCTGGATCACATGGGTGAGTGACTCCTCGGTGTTGAGGTAGGTTCGACTGCCTTGGATAAACCAGAATGACAAAGCAATGACAATCATCACACCGAAGACAGCAATGGCATAGTTCATATCGCCTCCCGAAGGGTTGGGCGAGCTGGGGAAGAAGAAGAAGACCGTGGTGATGCAGCAATATATGACACTCACCCAGTTGGCCGGAGCACCAAACCTTCCAAGATGGAATTGTCCTCCTGGAGGAAGCTTCTCGCGTCCGACCATAAGGTAAGTCATAATGGGTAGTCCATAGGAAATTGTGAGCGCGATTGTGCTCACGCTAAGGATAGCGTTCAGAACTGTCTCCGCGAAGAGAAATAAAACACCAACCAAGGCAATCAGAATACCCTGAAACCACAGTGCCCGAACAGGGGCCTTCCAGGTTGGGTCAACATGGGACAGGTATCGACTGAATGGTAATCCGCCATCTCGGGCAAAGCCCCAGGTGAGTCGAGACGCGGTAGTGACGATACTAATTCCCTGACCAAGGCCGTTGCAAATGAAAAGGGCAATAAGAACAGCAGCGCCATTGCGACCGACAGTTTCTTGAACAAGTTCCATAAAAGGGAGACCGCTTGGGGAATTGGCCACAGTGCCAACTTTCTGAATACAGCAGAGACAGACCATCATTAAGATGAAGCCACTTACAGCACCCGAGAGAACAGCAAAGTATATGACCTTTGGTGCATTCTTCCGGGGCGCAGGAATTTCCTCCACCATATGAATCACAGCATCGAAGGCAGTCAACCCGTAAGCGGCTTGTACTAAGCCAATAAACCATACAACCCCATCAGGCCATCCTGTCTGGTTGATCCATTTCCCAAACACAAATGACGCTGGTTGATAATGGAGATCCGATTTCACTCCCACCGAAATGAGAAGAGCGAGTGAAAAGACAAAGAATAGTCCGAAGAACCACACACCCACGAAGTTATTCAACCAGGGCAGGAATTTCTCTCGGCGACACCCAAGCACATTGATCAGAGTGAGGATGAAAACACATCCAATATACACAACGAACTCTAACCATCCGTCTGATGCCCCAGTCCATGTCTCATCAAACATGACTTTCATCCCCAGAATAAAGTTGGTCATAAACGCAACCTGCGAGGCGGCAAGCGTCCACCAGCCAAAGACATTAATCCAGGCGCAAATATAAGACGCAAAGCGACCCAATGGAGTATCCCAAAGACGATAGATCCAGTAAGCCTGGCCCAGGGCCGTAGGCATGCTACTGCAAATCTCTCCCAATGAAACAGCCACGCATGTATTGCAGAATGTCACCAACGCAAGGCCCCAGAGAATCGAGATCGGTCCACCATTGACCAGACCATCAGAAAGATCTTGCGCGAAGGTTGACCATGTTCCCAGAACACAGAATGCCAGAGCTAGCATACTCCAGATATTGAACTTCCGCTCGAGGCTTTGGCCGTGGCCGAATTCCGCCAAGTCGTATGCATCTTGGGTATTCTGATCGGTGGGCTTCAAGGTGGTGTCGGTTTCCAAGTCCATAATTTATTTTTTGCAATGCGTATTTATCAGGCCCAGACTGCGCTCATTCTCCAAAAATCGTATGATAGTCTCAGCCCGAGTCTAGGAGGTGGTGGTATGGTGCCTTGTATGAAGTGCGTGGATTTGAGCCAAAATTGTTAACCCATCTCCAGCGACCCGGGGTTTTCTCATTTTTCTGGGGAACCCCACGCGCGTCGGGTCTGTGTGGACTGTGGAGGGGAAACAACTTCTCCAGGGTACACCGAAACTGGCCCACTTGTGGCTACCAGACCTTGGATGCAGTCCGGGGATTCACCCAAACATCACATTGGCCTCTATCGAGTCTTCACCCGAATATCTCCACCAACATTTTTGTATAGCCTGGATATTCCTCGTTTGGAAGGTGGATGCGATCTCACGGCGGTGGATTCTCGAAGATGAAATCATTCGGCATGGTGATCTTCCCGTAGCAAGAATCTCGGAGTCGGAGATGGTGAAGATGGTGGAGCACGATAAAGTGTGAGACGATTCTATGACACACGGTTACATTTGTGCCAACTTTCGGTTGCGTTGGACTTTCCCCGCGGGTTCCAAGGTCGTCAAAACCGTTGACTCCACCTTCTCATCAGGGTTGAATTATAGGAAAGGGAAAGGGAACAGGAAGACTTGGTCGTGTTGAGTGGAACCTGCGGCTGATAGCGCTTGCTTGTACCTTCCCAAAAAGGTAATTTCATGCCTGAGGTGTCAAGTGCTCCTGCCGTCAACACACAGATCGATCGATCATACAAATACCAGTCATATATGACCTGTTCATGAACTTGAATTTTTTTCTTTTGAGGGAATTGAAGTATCAAATGTCTGTTTAGCATGATAACCGGCAATTACTCCCTATATTGGATTAGAATGAGTGATTTATTCTGAGAAGATTGTCTGGCCAATCGGAGCCCGCTACATCGCTTCCCCTTATAGCTGCATCACCACATATATGACCCAAATGAGGCCCAATGGCCCCATGCATCTCAAGTTTCTCCCAACTCCCAACTCTCCACACCACCATATTCACCATGCCTTCAGAACATAAAAGAAAGGACTCACTTAATCCTCGTCATCGGTCTCATAAAGGCTGTTGGACATGCAAGCGGAAACGGATTCAATGTGACGAAATCAGACCCGCCTGCCAACAGTGCACGAGGAAAGGGATGACCTGCGAAGGATACGAGATCCGATTACGATGGGGAGCTGGGATCGCTTCCAGAGGCCGATTCAACGGAGCCGAGAAACCCATTCAAGAGTCCATACCACCACATTCCAAGCGACGATGGGATCTGCGAGGCAAGGGCGAGCAGCGGGGAAATGATGACCAACAAGGACAACCCGTCCTCCTAGAGCGAGGAATGACTGAAGGTATGAGTTTGGAAATTATGAGCCCTCTGAGGTGCTCAATATAATAATCTCTGTCCCGTGTACGCCGTATATGATATCTCCAAGGGTGTGGTGGTGGATACATTCAAACTCAACATATTTGAACTGTGCTACCATACTGACTTGGAGCTTCATAGCCCGATCTTCAAACCAGCCGGTTGTCGAACGAGCTACAGTCAATATACTCAACGTGCCCTGTGGTCAGGATCAACAAGACTATGTCAATATTAATAAACATTTCGAGCTGCCTGTATCCATGGGAACTATGACACAGGAGGGGGACTTGTATAATGACGTCCAGGATTTTGGCACTAGCAGTGCTCAGTATGGGGATAGCTTCTCAGGTTCAGGAAGATCCGCAATTAAGACGTGACTGGGATTGGGGTTGACTAGAATCATGATTCTAGATTGTCTACATGGAGTTGAAGCGAACCATCTAAAACTTGAATTTTATTGAGCTCAAAACTTGAAGAAAAGATGAAAAGAGAACAATATAAAAACTAGAAATATTGCAATGTTCACAAAGATTGAAAAAACAAACATTGAATCAACAACTCAAACAAGAAATACATCATAATCGCCATTGATTCGCCAACCTGAAAGACAACAGTACTAGTAGTAGTTGAGGTAGTAGTGACTTCTGCCTAACGCTCGCCTTATTCTATGGCGTCAAAATAGGCTTCATTTCCTTAAACTTAAGTCTTCTTACCGGATATCCAGTTCCGTAGATAAGAAGCCACTTGAGAGGGTGTTGTTCGCTGCGGCAGGGGCTTCTCTGCCTCATCCATCGACCGGTCTGCATCAATCATCGTTACATCAGAAGCGGTCGTACGGGCCTGAAGACTGCGGATCTCACTAGCATCACGCATCTCTATATCAGAAGGGCTACGGGCCTTATGACTTCCATGACTGCCGGTCTCCTCGCCTGCATCCAACATTGTGACATCTTCTATCTCGCTTTCAGAGGGTGCGATGTCTGCTGATTGACTGGTCTCTCTATTACCAGTAACTTCCTCTTGGAGATCCGACTCACCATCCTCGAATGTATCATCAGCTTCCTCATCTTTTGATTTATTTGTGTCTGGCTCATCAGCTTCATCATCTCCTGATTCATTCGTGTCTGGTTGACCCCCCTCAGATGGGCTCTCATCCTTAGACCTGTCCTTTGCATCACCCCCTTCAGAGCCCTCTTCCGAGCCCTCTTCTGAGTCCCCTTCTGAGTCCCCTTCCGAGCCTCCGTCAGAGCCCTCGTCAGAGCCCTCGTCATTCTCATCCTCTTTGTTATCTCTCTCCTCTCCAGATTCGCTCTGTTCCTCTGATGTGGATCCCTTAGCCTGATTATCTTTTGACCAGACATACTCAAAGAGATTCTTTCCTTGATGGGGAACCAAAACAGGAGATGAGCTTTGTACTGGCTCGTTGACAAGCTGTTCTAGTTGGGAATCTTGACTCTTTATAAAATCTAACTCGGCATTCACGATATCGTTCAGTTTTGAAGACTCATCCTGAAGTTTCAAATAAGCCTCTTTGGTCTCTTTCATAATCTTCTTGGCCTCAGATCCAGTACGTTGGCGAAAATCCTTGAGCATCTGCTCAAGCTCAACTCGTTTGGCGAGTAACTTCTCCCGCTCACGATACATCTGGAGTAGGTACTTCTCACGCTCATCTTGAGCTAGTACAATTAGCTTGGCTTTTTCTGGCAGAGCTAGACGCCTCTTCAACTCTTCCTTTTCTTCAACCGGGGTTCTCGCTTGCTTAGCTACGTGTCTGGCAAGAACTGTGCGTAGATATCCCTGCGGCGATGGAATCCTTCCTGGACTCAAAGATTCTCTCCAACCTGATTTACTAGGTGGGGTTTCCGGGGAGAGGGACAGCGTTCGACGCCTTTTACCAAGGATAGACTCTGTACTGCTGTTAGGTTCAGTTTTCATTTTATCCTCAGAGCTGGCATTTGGTAGAGGTTTCCGTTCCATATCCTCGGGGTTCTCATCAGGCTGATCTGCTGGTCCCAGTACATCTTTAAACTGGAGTTTGCGCAAGTAGTTGTCGTTTTTTGGTGGCTGTGACAGATACTGGTCCGGTTGGTCTTCCCAATCCCTGACCTTATCATTAGAAAACGGATGCTCTTTAGATTGCAGTGCATCTCGGAATCGTGAATTTTGGATAGTCAAGTTTGGGGGAGGAGATCTGGCTTGTTCATCGTCCGTGATCTTCGGCTTCTTGGAGGGATGCTCGGAAATTGGATCTGCCATATCCTCGGCCTTCCTTTTATCGTTAGTGACAGTATCATTACCTGGCTTACTGTTTTCCTCTGGAGAGGAATCACCGGCCTTTGATTTCTCGTCTGAGTCCTTAGAAGGCTCTGCCTCGTCCCTTTCATTGGTACTGTCTCCAGGAGGACTAGCGGATGTTTTCCTCGAACCACTAAACTGGCTCTTCAATCCATCATCGGAATCGTCTCCCAAATCGTCACTTGAAACGGATGTCGGAGAGGTAGGAGAATTCTCGGGTTTTTTTTCCAGGCTCTGGGGACTTGCTGGTAGATCTGCGTTTTGAATCTCTCTCAGAGTCGTCTGGCTTTTCCTCGGACCCATCGCTCTCCCTGCGACGCTTTTTGCTGGTCTGACTTGAATCATCAGGTTGAGGTGCAAGGTCAGGCGCCTCATCCCCTTTAGCCTTAGATTCAGATTTGTCTGTCTCATCCTCTTCATCCTCTTCGTCCTCTTCGTCCTCTTCATCGGAATCCTCCTCCGATTCCCCAGAGGAACTACTGTCGCTATCATCCTCAGAGCTGGATTCGCTCGCGGCGGGATTGTCACTTGGTTGGGCAGTAGTAGACCGTTGATCGGAATCAGACTCAGATCCAGACTCTGATGGAGATGGATCACGTTCTGGTTTCTTCAAGTCTGCTTTAGGGCTTGTAGGTTTAGAATCAGAATCAGGCAAGGGTGAAGATGAGGGTTCACTTTCAGGCCCCTTTGGGTCTTCCTTAGGACTTGTGGGTTCGGACTCAGAGCCAGACTCAGATGAAGAATCGTCATCAGAGTTGTCATCAGGATCACCAGACTCAGAACCAGATTCTGACTCTGATGAAGATGAAGATGGAGGTTTACTATCTGGCTTCTTTAAGTCTTTCTTTGGGCTTGTGGGTTTAGAATCAGGCAAGGGTGAAGATGGAGGTTCGCTCTCTAGTTTCTTTGTGTCTTCCTTGGGGCTTGTAGGTTGAGAATCAGAATCATCAGAATCGCCCGAATCATCAGAGTCTCCAGAATCGCCCAAATCTTCGGAATCGCCCGAATCGCCCGAATCTTCATCGGAATTGCCAGACTCAGAACCAGATTCAGACTCTGACTCTGATAAAGATGGAGGCTCATCATCTGGCTTATTCAAGTCTTCCTTTGGCCTTGCGGGTTTAGAATCAGAATCAGGCAAGGGTGAAGATGGAGGTTCACTTTCAGGCCCCTTTGGGTCTTCTTTAGGACTTGTGGGTTCGGACTCAGAGCCAGACTCAGACTCGGAATTTCCCTCAGAATCGTCATCAGAATCGCCAGAATCAGAGTCAGAGCTCTCTGATTCCTCCTTAGGGCTCGTGGGTTCAATAGGATATTTGCCGCTGATTGAACCGCGATTACTTGAAGGTCGACTGGTAGGTAGATCTGGTTCTTTATCGGGTTGAGTTTCCGGAGTCTCTGACTTGCGCTTTTCGGATCCCTTCTCGGATTTTCTGTCGGGGCTTTGACCTCTGCTGCTACCACGGCTACGATCACCAGCTGGAGGCTTGTTATGATCTGTCTCTGGCTCTGTCTCCGGCTCCTCCGATCTACTCCCATCCAGATCTGAATCCTCGCCATCTGGCAATATGCTTGGCTTGTCAGAATCATCGGAATCAGCATCGTGCTCCTCCCATGGTTTCTTTTTATCTATGGATTCATCATCCGAGCTAGCCTGGTCAGAATCTTCAGATGCTGGGTTAGAGTCCATATCTGTGTCTTCAGACTCATCTTCGCTCTTTTCCCCTGGTTCCTCTGTTGGCTCCCTAGAACCATCGCTAGAGACCTTAGAATCAGAGAACTCATCACCTTCTTCCCGATCACTATCAGAAGTGACAGATGGTGGAACTGGCTCTGGTTCTGGAGCCTTCGAAGGCTTACGGCCAGGTGGGCGACGAGGGACGGGTGAGGGAGTCCTATCCGAGTAATCGCTTCCTGTCTCGGGCTCAATACTTTTGCGGAGAGGACTTTTAGGAGCTGGCTTTGGATCACCAAAACGACGACGTCGTGGCGGGGGTGTCTTGTCGTCCTGGTAGCTTTTCTCTGAAGGAGACTTGCTTGATGGCTCAGGTTCTGAATCTGAATCTGCTTCAGGGCTCTTGGGATCTAGACGATCGCGAGCTGGACGCCTAGGAGGTCTATCGCCAAAGCCTGGAGGCCGCGTGGGATATGGATCTTCCCGGAACTTTTCTGGATCATCGTAGGAGTCATAGTCTTTACTGGGAACCATCACATCTGGACTTTTGACGGCTGGGCGTTGATGGGTTCCGTCACCAAAACGACGACGAGGGGGTGACGGGGGAGCCTCATAGTCATCACTGTCGTGTTCAGCGTCTTCTTCATCATCATCGTCGTCCGAAGGCGGTTCAGACGGATCATCTGGCTCAGATTCTGGAGTCTCTTCCTTGGGAGGAAGTCGTCGACGACGTGGTGGACGACCTGGTCGACGGGGTTCTGGCGGTGGCGGTGGAGAAGAATCGTCCGAAAGGTCCGAACTTTCATCCCCACTGGATTCGGAAGGAGGTTCAGGATCCTCTTTAACGAATGGCGGACGACTAGCATCACGACGAGGACGCGCGGTCTGGGCCGGTGCTCTCCGGAACTTCGCATGAGTAAGATTCTTACCCTCATCCCAGTTGAAATGCTGCAACTGGGCAATTCGATACAGATGCTGAAGAGTAAAGGCTTCGTGGATTTCAGCGCAGTCTCGAAATTCCTGGGGAAACCTGTGCAGTTTCTTTCTGATGGCTTCTCGCAGTCTGTCTCGTTGAATGCTGGAGCGGAATTCTAACGGGCGAGCTCTTTCGTAGATCTCTCGGACAAGTCGGAATGTTACAGCTTGCAAGACATCATTGTCATCGATGTCGAAATTCTCCCAGACTTCTCGGAGGTTCTTGCTGTCTGGGCTCATTCCTTCGATGGTGGCATAGGGCCGAGCCTGTGGTCTGGCTCGTCTGCGTCCTATTGGTGCCATCTTGGATGGTTAAAGGTATAAATTGTATAAACAATAGAAGTGTAAAGTGTTAAAGCTGAATAGTTGAAACGCTAGTGATTGTGTTGGTGGTGGTGGTGATTAAGAGAGTGAAAGATACTATTTCAAATGTCTACAATCACATTTGAGGGAGTGAGTGGCTTTTTAACTGGACATCTGAATATTTCGATAATATTTGCAATGAAGGTAATAAAAGTATGCCTCGTTTGTCTTTGTCGTGTATCAAAAAGCGGGTTATATATAGAATGAGTCGATATCTGGTACTGTGGCTTGTATACAAGGAGTACTGAAAGATGATCAGATGAAAGGGGCTCCAAGGATTGAAAGACCACATCTTGGGGTGGAACTGTACCTTATTTGTAAATGCGACCGGGTTCAATTTCAATGGTCTTGAGATAAAGAGAGCCAGGTGTAGAAGAAGTCCCCTGGTCTTGAAGACAGTGATTGACTCCATTTTCTGGAGGTCATTGCGACTGGCTTTGTCGTGGTCGAAGGAAATGGATGATGATAGAAGCGATCGTTCTTTATTGACTATAAGCTTTGCATTCCGCGATAATCTTGCTAAATATTCAGAAAATTGTTAGACTTGTAGTTTTGAATAGGCCCAAAGAGCAGAGTTTTGATATACTTACTTGCTTCAACTTCCTTTGAGAATACTTGGGCTTTCTTTTCCCATTTTACTTTCTCATACACAGTACTTCTGTCATTCCAGTTCAAATATTGGATTCATTCAAGCGTGGGCCATTTTGCATACAAAGATGGCGTTCAAGTTCAGACTCAAAATCTAATCTTTGTTAGAAGTTTTCTTGTCAAAGGAAGCATTCTCGTCTTGAAGAGCCGGATCAGGCAGTACAACGAACAAAGCATAGAGCAGGCGTACTTGGGAAAAAAAAAATTTAAAAAAAAAAAAATTTGGAACCAGTTTGTTAGTTGAGTACTCGATATGAATATTTCAACAATGCTGATTGACTTAAAATATAATGACAGCGATGATCTGATATCAGCTTCAAACTTGAAGTTATTCTAATGCTTCCAAAACTGTAGCCTTTTCTCCAAAAGTGAACACTCTCCCTGCATCAAACTCTTCACTAGGAAACAAGGAATACCCCTTTTGATTGTTGTCCGCTCCTTCGTTCTGCGAAGTAGTGGTACTCGGATCACCGGAAGCTGCTTCAATGTATGCAAGAGCTTTCCTCTTGTGACAAGCTATTTACTTCTGCCAGTGCTCTCTCTCTCTTTCTCTCTCTCTCTCTCTCTCACGGAGGTCTGCCCAATACTAGATTTGTTTTAGTCTGGGGTTTCAGATAATCAATAAAGAAGAATGACCTACTGTGTTTGAGAGGAGTGAGATATCTTCGGAGGAGAGTATCCGCTTTGGCTTCACGGCAAGTGAGAGAAATGGCTGCCGAAGATATACTATCGTCTTCAAGAAGACCTTGGGAGAGGAGAGGAGAGGCTTCAACTCTGAGTCAAAGAAACGGCTGTGGGAGATACTCGTATAGTTGAGAAGAATGAGAGACTCGGATAAAAATATTTTTCAAGTATCTTTTAGAGCTTAAGTAGTTGGCTTGAAAGGATTCAATCAAGTTTCAAGTTAAGACCAGACAGGATAGACTTGACAAATACAATATGTGAAGGGATGGAAAGAGAAGAGTAGTAAGGGCTTCTAAAGGTGACCAGAAGGAGATTACCATTATTTATATAAAGTACTATAAGGTGATAATATATCAGGTTAAGTGAGAGATACTAGCCGACGTAAGAGTAAAAATTATATGAAGTGAGAGCTAGCTGACTTAAGGGGACTGATATATACAAGTTTCCTTTTTTTTTTCTGTCAGCCATAGTGCCCAGGTGGTTTTTGGAGTGTGGCTATTATAGGCACCTATAGGCACCTATAACAGGGCAGTCTATAAAGAGTCAAGACTATCATAACTGGTTACCCTGGCTTGCCGATATGTGTATTACTGAACCTTGGAAGTTTTTACATCACGATAACAAAGCAACCAGCGCAGTAAAAATTTATTATGGGAAAGTTCTGCCATGTCACACCGTCACGCCAGGGGCCAAAGCGGTGTAATGTGGCAGATATAGGCGTTCGTGGACGATCCAACCTTGGAAGTGCAAATGTTCCACCTGGACACCTGACTCGTGCGCCACATGAAACATAAGAACCTAACCTTGGAAATAGATTAGACCCTAGTACATATGTGGGCACCAGAGCGTGCAGGCATTATTCCGGGTTGATCATATTTGGTCCCTTGTTCGTACATCTAGTGGGTCTTCACTAAGATATTATTCGTCAGAATCGTCCTAGTATACTCCGTACATTTATCCAAATAGGGAACAAACATGCCGGAATAGGAAATTTTCTGGAACATGACTCGATTCATCTTAAACGTAGCACTATGATGAGACAAATAAACTCGATCGTCAACTTCAGGTTCCAACTTGAAGGTTGAAGTGGATATTGAAACGCGAACTTGAATTCAGTGGAGCACTGATAGTTTCCAGGATTATTCAGAACTTGAAGTCACCAGTGCTTAAGCCTGAGGTGGATATATATTTTGCAACTTCAAGTTCAATATGCGAGTTAGATCGTCATGATGTCAGTCAGACTGCCTCTAACATTCACTGACAAGATTGAAGGTTCAAGTTTAAGTTCAAGTTCATGTTGCCAGTGAAACTTGAGTGATCCGTCTGAAAAGAAATCGATATGTACTAGTACCTGCTACTACGGAGTAGTACTAGTACCTATTGCACACGTGGCATTCCATTGCCCATTTCAAGGTTGAAGGATCATATCAACTCCAGGGCTTGAACTTTCTTAAAATATATATATATTCACTGGCAAATGTTCCCGAGGTCGAATGCTCACATTAAAATGACGCAAGTGCTAAATTACTGTCAATCGCGATGAAATATAATTTTGTTTAATCCAAAGATCTACATTATATAGCCAAAAGAGGGCTCGAGGGAAGGGGGGAGGGACTAGTACTATGGCTCGGTCCAATATGGACCGGTATGACGGCGTCTGAGCTTTTTGAATATCGAACTGATAATCTTGAAATTCTTCGTAGTACTAGTAGTTTAAAGCCCCCATGCCGAGGCCCTTGGCAGCTCGTGCCACAGTAAGCCTGAAGACCCTTACTGCCAAAGTAGTACTTGATGCGGATCTACTAGTATGAGCTAAATACCATGACTCGACTAGGTCATTTGAAATATGGCCCCCACGACCGGCGATTTATCACTTGGAACTAAATGAATCGGTGTGGAAAAATAAATTTACGGGGAATAGTAGTAACATTGAAAACCGCCAATGAATCATTCGTTCTCGCTTAAAGGAGGCGCCCCAATTCTCGTAGATTAAGAAGAACTGGACTATTTCAGTGCAGAATGTACGCCACACTGGCATTTGGGGGCCGGCAAGTATACGAGTCTTTCGCCCCCAAGTTAATCATAGTGGAGAAGTTCCTCACTGATTCGCGCAGAAAGTCCCACTTCTCCCTTCAATGTTTCCACCTACTACCCGACCGCGTGTATTTTTTGGCCCCCTGTTCATGTCTATCTTGGTCCTGGTCAGGGCCTTGGCGAAGGAGAACTGTGTTAAGGTTGGCTGCAAGAGAAATAAAGATTCCTGTATTTCACCTCAAAATGCCGTTGGTGATTATTCTTATGGCATTGCAATACTCATAAGCAGGTCCTACCCATTATACGATATACTACTCACATGAAAATTGAATTATTATATTTTCCTTTTCTAATTCCTGGGCTGTCATTGACATATCGATCAGCTCAAATATGACCTCACAACCGGACTTCCAGTCTCGCCGCTCCTCTTGCGAACGCTGTCGTTTCCACAAACTCAGATGCACCGTTGTATCGGATTCTTCAGATGGTTCTCCTCGTTGTGTGAGGTGTATGCGCGCGAAAGTTGATTGTGTATTCGGACGCAGAGCACGGGGGAAGCGCAATCGGTCACAAAAAGATCATACTCAAATAAATTGGGGACTACAATCACCCGTTACAGACTCGATTTCCACAGATGGCAAAGATACCATCTTCAACGATACCCCTCGCTCGATCAATCACCAACCATGCATATTCCCTTCTCCAAGCCCCCCATACATAGACGGTTCGGATATCCGCTCAGAGGATATGGATTGGGATCTCCTTTTCCACCCTGACCAGGGTCTCGGCCACTTTATACCAAGCTCTCAGCCTTCGCCTTATAATTTGTGGGATGTCGCGTTTTCTCAAACTGCACTTGACAGCAGCCTGTCAAGTACAATGAGCACTGCTTCTTGCGAGACACACGAATCACCAGCGTTTTCCAGCAATCCCTCAAGGGAGTTGGAAATCAAATATACCCCCCCCTACACCATGCAAGGAAAAAGGTCCAGATATAATTCTGCGGCTTTCTAGTCTTGCCACGGATATTCAACAAACGATCATCAACCTGCAAGATAGCGAGTGGGCATACGCTACCAAATCCGATGGACTCGAAAGATACCCTGTGGGCAGTGTTCTTCAATTAGCGCACGACTTCTCTCTCATCCTGCAAGATCTTCCTCAATCAGCCAATAACAAATTACCCACAAAAGACCATCAAGATGAAACCTCATCTATACCCGACCTGTCTTCAGACCCCACCCACCTATCAGATCCGACCAGCAACTCCACAAAACCGACCCAACAATCAACCCTACCACACGTGGCAGGGACCTCGAACTCCATCGACACCTCCACAATGCTCCAAATAACAAGCTGCTATATCCTCATTACAAAGCTCTACGGCCTTGTCATGGACCACCTTCGCGCCCACCTCCAAGCCTCAGATCTCCAATCCACAAAGGTTTCCCCTTTTTCATCGATTGAGAATGAAGCTTTGCGTCTGGGAGATATCTCATATTCAAATGATGTGTGGACAAAAGTACATACTGTCTTTCGTGCCATGCTGGACCAGTTACATGTGATTGGTAGTGCTATCGGTGTTGAATCCTTTCGATCATCTCGTTCGTTGGGATTGGATGAGGCGGTTTCACATTCTGGTTTCCTTGGGAATTTGTCGCAGGCGGCACTTGAAGATAATCTGATGGGGAAGGTACAGCCTTTGAAACTTCTGTTGAGGCAAAAATTAGCTTTATAGATAGATTTTAGAAATGCAGTCATGACTTACGAAAGCAATGTGAATTTCTTGTACCTGGATTCCTGTAACATGGATGTATGTCCATATGAGAATAGGGACTGACACCAACCCCATGGTATACATCAAGCTATCTTGGCATTCAATATGGGGATTATAAGGTTTGATCGTTACCTCATAGCTGAGTATAGCAACAATTGATGGATGAACTTTGTCCACAATCATTTGAATACAAGATGACTCCCAGACAATACCTAAATGATCAAAAGTATCATATTGCATACCTAGATTCGCATCTGGCATTCACATTTCCAAAGCATTCAAATATCGGTATCAATCACCTGAGCACCTGGGCATCCAATCGTAAGCATGAAACTTGAAGATCTCAATCAGAATCCACAGCTGAGCCAAGACAGAGTAAGGTTTGCAATCTCGAGTCATGAAACATTGTCCACAAATAAACATGAGGCGTTTCAAGTTAACCAGAAATGATGTTAAGGCTGAAAATTCGACCAAGCCTTCCGCGTGGGTAGTGCCCAGAGTTATAGATTGCCAAGCGTCAAGAAGCGGGAACTTGATGTTATTTTTGGTCGGCGATCACCGAATCCACTGCTTCCAAGGTTACCGCTTGCTATTTTCATCAGATAGATAGAAATTTTGAGGATTTCTTAATCTGTGTGTGATTTCCAATATATCTGTCCGATAGTGTATGATCTATGGATACCATTAGTGGAGGTAGAAGTCGCCCTGGTCAAGTTAGCATACAAACCCTAACTTTGGAAATCCATCCATACCAGATTTCTCAATCTGGAATCACATACATTTTCAGGAATGAGTATTACTGCCAGCAGAATAAAAAGGAGACAAATAGGCGGTAACTAGAATTTTTGAGGCGTTCGCCACTAACTAGGGGGGCCAAAGAACTGACAACCATACACAATGTCGAGGTGGGGGCACTACTCCTCTTAGTAGAAGGGGCCAAACATCACTTTTGGAGATGGCGTTTTCGAGCTTAAGATCAAAAGGGATGATTAGCTCATACCTAATTTGCATTCCCGAGCTTGGATAATGCAGAAAAGGAAAAATATGAACTAGGATTCTATGCAATCCTGTATGCAGGGTAACTACCTCGGCCAATTATGTGGCGAGTAACCTGGGGATACTCTGGGGCAGTAATAAGCTTAACCCTGAGTTTTAACACTGGCATTTAGTCTACTCCATAGATGAGAATGACATTTAGAATAGTTTGATTAGATTGTAAATCATCCAGTGGAGTATTCTATTAATTAATGAGGCTCGAAATCTAATTTTCAAATTGAACTTATCCATGTGTATGTTAAAAATAGCGATGTGCTGTTGTATTTGATGCTTTTTGGTGACTTCGTATTAAGTGAGATGCGATAAACGAATAAGGCATCAAATTCAGGCACCAAATTGCCTATTCGGGTATGTGGCTTGTTTGGCCCCTGCAGCGATGAAGTTGATATTACCATCTTGGGAATCGTCAATATCATACTATCATTTCCGTCTTGGGAACTATTCTGGAGACCTCATTGCCGACTTTGGGAAATGGTGAAGTTTAGATCAATCTGGGAAGATTGTTTCGAGGTTCATGATGCATGGCAGGCTAGTATCAGAGATCACCGCTTCAAAAATAGAGTCACTTTATACTTCTAATCTTATTATACTTATATCGACTTCAAGCCGGCTAGAATCATACTCATTCATTACTCACATTCAGCATAGTAATTCAGTCTCTCTCACTGCTTGAAGCCGTTCAACTTTTCATTCTCATTCATCTATACCCTCACATTTACTCGCATTTACTCGCCCTTCGATCCCATCCTCATTAAATCTATACCCTAACCTTTTAAATATACCCATTATCATTCATCATGGTTAAGATCACCAATGCCGTTGCTGCTGGCTCGGGCTCCAGCCAGCTTGCCCCTTCCAAGATCGCCGATTTGCGAACCCCGGATTTCAAGAAGTCCTCCATCACCACTACCCAATCCAAGCTCCAGCAAATACGCGATGTTCTCGAGTCCCGCGATGCTGGTCTGACTCTGCCCCTGCAGACCATTGCCTTGTCCCAGCCCAAGCCCCAGCAGAAGCCTGTTGCGCTCCCTCGCTCCGAATTAAAGACACGCCGGCCGTTACCTTTCGAAGGCTCCTCCGATCTGGAATCGTTGGAAGCATCTACATACATCTCAAAGACACTGGAGTCTCAATTTGTTGATCAGATTGAGCTTGTCTGCAAAGAGAAGGAAGCAAGCACTTGGCAATTCATCTCTGCTGCTTTGCAGAGCTTCTTCTTCCGATATGCCAACGGTGATCTCGCCGTGGTCCTGCAGGTTCAGGATCAAGCTGAGCGTCCCCCTAAGGTTCCTGCTGCTCTTTGGACTGTTCTTCAATGTGAGGACTGTGCTGAGCACGATGTCTTTGGTCTGGCTGCCAATATTAAGCGCTCCAGTGGCTGGAAAACCCAGGAGCTGAACACTGTCCCTCCTGCCGAGATGGCCCAGGTGGTTATCAAGTACCAGGTAGGACAGACTGAGGTTCCTTCTCTGGGTTTCCAGTCTGAGTGGGGAATGCAATTCCACCTCATTGAAACTTCTGCTGGTGTTGAGGTTCGATTGGAGTTCCCTGCCAACCGTTACGACAACGGTGAGATGGAGCGATTCTTGGAAAACTTCATGACCTCTCTCACCAGCATTGTCACTAACCCCAGCCAAGCTCTTGACACTGTTCCCATGTGTGGACCCAGTGAACTTGCTTGGTTGAGCGAGAACGTCTGGAACACTGGCTATGTTCCCAACCCCTGGGGTAGCGCTAGTATTTGCCAGAAGGTCATTGAGCGTGCTTGGGCTGCGCCCAATGCGGTCGCTCTCTCCGACTCTGCTCTTGATAGCCTCACCTACTCGGAACTTGTCGAGCAGGTGCAGCGCGCAGCCGCTTGCCTTCTGGATGCTGGTGTTACCAGCGGCGATCGCGTTTGCTTGATGCTGAAGCCTGGTATCAGCGCTGTTGTGGGAATGCTTGCGACCATGTGGATTCGTGGTTGCTATGTCTACCTCAGCAATGACTTCGCTCCTGAGCGATTGGCTACTATCATCACTGACTCCGGTGCTAAGACCATCCTCTTTGAGACTGAGGTTGAGCATCTGGCTAATCAGTTGGTTGATGCGGTCTCCGCCGATGAGGCTCACCCTGCTGTTGGCACTATTAACATTGCCGAGGCCAGACAGTTTGATGGCATGGCTTACCTTCGTCAACCCGAAGCTAGTGATGTCTTGTACATGGTTTACACCTCGGTATGAATAATCTCACCAAAAGTTTAATGACTGCTAAGGACTGTTTACTGACTTTTCAATACAGGGTAGCACAGGTACCCCCAAGGGAGTGGTCATCTCTCAGAGCAATGCTCAGCAAATGCTCTCATCTCTTCACACCCTCTTTGAATTCTCTAACAAGGATCGATTCCTGCAGCAGACTTCTCTTGCATTCGACATCTCCTTTGTGCAGGTCTTCTCTGCTCTGTGCTCTGGTGCTCAGGTTTGCATTGCTGAGGCTGGCATGCGCAAGGACCCAGTCGCTCTTGCGAACTTCATTCAGGAGCAGTCTATCACTGTGACCTACTTCACTCCTACTCACTTTGCCCTTCTGCTTGAGCACAACTCCAAGGCTCTGCGCGAATGCCAGCAATACCGTGTTGCCTTGTTCGCCGGTGAGCGTCTGCCAGCTCGTTTGGCTCGGGCTTTCTATGACCTCGCTATCCCAGCCACTATGTACAACGGCTGGGGCCCTAGTGAGCCGGTCGTTCAGACTACTTTCCACAAGATCGAGGCCTCCTCCTTACCTGGCCTCGTCAGTGTTCCTATCGGTACCCCATTGGCCAACTGCCGTCACTATGTGATTGACAGCGCACTCAACCCCCTGCCAGCTGGTCTGGTTGGAGAAATGTGTGTGACTGGTCCTCAGGTTGGTCTTGGATACCGCAACCGCCCCGAAGCCACTGCCAAGGCCTTCATTCAGAGCCCATTTGCCTCTGAGAAGGACAAAGAGCGTGGCTGGACTACCATGTACCGCACTGGTGACAAGGGTCGCTTCTTAGTCGGCGGTGCCCTGGAGTTCCACGGACGTGTTGAGGGTGACAAGCAGATCAAGCTGCGAGGATTCCGAATTGACCTCGGTGAGGTTGAGGAAGCCATGTTCCAGCGCTCCATGGATGGCTCTGGCCAAGGCATTGTTGATATCAGCATTGTCGCGAGAACAGTTGACGAGACAGCTGACTCGCTTTCCTCTCTGACTGATGATCGTCAGATGATCGCTTTCATTGTTCCCAAGGTCGAGCTGAAGGATACCCAGAGCAAGACTGACTACGCTACCTTCCTTCACCAGGTCGTTGAGCCTGTGCTCAACTACTACATGCTGCCCAATGGATACCAGTTCTTGGAGGAACTTCCCACTACTGTTGGTGGCAAGGTTGACCGCATGGCTCTTATGCGCATGACGCTCTCTCTGGTTCACCCCTCTGTTGCTCCCAAGGCGACAGAATCCTCTGGGACTATTACTGCTGATGCCGACACTATCAAGGATGTGACCAAGGTCATGCGATCCCTGATTGGCAAGAAGAAGGTTATCGCCCCGACCGACAACTTCTTCCACATTGGTGGTCAGAGTGTTCTTCTTATCCGACTGCAGTCCAAGTTGAAGAAGAAGTTCGGCATCTCTCCTCCTCTTCAGGACCTTTTCAGTGACTGCACTCCCCAGGCTATCGCAGACAACATCTGCAAGCTCCGTGCTGGTGCTGAGGATGCCGCCAACGGTAAGGTTTCCGCAAACTCGGTCAACTGGTCTCAGGAAGTGCTTCTTGCTCCTTCTCCCGAGTACTCCAACTTCAACCAGCGCCGACGTCTCCAGCGCAATGAAGTCTCCAACATCCTGCTCACTGGTGCTGATACCTACATTGGTATTCATATGCTTTCTCAGCTGCTGAATGCCCGCCCCAACACCACTCTCTACCTTCTCGGAACCACCAGCCCCGTCGAGGAAGAGGCTCTGAACGCCAACATGGCCAAGTACGAGCTATTCCGTGACGGAATTACCGAAGAGACTCTTCGCTCTCGCGTCAAGTACGTTCCCGGCTGTCTGTCCGCTCCTAAGCTCGGTCTCTCCGACTCGGCTTTCTCTGAGCTCGCCACAACCACCCACGCGATCTACAACATCGGCGCCGAGGTTTCTCTCCTGAAGACCTACCACGACCTTCGGTCCGCCAACACCGATGCTATCCGCAGCATCATCACCCTTGCCAATAGCAGCACCACCGGTCACATCGCCGAGATCCATCATCTCTCCACTTGGAGTGTCCTGCACATGCAAACTTGGTACGAGACCACTCGCACCCGAACAGGAGTAAGCATCGACGAGGAGAACGCCTCGCACTTCTCTCCCCCAGACACAAACACCCACGGATACCTGAAGACCCGCTGGGTCGCCGAGATGATCCTCACCGAGGCCTCTCGCCGCGGACTCCCAGTCTCGATCTACCGATCCTCTGCTGTATCCGGTAGTCTGGCCACCGGCGTCGCCGCGCCCAAGCTGGATCTCATCCACAACATGATCATGAACATGATCCAAAGCCGCCGCGTTCCAGATGTGTGGTCCAACCCTAACAATATCGGTGAATTCGTTATCGATTTCATCCCCGTCGATAGTCTCACTTCCGCTATCACCGGAATCTCATCTGAAGAATCTCTCTTCAAGCCTGAACTCGATATCTACCACCTTGGTAGCTCTCGTCCCTTGCCTATCCGAGAGCTTGGTCCTATGATCCTGGCTATCCGTGAGGAACTTAAGGAGGCTCCGGAAGCTACACCGATTATTGATGTTGATGCTTGGTTGAAGGCTGCGAGAAATAGCTCTTCCGAGCAACAGCACCTTTACTGGACTGTCGTTGAGGATTATATGAAGAATGGACACAGAATGCTTGCGCTTGATAACAAGCGCTCTGTTTCTGCACTTGAGAAGGTTGCGCCTGGTGCGCAGTTCCCGAAGATTGATGCGGAATTCTTGAGGAGGATGTGGACCAGTCAGGCTAATGGTCACCAGTGATTGAAGATTGGAAAGATTGATATTTTATGATTTATGGACGTTAAATTTTTGTTTATGATTCAAATGTTCGATTTAGCATTGTTTTTTTTTGGATTATTTATAGATGATATCAATTTGATTGTTTGAACGGCATTTTAAAAACTTCTGATTTCAAAGTTTCTGGGAGGAATTAATTAACCTCTTTTCTTTCTCCAATACCTTTACTACTGGGCTATCTTTGACGGTTTTTTTAAGTCTTCCAGTTGACCTCTTCATGTTCATAGTTAGCCGATATTTATACAGTAGTTATTCTACCCCTTTGGGTACCACTCTTTCTATCATCTAGATACTCCTGTAGGTACCCCTAGAGGTACTTGCATACATAAAAGTTAAGGTCACCATTCACCTATAGTACATACTACTAGATAGTAGGTAAAATGGATTCTTATACTCTAAAGCCCATATGACATCTATACAAGCTAGCTGGGCTATCTGGGATTAGCCTTGTGACAGGAATCAATAAATGACAAGTCTGAGCATCTAAGTTATTATAAAATTTCTACAAATCCGTCGTCAACTTTCATTCCCCTATGGTAGAGCATTTCTCTACCTAAAACTAGGGCTACCATTGCTCTTCATATTTCAACTCCTATCCAATTTGAATTTCTTTCCTCCTACATCAACACTCTTCAACTATCTCACTACTTCTCATATCAGACCCTATTCGGTTTCGTCTTTTACCCTTCTGCACACACACCTCAACTTACTTTTCCCATTTACCATCAGTCTTCCCTTTCGCCAACAATCACCTTGCTTTGGCTATAACCCCGGTCCCATTGAGCCAGGAACCGCAGAGAAATCAGCCAAAGACGTCCAATTTTACGTTTACTCTTCTCTTCTACCATCTACTCTCATCTTTTACTCTTTCGGTCGGACTCTCTTCACGATGGCTGAGCCAACAAAAAGCAGCACAACATTGAAGTCTGTGAAGTCAGCGAAGTCAGCGAAGTCAACGCAGCCAGCGAATTCAAAGAAGCCAGTCACAAAGAATAGTGATGAGCATGCCGCGTCTAGCAGCCAAAACGTGTCCCAGAGCGGGAACAATGACAAAGCTTGCTCAGGATCATGCAACTGCGAAAGATCCCGATATCGAGGACGCTCTCATTCACCTCGCCGTTGTCCTCCCCATTGCCACTCTTCCCGGGATCAGTCTCCATGCCATCACAACCGACCTCGCCGCTCCCGCTCCCGCTCCCCAAACTATCATAGGTCTCACTCTAACTACCGAGCACGAAACCCCCGCATCTACAGATCTCCAGAAAGCTCGCTCTCATATGCGATAGAAAGGCTCTATTACGCGTCAGAAAGGGTCATCAAATATAAGCGTCTTCTGCTAGATGCTAGAGCTGACCTGGCCATGGCTGAGGGATTGGTTGTTATGATCAAAGGGCAATTATAGTGACTGGACCAAGCTGGGAGTAGGATACTCTCATTTTGGATCGTTTTTGCTTGCTACTATTGGAGACTGACGTTTGCATTTCTTGCCTTTTACACGAATTTGGAGGTATTTGCATTTTACTCTATTCAATTTGCTATTCTCGGTCTACTTTTTGGTTTATCCATTTTTGCATTGGAACAAAATTGAGGTCATGGGAAATTGCATTTATCATTCAAGCTGCTAAATTGAGACTTTTATTTATTCTTTTGCAGGTTAATTGGAATCGTCCATATCTATTTCTTAAAATACTACTTAAGTTGACTTGATCTTTACTTAGGCAACTACAAGTGCATTAGGAAGATGATTTAATCGCATACCAAGCTGATTGAAGAAATTTTCGCTAAATACAAACATTCAAAAGATCACATCAAAAATACATCAAATCTATAAACATTCACAAACATAATTATAAATCACTTAAGCAGTGTACTCCTCGACCAAAGAGAGGAAGCTCTTAAGCATAGCCTCAGAGCTCTCCTGAGAGTACAAAGCATCCTGAAGACCAAGCTGGAAGAGGGTACCACCATTGCGGTCCTCAGTAATCTCAAGAGAGATATCATATCCAGTCTGGGCATTGCCCCATCGCTCCTCGCTCACAGTGCAGTCACCACCCCAGCTGGCCCGATCCTGCGGGACTTGGCGGTAGTCGACGAACACCTGGAAGAGAGGGTTGGACTCAGAGGCACGGTTAATGTTCAGCTCGTTCAGGAGCAGATCAAAGGGCAGCTGAGAGTGCTGCAGAACATTGTAGATCTTGTTGCGGGAGTCCTGGACCATCTCCTTGAACTGGTTCTCGGAGAACTCGCGGCGCACGTGGATGGGGAGAAGGTTGAGAAGGAAACCCATGGAGCCCATGAACTTGGGGTCCAGACGGTTAGCGTCGGCGATACCGATGCAGAATTCCTGGAGATCGGGAAGAAGGCGGTAGATCTGGGTTTGGAGCAGAGCGACGTAGACGTGGAAGTTGGTGGACTTGGATTGGCGAGCGAGGGCCTTGATCTTGGCACTCTGGGCAGGGCTCAGAGTAGCGGAGGCGGTGTTCAGACCATAGCGGAGCATCTGGGGGCGAGTCTCAACCTTGGCGAAGGGAAGGAGAGGGATAGGAGGGAGATCAGTGGGGAGAGCACTGCGCTGGAAGTCGATGCTCTTCTGCATGCGGCCGGACTCGTAGTCGTCGCGCTGCTTCTGGCCAAACGAGCGGTACTGGCTGGCAAGGGGCATGGGGGCCATGGGCTTGCCGGAGTAGGCTTGCTCAAGCTCGAGGAAGAGAACACTGAAACTATAACCATCGAAGGCGATGTGGTGTGCACCAATCAGAACGTAGTGAACATCCTCGGAGACAGTGAGCAGGCGGATCTTGAGAGGCTCCCAGCTGTGCAGGTCCCAGTCGTGCTCGTGCATACGCTTGAACTCTTCATCGACTTGCTCCTGGGCGACGGACAGCTTCTCCAGCTTCAAAGTAGGCTTGGACAGGATACCCTGGCGCAGCTCACCAGTGGACTCGTCATCCTCGTCATCAGAGTCCTCGACGTCCTCGGGAACGATACGAGTGCGCATGATCTCGTGGCGCTGAGCGACAGTCTCGACAGCCTTGCTCAGGTCATCAACGCGGAGAGCACCGGTGAGCTTGAACATGACAGCCATGTTGAAGGTCTTCTTGTCCTCAATGTAGTTGTGCAGGAACCAGAAACGGTTCTGACCGAAGGACAGAGGAACCTGGATCTCAGCCGGGCCGTTCTCAGTAGCAACCTTGGGGTCGACTGAGGCACTGCTGACCGGTGTCTCAATGCCACTCTCAGATGACTCAGTGGCGGAGGCAGAGTCAGACTCAGCCTTGACCTCCTCTTCGCCTCCAGTCGAGATCTTGGTCATACCAGCGGGGAGTCGGGGAATGGCATCGGCAACCAGGTCCTGGATGGTACCACCAGCAAGAACCTTGAGGACGGGCATATCAACATCCAGCTCCTTCAGGAACCAACTGCGGACCTCAACAGCCATGAGAGAGTCGACACCCTGCTCGATAAGAGACATGGTCTCGTTGATGGTGTCCTCATCGGGGATCTGCAGGGTCTTCTTGAGACGGGCAACAAATCCGGTCTTGATAATCTCCTCAATCTGAGCAAGATCCTCAGCATCACCCAGCTGAACACGAACGGGAGCAGTCTGGGCACCGCCAGCCTGAGCAGAGTTGTCAGGGCGGTCCTTGACGAAGTGAGCGAACTTCAAGTCAGTCAGGATCTGACCAGTGATAGGAGCATCGGTGTAAATTCGCGACACTCCAGACACGAACTCAGCATCCTCAGTGCAGTCAGGGTGACCGGTAGCAATGGCCTCAGCAAACATGGTGAGGACATCCTGGTCACCAATGTTCTTGTGACCCAGACGGTTGAAGTGCTCGTTGTCGAGAGTAGAGCGCTCAACGTATCCAAGACCGACGATGGAAGAGATATCCATGGCAGAGGCGGCAAGACCACGAGCGCGGCGCTGGCGAGCCATGGCAGCCATGAAGGCGTTGGCAGCGGCATAGTTGCACTGACCACTGTTTCCAGTCACTGCAGTGAGAGAAGAGAACACAATGAAGAACTCCAGGGGAGTGTCATAGAGGAGCTCATCAAGCAGGATGGTACCCTCAACCTTGGGGCGGAGACAGGTCATGAAGTCCTCGAAGGACATGTTCTCGAAGATGGCATCCTTCATGATCATGGCACCGTTGGCAACACCACCGAGAGGAGGCATGTTGTCATTGACCTCAACAAGGAGAGCCTTGAGAGAGTCGCGGCTTGTGACATCACTGCAAATTTATTAGCAAGATTTGAAATTAGATGGGGGAAATGTAATACTTACCAAGACATGGCACTAAGAGTGGCACCGTGGAAGGCCATGGCCTCAACGAATTGAGGGTCAACCTTGGGGGAACGACTGGTCAGAACAACGTGTCGGGCACCGTGCTCGATCATCCACTGGGCGATAGCCTGTCCAACCTGGCCGGAAAGACCGAAGAGGACATAGGTCTTGTTGGCATCGAAGATAGTGCAGTCATCAATGGCAGAGACCTCAACAGCGGTAGACTCAACGCGCCAGTCCATGACAGTGAGATCACCCTCGTTCTTGACAGCAGTAGGGCACTCAGAGATCAGGACAGGAGTAGACGGCTCCTCAATCAGACCAAGGTTCTCGATGCTGTTCAGGGCAGACTGCAGCGCCTTCTGTCCCTCCTCAACGGAAACCTCCAGAGAGAGCTCAACTTCACTTCCCAGCACGGAAGAGCGGCCAAAGATGACGCAGTTGCGAGACAGGAACTTGGTAATGAATTGACCAGTGCTGTCAGCAGTGCTCTCGCGCTCAAGGTTGACAAAGGCGGAAACCTTCTTGGGGATTTGGCGAGAGATGAGACGCTGAGGAAGGCGAGGGTGGATGTAGATAGCCTCGGGGCGGTGGACCTTCTGGGAGGTGGTCAGCAGAAGCTGAACACCCTTGGACTTGGCAGTGCGCAGAAGAGCATCAGCCAGAGATCGCTCGGCGTCGTGAACGATGACAGTGCCAGCAGTTAGGGCCAGCTTGAGAATCTTCTCAGCAGTCAGGTAAGCCGCAATAGAGGCAATACCAGCAACAGCATCGACACCCTTCTGGGGGACAGTCCAGGCGGACAGAGAAGGAGCAGAGCTCTCAGCAGCCAGACCAAAGGCGAAGACATTCTCCTTGGTCTGGGAGTCAGTACCAGCAGCAAGCATGAGGTAACCAGCATTCTCAACGAAGATCGAGTCAAGGAGAGAGTGGGAGACCTGCACGGTGGTAGTAGGAGCAACGGACAGAGTCACACGGCGCAGAGGAGAAACATCGTGCAGAGTGACCGAGCTGCCATTGTTGCGGAGGACAACAGCCTCAGACTTGGGGTCAGCCTCGCGAGTAACCACGCGGCGAGAGGTGTTGTAGCGGAGGTTAGCATTCTTGCGGGGGTACAGGCGAGGAATGACAGCGCGTCCACCCTCCATGTAGATCTCAGGCTCAGGGCTGTAGAGAAGACCAGTGGCGGCCTTCTCCTTGGCAATGGTCTCCAAGAACTCGTGGCGGAGCACAGCCTCAGCGAGGATCTTCGCACCCTCCTCGTCAACCTTCTCAATGTCATACACTTGCAAGCGCATGTGAGGGTTCTCAGCACGCATGGTACGTCCGAAGGCGACCATCATGTTAGAGTGAGGAGTGGCAACACGAGATCCGCAGGTAGTCCAGAGGACGTTCTTAGAGTTGCGGAGCAAGTACTTGAGAGCATCGTGCTTCTCAGAAGAAGGAACACGCATGATAGGATCGTCCAGATCCAAGAGAGACACAATGCTAGTGCCCTCAGCCAAGCCCTGCTTGTGGGTCTCCTCAAGAGTAGGAATGCGGATGATAGTCTTGAAGCGGTCACCAATGTTAGCAAGGAGCTTCTCAGTGAACTGCTCGACCTGAGAAGTGGTGCCACCAAGGATAGTCAAAGTCTTGGAAGCATTGACAGCGGCATCGGCAGGAGCGCTCAGAGGAGAGCGGAGAATGTTGATACCACTGTCAACAGCCTGAGCGGCAAAGACAACGCTTGGGTGGGTAGCTCCACAAGAAGGAGTAGAGGTCTCAATGCCGGAGAAACCACACTTCTGCAGAGCAGCATCCCACTCAGCCAGGGAAAGCATGGGGCCCCAAGGACGACCGCTGTCGGCACCCAACCACCAGGTAGGCAGACCAGTCATGGGGAAGGACATGCGAAGAGCGTCGTTGCTGGTGAGCTCGTGCATCATCAACCAAGCACCGGGGCGCAGAAGCTGGCGGATGTTCTTCAGGACCTCCTCAACCTTGGAAGTGGCGTGGCAAATGAGGTTAGCCACAACCAGGTCGTAGGAGCCCTCAGTGAATCCCTGAGAGTCAGGAGCACGCTCCATGTCAAAAATCTTGTAGTGCATGCGGTGGCCATACTTCTCATAAGCCTGCTCACCAGCCTCAAGGTTAGCGCTGGAGGCGTGAGTGAAGGTGTAAGAGGAGAAAGCGTCCTCGATACCAGGAAGAAGGGCCTTGGTAGAGCCCCAGGTATCGGCGCCAACCTCGAGAGCGTGCATGCGAGGGTAACGGTGAGCAAGCTGCTCAACCATGCGAGCAAGCCACTTGTTGGGAGTCTGGTTAGAGGTGAAGAACTCAGCCAGAGCTCCATCCTTGGCCATGTACTTGATCATGCTCTCGTTCTCGCGAATGGCAGTGGGAAGGTTCTCGCCGACAATCTGGACCATCTTCCAGTCAGGACCCTGGTTGTTGGCAATCAAGTCGTTAATAACGTCCTGGGTGTCCATCAGGTGCTCCAGACCAATAGTGGCATGGGATCCACTGGCGACGAGGCCCTCAACATAAGCAGCCCACTCGAGCAGCTTCTGGTAGTGGGGAAGGGTGTTGGCCTTCTCCTCAGCGGTAATAGTGTCGACCAGCTTGCGGATGTAGAAGAAGGAGACACGCTCCAGGTTCAAGGCCTTCTCCTTGTCAGCAGCAGAGGGCTGCTCACCAGCGAAAGCAAGCTCACCATCCAGGTTCATCGACTTGTATTGTAGGTCAGAGAAAATGGTGGAGTCATCCTCAGGAGTGGGTGCAGAGAATGGGCGCAGGGTAAGACCCTCAACCTGGACGAAGGAATGGTTGCCCTCGGCAGTGAACAGGTGAATATCCGCAAGAGTCTCACCGTGGTGGCTAGCAGTGATGACAGACTGGTAGTTGATTCCAGAAGGCTTGCCCTCACCCAGGCGAGTGAAGCGGGGGTTGACCACAATGGACTCAATGAAGGTGGGAATACGCATGGCGAACATGCGGTTGTCACCGGGAGCAGAGTAAGCAGCAGAGGAGGTCTGCAGAGCAGTGTCCAGCATAGCAGGGTGAACAGTGAGCTCATCCTCCCAAGCAGTGCCGGAAACATCCTCAAGGATACCCTCAGCATAGTTGGGCTTGCGGTTGACAGTGCGGATACCGTTGAAAGGAGTCTCGTAGTGGTAACCCATGTCCCAGAAGGCCTGGTAGAAGTTACCAATGTCCTGGGGAATGAGGTTGAAGGACTCAGAAGAGATGATGGGCATGGTATCAGCTCCAACTTGCTCAAAGTCGGCAATAACACGACCACAGGCGTTGCGAACCATGGGGGCATCGTTAGCCAAGCTAGAGTAGCAAGCAAACTCCAGAACAAGCTGAGACTCGTTGTTCTCAATGATCTTAGCAGTGCAGTAAACCTCGAGTCCAGCGCCCTCATCCTTGAAGGACATAGCACGGTCAATGGAGAGGCCCTCAAGCTTCAGCGAGACAGGGTTGCGAGTAGCCAGGATCACTGCAGCATCCATAGCCATGGAGACATATGCGGTGGCAGGAGCAATGATCTGACCTTGCAGAGTGTGGCAGCGCAACCAAGAAATCTCGTTGGGACGAATGACGTTGCGCCAGGAGACCTCCTGGTTAGCAGTGCTCTCAATGCACTGGCGACCGAGCAGAGGATGCAGCTTGGCATGGTTGTTCATGTGAGTAGTAGAGATACGGCTCAGGTTGCCAAAGGTACGGCTGTGGTTGAAGGGGTACAGAGGCAGACCAGGCAGGAACTGCTTGGGCTGGAGCTTGCCCTCGAAAGCAAGATCGAAAGCGCTGAAAGAGACACCATCGCGACCGAGGTGAGTCCAGACAAAGCCCAGAGCGTTGGAGAACTCAGTCAGGTCATCCTTGCCACGGCCGAGGACACCAGAGTAAGGAATGCCAGCCTGGTTGAGCTCCTCGAGAGTGCTGGTAGCAGGTCCCTTCAGGGCAGGGTGGGGACCAACTTCCAGAATCAGATCAAAGGGACCATCAGCCTCAAGAGCCTTGGTAACAGCAGGGGCGAACATGACAGGGTTGACCATGTTGTCGACCCAGTACTGAGAGACGAGGTTCTCCTTGGACATGACCTGGCCAGGAGTGACACTGGAGTGCCAGACGGTAGTGCTCTCAAACTCAGTGGCATTGTTAGTGTTGCCAAGAGACTCAAGGTAAGGTCCGGCACAAGGAAGCATGTGGTGGGAGTGGTAAGCAGTGTCGACCTTCAGCTTGCGAACAAAAGTCTGCTCGTCCTTGAAAATCTCAATAGCCTCATCGATAGCAGCCTCGTCACCAGAGATGGTGACACTGGAAGAGGAGTTGCAAGCAGCAACCTTGAGTCTGCCCTCGAACTGCTCAAGCTCACAGAACTCCTGAGCATCCTCAAGGGAGGTACCAACAGCCATCATGGCACCCTTACCGCCATCGGCAGAGCAGGCCAGCTTGGCGTGGAAACCACGGTAGTAGGCGATGCGGATGGCATCCTCAGCGGAGACCAGGCCAGCGGCGTATGCGGCACCGATCTCACCAGAGGAGTGACCAACAACAGCCTTGAGCTGAATGCCAACAAGGCGAAGCAGGTTGACCAGAATCACCTGGACAGCAGTGCAAAGAGGCTGGGAAAGCTCGGCCTCGGCCATGCGAGATTTGTCAGCAGCAGCCAGGAGCTCATCGCGGATAGTCCAGGATGGGCGGTCGGTAACAGGGAGAGTAGCCAGCGACTGGTCGAGCTTGTCAACAATCTCAGAGACAAGAGGTGACACCTCAAGGAGCTTGGCACCCATGCGAGGCCACTGAGCACCCTGTCCAGTGAAGACACCCAGGATCTTAGCATCGGGCTTGTTGGAGTAGCGAGTCTTGAGATCAGAGTCGCCGAGCAGGGCCTCGAGCTTGGCAGTCAGCTCATCAACGCTGGAAGCGGAGATGGAGGCGCGGTAAGGCAGAGCAGAGCGGCGATCCTGCAGGGTGAAAGCCAAGTCACGCAGGTTGGTACCGGGGTGGTTCTCGAGGAACTCCTTGTGCTCCTTCATGATGGAGCGGAGGCAAGGGTCCGAGGCGGCAGAGAACACAAAGGGAGTGATCTGGGGACCCTCAGAAGCAGCAACCAGGCGCTGAGGGCCCTCGTAGGACTCGATGATAGCGTGAGCGTTGGTTCCACCGAAACCGAAACTGTTCACACTAGCCCGGCGAGGGTGGCCAGGCTTGACTGCAGGCCACTTGACAGCCTCAGTGGGGATCTCCAAGTTGTCGTAGAAAGGAGCAACCTTGGGGTTCAAGGTGTTGAAAAGCATATTAGGAGGAACGTAGCCATCACGGATGGCTTCAATTGCGGTGATCAAACTGGCCAGACCAGCTGTACCTTCGGTGTGTCCGATCACAGTCTTGACGGAACCAACCAGCAGTTTCTCATTAGTTGGGGAAGGGTTACCGTTCTCGAAGTAGGCAGTAGAAATAGCCTGAGCTTCTTGAGGATCTCCAGCCTGGGTACCAGTACCGTGGGCCTGGAAGAATTGAGGACGATCTTCCATGACATTAATGTCCAGGCCAGCCCGGATATAGGTTTGTTTGATCAACTCAGCCTGTGCGATACCGCTCGGCATAGTCAGACCAGGAGTACGACCATCCTGGTTGACCATGCTACCACGGAGCACACATTGAATGTTATCACCATCCGCAATAGCGTCCTTCAAGGACTTCATAATCACGGCGGCGATACCTTCACCACGAGCGTAACCGTTCGCATCAACATCCCACATGCGGGAACGGCTGTCAGGAGACAGCATGCGCAACTTACTCTCCGCAATGTAGTTGGCTAAAAAGGGAGGGAAAAAAATGATTAGTATGAGTGGGACTCAAATAGTGGGGATTCAGGAATCTAGATTCCTCCACTTACCGGGACTCAGAAGCAAATTAGAACCAGCAGCAAGAGCAACACGAGACTCTCCACTCTGGATAGTCATAGCAGCCTGGTGCAAAGCAACCATACTAGATGAGCAAGCAGTATCGATAGTCATGGAAGGACCATGCCAATCGAACAGGTAGGAAATACGGTTGGACGCAATACTACGGCCCATACCAGTACTAGCATACATTGGGTAGTTATCCCAGTCCTGAGTGAGCAAACCACTCCAGTCATCACACATCAAACCAACAAAGGCCGAAGTCTGGGAACCGCGTAGAGACTCCATTGGGATGCCAGCATCGGTAAGGGAGTCGTAAACACATTCCAGCAGCATTCGGTGCTGGGGATCAGCAGCCTCACATTCGGCAGAGGTAATATTGAAAAAACCATTGTCGAATGCAAGAGGGTCCTCATCCAGGAAGTAAGATTCCTGAACATCAGTGGTACCATGGTGAGTGGGGTCGGGGTGGTAGTAAGCCTCAACACTGTAACGGTTGGAAGGAACACGCTTCAGAACATCACGAGGGTTCTTGAGCAACTCCCAAAGCTTGGAAGGGCTGTTAGAGCCTCCGGGGAAACGGCAGGCAGTTCCGATAATAGCGATAGGCTCTTGAGTTCCAGACATGATGAATGATCGTTCAAGTTTCGAGTATTAGATGATAATAGATAATCGAAAGGAGTGCAGAATCTCAGATAGTGCAAAGTAGTGCAAGTATAACAAGTTTTAAGGTTATATGGGGGAAGAGAAATGCTTGGTATGCGAGAGAAGGATGCTTGGTATGCAAAAGAAGAGAAGGATGGAATGATGATTTGATCAAAGAGGTAGCAGAGTAGGGATCTATATAAGAATTTTGGGGTTGATATGCATGGTGAGTATGGATGAGTAGCATGAGTAGCATAATCCTCAGCTCTTCCGCAACGCATACCTGAATTAGAAGATGGCGGGATCGGCCCCATTGCCAAGATACTAGAAATGGCAATGGGGGTCAAAAATAGTAGAGAAAGAGAGGATAAACTAGTAAGAGAGAGTTCATAGCTTTGAATCCGCTTATTTAGTGGATTCGACGTCATAGAGTAAGCTCTAAGCAGTGTGATGATCATTTAGCTTCTCCTCAAGGGTTTTAGTGTAATGATTAGTCTCTTTTTAGTCTCTATATAATCCTATTTAGTTCTATTTAGTCCTATTTAGTCTCTATTTAGTCCATTTTTAGGGATATTAGTGTATATTAGTGCATATTAGTGCATATTAGAAGAATCCTGCAGAGTCCCTCTTCACCAATAAGAGATAATCTTATCCCCCACATTTCATACTCTAGATCGAACGCTCTGACTACGTCACAGCAAGGTCTAAAGTCAAAGCAAAATGAGACCCGACAATCAGGACCAGATGATAGATGTTATATCGTAAACCCGACAGACTGGTGCAAGAAAAGCCATAAGTGGAGACTGGATTATCCTTACAGGTAACCTGTACTCCGTACGGAGTGAGTACATAAGAGGGGTGGAGTTGAGGAAATGAGAGCGAGGTCCATAATAAAGTCAAATTTATGGTGGAGTGAGTATTTGAGCGTATTCAAGGAATTCCAATTAGACGGTTCAAGTACAATGTGCCACTATCTGCCGCACATGGCAACTCTATGGCTCTCGCCCCCAGAATAGCCTCGTATGAAACTGGCCCCCAATTCCTTGGTGAACTCTGAAGAAATTCTACTAATTCCCCAAGGTTTGAAGCTAAGGCAGGGTAGTGAAGAAGACTCTAAACCATAAACAGGCACAATTGACGTTCATCATGCATGGAAGCCCCCAAAAATGTTCCATTGGCCCCCAAAAATTCTATACTAGCCCCCAACTCCATCCACTTCAATTCATCCCCAAAATAGCATAAGCCCCCAAAAATCTGACAAAGCCCCCAAGAACAAGATTGCCAAGGCTGGGAACGAGCGGTGACTTCTTAATTTTGTGTGTAGATGTTCTAACCCGTTTGCACTTAAGATGAACTATCACCAGCGACAACCAAGTCAGACTGTGACATTAATTAATCTTGGCTTCAGGTCATACCAAGCTTGACTTTCCTTTATCCAAGTTTTCAAGTCAATTGAAACCAAAAAAATTCATCCATTCATTCACACATCATGTCTCTCCCAACTACTCGTTCCGCACTCGTCGGTACTGCCAATGGCAATACAATCCTTGCTCACGAAGTCCCCATCCCAACTTTAACCGGCGATGAAGTCCTCATCCGCACCGAGGCAATTGCCCTGAACCCCGTCGACGCGAAAATGGCTGGTCCATACATCACCGAGGGCTCAATCGCAGGTGTGGACGTAGCGGGAGAGATTCTCGCCATTGGACCCGATGTTGATTCCAATGATTTCAACGTCGGTCACCGAGTTATCGCCGGTGTCTTCGGTATGAACCCCAGGCGATCCGCATCTGGCGCCTTCGCTACCTACGTCGTTGCTTCCGTCGCGCTGGTCGTGCACATTCCCGATTCCATGAGCTACGATGTCGCCGCTTCAATCCCTACCCCCTTCATGAGTACGGGTCTGGCTCTATTCTACAGTCTCAAGTTCCCGTACCCGGAAACACCTTACAAGAGTGACAACCCTATCATTGTTCTGGTCTCGGGTGGAATGACCTCATGTGGTACCGCGGCTACGCAGTTGATTCGATGGGCGGGAATGATCCCCATTGTCACTTGCTCGCCGAACCATTTCGAGCAGGTTAAGGCGTACGGTGCGGAAGAGGCATTCGATTATAATGATCCGGAGTGCGCGGCTAAGATTAAGAAATTTACCAAGAATAATCTGAAGTTTGCGTTGGATTGTGCGACTACCACGGATAGTATGAAACTCTGCTATGCTTCCATTGGACGTGCTGGTGGTCGCTATACCGCGCTGGATCCGTTCTCGGCGACGGTCGCGGCGAGCAGGAAGGTTGTCAAGGCGGATTGGGTGATGGCGATCAGTTTGTTCGGAGAGGAGGTCGGCTGGCCCGAGCCTCATTACCGAGCGCTGGATCTGGATGTTAAGAACTTTGGAACGGAATGGCGTATTAAGTTGCAGGATCTGCTGCGGGATGGATCTATGAATCCTCATCCTATTGATACACAGTTCCGTGGTCTGGAGGGAGGTCTTGAGGGCATGGATCAGTTGCGGAAGGGACTTGTTCGCGGAAAGAAGCTTGTCTGTCCTATTGAGCATTAGGGACATTCCATGATTGACACGATGTGAAGCATCTTAGCCCTTGTTTTTTATATCACTAGATTTTGATTGAGTCAATTCAAATTAATTGAGTTTTAATGATCCCGGGGTTGATTGGAACTGAAATTAAGCATAAATGAAGTTGAGATGAACCTTGGAACAATCTCTCGCTCCTTGGTAATTCAAGTTTTGCAATGTCGATGTAAACTCTGGAGTAGGTGAACACTGTCAGCATGAATATTCTCCACTGGTAATTAAATCAACAAGGCTCGCAGCCTCGTGTTAGAATATGATCATGAAATAAAGCCCACGTGGTCAATTACTGTTTATTGCATCCAAATCATCCAAATCATGGAGTCAGGGGTAATGACGTAGACCCGATACCGGAATGGCTGTCAACTGGTGTCAACTGGTGTCATCTATAGATCATGGGCAACATTAAACGTAGATAACTCACAATTTTGAGTTAAAGTCAGTAAATCGGATAAAACTATTTAAATATTTGAGTTAGTCGTTATATCAGTATTGAATTCTTTCATCTGATGTCAATATCATTCAAGGTCGTTATGCAGTGTTCAAAGTTGGGATAAAACCAGTGATATATATACCACCTTAACTGTACTTACTACCGCCTAATAGTATACCAGAACTTCAAGTTGAAGTTTCCCTGAGCATTTCCAAGGTTTACTACTACTACTAGTAGTACTATTAAATTCAAGTTAAATTCAAACACTTCAAAGCACCCTGGATATCAATATCTATTATAAATTTATGTAAAATAAACACATCAACTTCAATGTTCTCATGGAGCATAACGGATATCAACCAAATCCACCGGACACGGACTCGGACTCCGATCCGACATTTCGACCCCAATTCTAACCAGAACAGGCAAAAATCGGATCTGCAAAGTGGCCGTTCAGATGCAATGATTGGAACTTGAAAAGGGGGCTAATTTACGACATCAGATTAAAAAAAAGTTATAAAAAGATTTAACCACCACATTCCTTGACCCTTCATCCTCCCTATCAACCTAGTGGAAGCCCAAGTGCTCATGGCAACATCTTCAACAACTCGCACCGGCACGTCGCGTCGCCGCGTGAAAGTGAAATCCGAATCAATTTCCAACTTGAATGGCCACGCAAATGGCACATTTACAGTCCGCGCATCAGCACCACACGCTCCTTCCCAAAAACCAAGACGTTGGCCACTCCCATTCCTCCTTCTCCTAACCTCTCTATCTCTATACGCGATCAACCCGACCGAAGATAGCATTCTCCACCATTTCATCTTCCTCTCCTACAAAGAACCAAATGCCAACCCCAAACTCGCTATCCAATATGGAAAAGGTCTCTGGGACATCGCCTTCGTCTCATTCTACACCCTGGTGCTCTTCACAGCTCAAGAATTCATAATGCATGAACTCCTCTCCCCACTCGCCCGCTTCTGTGGTATAAAATCACTCCGGAAACAAGCCCGCTTCATGGAACAGGTTTACTCAGTCTTGTACTTTGGGTGTACTGGTGTAGCTGGATTATATGTTATGCGTCAAACACCAGTGTGGTACTTTAATACCACGGGAATGTATGAAGCATTCCCTCATCGAACTCATGAAGCTGCGTTTAAGTTTTATTATCTTTTCGAAGCGGCGTACTGGGCTCAACAGGCTGTGGTTATGTTACTTGGTCTTGAGGCTAGGCGAAAGGATTTTAAGGAACTTGTTGCTCATCATATCGTTACTTTGGCACTTATTGGTCTGAGTTATCGGTTTCATTTTACTTATATTGGTATTGCTATTTATACTACTCACGATATTAGTGATTTTTTCTTATCGGTGCGTTTAATACTTCATGGATTTGGTTGGGAATTATGCTAATTGTTTGAAGCTCTCGAAATCTTTCCATTACACTGGCTCGGATCTTGTTATCCCTTTTTACGCTGTCAATGTGGTCGCTTGGATTTATCTCCGCCATTACCAGAACCTCCGCGTTCTTTATTCCTTACTCACGGAGTTCAGGACTGTTGGTCCCTATGAACTCAATTGGGAGACGCAGCAGTATAAGTGCTGGATCTCCAATATCATTACTTTCACTCTCCTGGCTATGTTGCAGGCTTTGAATCTCTTTTGGTTGTATTGTCTTGGACGCAGCGCTTGGAAGCTTTTGGCGTATGGGGAGAAGAAGGATGATCGGTCGGATGATTCGGGAGATGAGGGTGCCCATGCGAATGGGAATGCGAAAAAGTGAGTCAAGGACTGTCGAGTCTTGGACGTGGTGCAATCTTTATGAGGATTTGTATAATGGTCTTGGTTCATGTATTAATATCTTGCATGTGTGGTCTTGGATACCATCGGGATAAGCTCCAGATGGTCACGGTCACGGTCTTATGGGTTTAATGTTTATGTATTATAGTAATTGCCCTGCTCAAGTCATGGGTCTAATAATGTACATTGTTTTTTAAGTTAGAGGGACTAAAGTACTTTACTGAGATGGAATCATTTTAATTTTGATCATTTTCAAAGTGAGTTCATTATTTACACACTAAGAACAACCGAGGATGACCAAACGCCAGGTTTGCAATGTACAGAAGCCACGCCAGCCTCTCAAGAAATGTACACAAGTAAGAAATGAAAAGAAAGAGTAGAAGCTGAAAGGTAGAGATGGTGGGAGGAGAAAGAAATACAATGTTAAAGAAGGAAAGAAGTTCATGATCGCCTTGATGGATGGCTGTATGCCGGGGAAACAGGCGATCGCCTTCCAGAGTTATCGGAGCTGGTAGGGATCAATGGGAGTGTTGGTTCCAGCACATCTTGTACTGGTGACCTGGGAGCCCCCAATTTTTCATTGGTTTGACTCGGTGATCGGTCATCCAGGTTGTATCGAGAGCCCTGGTGACTCAGCGACATGTTCAGTTCGTTATTCGACTCGGCGTGCGAGGATTCATCGATGTTCCACCGAGATCCCAGACGGCTGTCGTCGCCTCGAGCTGTCTTCTCCAGAGGGAGGAGCTCGGTTGTCATGCGATTCTCCATACCCATACCGGAGAGGCGGAAGGATTCGCGGTTCTCGGAAAGACGCTTGTATTTCGCATCAGGCTCCTTCAAAGTGAAGGCGTAGAAGAATCCGATGAACAGCCAGATCAGGAGCGCGAGGGTGAAGATCGCGCTGAACAAGACCCACAAAACACCGCAGATACTGGTCATCATTTGGGGTTGGTTGAAGACATCGGAGAAGATGAGCATGAAGAGTGCGTTCAAGAAATTGAGTGACGCAGCGGTAATGGCGAACCCGTTCGCGGCGCGATCCATAAATGGCTTGATCACTATGGTGGCCACCAGTACACCGGCTTCCAGAACCAGAAGGATAATCGATTGAGGGATCCAAGCACTCTGCGCAAAGGCAGTAACCATGCCGCGAATGACAGTCGAAGCCAAAACGGGGAGAATAAAGTAGTATGCCTGCGCGCGGTAGTTGACGTATAGGAAACCCCATTTGGTGAGAGTAACGGGGTCGGAGTATAAGGTGTATGCGGGGGGGCTCATTGAGGGCTTTGGAGGCTCTGGCACGTTGGAAGACTCGGAAAACGGCATAGAAGAGTACAAGACTCATCACGACCCACATACTAACTGCCAGAACGATCTCTGCGGCGGAGTCTCGTTGAATCAGTTCCCACATGCACAGTGTGCACATCTGAGGGTAACCTAGGGACACAACACGATAAAGACTTCCTCGCATGAAAGTCTGCCATTCCGAGGTCGCATTGGCCGCCTGCGCGAGACGGGAGTTGTTGATCTTTTTGGCAAGAATGGGTAACACGAAACGAAGGAATAGGATGGCTATGATGATCAGGACGGCCACAAAGTAGAAGAACAGGTATCCGGTCATGAAGATGTTCGATGATTCGATATCTGCGATGTAAGCGACTCGCTCAATACCGCGCACGGTTTGTTCTGTTCCATCACTCGTAGTGTCGGTGGATCGCTTGGCCACATAGACTGATTCGTTATCGGTCAAAGTGAGGAGATCGGCGGCTGTACCTCCAGTCGCGCGCTGAAACCATGTTGCGATCGTCTGTAAAGCGGTGGTGTGCAGAATTCCCATGGTCCATTGGAAGAGTTGGGTCCACGACTGAACGATGGGCGGGAAATCGACGGCACTCATGCCTGCAATAGCCTGGTTCTGCATAAACCCGAGAAACAACATGGTACGGAAATTCAGGTGGGTGGCGATAACGGTATGTCCCAAAATTGAAATGATCACGGTCGTGATAAGGCCCACTCCGGTGACAACTGCTAGAACCCAAGCTACTGCAGGTTGATCGACTGTTTTGGAGTTTCGAACGCGCGTTTCGATACATGTCACTTGGGCGCCGGATGTGTAGTTTTTCAAGTTGAGACGAACGATGGCATCGAGATCGGGAATAGTATAAGTAATGCCTATTGACGGGAAATTAGGTTAGATGGTGCACATTCTTGATGTATATCCCCTGATTCCACATTCCTCTCATGGAAAAGATAACGATTATGCCATATATCGGATTAAATAGAATACTCACCAGGAATATCGCTCATGATAGAGGAAGAAACGGAAAGATGAGCGGTAGGAATAGTCAATTGTGCCTGTTCGACGGGACACAAACCCAACCCATCGTTGGGAAAGGTACAAGGGTCGAGTTCCTTGGAAATCGCAGTATAACCATAGACTAGCAGAGCGACCTCGATCTTGAACTTGGCTAGATAATTGATTTTACCATCGAAGGCGATACTGGCGGAATTGTTATTGGGAGTGAACACAACGCTGAAGTGGTCGACAGAGATAATGCCATCATCGGAACATGGCACTAAAGAGGTAGCTTCTAATAAATTGATGGCAGAGACGAGAGGGAGGAAAAAGAGAGCCCCGGCCAGCCCGGCGGTCCAGGAGGGGAACTTCATAGCGAAAGAGAAGGAAGATGGGATTTCTCCCAGAGAAATCCGGATAGAATCAAAATTTTAAAAGAGTGAATGGTTGACAAGAATCGGGAAAATTGTCTTTATGGAATCTTGACAGTTGGAGAGAACCCCATATTCGAGCCCGAGGGGGTTGGTTAGAGAAGGCGCTTAGGTTGATGTGAGAAGGGGGAGAAGCAGAGAACCAGGGGAGTAACAAGATGATCAAATGTGCCAAGAAATTTGGGGATTTTAAGGCAGCCGTAAATCCAATACGAAAGAAACAGATTAAAAACGGTCAAAAGAGAGAGAAAACACTGAAAACACTGCCACCTTTGTTTCAAAGTGGAGAAAAATCACGCTGATTCAGCAATATAAAAATAGAGGATGAGGTGGACAATGCGGAGACTTCTTTTTGGACTTAGTGAAAGAAGAAAAGAATTTGCTTGATCTACGTTTCACTTTGTATATCATAATCTAGATCATATGTCAATCCATTAATCCATCCATGTCAATGACTATATTTACTAATAAACATTGCTGATCTTCTGATCCACACATGTGCAGTGCAGTGCAATTACACCCAAGTCACCCGAGACATCCATGCTTACGACTCCTACAGAATATGGAGTACAGCGCTTACGAACCCCCTTCAAAGGTCTCTGCAACTCCAGACCTTTAAGGCCCTTTAAACATTTCCCTTACAGCCCAGAATACCACCAAGTGAACCAAATCCACATTACCAAACCAGAAAAGGATAAGTGGACAAAATGGATTTACCAATAGTAACAATCCACTAAGACACTAAGACACTTCACAATACTCACAATACTCACAATTACTCTCTTACTCTCAATACTCTCAATACTCCCCAAGTTATGTCTGCTGGACAGTTCTCTGGTAAGCTGGTAATTAATTTTATTGCAGACTCCACTCACCCCTGAATGATTCCTTTTAACTGGTTCTTTATCATGTAGGGTCGATCGAAAACTGGGGACCAACGCGTCGTTCAGACGGGAAGACCCTGTGAAATGTGGCACCGATGATGCGTCGTCTCCATATTTCAGTCAATACCAGGCGTTCACGTTTTTTTCTTTTTTTCCCTTTTCTTTCCCTGGGCATTTCCTGATTCTGTGGCGCGGAAGTTGGCGGATTACATTGTTATAATCCACTGATTGGTTTATGTTTCGAAAAAGGGGAATGTGGCTCGAGTGGCACAAATGAGAATCTCAGACCCTGACATCTGGATAAACTCGGCGATACGCCTATGTTTCATTTGAGATCGATTTAATTCTATTTCTGCTACATCATGGATGGAGTACTCTGATACGAGTGTAGATCGTATGAGGGTTAAGTGCGAAGATTTGAAGCGCTGGACCCAGTCGAGTGCGTAATTGCCACGGAAATCCTTGGTCGCGCTGTGGGGCGGATTCTCTGGATCTGATATGGATAAGTGTACGGATACGATTTATTCACAAGTTGAGCTGATTATATGTGCCCAGGCTACTCTGTACATATTAAAGCCTTGATTTTGTCCAAGGTTACTACGTACATACTACTGTAGTATGTTAAAAGTGGTCGCGGTGAGCAATGTGCTGTATTGCATGTGCGGGCTGGGAAATTGCGTATATCCGCGATCAATGCGTCATTGTTGCATGAGGGAACAGGATTTGGGATTAAGATTTACATTTCGAAGGAACAGCCTTGTTGTTAACTCCTCTGTGATCTTGAATTTGGCTTTCACTATTATATACTAACTTGAGTAGGATTTAAAAAAATGAAGAATGTGGGGGGTTAGCCCACATGGAAGCATTCTTGAGACCATGTGGGGAGAAGCACCATACTGGGGCATGAATATGGAGTACAGTAGAATATCGAAGCTTGAATTCAAGTTTACATGCATTGCAATATTTAAATACTTGTCATGAATGAAATACTATTGACAGATCTCATGCAGGCGATTCGCCGCTATTTTCTATATGCATCAAGTATCCATACGCCGTAATCAAAACGTAAACCTCGACAAATATGTCCATGGGCATCTAACATTTGAATTATTCCCGCCAAACGCTTCTAGGAAAATCGCACACCTTGGCTAGGATCCCATGTGCCAGTTTGCCGAACAGCTGACCCAGGTGTCATCCCCGTCCCTGCATTTGGGGTGGTGGCGCCTGGTGGCGCTCCGGCAGAATTGAATCGAATACCCATATCAGGAGACCACATTCCCGGTGTAGGTCCAGGCGGCGGAGGGGGCACCGCGGCACGGACAGGTTGGGGCGCTGTGAGTGGAGCCGCGGTTTCTAAGGGTCGCGGCGCATGGATTGGCGGAGGTGGCTGGGAGGGGGGGCTGGGAAGGTGCTGGTGCGGTGTACGTGGTGGGATGTCCGCGCGTAGGTTGAGGTGCAGGTTGACGTAAATGAGGCTGGGAGATATGTAGAGATGACATAGCGGTGACATTGGAGATATCGCTGCTATCGAGTTAGTACTCCGTATGGTTCGAGAAAAAGAGAGAAACACAACTCACGCTTCCAGTTGGCTAGCCTCCATTCGCCGCTGATGCACATATGCCTTCGCATCATCGCGGAATCGACTAACAATCTTAGCCAAGTCATTATAGAACTTACGGCCCACCTCCAGATTAGAGATGATCTCCTTGTACTTCAGGTATCCATTCTCCAGGTCTTGCAGGGCGGTTTCGCGCTCCTTGGTTGATGTATCTCCTGTGTGCGCCCGAGTAAAAGCCTGGTTAGCTTCGCGCACTTGATCAGCCAGCTGATCCTGCTCCTTTTGTTCTTGAGTAAGCATGTCTCGATCTGAATTATAGTATCGGAGTTGCTCTTCGAACAAATCCTCGAATTGGCTTGCTTGGATGGCCTGCATGGGGAACTCGCGTTCCAGCCGAGCGGTCTCATTGAGAAGAGCTGGGTCTATTGAGGTGTTAGCATAAAGGTAATATGCAACAGGAACTGAGAAACTTACGAATATCATCAGCCCGAGCCTTGTCCTTCAATGCCTGGATTCGTCTTCGTCGGCGATTCTCCATCCGACTAACATCACTCAAACAGCTACGCAGCTTGACAGACTCTCTTTCCAACTCTGGGGGGGATAGTAGCCCTACGGCTGCTGGGAACATAGGACTCAAGGTCTCGGTTCGTTCCAGTGAGAACGAGGAACACAGACTCCGAGTCACGAAGCTTGCGATCGACAAGTTCATCGCTGCTCTGCGCAGATGTGAAGTAGCCATTGATCTCTTTCAAAGTGGTGTAAATCTTAGAATTTGCCTTCTCTGAAAGTTCACGATTCCATCGATCTGTGCCATACTTGCGACATGCTGCATCGTTTTCAGCCTTTTCAGCCGCTAACAACTCCACGCCTTCATTGTAAATGGTACGGTCGTTGGATTTGACTTTAGCTGTGTCCTCGACAGATCGTCGCAGGCGGTTCAGCCCATCCTGCTGACGCATCTCCTCAGCATGGGAGACTAAGGTAGGAGGAAGTCCCAGGGGCTTCTCCAAAGCTTGTAAAGATCCCGGCAAGTTCAACGAGGAAAGTAAACTGGACAACGTTAGTGACAGACTAAAGAATAAGAGTGATCAGATCATACTCCCGAAGCTTGTCAGTCATAGATTCCAACTCTCCAACGAGACTTTCATTGATCAGTCGGTCTCGACGATCGGTGTAAATGCTAGCCGCAATATGCACTGCATAGGGAACCAATTTGGCGAAAAGTGGGAGTCCAAGTGGGCCTTGACTGCCGAGCATTGAAATAGCATCTGTAACCTGCGAAGGTGCCTTGGCAGCAACCATGCTAGCACGATCAATTGATTTCAACTCAGACTTGGGAGGAACGGGACTGAGATAAATCATATCATTGTCCTTTTCTGCGCGCTTTAAATCTTCAGCCACGCGACTCTTCAGCCCATTCAAATCCCCGAGCACCGTGCGGTTAACCCAACGCGACTCCTTGAGACCTTCATTAACACAATTCAAGCTATCCCGTAACCGCGCGACCTCCTCGCCATATTTTCGCTTCTCCAAACAGTCAAGCGACTGTCGGAATTGTGCAGCAGCAGCAAAGTGATGATTTTTGGCAGTCATGTGGTGGATCCAATCCGTGCTAATAGCGTTCGACTTGACAGCCAAATCACCTGCATCGCCATAAAAGTCGGAAACTTTCGCGGCGAGTCTCGCAATAGAGACATCCTTCAGCCCGTCCTTAACAGCTTTCTGCCAGAAACACTCTTGGCCCTGAGCTAGTAGCAGCTGTTCCAAGCTCTGCAGTGTCATTTCGTCCATATCTTCCGGAGGTGAGGCACGTAGGTCAGGAAGAATATCGGTACGGAGGTGGGCCAGGACTCCAGCAGCCTGGCACGAGTAATTGCATGCTTGCTTCAGTCCATCCGCGGTCGTTCGATTCAGCGCATAAGCGAGTTGGGAGTATAGAGCAGCTAAATTGAAAAGGATATTCGCGAGTTCGAAGCGGATATTATTCTGGGATACTATCGAGTAAATTCCATTAGTAAATCATTTGCATAACAAAGAACACCAATTTCATCTGGCGCTTCAGCTTCGCATAGCTCTGACTACTCACCAGGCCTTGATGCATTGAACCCAAATGCAGGGTACCAAGCAAAATCAACGCCAACCTGTCAAGTATCTCGTCAACCCTAATCCTCAAAATATCATAACCAGTAGGATCATACATCAACTGGAAACTTTCCACCAAGCCACTTCAACTGCGCCGCATATGTTACCAATCGGCTGATACCGCTAACATGCGGTTCCTGTACATTAATAGCCTCGGTTCGCAAACGATCAATAATCATCAGATCATCCGCGAACATATCCGGGCGTTGATCATATTTGGAGGAAATGTACTGCGTGATCGCATCCGACAACGAGACTGCGTGAGAGCGGCGAAACGGGATCTGTAAGATATTGCTAAAGAAAAAAAGAAAAATGTAAGAAGTAGTTCGACTGTATGCGACAGAAGTACTTACGATGTCATTGTCACCGAGTATTTGACACTTTGACAGCGTGGGGCAGGGAAGAACGTTTGTTGACGAGGTTGCTCTGACGCCGAAAACCCCACTGGGCAACGAATGACGTGTCTCTGCCTGAGGCACCAACTCCGCAGAAGTATCAACCTTGGAAGTGATCATCCATGGATCGTGCTTACTCTTCCAGCATTGAATCGATAACCTTAATAGTTATGCTCCCTTCCCCATTTGGAGTTTCCTGGAAGCTTCACTTTACTCGAAACTACGAAATGCTAAGTGATGGAATTTCGAGATTACTTCTCTCATTTGCGAATCATGAGCATCTAGCTCGTCCATGTTGTCATGTACCATATATGTACGTGAGCTCCTTCGAGCGCGCAAATGCAGAACTGCAGAATTGAACAGGGAAAGAATGGGGAAATATGGGAGGAAATAAATGCCACTCGGGACATGGAAAGCACGGCTGCGACTTAAGGAAGATTCTCAATCTTCCCCTTGAGGTACTCCATGATGCACATGAGGATCATGTTGTTGATTCCCGTGCGCAACAATATAATTGAGAGGCCCTTGTACATGCTAGACTTGGCCACTGCAACAGACGCCTCTCCAACCTCCTTGGACTTGCCTAGTAAGACGCTCTGTGCGCGTGTCTTACGGGTGTCGAGGGGATATGTCTGTGATATCGGTTAGTTTCAAATCCAAGAAACTGATACAAGGGTCTTGACATACGCAGAACCAGGGCAAGGTGCTGCACACAGCGCCGGCAATCGCAGGGGCCCCAACAGGCGATGTTTTCTCTCCCAGTTCCTTCGACGCCATCTCCTTGACGGATTCATAGATGCTGAAGTAAAGGCCAGTTCCCACAGCGTCACGCATGACATGAAGGTGGAAGCCGGTGTACAGGCCACGAACACCATGAATTTTGATGATCTTCCGGATGGCTTCGATGGTGCCGACACGAGGCTTGCGGCGCAATGAGGCGTCTTGAGCAGCTCCGGGGGCCGCCTGAGCACGGTTGGCTACCAACACCGAGGTCTGGACGACATTCTTGGCCAACTCGAAGGGACCTTTCGAGGGTTAGTCAATGGATTCAATCGTGCAAAACATATGGGAGCATACAGGCAAGTGGTGCGGTAACTATTCCAGCGAAGGCTCCTGCTGCAGTGTATGTGCAAAGCTGGGAGATACTCGGAAAAAGCTTTCGGGCTTCTTGAGCGTCCTGAGCATGAGCATGCAAGGTTCCTGTGCCATTAATCATTGCAGTTCCGTTAGAGATCTTCTCCTTGGCCCAGCTGTAAGCGGTAAAGCTGAGGACTCGAACTACAGTGACACTAGCCAAAGGTGGAAGAGCACCTGGACCAAATTCGTGTTAATGTTTATTCCCCGAGAAGATCAGACGTGAAGAATTACCTGCAACATAGCCACGGGGCCCCTCAGTTCGCCAGATATAGCGCATGCATTCGCCAACGCTTTGGAAATTGTGTCTAGGAAATTCACACCATCAGCCCATTCTGCCTCGATATGGATTGGAAAACAAAAACTCACGTTTGCATACGTGTTTTCACATTATCTAGCGGGGTCTGTCACGTAAATTGACCTTGAGTCAGTACGATTTCGCAGGTTTGTCGTTGCCAATGCGGTACGACTGATACGAATCAAAACAGACATACCAATGCCAGAGTCGCGCAGACAGTCGACGCGCCAGAAGAAACTTGGACGCTGTACTTCTTCAAACGGCTATTACGAGTCTTTGTGTCCATAATCCAGGAAAAGGGAGTCGACATGATGGCAGTTGGTGCGGTGGAAGAGAAGGGTGGTGGTGGTGGTGCATGTTCAGATTGGTTGTTAATCCGCATGCCTAATGAGTTTCCATTGAGACAATCGCACTTTTTTGGGCCGTCAAACAATAAGGTGGGATGAAATCATGAAGTGAGCTCTCTGAGCCCCAAAATCGATTACCGGCGAATTCGCAAAGTCAGGCTGGGGAACCCTATGGAACGCAAAGCGGCCTCTCAACACTCGAGAAGGCCGTTTGGCGTCCCACAACTATCCATGCGCGAAAACCTCTGCAACCCCAATATCCTCGATTATAACAATCGGGGGTGACCCAATAAGGATCTGTTGTGCAGAGCAAAAACGGAGTTCTGGTCGTGGAGGAACAGTGGCGGTTCGAGATTGAGGATAAGGTCGAATGGAAGGAATTTCGAGTCCCCGCGCGGGACTGACGTATGGATATGGACAGCGAAGGGTTGTAGATAGAGGAATTGAAGCGATTCCTCAAGGATAATCTATCAACTGTACTTTGCGATAGGCACTATGGGACAGATTGTACGGGAATTCGTCAACCGAGGCCTTCACAGACGAGAAAGGTCGGGAGCTGAAGGCGGGCGGGATTAGTGTTGATCCTTGGGTTTGACCCACTTTACTGCAGACGAAGATACAGAACGGAGTTGTAGAACAGTAAATCAAGAAATTCTCACTAGATATATGAAGCAAAATCGAGATCTTTATCAAGAGAATAGAGGGTGAAGGTCAAAATGGCAAATAGAGGTGGACCGAGCTTTACATTCCCCCTCGATGTGGTTTAGGACGAGACTGAGTGACGTCGTCGGGATTATTGGGCCTTATATAGAACCCGCATTGAGCAGGAAGTCACGGTACTATCTTAGAGGGAAGATGGAGCTATTCTATTTGTTTAAGAAGGTATATTTACTTAAAATCGAGTTGGGCTTCAATTTCTATGAGTTATAACTGATTTCCTTTATAGGGCTTTGTTAATATGGTCTAATAATTGATCATGGAGTGTATCTCCATCATATGATACCAAGACTTCCCCTCGGTCGCATTCACTCCAAGATGCATATATGCTACTTCTATATGATGCAGACTACTTACAGTGGTATGAGATTCTGAGTCCAGGGACTTAATCACTATACTGAACATTTCGAATACCTAGATATGATGGGACTTAGTACGGACAAAAGGAAACCTCCATCATTATGATGGATATCTGAACCACTATATTGGACCTTACACATATGATCTTCAGTCCAAATTAGGGTCATTCAAGACAACCTTGGGAGATTGATTAAGTCTATTTCCATGGTTCGGGATCTTCGTGGGTCGTACATGACCTTCTTCCTCTAACAAAGGAGGACAGTCCTCCGTGCATATGCGAGGATCCAATCAGAAGAATAAAGCTACAGATATCATGAATAATCTTGACTTCAATAGGCTCATCCAAACCTTGGGACGCCTGGAATAGCTCATACTTTGTTACGAATAGCACCAGACTCGGTTCGACAAACACGGGGAACCGCTGATTGGGGCGGGGCTGAATCGCTGATCATCAGTCCAAGTGACCAAGTTTTGGTCCAGATTTCCCCAGAATTTGGATCAAGTTATGAGAATGATTAAGACAGACAAACGGCCCCGGGGAGAAGAGAATAGCTTTGGTACTACTTGTAACTTGTGTCTAGCCGGAATCATGAAGTGGGGAAGGAAGACTTATAGTATTGCCATCATGATGTTATAATTGTAACAAGGATTTGGACCGCTTGAGGAGGAATCTCGCACTTACTAAGATTTACTGCGAAAATACCCATTCGAGATATTGCTTTGATTGATTGATTCTCCTAGAATAATAGGAAATTCACGTGAGAACCAACTCGGCATATGTAGTCCAAGTATGTAGGCTATAAGCGGAGAGAATAAAGAGGGAGCATGTGCAATATCCACGGTCCATTCGGAGTTTTTATGCACACATGTGTATAATCAAGATTTGTATCACATTGCGGGCATCACAATTATTGAGATCATTTATGCTTAGGTGTAGTCCATACTGCTCCATATTCGGGACCTCGGGACCTCGGTCTCCAACCCCCGCAAAATAGTAGCTCCTGTCCCCACATCCCCTTAGAACTTATTTACATGGAGCCCTGGAGATTCTCAACTTAAAACGTTCGACTGTCCAAATTTGAACATCTCAATTCAATTCTACACATCTCATCTACATCATGGGTAAAAAGCAACCAGGACCCGCCTATATCCTAGGTGTGGGAATGACCAAGTTCATTAAGCCACGCGGCAAGGTCGACTACAATGAACTCGGTTACGAAGCTGGTATCAAGGCTATGCTTGACGCCCATATCACATATGACAACGTCGACCAAGGTGTGGCTTGCTATGTATACGGAGACAGCACTTGCGGTCAACGCGTCTTCTATCAGTTTGGCCTGACTCAAATCCCAATCTACAATGTTAACAATAACTGCTCCACTGGATCCACTGGTCTAGCTATGGGCCGTACGATGGTCTCTCACGGCGCCGCTGACTGTGTTCTGGTTGTTGGTTTTGAGAAGATGAACCCGGGTAGTTTGCAGTCAGTGTATAACGACCGCACTGGCCCAACTACCCTATTCGGAACTATGATGGCGGAGACACGCGGTGTCACCAATGCACCGGGCGCAGCGCAGATGTTTGGAAATGCGGGTCGAGAATACATGGAGAAGTATGTAACTTCTACCTTAAACTACTACAATGATATAAGTCACTAACCTGTTGATCTCTAGGTATGGTGCAAAGAACGAGGACTTTGCCGAAATCGCCCGTATCAACCACGAACACTCAAAGCGAAACCCGTACTCCCAGTTCCAAGACGAATACTCCCTTGAGCAAATCATGAAAGCGCCCATGATCTTTGAACCGCTCACTAAGCTCCAATGCTGCCCGACTTCAGATGGTGGCGCCGCTGCTGTCATCGTCTCCCAAGAATTCCTCGATGCCCGCCCCCACTTGAAGGACCAGGCTGTCCTAATTGCCGGCCAGACTATTGCGACCGATACCGATCAGCTTTTCAACCAGAGCTCCATTGATCTGATGGGCTTTGGCATGTCCCGACACGCAGCTCGCACCGCTATCGCTGAGGCTGGTGTTAATGTTAAGGATATCAAGGTTTGCGAATTGCACGATTGCTTCTCTGCGAACGAGATGATTACTATCGATGCACTTGAGCTTTCTGAGCCTGGTCAGGCCCATGAGATGGTCCGTCGTGGTGATATCACCTATGGCGGTAAGATGGTTGTCAATCCTTCCGGTGGTCTTATCTCGAAGGGACATCCGCTCGGCGCTACAGGTATTGCGCAGTGTGCTGAGCTGGTCTGGCACTTGCGTGGTTGGGCTAATAACCGTCTCGTTGATGGCACAAATGCAGCCTTGCAACATAACCTTGGCCTTGGTGGTGCTGTCGTTGTGACTGTATACAAGCGTGCTGATGGCAAGGTTGCTGCTGCTGTGCCCTCAGACGCTGTGGGCAAAATCAATGGTCTTGGATATAACCCCGCTGTTGAGGCCCGTGGGTTCACTGCTGAGCAAGCCAAGTCGGTACGTAGCAAGAAGCACAGTAGCGAGTATGCCGTTGCGGACACCCAGGACCGTGTTCTTGCCCGGTTTTAGAGTTGGTATGCTCTGATTGGTATATACCTGTTTAGTATGATAACGATCCAGATTTTAAATTACATTGACTCTTCAAATGTTTGACCTATATACATGTAGTATGCTTCATTCCAATCTACTAGTTAATAATGACATGCCTTCATATATACCTTCCCAACCAAGGTACAGTCCAATGCAAACTATGAATGGGTATCTGCCCAATCTTCAGGAAGTCTGTAATTCGGCGGGATCCGATATTGATCTCGACAAGTCCCAGGATTAGGACATTGAAGATCGCACCGACCATACAATCGACAATAACACTCGGCCGCACTAGGACAAGCGTCCTTATTGAGCTGACTCAAAATCAGCTGCCCATCAGAATTAGGCTTCGCAAATAAGATATGCCACATATATGATAACACGCGTCCAGCAACCCGGTCATCAGCAGGCGCCGCCTTACCGTCCCGCGTGCGAGAATCACCTTGATTCCCAGTACCATCAAGCAACCACTGCCTCAACGCAACATACTCCGCTCGCGAATGTTGCCAAACGCGTTCCCGCGAGACAACAAACTGCGCACAGCACTGCGACCGCACGATATCCGTTCTTCTGAGCTCCAAATCCGCCTTTTCCTTCTTAGACATGAACTCTTCTCCACCAAAGATCGACGCCAAGGCGCGCGGCAACGCGATATCCGACGCCGCACGTGCACTCCACGGTTCAACAGCAGACTGTAATCTCATCTCCAGCGATCCCTGCGCAGCTACAGACGGTAAACAGGTACTGGTACTCCAGTCACAGCGCAGATTATAGTAACCAGATGGTTCTAGAGCGCGCGGAACATCCAGAATAGAAAGTAATGCGAGGTTATCATAATCGGGTGAATCGTTATGCCAAGCCCAGCGGGAACCATGAACGAAAACAGCGCCGGATGCGGGTATCTCCGCATAATTGTCGATGATAAAAGTCAAATAGGCCATGGCTTCATGGCCACGGTTCGCAGGGACTTGAAGATACATTGAACTTTCATCTACCGCGTCGACTTCATATACGCATAAATGGTAGTGCTTTGCTAAGGCATTTAGCCAGCTTGGATCCCCATCTGCTGATACTCGTGACACTACCAGAGCGGGCTTGCTTGATGATGAGAGTTTGGGACATATTCCCTGAGTTGCTGGGAGTGTGCGTGCTGTTGTCTGGTACCGGACTTTGGTCCAGGAGAATGCTTTCTCTTGTGATTGTGGTCGATTCAGATAAATAATGACGAGAAAAGCAATGCAGAAGAGCAGCAATTGGTTTGTTGATCTTTGTGCCTGACGACTCATCTTGCTTCAGATTCAGAGTCTCCTCCAGGACTTGTAGATATGGCAGAGACAGCCATGACTGCAGCCCTGGCCCCTGCTTCAGTTTATCTCAATTTATCGGCTATATCGGCTCAGGATTTTCGCGGCCTTTGGTGCCTGAGGCTGAAATTCAAATAGTGGCAAAGCACAGATAATAACGTGCAAGGTTTATTTTGCCTTCCAGATGAATGCCCTGGTAAAGCAAGTTGATATTCTTAAGTATACTTTAAAATTGTCCGATGTTCGAGTTTTCTAGAAGGTGACTTGGAAGCAATCATTGTTATGTGAGATTCGGATGAAATTGCCACAATAGGAAGTATTGAGATACTGCCACAGCAGTGAGATCAAACAACCAGGAACTTGAAACAATAGAAGTGCGATAACAGCATCTAGTCAGTACAGATGGGCGTGTTTGAATTGAGAAACTACTCTGAGCTCAGATTGTGGAAAGTCGACACTCTAAGTTCCAGGTCAAGGGACAAGTGACAAGGGACAAGGGACCAGATGGAACTTGAACTGTAAACGCGCGACGCCATGGAGAGGAATGTGCCGTGTTTACGACAAATTCCAGCAAAATCACTGCTGACCTTCTGTGCTTTCTTCTGAGACCTGACTGGACCATCTTTTTCCCTTGCAGATTTGAATTGTCGATCACATTACTGTCTAGGGATGAACACGACGCAATAGCCTGTTTCGTGACATTGCGTGGTCAACAACACCTCAAGACCTCACATCAGAATTCTTTACTCAGTTGAAACTGCCCTGTGAGCTGGAAGACAACCTTTTATAGTAATAAGCTGACGCTGTCTCTAAAATGCCTCAGGGGCGAACCATGCAGGAAGTATTCTAACTTTCCAAGGTTCTCTTCCCCTGCCCCTTTGGGCCCCATTCTTGCCCTATCCATCGGAAGTCTCTCAAAGGGATGCGTCATAACAAATATAAATCAAGTGTAATTTCCCACCTGGAATCTCTGTTCGTCTCGCTCATACCACTTGGCTGTAGAATCTGTTCTGAAAGCTATACGCCTTCCACTCGTTATCTTCAATATTATTCAAGTCTTTCTTTAACTACCTACTTCTTTTTTAAACATACAAAATGGCTCGGTCCAATCTCTTCTTCCTTGCCATCTTCGTGATCTTCGCAGCTATCGCCTTGTCGCTGCCCACCAACTTGAAGCGTGATGATCTAACTCCCGGTGAAAAACTGAGCCTTGAGGGTGCTGTGGATGATCTCAAGGTAGGGATTTAATACCATACGTTGCAAATCTTATATTAATGATTCCTAGTCCGCTACAAAGATGATGAACGGTTTCGATAACCAAGATTCCAACAACCAGAAGAATGAGGTCGAGCATGCTCCCTCTTCTACCTGGGATTCCAACCAGGATGGTGGTGCCACCGGTAACGTGGACGGTGAGGAGGATAAGAAGGTTCAGGATAACCAGCCTACCAGGACTCAGAAGAAGCCTACATCTGGTAACTTTGTTACTCCTACCGCTACCCACACTCACAAGCCTACTTCTGAGCCTAATGCTTTGGGCAAGCTTCCTATTGTGGGTGGTCTTCTGGGTGGTACTGGAAGTGGACTGTAGAGACTTTTGGTCTAATGATTTAGGTATGAAAATCGTGGCCGTCGATCTCAAGGTTCAGTATAGGTTTCTTCGAAGTTGTCTTTCTTTTCTTATGCCAGTGTCTGGTTGTGTGAGCAACAAGGTGAATGGTGAAACTGAATTTGCTTCAATTTATCATGATTATCAATTATGAAATTCTTATCAAAGATTCCTGGGTATGAGTTCAGTATACCTATGTTGACTTAATGGTCTTGTAGTATAGGATGAATTTCGGGTTATCCGACGTCATTCTACATAGTAGCACTGGCAGTACACTGTGACATGTGCACTGTTTCCCGTGCATACAAGGTCGAGGGAATATAAAGGCACTAACTCCGAGTCCCTGATTAACTCTGAGTTTTTCAATGTCGAATGTTATAAAGAACGTAAAGATTGACTTTCAGTAAGGTGCAATAAAAGCTAGCATTTGAATATGGGATCTAAGCCCCATAGCCATGAACCACTTGAGCTAGCTAATACATCGACCATTCTGGTCTATGACAAGTCCCATGAGAATGATTTAAGCCAAGAACCCGCACATAGCAACGACAGCCACCTGGGTTGCATCTTCACCATTGACATCTCCCACATAACCAAGTCTTCCCTCTCCAACACGGCCCAGTACAATCGGCGATTCACCCGGGGTATACGCACTCTGCGGAGCGAAAACGTGTGATTCAAGGACCGAGTCGGCATTCGTCAAGTACCAGGACTCCGATGGAGCGACATTCTTCAGGAACAAAGCCTTCTGGCTGTACTTCTTCGGCAGGTGTTTCGCTAGATCTGTACCAGTTGCCTCAGAATTCAACACCACAGTCGTGCGCTGATAAGTACCAGATTCCCATGGTAATCCCGCCTTGGAAAAGAAAGACTTGAGATCGTTTGGTCGTGCGAAAGAGGAGAACGACCCCGTGATAACGGCTGTGCTGCCTTGGCGGACGGAAGTGAGGATGGAGTTCCAGACGTGAGCGTGTTCTTTCAAAGTCAACGCTTGGTCTGTTATGATGATGATTACTGGCGCTGGGTTGGTTCTAAGCGCATGAATCACTGCCTCCGGAGTTTTGGCTTCTTGCATGGTGGCCTTTGATCTTCTGATACAGTTCAATAATTCGCCGTACAAGTCACCGAAAAAGGATGATTCGCGGGAAAGCGATATGAGAAGGACTCGTGGTGATGGTTTCGAACTGTCGATGGGCATTTTTGATTTCATCATTGTAGCAGATCTGAAGAAAAGGGTATTTTCGTTGAACAAGGGTAAGTTGACTCAAGTGATGAAGTTGATGAGAATGGAGAGTTCTCAGGTGGATAGTGAAATGCGACAGGTCACAGAGCTGAGTTCTTGTTGCGGCAGGAGTGGATAATTGAGACCCAAGCAGGAGCGGCCACCTGTACTGCTGCACATATACAGTTGACCTATTGATATGAACCTCTAGCTCCAGGCAAAAGTAATAAGGAGCTTAAAAATTAACCGTATGATTAATTCTCGTAGAACAAGGATCTTCCTGGGCGTAGTCTTATGGCAACATAGTCTTATATACTACCGATACTACCTTAATTGATTGCGCAATCCGCAGTGCTAGACAGCTTCTAGATCACTTCAGACACTTTGTATGACATTATTTGATATTAGTTATGGAGACCACTGTTATTTTACTTCTTTTGGTTGGCGTGTTGTTGTCCTTCGTAGAGGCCGGTATAGTATCCTGCATAGTACCAAGCCATCATGAGACTCTTCAGTTTTTCATCTTGCACTATGTCATTGTCAATAAACCATTACATTGCATTGCAAAATAAGAAAAAAAAATTACCTTGAGCTAGAATAGGTTCTGGCATTGGCATAGCATTCGGGGGGATCTTTGAGCCTTGGGTGGTAGCCGGTGTTGGTTCCTCCTCAGTTGGCTGTTGATGTTCCTCAGTTGCATGATGAGAAGCCTGTATCTCGTTAATATGGCCCAGAAAAACAACATCATATTGGTCAAGACATACCGTATTGGCATTTGCTTGTAAAATAGAGGCCTCAGGTTCGCCTTCCATGGCTATGTCTTCGGTATCCATTTCTTCATCATCACCCACAGCATTGACATCCTCCGTGATGCCTGACGCCTCTGCTTCTCTCAAGACATCCTCCACATTTTCTCCCTTGGCATGGATGCTGTGATAGAGCTGCCATCAACAAGTTAGATAAAGATCACGTGAACGTATACAAGCAAAATCACAGTTGTATCGGACATACTTGATATTCTTCCACAGCATCCTCCCAAGATCGTACTAGCGCAGAATCATCCCATATTTCCTCATGGGTCAAAGGCTTCTCGTGTTTAGGCTTCGTCATGGCCGCCCATTCCTCAGAAGGTTGTGATGTGATAAGGCGGATGATAGGCGTAGGGGTGGAGACTCACCGCCTTCCACAGCAAATCAGTGAAAAAAAAAGTTTCGGCGCAAAAGAGTCAGGCTGTCTCAAATCTTTCAATTCCCCAGAACAAAACCAAAATGGCTCCTGGAAAGACAGAGAAGAAGCGCAAGGGTATGTCCAATCGTCATGATAATTTTGTCATGTTTTTATTGTTTGAGTGTCATTAACTGAAGAAAAACAGCGCCCGCCGTCAGCGACCCGCCCGCGAAAAAAACCAAGAAGGTCGAAGCCAAGCCTGCTGAAGCCCCCAAGGAGTCTGCTCCTAAGTCAATCCTGAAGAAGAAGGAAACTGCTACCAAGAAGGCCAAGGAGACCAAGAGCGATGCCCCCGCAAAGGTCAATGGCCAAACCAAGCCTCGCAAGCGTGCTGCCGACTTCCTGAGCGATGCCGAAGATAAGGAGACCGCCGCTCCTGCTAGTGCTGTGCAGAAGAAAAGTGTCAACAAGAAGGCCAAGAAGGAGGAGAAGCCCGCAGTCCCCGAGAAGAAGACCAAGGCTTCACCAAAGGCTAAGAAGGTAGAGGAAGTTGCGATTGAGTCTGAGGACGACGAGGCCGAGGACATCTCCGCCGAGTCCGATGAGAGTGAGGGAGAGGATATTCTGGATGACCAGACTGCTGCGCTCATCAAGGGCTTCGAGAGCAGTGGTGATGAGGATGACTCTGAGGATGAGGGCTTCGACTCCAATAAGCCTGTCCCCAAGATCCCAGACACAAAGAAGGCCGCCAAGAAGATCAAGAGCCTGACAAAAAACGAGGTTCCGGAGACACCTGGAGCTGTTTACGTTGGGTGAGTTCTCAATTCAGTGACATTTTTGATATCTATTTGCTAATATTTTACAGACGTATTCCCCACGGTTTCTACGAGCACCAGATGCGCGCTTACTTCTCCCAGTTCGGCGAGATCACTCGTCTGCGTCTTTCCCGCAACCGTATTACCGGCCGCTCCAAGCACTACGCCTTTGTGGAGTTCTCCTCTGTTACTGTTGCTAAGATTGTTGCCGAGACCATGGATAACTACCTTATGTACGGCCATATCCTGAAGTGCAAGTACGTTCCTCAGGAATCGCTCCACCCCGAGGTCTGGAAGGGTGCCAACCGTCGCTTCAAGCGCACTCCCTGGAACCGCATTGAGAAGAAGCGTCTGGAGAAGGGCAAGACCCGTGAGCAGTGGACCAAGCGTATTGAGCAGGAGCAGAAGAGGAGACAGGCCAAGATTGATAAGCTCAAGGCTCTGGGATACTCAATTGATCTTCCCGAGTTGAAGAGTGTTGATGATGTGCCTATCCAGGAGCCCAAGGAGATCGAGGCCGCGGCTGAGACCACAGAGGCTCCTAAGGAGGAGGCTGTGAAGGCTATCGAGGCTGTTGAGGCTGCCCCTGCTCCTGCTGCTGTCAGCGAGGATACCCCCAAGAAGGCTAAGAAGGGAAAGAAGGCTGCTGAGAAGGTCGAGAATGTCGAGAAGACTGAGGCTCCCAAGGAGAAGGCCACTACCACAGCTTCACCTGCTCCCAAAAAGAAGGCGAAGAAGACCAAGAGCAAGGCATAATGGTGTACAAAATTGATGTGATTATCTTTTCTTATTATTACATAGCATGTTCAGTTTGTCAAATGAATTACAAAATATGATTTCTATACTTTACATACTACTATTTCTCCAGGGCTGACAGTAATCAAGCTAGCATATTCCAAAATCATAATTTCGATATCAACTTCCAAGCTTGCTATTCCGCAGTGCTGTCTATCGTTGACTATATGTTCCAAGGTTTATTCAGACTAACTCAATTAGGTAAGACCAGAGCTCGGCTGCCTTACACACTAAACCCAATTAAACCTAGCCAGATCACATGACCATCGATAAAGAGAAAACCGCCGCAAATTTTCTTCCACACTCTTCCTTTCCAACTCCTCGTTCAAAGAATCGCATTCAAAGCTTACACACAAGAAAGTCTCACTTTCTTTCTCATCGCTTTGGGAGAAAGTCCCCGGACACCCTGCGCCTTGGATTTATTCCAAGGTTTATGTCAGGTATTGCGGAAACGCGCCGCCATAGAAGCAATTCGATAGCGGCTTACTGCCCTGTTCCTTCCCATCTGAGTTCGCCATCCAACGGTCTCACTATGTGTTACTGGTCATAATGGGATGTGTGGCTTAGGTGGAGAGGGGAAGGGGGACTTCGGTCTTCCCTTGTATTGGGTTGCTTTTCGTCGTGTTTGGATAGTCATGCGATTGTCCTGTCTTAGGATGGGATAACTCAATGGGGCTCATTCTTGAGGCGAGGAGTTCGCGTCTTTTCGAGTCTGTAGCTTATGGCAAAGCGGTGACTTGGTTTAGATACCATCACAGAAACCCTGTCGAAGGGGTCAGACTCTTATTCATTTTTTCTTTCCTATGAGCTTTGTTCGCGTGATGATATACAATCATAGAGTCAAGCACAGAGATTCCCAAAGGGGATCGTTGACGATTAACGATTATTTTCTATCTGATGAACATTATTTACTCAGAACTTTGATACCCTTGATACATTTGAATATAAAATTTTGTATTATTTCATGAATGCAATATTGTAGTATGCTATGATCATTACACGTAGTCGAATATCATCCTGGATAGAATGAGAACCTTGTATAAATACACTGACGCCCGTAACACTCATGACTTTCCTCCCTTATTGTGCTTTCTTAGCCTCGGTCTCCTCAGCCGGTACGGCTTGTGGCTTTTGTCCAATAGCCTGCACCAATACTGTACCCAAGATCTCAGCAATCACCGCAATAGCAGTCGCACACACATTATTCCAAACGTGGATGCTGACGGAGCCCAGCGGCGCACGAGGGAAGGAAAGAATCCATTGGACGTAGTACGGAAGCCAGCCATCCGGGAGAGCAAAGACAGGTGTTTTGGAGTACCAAAATTGGAGGAACATTTTCAGTCCGTTGGTGCTGAGCCAGCGTGCGGTCTTGACGGCCCAGTCGAAAGAGGTTTTCTGGGATGAGACGGTCTTGTCTGTGGAATACATTAGTTGATGATCTTGTATATTGTAAAGGCGTAGATACGCACTCATCGCTTCGTATTCCTCCATAGCCTTGTCATGTCGTCGACGGAGCTTTGCCCATTTCGCAAACTCATCTTGCGAGCTGGTGTTGTTCATCTCGCGCTTCAGCTTCATCGCTTCGCCCTTAAGGCGCTGTGACTCTCGTGCATTTCTTGATGTCGAGGTGGGGAGCTTCAGGTACAGTTGCCATACCTGGAACGAGTGCTGGTTAGCGAATGGAATGCCATAGTGGAGAAGAAGATCCTCTCATGGATTGAGGTAGTTAAAGACATACCAGAAGGTCGATTGTAGATGCGCCGACTGTATTGACCACGTAGATGGCAATGTGCACGAAGAGAATCATCAACACGAGTGACAGCATGATGGCGGGGTCGGGCCAGGGGCCGGGCGTTTGAGGGAGAGAGGTTGGCTGGAGAGGCCCAGGAAGGGAAAGGGGTTAGGATCACTTGATTCGGCTGATGCGAGCTTTGTGAGGTTGTGGGATCGTCGACTCTACAGGTCGGAGGGCAAAATGACGTCCGGCGATTGCGGACTGGAGGAGTCGGGAGCCTTCCGCCTTTGTCATGCGGCAACTCACCAGGGCTGGAAACTACAGTACATAACAGATTGTTTCCTTTTGATCAAAGCGCAGTCTTACTGGAGATTCAAGCTGCTTCATATCCACTTAGAAATCTCACGGGCATTTAAAATTACTTTTGATTCATGACTCTCCATGACTACTCCCGAAAATGCGTACCAGAAACTCGCCAACGTCTTCTCATCTCGAGGGAACCAGATCCTTGAGATTGAGATGATATCTTCTGCGCTAGAAACCTCTTTTCTTCAAGATGAGCTTTTCATTGGAATCACGAAAAAAATGCTCGTGGCAGCTTATACGGTCGCGCGGAAGCTCTTCACTCAGCACCGGTCGATGACTGATGATGAATTCCATACGGATCCCTTTGCAACAAATACAGAATCTAGTGTTGCGTTCCGTCGAACAATCACCGAAATCATGCTACTATTTGACTGTGAACATCTCAGTGCATGTAACTGGCGGAAACGTTGGCTTAAGACAGCCGTGACATACGCGAAGACCCAAGACCAGATTATCTCAATGCGAGAGGTTCTGGAGACTGAATTGACGCTCTTGACGACATATCAGTGCAGCCCTTTACACCGGCATACGAAATCACCTACTTTATGGTCACACCGCTTATGGGTGTTGAGGCAGATGTTGTATATCCAAGTCTGGAGCATAGAGGAGCTAAGGAAGCTGGAGCAGACGGAGCTCCAAGGCGTTCTCCGTGCCGCGGAACTACACCCAAAGAATTATTATGCCTTTAGCTACATGCGGCAACTTCATACTCTTCTGGCAAATACACCGGGTGTTGCTGATCGTACCAAGTGGGCTGCTGAGCTGGCTGGCTCCCTGGTAGACCCAGTGCTAGAGTGGTGCCTTTCCCATCCGCGGGATATATCAGGCTGTATCTTTCTGCGATATCTGTTGTTTATTATTTCCGATCAGCAGATCCGGAGAAATACCGTGGGGAAGGTGATTGTCTTCGCTCGGGATATCGGATGGGAGGGCGAGAGTTTATGGACTTTCGTGGACCAAGCGATTCGCGAATTCGATCTTGAGAATATCCTCGATGACCTTCTTCCCTCCAGTGATCATGGCAAATCTGAATCCGTATCCGTATCCCTCACGCTGGGTGATGACCAGTATCCCCCTGGTAAATGGCCATGGCTGGCTCGGCTGGCCCGGGCAAAATCATATTGGAGTGTATTTAAGCAATAAGAAGAAACAATCAAGAAGAAAATAGGAAAATAAAAAGTGATCATATCACGCATATACTAATAGTTTTCGCTATGCTTTTTTTTCCAATATATATGAGCCCCAAAAGGGGATGAACAAGGTAACGCCTCGCTAGTCGCTGGCATAAATCACAAAACAGAGATCTGTCCTGCATCCCGGAGTTATAGATCAACTCCCTGCCGCCCATGTATTATTTTCGTCGAATATGAATCGCGAGTTGAGTTTGTACTTGGGTATCGAGGTAGGGAGGGACACGGTCGTGGGGGGGATCATTTCTTTCCTCCCGCCGCTTCTGCAGCTTTTTTTCTCATCCGCTATTTCAGGACAACGTCAACGTCTGCGCAAAACAATTCAAAGAGATCAAAAGACATACCTTTGCGCTGCTTCTCGCGCATGATAGTGGCGGCATCCTCCTTGGACTTCTGGTACTGGGTACCACTCATGCTGTTCTTGGATTTCTGTTATTGTTAGCCACTATCTAAGATTGGGGGGTATAAAGGGGCAACGAACTTGACCTTGAGCCTTCTTCTGGGCCTTAGCCCGATCAGTATCACGCTGGTTACCACGAGTCATGATGAAAATATGGAGGAAACGAGGAAAGTTGACAGAAAGAGAAAAATTTTGGTTTCCGGAAGTTTTGATCTTACGGGGGAAATGGACAAATCATCGGGAGCCATGGAACTGGTTTGGCTTCATTATTACAATGTATACGGGCATAACTGAAGAATTGTGTTATATAATGATAAAAAAAAATTTATGAAAAATTCAGAACAAAAATTAGTTTGTCTCATAGAATCAAACAGAATTTCAGAATCCAGATTTCACCTCCTGGCGCTTGCAGACTGAGAATGATTGGGCGCGTAAATAGATCAATAACCGCACTGTTTCATCTCAAGGCGCCTACATTAACTCCTATCCTGACTCTCATAGAGCTCTCCCCCTGGTAATTATATTACCGCCCAAGAGAAGAACCCATCTGGGGATCTGGTTTCATCGAGACAAGATTTCAGTCTTTCTCAGCCAGTCAATACTTCATCATGCAAGTGATTAAGTCCACAATCAGAGCCTCCATGCATCTCAGGCATTTCGGGCATCAGAATTCTGACTAGCTAAATCCCTGCGCTAAGTCAATGGTGTAACTAAAATCTTGAACGGCTGAAAATAGCAGGGATGAAACAGTGTCTGCACAACAAAGGACCCTGATCCTATAATCCGAGATCGGGGTCTTTGGAGTGAATCATTGTGGTGTTTCGTCTAATGATAGGTGCCCTGGGTGTCAGAAGATTGGGAGTGAATGAGAAGAAGTGAAGTAGATATTCCACTTGTTGCCCACTTTACCTTCTCCATTTTTATTCACTTCAATTTTTTTCATAGATCTCGAGTTGATCTCGCTCTTTATTTCCTTTGTTGCTTAGAAGCAGTTCTGCTGGACAGTTGCTTCCTTCCTTGTCTCTCTTTAGCATCTAATCTTGGTCTCTTCTACACTTCTCGCTATAAATCTCCAACTTTCGTCCTTGATTCGACTAGAATCACCCATCCTACACCATCATGATGGGTAAACTACGTGAGTCCTTGGCTGGGCCGGGATATGTCATTCTCAATGTTATTCGTGCGATCAATATCATTGTCTTTCTTGATATGATCGCTGCTTGCGTGGTCATGCTGGTTAAGACTGAAACCACCAACGGATTTTTCTTTTTTGAAGCTGTCACTCATGTTGTTGTGGCCCTCGTCAGCAGTAAGTACTTCCACCTTCCTCAAATTATGGGGGTCAGCACTGACAAAATCAGTTTTCTTGATCATCTCTGAGCTGCCGATTCTTCGGGGCTACTTTAACCGACAATGGCCTTTGTTCGGCGAAGAGGCCGGTTTTATGGCGCTTGCTGCAATCATGATGATCCTGGGGATCGCTACCCTGGGTAATCTGAATTTTGCTGCTAATAGCCAGAAGAACCTTGGGTTGGCATTTTGGCGTGTTGTGATTTCAGCAGGAGTCTTGGCCATGGTCATGAGTCTGGTGAACATATTGACGGTAAGTTGATACAGTCATACTAGCAAACTCCACAGTGACTGATCTTCGTTGTTAGACAATCGTTTTCACAAATCACCAGTCTGGTGTTAGCGCACGCCATGTCCGGGCATACGGAGCTGTCGCACCGCGAAAGGTGCTCAGTCGGGCTAGCAGCCGTCGCTCTTTCCAGCTTAGCATCAAGCGTGAAGATTCTCTTCCAACTTACAGTCGAGAGCCTGCCTTTAAGCGGTACTCACGCCAGTTGGCGAACCGTATTCCTATCAAGATCTCCTCGCCTTTCAGCAATCCCAATAACGTCACCAATGCTAGTGATGTTACGGAGACTACCAAGGATGATTGCGCATCGTCCAAGTACTCTCGTTCTTCGGGGGGAGATCCAAGAGCCTGATCTTGCTTATCACCCTTCCAACTACTCCGGGCATGTGTAATTCTTGCTTGCCTCTTTTCTTTTTCTTTTTTTCTTTCCCTTTTTCGGATCTAAATGATCTGGGCGTTGGTTCTGCAAGCATGGTGTTGAAGAAATCCGGTGCTAGGAGTTTTATTTTCAATGAGTTCTTCTTAATTCTCTTCCAAGGTTGTTTCTTATGGATTAAATATTTGAAATGATATCCACTATTTGTATCAGAGAGGCGTAGTAAAGAGTAAATATAGTTCATCAGTAGGTAATAAGCATGAAGTTGAGATAAATAGCGGAGAATCTACGGGGTCACCGCTTTCGGACTTGGTCATGTTGATGACTTACAACTGTCCACTACCATAGTGCACTCTCGTCCCTTTCATCTCTTTCAAGTTTTCAATGTTTTCCTCTCAATGAGATAATTCAGCCAATCTCTCCTTTTCTACTCTAATATGGCCGGAGTTGGGATCTCTTGGGGAACGTGAGTTCATAGCCCCTCCTCAAATCTAGCGCTTAATCTCATCATATACAGCATCAAATCCCTCCTGATATTCTTTGGCCCAATACTTCTCCCCCGATTAATAGGGGCTTACCGGGCCTATCGAGTATCAATCGCAACTCGTCCACCACTGCGTCCGATCCCCGCCGGCGCTAATCAAGCACTGAATCTGCTATTTGGAAGCATTGTCCTCTTCCTCATCCTGAGCCTACCTTTCAACCCTCACGCGCCTGGACCTAATGTCTTTACCCTGACTCGTTCGCGACTGAATACTCCGACCGATGTCATCTTTCACCGACTCTCAAGACTTCGGCCAGATAATCTCTTGACCGACGCGGACACCCTCCTTCAAACCAAGCTCACCTCTTTGGGGGCTCGCAAAGTATACCTCACATTTGGCGCCGATGCCTTAACGTCCTGCCAGTTCTGTTCCTTCGATAACCTCAACACCTACTTTCTCTACTACCTTCCATCCAATATTCTCCTTCCGCACCTCCTCCACTTCCTTATCCTGGGACTCGCTACGTCCGCACCTTTTGGCGGCAAGGAATCCGGTCATTGGCGTACCAAGTTTACCCTTGCTGGTTTGGCACTAGCAGCACTAGATATCTGGGTTGTCTTTTCCTATGATGCAGTTCAGTCGGCATCCCCCGATGTACGGGCTGGCAAGGTGCCTCCAACTGGACTCTACATTTACATGGCACTTCTCCGACCGCTCGCATTCACCATCTGCGATTCTGTATGTGCTATGATAATATACCTCTCATCAACGAACCGATTCTTCTTCAAACCGCCGTCTCCAGTGGAACAACTCGACCAGGCGGTGTCAGCCGCACTGGCTGCTGCCACTGGAGCCAACTCCAAACTTCATGCAGCCAATGTGGCGCGAAATGCGGTAGTCCGAGACAAAGGGCTGAAATTACGCGACGATCTTTATTGGCAAGCTGTGGCGGCTGCAGAGAGCCCGAATGGTGGGGCGGGTGACCCTTCATCTGGGCCCGGAGGGGCTGTGTTGAATAATATCTGGGAAGAAGAAGAAGTGGCTCGAGCCATGTCCCGAGCCATGGCAGGTCAAGGAGGAGTGGATCTTGCACAGCTGGGAATGAATGCAAATGATTTTGTTCGTGGAGTGACGGAAGGGTTAGATTGACAGATATGTATAGATGCATAAACAAATACATAAACACACATACATTATACATAGTAACCACTAGTATACATTTATACTCTACTCTTTCTTTTGATCTCTCTCATCCAAGACATCATCTCCACTTCAATTCAACCAATCCAACCCTTTTCGAGGCGGTGTGGAGTGTCGATCATCGGCTTCGACTTGAAACGAGCTCATCACTTTCCTTTCCCCCTCAATTCTCTCGTTCCACACACAAACCTGGATTCTGGTAATCCTCTTCATTCTTTGTGATTCATCTTGGACAAGCAAGAAAAAAGAACAAGAAAATAAACCTCGCGAATCCCCAGATTTGGTTACTAGTACTGCTTTTCTCGACTCTATTTTTGTTTCCAACCAGTGACCGCGCGGCGGATCCGCCTTTGAGGCTTCGAGACCCATCCCGCTCCTCAGGTTAATTAGCGGCGACCCTCAATTCCCTTTTCTGCCCCGGCTACAACTTTCTTCACTGTTCAACATCTTGCGGGTTGTCAGTTCTGCATCCGCCATGGCCACAGAGACTTCGGTCCCGTCACAGTCGGCGGAGCTTAATGTCTATGTCTCTAGTCCTAATGGACATGGACATGGACCGCGGGTCAAGGAGACCACGTTCCGCGAATGGGTGGTCAACAACCAAATCGGTATGAAATCAACAGAAGCCCCGACCTAGACCTCCAAAAGACACGAAATATGCTACGATTTTAATAAACACTCCTTTTTTCCGTGTTTATTATGTTCAACTGTCGCAAGAATCTTCACTAACTTCTTGGCATTACGTGGTTACAGGAATCTCTTTGACCATTCTGGCTATGTTGCTGGCTCTTCATAACCTTTACCCCTCGCTACGTCCGTATACACAACCGTTCTTTCAATTGTCGTACTATAATCAATCCGGAAGCTACTACGTTCAAGGCTGGGACGATGTGTACTTCGTCATTAGCGCTGCGCTGGCCCTTACCGCAGTTCGCGCCTTTGCGATTGAATGGGTTTTGCGACCACTGGCTCGCAAAGCAGGATTAAAGCGAAAGGCATCCGTGCGATTTGCCGAGCAGGGCTGGCAGGCAATGTACTATAGCTCTATTTGGGCTGTTGGATTGGTATGTGACCCGCGCAAGACAAGAAAACAAATGGATAAGGATTGACATTTGTATGATTCTAGTATCTGTGGAAAAACTCCTATTACTGGGGTGATTTTTCTGCGATTTTCGCTGAGTGGCCCGCACGCCCATTGTCTGGTTTGATGAAATGGTATCTGCTCGTGGAGCTTGCCTTCCTGGTACAGCAGATCTTCGTTATCCACGTCGAGGAAAAGCGCAAGGACCACTACCAAATGCTTTCCCACCACATTATCACAAGCACTCTCCTGAGCTCGGCATACATCTACGGCTTCTACAACGTTTCCAATGTGGTACTGTGTTTGATGGACGTTGTTGATTTCCTGCTTCCTGTATGTGACTAAATACCCCATCAAATTACCTACACTCAGTGCTAACACCATTCAACAGTCAGCCAAGATTCTGAAGTACCTGAAGTATGAGAATGCCTGCAATGTGGCCTTTGGTGTTTTCATGGCAGTTTGGGTCATCACCCGACATGTCTTGTACAACATCCTTTGGTGGTCCATATACCAGAATGTGCCCGCCCGCATGTCGTACGGATGCTACTCTGGAGCTACCGCTGAAATGATCAGCACCGATGGCTACCCCGACTCTTTCGCGTACTTGTTTGCGCCTTTCCGCGGTCTGGAGAATCCTATCTGCATGAACCGTACCATCAAGTGGATCTTCCTCTCTTTCCTCTTGTCTCTGCAGGGACTTTCCATCGTTTGGTTCACCATGATTGCGCGTGTCGCCTATGGGGTTGTCTGTCACGGTAATGCCGAGGATACCCGAAGCGATGACGAGGATGATGTTGAGATCACCGGTGAGGCCCCTGCCAATGGCCCTGTGCGGCTGGCCGCCAAGGATGGTACTACCCCTGTACCGGTTGGCACTGAAAATACCGTTGGATTGGACCGTCGTCGATCCAATGGTACTGCCTCTGTGCGTGCTCGCGGTCGTGGCCGTGTACCTTTCGATCAAAGTGATCGCAAAGCTCTACTGGGTCGAATTGGATGTGAGAAACCTACATAGGTTTTGAAACCAATCGTCCCTAGTTTTCTTTTTTTTCCCTTTTTGTTATCCTCTACCCTAGTTCATGACGAACCGAATTCGAGCTTTATTTTCCAATGCACGCCCGTCACGTCTTCCTATTCTTCCCTCTCTACCTTTTCGCCTGTATCCTGTGTCACGCTGTTCAAGCTATGACTTCAAAGGCACAGGTTCGGCGGTGCCTATGAAATGAAGTGCTCGATTAATGATTATTTGCAATTTTGTTTTCAAAAAGATAGTTCTGGTATTCAAACCTGCCATGGGCCAGGTCATATATCCCTTGTTTTGCATTTTTCCCTCCTCATATCGAGTTGGGCTTGATTGTTTATGTTATTCAATGTGATTAGAGATCCAGATCATAATACCCAATGGATGCTTTCATGTTTACCATTTGAAGAGTAGATCGTGTAAAGTTCAAGTTGAATTTGTCAACTGGTGCATATAATGCTTAAGCTTATGTTTTTATCTAGATTGCGGACCAATCAGCAAGTGGGTTATTCATGACGTTTAATTAAAGATGACCATTCACAATCAGTGTATTTTTAAGCTTGCAGCTATGATGTAAAATCCCTGCTTCGGCCCCATATAAGATGCTGACATGACATCAATCATGATGCCAGGTGCTTCAAGTTCAAGTTCTTAGACCCTTGTCTTAAGTTTTGAAATATTGAAAAGAACTTGAACTCATAGATGCTCAATCCATGGATGTTGAGGAATGAGTTCCAAGGTTGAAATAGTATATTCCAAAGTCAAAATACTCAAATATTCATATATACAGCATCCTCCATCCATTATCTAGTAAAATTATCAAACTTGAACATAATCCATTAGAGATGGTTCCTTCCCATCGCCCTTATCATCATACGAAAGTGTATCTACAAGTCCATATCCAATTGCCATAGCTTCCGTCCCAAACAAATCCTCCTTTCCAAGTCCCGGAGGAACAACTTGATCGCAAACCGTCTTCAGATCAATCCTTGACAAATTACCAGGTCCATCATGTGTGAGCGCATCCACAAATAAAGCATAAGCAACCGGATTAACCAACATGCTCTCATGTGTATAAAATCCACCAGCTCGTTTCCCAGGACAAGCAATTTGAACCTGTGTATTCGAAACACCAACATCTCTCACATCGTTCAACGCCGCTGAGGCATTCTCACCACTCTGTGGTTGAACTACCTCATCAACACCAGAATAAACACTTGTCGTACTCACATACGCTGAGTCTCCACCATCCTTTCGCAGTGCATGAATGAAGTCTGATTCATACCCCTGTTGTCGAATTGCTGGTGTACAGGTATCATTCAATCCGGAACAAATCCCTTCAAGTTTACTCCCATGGAAATCAGCACTAATCGCCATGAAATCTGACACGGTATCTCGTGTAGAGGGCCAGTACTTCAGTGCCCATTGAACATTAATCCCACCTTGTGAGAATGATAACATGCCAATACTGGTGGCATCATTCTTGGTGGGACTCGAAATACAGGTGTCAGAAATGTAATTGATGGCATAAGCTACATACTCAGAGCTGAGTTGTGTATCCGAGAGTGAGGTATTAGGTATATTAACCCAAACTGGATCCGCGAATGAGGTATTGGATAATAGTTTCGCGTAACTAAAGTAGAATGTTGATCCGGCTGGATCTGCGGTACCTGGTACGAGGAGAATGGGTTGTTTTCCTTTGCAGTGTTGGAATTCGAGTGGGATGTGGATTGCGGAGCGGAGTTCATCTTCACTTAGTGTGTATGAGGTATCGGTAGATTTCTTTTTGGGGTAGATTGGGATAACTGGATCCGAGTTGACATTGTAGATTGTGTTTATTTGGGTGTTTGTGAGTCCGTTTAGGATATCGAGGATCTTGTTTGGTGTGATGTCGTGGTTTTGGGATGTTTTTGATGTGACTGGGATACTGAGTGTGGGGAGGATGTGGGAGCAGAAGAGGATTTTGTTTAAGAGACGCATTTTGTGATGTTATAAGTATACGTATTATTCAGTGTTGACATCGAGGGGTGTGGAGTTCGCTCATTGTAGATTGTTGTAGGCGTTCTATAGGAGCTTGTAGCGAAATAGATATACAAGTAACACGAAAAGTAAACTTGAATATTTGCATTTTGGATATTGGACGTGACTGGTGATCGTGCTATTTAGTGTTGAAGAATGCTCACTCCTTGATTATTGAGCGAGTCGCCATTAGGTCCACGGGTGTTGGTATGTAGATCAAAACAACCATTGTAGGGGAGAATCATAGTGTCAACTGGTACATGTCACCTCACTTGAGAAGAAGTATTGGGGCAACTTTAAGACGATCTGACCTCGGGGGATTCTAGAACTCAGGAGTCAGGAGTATGAAGAGAAGTTAGGAACAGATATCTGGTGAAGTGGAGATGCACGGGCAGATCCAGCTCAACGTATTATTGAATCTTGAATCTTGATGATCGCTACATAATAAGGACACCATAACTTCAATGTTAAAAGTTAATAGCGGTGAAGGAGTGTGGAATAATTATATTACGTACCCACTTTTCTTCAAATGTTCAGCTTTCTCTAACTGTTTGACCACTGTTCTCACGATGCATGATTCATGAAGGAGGGAACCCCTCGATTTTAGAAAGTGAATAGACTAGTTTAGCTTGACTAGTTTAGTACCTTGAATATGACTGTCGCAGAGAATACCGCAGTTGGGTCCAATAACAGTTAGCGTATAATAAATCATCCATGAATAGTGTCCAATTGCATTCTGAGTGGAGATCTATAACGCTTTCAGTACTAGTATTGGCGTGAAGTGGGTTCATTCAGCTAATGGCGGCTAAGATATTGAACAGATGTGCCGAGGAGAAAGAAGTCAAAGTTATCCCGAACTGGCAACTAGTGTGAAAAAAGGATTCTAACACACTTGGCAAATATTTTCATACTACTAGCCGATAGGCTTGTTTTCAATGTTACTAGTTGAGGGGAATGGGTCTTGCGGTCAGTGGCGACCATGACACTAACACTAACACTAAACTAAGGGAATAAGAAACGAATATTTCCCTTTTTTTCTTCTTCAGGTTCTCAACACTCTAAGTAGCTTCAACTTGAAGTTGTTTTGAGTCCCGCATAGGCTCTACCAACATTGAATATGCTTGGTTTTGTGAGCTTCAGCATTGCCTGGGCTCTAGTTTTCGTTACTGTCAGAACTGTCTATCGACTTTATTTCCACCCACTTAAAAATATCCCTGGACCAAAGCTAGCGGCTGCTAGCAGTATTTACGAGTTTTATTTCAATGTCATCAAGGGAGGGAAATACATTTGGGAAGTTGAACGTTTGCATAAGATATATGGTAAGTAGGTCATCTACTTCTTCCATAACTTATTACTCACTCCAACTTGGCAGGTCCTATCGTTCGCATCTCCCCAAGGGAGGTCCATATTAACGATGTCAAATTCTATGAGGAGATTTACGCTCCAGCGACTCGCAAAAGAGACAAGGTTCGAGAATGGGTTGAGGGTTTTGATTTAAATGGGTCGGTCGTCTCCAGTGTCTCTGCCGATTTACATCGTCAACGCCGCGTGCCTCTCAACAAGTTCTTCTCAAAGTCAGCCATCAACAATATAGAACCCATGATCCAGGAAAAGATAGATCAACTTTGCGACCATCTCAGAAATGCCCATACGTCCCAGAGAGTGGTGAATTTGGATTCTGGCTTCGCAGGCTTGACCTCGGATGTTATTCACCAATACACAATTGGCTACCACAGTGGCAATCTTGATCGAGAGGACTTCAATATGCATGTCAGAGATGCAATGAATGGTCTTTTTCATGGAGTTCACGTCCTTTTCTTCTTCCCATTCCTGGCACCCATCGCGGGCACTATCCCACTGCCAATTTTGAAAAGCATCCTCCCTTATTTCGCCGCATTCAAGGAACAAAGGATTGCTATTCAGGGCCAGATAGAAAAGATACTTTCTGGAGGAGGAGAAAAGGATAAATCGATGATCATGACGCTGGCTCACCACTCTAGTGACCTCCCTGCTGGCTTCCTAGACCCAGCCCGACTCACCGATGAAGCCTTGACCATTTTAACTGCGGGTACGGAGACAACGGCTCGATCTTTAACATTTGCACTTTTCAATATCATTCAGAGCAAAGAAGTTCAGGAAAAATTAAGAGAAGAGCTGAAGAGTGTTATGCCAACACCTCAGTCTCTCCCAACATGGGACCAGCTAAAGCAGCTTCCCTATCTGGTGAGCCCTATCCATCCTATTTTTCTTTTTGTTTTTTACAGTCTTGGAAATATTGATAAATGTTTAAATGTTTACTAATACGATCTTCAGAATGGTGTTGTATATGAATCTATCCGACTTTCTACAGGACTGGCTAGCCGGACCCCTCGAATTGCACCTGACGAAACGATAGTCTACAAAAACTTTGTTCTTCCTGCAGGGGTCAGTAAATTCTCCTCACAATCAAGCCCTACTAGTACTAATGATTACTAGACCATTCTAAGCCAGTGGCACTACTTCCTTCTCATGGACCCCGAGATCTACCCCAATCCACACGTTTTCGACCCGGAAAGATGGATTCGAGGTACTGACAATGGCGAGCGACTGGACCGATATTTCATCCCCTTTTCGAAGGGACCTCGAATGTGCATTGGTTTCAAGTATGATCAGCCCCCGAGTGCCTACAATATCACAAAATAGTACTATCTCTAACTCTAATTTTAGTCTGGCATACGCTGAGCTATATCTGGTCATCGCGAGACTTGCTCGTCAATTCGACTTCACGTTATACGACACAACTGAGAAAAACCTTGCGTTTGCGCGTGATTTCCAGGGAGCTTACCCTGAACATGGTAACATCAGTATGAGGGTTAAGGTATCAAACCAGATTGATGAGTGAGCGGTGTTGACCTCAGATCTGCATGGTGGACTTTCAAATTGGAAAATTCTTTCAGACTTCTAGAGGAAGGTACCTACACTTGAGATTCTGGGGTGTGCAAAGTCCGTCCCATTCTATAATTTAGGGCATGGAAGGAAATGACTGAGTATAACTATTCACATTGCAATTTATTGGCATACTCAATCAACGAGAACAAATCCAATGTATCAAATCTATAAAGAAGACACCGGTTTCCAATGAGCCTTCACATCCTCATCCACACGACTCCAACTCTCTTGGATCAACTCATTCACATTGACCTGACCTAAAAATTCATCACTGAAAGCATTACATGTAATCTCTGCCATCTTCCCTCCTATCATCTCATAAGTAGCCCAAACTTTCACGCGAATCACATCCCCGGCTTCGTCTTATGACTATGAACAGCCTTGTCGGTAGCTTTGGTATAGCAGAAGTAGGCTTCCATGTTAAGGAATATTCTCTTCTCATCCATGATAACAAACATAGGTACGACGGTCTCTTTGGCGCTCGCGTGTACTGTGGCATAATGGTTCATGATACCATTGGAGCCAATGAGGGTTCCAATCTCGGGATCGGGAATCGCAAGAGTGACATTTTTATGGTAGAAGCTATGTTGGAGATTGTAGTCCTTTGCGTTGAAGGCTTTGAGGTACTCGAGGAAATGCTTGAGGGAGATGTTTCGTGACATAGCGACGTTGGGATGGATATTGACTCGGACTGGGGGCTGATTGGATTCAAATTAGGATGAACTCAAACGTTTTATAATAAATTGCTATGTGGAGATATTCTTGCTTCCGAGAGAAGAGCCTGAATTCAAGTAACTCTCAAGTACCTTTGACAAATGACGCTTCTTCAGATAACGTCATTGGCAGTGCCCGTAGCAACGTTGTAAGGATTCCTTCTCCACATATCCATGGATCTTTACTAGTATATCTTCCACAATCATCTCGGGTCCACATATGTGATTCATGGATTATACGAGCTCATGTTTCTACCAGAGGTATTATGGATGAGATTAATGGTACCTTTATATGTTTACAACCTGATTCGTCCAGTAGTATACGTCGCATGCCTTCAAGTTCAAGTTTCGTCTCAGAATGATATATCTACAAGTACCATTTCCGATAAAAAACCTTGGAATATTGAATATGAGCCAGTTCAAGTTTCGGATCACAATTGTGCATGTAAAATGATTTAAAATGATATCCATATATGACTGGAAGTAGAATCTATTTTCCCCAGCTCAGGTACGGAGTCCAACATGGGGCCCCCACATATCGAACTCGTTCGGCAATGCAGAATGGGGATCTCCACTTTCCTTTGATTCCCCCACTCTTTCCCACTTCGCTTCACATCTCAATGACCTCGCAGACGAGACCGCGAGAAATGACTCCCAGATCATCAGATGCCGCGGATACCGCAAGTCCATCCAGACGCTTCACCTGCAAGACATGCAACAAAAACTATACCAAGTTAGAGCACCTCACGGTAAGTTGAAGCTCCTGGGATTGCTATTATTGACCAAATCACTAACGAGCCAAACTTGAAGAGACATCAAAGAACACGTACGTTATCTCAAATATTCAAATCATTCTTCACGGTTTGTACTGACCTACTCATAGATGAAAATTCGAAGCCCTTCCAATGTCACCAATGTGGAAGGAGCTTTGGACGTCAAGATGTTCTTGGGAGACATATGAGATTACATGTTCGCGGGAATCATTCCCAGTCTCTGCAAGCAAGAGTGCAGGATACGCCTAGTACTACCATAGCTCCAGGCCAACCTTCCACGCCTGCATCTATCCCTGCTTTAAGGACTGTTTGCCCTCCTCCAACAGAACAGATCGCACAGCAGACCTTTCCAGAATCCAATGGATATCTGGAACCAGGCACTCTTCTTGACTGGTTGATGTCTGATATGCATGGGACCCCAGTCGTACCTCTTCCTCTTTTGGATTTTCCACCCGGGGCATCAATTACAAATGACCTGCTTAACTATCAGCCGACTGACTTGGAAGTCGGGGCAAATGATACCACAGGGGATACAGCTCTAAACAAAGTATACAGAATGATTGATGATCTGTCAAGAAAATTAAACTCTGATTTCCATCGCTCTGGATTCACCTCGGCATTTTTGGACTCTTCTTTTCAGGAGTTCTTCACACGGATCTCTCCAAACTTCCCAGTGATTCATAAACCAACTTTCTCACCCCAACGAACCATTCCGCCTCTTCTGCTCAACATGGTAGCGTTGGGATCCTTGTTTGTCTGCGAAAAGGAAGCTATCGAGAAAGGCGAGATGATTTGGCGACTGGGCCATACGGCTGTTGCCACTTCCTGGCAAACGTTAATCAAGCTTCGCGGCCCATGGGACACATGTGATGGTATTCAGCTGGTGCTTGCTGCTCTCCTGGGCCAGACATATGCACTGTTGTCAAGTAATCCCAGTATCCGAACTACTGCATCGGTATTCCATGGACTGGGATTTTACTGGGCCAGATCCTCGGGTATGTATACAATACGGGACTGTCTACCACAGGGGGGTTCCATCGATAAATATGCCAGAATCAAAGAAGATCGCCCTTTGGAAGACATGGGCTGCGAACGAGGTCCAGCGCAGAGCCATTTTAGGGCACTATATTCTTGATGGCCTAATATCGCAAGCATCGGGCTCCCCAACGAGTGCAAAGCATCTCATCAATAGCCTCGGCATGGCTTGCTCAGATGCTGCCTTCACTGCTGAGACTGCGGATGAATGGATAGTCAATATTCGCTTAGGCTATTCAAAAACACCAGTTTCTCAAGCATTCACGCGCATTTTTGCTTCAAACTACAGTCGATCTTCCTTGTGCCTCTCTCGATTATCACTCTTCGTAATAATCGAAGGCCTTCAATCTCTAATCGCTGATCTCCACGAAACATCCGATCCTGTATTCGGTGCTATCTCAGAGGATCAAATCATTCAAGCAATGCTAAACATACACCGACATATCGAACCCAGCTCTTCACTCGCTCCACCATTGGATCCGTCCGATATCCCAGCTCTTATAAGATGGCACTCTGTTTTTATTGAGCTCACCGGGCCATCGATATCGATTTATAGTGCTCTTTGCAATCGCTATGAGCTTCCACAAGTCATCGGTGGAATCCATGCTAAAAGCAGACACCAAGACTTAGATCTGAGTCAGTGGGTCATGAAACCAGATACCCTCCGCGCTTTCCTACACGCGATCACGATCATTCGACTCCTCGAGAATCTTCCACTGAGTCAGGTACATACCATGCATATTCCGACCGCAGTATTTGCTTCGGCAATGGTCATCGCAACTATATGTATTTTCGATAGAAATACTATCGAAGTACCGGAGGACTACATTTGGCAGAATGTTTGGGATAGTCGACGTGCTGCAGAACTGAATCATGCGGGAGTACGAGGGGAAATGCTTGTCTATATTGGGTCTCGAGGTTGTGATACTACAATGGTTAATCTTTTGGAGATGATGAATTCTTTACAGGTCATTTTGAAGACCGTTGCATCGCAGTGGGGTGTTTCGGCGCAGATGAGGGATATTATTGCGCGATTGGCGGTTATTGCATATGAAAGTCAGCCCTCGCAGACGTCTAGTGTCCAACCATATACCATTACTGTATAATAGCAGGGTGATTACTATTCCCATATTGAATCACACGAGATATGCATAAAGTTAAAGCGAGTCAGTGATACTAGTAGTGCTCTTCGGGGATCAAGGTGGAACTAATTACTCATGAAATCGACCAATCTATGCCGTTCAGTCTAATTTTATATACTCCGTACCTACCAATGATAAACATACAAAGAATTCAATCCAATACAGAGCTCTAGTTCAATCCCAAATGTCCCTTCAGGGCCTGCAAAAGCTCATCCGCCCCAGCCTTGTTTGGAAGACAAGCCAAGATATGCTGGTCAGGAGAAACCAAAACTCCCTGTTCCCTCAAGCACATAAGATCAGTCCAGGCCTCACTTTTGGGCCCCTCCTGTAACTGGAAATCAACACCATAGACAATCGTCTTGAAAGGAAGAATTTTCGCAATATCCTCAGACAGGCCCGCGAACATCTCTCCCACCTTATCCTGGAAGCTTGACGCATTTGACTCATCCACCAAAAGTGTAAATGTATCAAGATTGCATAGATCCAGAGTAGAGAATTCCATCTTTGAAACCGCCTCGGCGGAGAATTCATGCACATAGCTAGAATTTATCGCAGGAAGCCCTAGAAATTGACCCGGTAAGGCCTTAATCCACGCATGTGGAAGTCGAGCACCGGGTACACAAGCGGCATTGAAGACTGACACATTCGCAGGAATGGACTTATCACCATAGATGTATCCAATGTGTAACCCGAGATTATCGAAATGTTCGCGCTGACCTTCGATTCCTCGATTAATCTCCACCCTTGCTCCTGCATCGGAGATATTTCGGTACAGGTTCTGTCGTGAGATATTCACGTCGGGGTCTGTAATTCCACACGCTTTTAGTAGCCCGAAGATTTGGGTCCCGTTCTTGACGCTTTGGTTTGCGTTGATGAGTGCTACTTGGCGTCGTTCCTCTTGATAGGTATTGAGAAGTGCATCGCCGGCCCAGCCCTGGTGCACTGCGGCGAGTTTGTAGGCTAGGTTATGGACATCGCCTAGTCCAGAGTTTAGACCAAGTCCACCGGTAGGAGGAAAAGAGTGTGCAGCATCTCCGCAGCTGGAATTTTGTTAGTTTAGTAGTTTCATAATGGGTTGGTTATAACCAACAGGAATACTTGGCCCTCGCGGTACGAGTAGGCTACCTTTCGGCTTAGGATCCAGGGACGGTAGCTGAGTACATCGTATGGCACTTTTACTCCGATAGCGGCGTCGAGGACTTCGCGACAATGTTCTTCATTCCAGGATGCCACGGGGTGCTTTTCGGCCTGTTTTGTTATTAGAGAAGAGGTAGCAAGTTCAGAAGATGTGCTAACTTACGTCAAAGTTGCAGATTAGTACTTGATTTCCAGACAGATCATATCCAATGATGAATCCGGATACTAAGGGGTCCATAACCCAATGGAGCATTCCAACTCGCTCTTTTAGAACGGGCTTCAGATCAGCATTGAAGTGAATGGTCATCATGGTTTCACCTGGATATCAATTAGTATTTGGACCATTCTCGATACATTTATCACGCACAAGTCTCTTCTCCTTCGCTTTCTATTCCAAGATAACGTCGAACGGCACTCTTAGCTCCATCGCATCCAATAACATGTCGAGATTTGATTTTGTATTCTGTCTTAGCAGTACGATCTTCAATCGTAGTCACGACAAATCCGTCATCCTGATAATGTTAATCTCTAAATCTACATTTATAGGTATGGATATAACTTACCTGCTCCAAACTAACTTGAACAAACGAATGATTCTTCCGAATCTCAACAAGATCACTCTTTGATAATCTAGTCGCGATAAATTGCTCAAATGCCGGTTGAGGGATGTTATGAATCATCTTGTCTTCATTAGTAACCTGTCCATGATATTTGATGAAAGTGTCATACCGTCGGCGTATCATCCAAAACATCCTTATCCATTCGCTCGTAAGGTAAACGACCAACTTGCTTCCCAGATAAACTGGTTACGAAATTCACCCAGTATGCATCTTGCCGAGGACTGCCGATCTTGCGAATCTCGTTCACATCTAGCCCCGCTTGTCGGCAGATCTCTAGAGATCGCGGGGAGAGCGCGTGTGCCTTTGGTGCTGCGAGTCTCTCTGCGTAGCGTTCAACAACCAAGGAGCGAACTAGATAGAGTCAGTTTTGGACTAGGATCTCTGGGCAGTTTAAGGGTAACTTACCATTTAGTTGAGAAAGTATAAAGGCTAGTAGAAGTCCTGAAGGTCCTCCGCCGATAATAAGAATCGGGACTTCTTCTGCGGAGGGTTGGAAATAAGGTGACATTTTGAACTACTATGTATCGTAGATTGGAAAAATGAGGCTATGAGTTTAATGCATTGGGTTAAAATCCTGTTTATGTATGCATGCTTCTCCGTGGAATTTCTGGCATCCCCGCGTCGGGGGTGGGGAAGTGGGGGAGCCCAAGTGGATGAGGTGGGACAGTTATATCCGAATCAACTCAAAGAACCCGTCCATCAGAACTTCGTATAGGGCATATCTCTCGCTAATATGCATTAATATTCGTGCATGTAGCACAGCCTCATCTATGATACCAACCATTTCAACCGGTTCAATTGGTGAAGAAGCGATGGCAGGGATGGCACTAGATGCTTCTCAAGGGTTTAGTGACAGCCATCAAGAAGCCACTGAACTAAAGAGTGGTTCACCCTGTTTCTCGCAATCTTGCCAGAGCTGCCGCAATACCCTCACTCATTTCTTCAGCAGGTTCATCGGATTTTGAAGGATCCGAATTTGCCACTGCCTCCAACTCTGCCGTCCTTCGACTCTCGGCAAGTACAGCGCGCAATATCTCCTCATCCTCATCCATATTGGTATTCCGCGACATTGTAGGCCTCGATGGCTTGTTCTTAACCGCGAACGCAGTTCCAGCTTTCTTGGTAGATTCAACCCTGAAATCTTCTCGTACAGCATTGCACCACTGTTGCACCTTTTTCTCACCCCATCCTGGAACAGAACCGATCTGCTCCGGCTGCGCATTGATCGCATTCTGCAAACTCCCAAAAGTAGATATTAAGCTCGCAGTATCTGATTTATTGATACTGCGAGGCGTTGTCACAAATTCAACTAACGAGTCTTTATAAGACTGTGGCTGTTGACTCCGGATTGCCGTGGGCTGTGCGTATTCGGATGACTTGAAAAGTTCCAGATAGTGAGCTGCCTCAGGCGCGGACCAACAGAGGATCAAGATGAGATTGTTGATTATGGATGTCTTTGAAAGCTCTTTCAGTGGGTCCTCATGATTGGGGATATCGACCATGACTAGGACAATGCGCAGGCTGTATTTTCCAGCGAGGAGTCGAACTCGGGAATAGATGTATTCTGGGTGTAGACGGTGGTATTTCAAGGATAGAAATAGCGCACATGTTGTAGTACCAACCACATAATCTGCGGGTATTTCTGAATATTCCCAGGGCAGAAGCTTGATATGGTTCAGAATGGGATTGCCCTTTTGTCGGGTGGATACTAGGATTGCTGATGTCCCAGATCGAGTGGGGAGTGCCTGTGGTTTTGGTTGTTGAACCTTGTTTCTCTGAGGAGTTGATGAATTGGGTGTCTGGCTCCCTGATGAATTCACTTTAGGCTCTCCTTTATTGAGGGATTGCCGGGAATCTGCGGATTGAGCATCCATGATGGTAAACTGGGATGGATGAATACTATGAAGTCGATACTTGAATCTTGATAGAGATAAAGCTCCTTATCGGGGTCCACATACCCGTTCTCACCGCCATACTTTTTTTTTTCTGCCGCCGATTTTTGCAAGGGAAAAAAAGTGACCAGTCTCCTGCTAATTCTCAACTACACACCATGGCAGACTCACACAAGAAAAGACGCCTCTCGCAAGAGGGTTCTACTCCGGAAAACTCTACCAAAATGGATATCACCACCACCGAGGCCGCAGATGTGGACCCATCGAAGCAACCAAAGCGAACTCTCTTCGTTCGATCGCTGCCCGCCTCGGCCACCACAGAGAAACTCGCTGAATTCTTCTCTCAATCCTACGTGATCAAGCACGCTACTGTTGTTAGCGATTCTCAGACCAAGCTCTCAAAGGGATACGGTTTCGTCACATTTGCCGATCTCGAGGACGCCCAGAGCGCTTTGGAGGAATTGAACGGAGCCGACTTTGACGGGAAGAAGATTCGAGTCGACTATGCTGAGGCCCGTAAGCGTGAGATTGATGAGAAACTCGGTCGCAGTGTCCCCACCGCTGCCTCTCTCAAGTCAAAACAAGAGCGTGAGGGCGAACGAGGCCAGGGTCCGGCGCCGAAATTGATCGTGCGTAACTTGCCGTGGAGTATCAAGGAACCGGAGGACTTGGCTCGTCTTTTCCGTAGCTTTGGAAAGGTCAAGTTTGTCACCCTTCCTAAGCGCGGAGATAAACTTGCTGGTTTTGGTTTCGTGGTTATCCGCGGTAAGAAGAACTCGGAGAAGGCTCTTGAGTGTGTTAACGGCAAGGAGGTCGATGGCCGTACGTTAGCTGTCGATTGGGCTGTTGAGAAGGAGGTTTGGGAAACTACCAAGCATGATGAAGGAAAAGACGAAGAAAAGGAGGAGGAGAAGGAATCTGGTGATGTTGAGATGAAGGATGAGGAGAAGGCGGAGGCTTCCGCAGAGGCTTCCGAGGATGAGACCTCTTCTGATGGAGAGGACGATGAGGAGGAGGAGGAGGATCTGGAAGAGTTGGAAGATATGGAAAAGGGTGAGGATGAGGACGAAGAGGAAAAGGAGGACGATCGCAATGATTCTACGATTTTCCTGCGTAACCTTCCATTCACATGCGACGATGAGTCACTCTACGAACACTTCAAACAGTTCGGACCTTTGCGATATGCTCGAATTGTCGTCGACCACGAAACCGAGCGTCCTCGAGGAACTGGTTTCGTCTGTTTCTGGAAACCAGAAGACGCTGCAACCTGTGTTCGCGAAGCCCCCAGAAACAACAACGTGCCCGCCAATGCCAAAGACCGCAACAACTCCGCAATGAAGCATTCCGTCCTTCAAAACGAAAGCTCCGACCCTACCGGACGATACACTTTGGATGGCCGTGTGCTACAAGTTGCCCGTGCTGTGAACAAGCGGGAAGCTACCAGATTGGAAGAGGAGGGCATCTCAAGCCGTCTTGTGCGTGATAAGGATAAGAGACGTCTGTACCTTCTGTCTGAGGGTACAATCCCATCCAACTCTCCTCTGTACAAGAAACTGTCACCATCTGAGATCAAGCTCCGTGAAGAGAGCTACAAGCAGCGTGAGGGAGTCATCAAGAAGAACCCCGCTCTCCACCTCAGTCTTTGTCGACTTTCTGTTCGTAACCTCCCCCGACACATTACCTCAAAGGACTTGAAGCAACTGGCTCGTGAAGCCGTTGTTGGCTTTGCCACCGAGGTTAAGAAGGAGCTCCGTCAGCCAATCTCCAAGGAGGAGAATCTGCGTTCTGCCGATACCATGAAGGAGTTGGAGCAACTGCGCAAGACCAAGCAAGTTGGTATTGTCCGCCAGGCTACGATTGTCTACGAGACCCGCGAGGGTACCAAGGTTCCCGAGAAGGCTGGTGGTGGTCGCAGCCGTGGTTACGGTTTCATCGAATACTATACTCACCGTCACGCATTGATGGGTCTGCGCTGGTTGAACTGCCACGCCGTTGATGTCCCTGTTAGTGCACAGACTGATGGTGATAAGGACAAGAAGAAGCGATTAATCGTTGAGTTTGCTATTGAGAATGCTCAAGTGATTAAGCGTCGTCAGGAGCTTCAGGAGAAGAAGGAGAAGGAGAAGGAAGAGAAGGAGAAGAAGAAGGCGGAGAAGGAGCAGGAAGAGGCTGATAAGCAGGGACAAAAGAGAAAGAAGGAAGAGGAGGAAGATCCCGCGGAGGAGAACAAGCTTGCTAAGCGTAATCGCATTATTGCTAAGAAGCGTATGCAACGCAGGTCTCGCAAGTGAAGATGATGTGTTTTTGTTATTTCATGTACAGAGCGGACAACGCTTATAGTCCACGTCTGATGGACTGTACCATTATTTCTTTTTTTTCATGTTGGATACCAGACATCTTGGAAATAAAAAGCATTTGATTGATCCAATATTGGGTATATCAGTCTCTTCCATGAGACAAGTAGCTTCCGTAAATGCTCTTAAGTGTTCTTAGCTCCTTCGACCTTTCCAACAATGTTATACCGCTTGCTGAAAAAGGTGAACCACTCCACCAAGGTAGTCTTCTCCTTATCATCCAAATCATACCACTCAGGTACACAGTCCTCCGGTTTAAGAGAAGAACAAGCGAGCGCACGAGAAGAATCCTTGCCGACGAAAACTAAATCACAATCCGTTAGCCTTATACCTCGGCACAACCCAAGACGCCCATGAGGACCACTTCAACAAACATACCGCGATATTGACCAGAGGCACCATATGCAGCATTCCGGCTCACATCAAAGACAACACCCTTGATAGCGACCAAGGTCGGACGAGTAGGATCAGTACCTGTCATTATGATTAGTCGAATCCGGAGTTGATCGAGCTTGTCCCGAGATCCTCTTACCATCACACTTGGCCAATTCCTCCTGAGAGATCAGGTCATCCTTAGGTGGATCCAGTTTAACTGGCACCTTGGGAGCGAATCGTTTGGATTGAGTCTCTTCAGTCATTTTTGTTGTGGTTATGGAGAAAGATAGGTTCAAATGTTGGGATTATTATGGCGTGGGGCAGGCGGGGTTCATCGGAGCATAACCGATTGATGACGAACGAGAGATTCTGATTGATGGAGCTTATTAGGCGGGGTTTCTGGGGTTATCACTACTAAGATGTTTAGATTTAGTTTTATAGAATTTTATGAGTATTTCTGTGTTCAGGATGGAGTTCATTTACTACTAGTAATATTATGATAGTAGAATGACCCTCCCACAAACCGAGGTACATAGTACCTACTAGTGGTAATAAATAAATCTAAATAGACCACACAAACTAGACATCGAAGCCTCGACAGAGCTAGAATTACATACATCGATTGGAATAAGAGGATAGTTTGATATTGTATACATAGTGTGGTATATGCACTTACAGAGTCCATAGTTGTACGAGGTGCCCAGGTGGCGGCCTTAAATCAGATGATAATGACGCACGCTCCAACCTTCAACTCTCGACACCATTTACCTCCTACACACAAGAATATCAAAGTCATATTTTGAAATCTCCTATATACTCAAGTGCTGAGTCCATTTGACTCAAAATCGAAATGTCTTCACGAGAATCAGCACACACCTACGAGGTATATCCTCCACATCATGATAATCCTAATCCACGGCGAGATTCCACCGATCCAAACGTGGTCCATCACCTCTACTTCGAAGACAACGATAGCTTTTTTCCACCTACTTGGATTGGGAAAGACGAGGCCTCACAGCGACGGTTTCCCAACGATAGTACAACAAGTCAAGCGTCCAAAGTTGAACATGAAACGAAGCCACAGACTCGTGTTGCGCAACACTGAGCACTAGTATCAAGTGGAGCTGGATCCATGATTTCTAGCGCAAATGTGACCAGATAAATGCGATTCTTCTTTTGAGCAATGATGAAATAGCTGGACTGCCAGTGGTGAAAGAGCTTCGAGGGCAAGATCCAGTAGGAATCAGAATCAACATTTGATGTCACAATCCAAGTAATACAGTAAAACCGGTTTAGTAAGATACTGGCTTAGTGCGATAACCTAGTTAGTGCGATAAATTTTTACCGAAAAATTCAGTTTCACATATAAATATCGCAACTTCTCCGTTACAGCAATATATCGCATCTCTCCGAGGCCCCCCTTACATTTATCGTTCTATCCAGGTCATCATTTCCCTGATTACCTAATATTCAGCCAATCAAAATTCCTCGTCAAGCCATCACGAATAGATCAGGGTATTATTAGAACCTGGAAAGCCTACTGGAAACACCAGTGGGTAAGGTTTATGGTATCTGAATTTGATGCAGGCCGTGATCCAATACAATCTATGGATGTGCTTCATGCATTAAGATGGGGGATTCAGGCATGGGAATTCAAATTGATATTTCCGCTCAAACTATCACCAATTGCTTTAATAAAGCATTGATCGATAAAGGCGAAGACTATCAAATACAGCAGCAACTGATTGATGAACTCAATGCTAGTTTAACTACGCTGAGGCCTTTATTACTAGATCCAATAAGTATCGAGAACTTCCTTGATCCTCTGGATGAGGTAATTCAAGATGGTATTGAGACTATAGATAATATTGTGCTAAGCCACTTTCCCAGAGAGGTTGATGATGATGATGATGATGATGCAGAAACCATACCTGAAACCCCCCCTAGTTCCGATAGATGATGCTATTCGTGCATTAGAAACGCTTTGTTTGTATGAAGAGCAGCAGGACCGGGGCAAAACGCAGTTGATAACTAGCCTGTATAGACATAAGAGGTTGATACAGGATAGGAGATCAAAAGCACAAAAGCAGAAGGATATAAGGAGCTATTTCCTATAGAAATTTGTATGTACAACAGAGATATATGCCTAGTTATAACGATACATATTGACCAAACCAACTGTATCGTACTAACGGTTTTACTGTATAGTAGAATAATATTCACACCATAACCAACTCTTTAATCGTACATCCACCCATAACTCAAATATGAAACCTTGAAACCGTCTCAAGAGCTTTCCTTAGCCGCTTCAGCAGCCTTCAAAGCCTCCAGTCTCTGCTTATTCCGCTTGCCCAAAACCCGCATCGTATTCTTCCGCTCAATCTCCGTCATCTGCTCCCAGTTGCTAATCCGAGAGAGTGTCCCATCCACATTAACCACCATCGGTCCCAGATGATCAAGCGTGACTGTAGATCCGCCCTCACTACTCAGATCCAGGCGCTGAGGATTCGCACCGGAGGATTCGCCAGAGGGTAGGGCAAGCTGTTCGGATTTTGTGGTCTGCTCCTGTGTGTTGGATTCAGCCGACTCGGGCTTTTGGTCTGTGGTGTTTGAGGACATCGTGTGTGCTGTGCGACTGTGCTCAAGGGTTCTGCACTGGGGGAAGAGGATGTTGGAGAGTCGGGCGCTGGGGCTTGGAGTGTATGTGCTCAGGATGCTGGTTGTTGGAATTGCAGCGCGAGCAAATATTGGGGTAAATGTTAAGTGGAGGAGGGCAGCGCGGTAGGCAGTGCGTGATAATTGCATTGTTAAGTGTTGGAGACTTGGAGTTGCGAGGATAAAAAGTGTGGAGCGGAGATGATTCTGGAACCCGCGATCTTTAATATGACGCTAGCAGTTGGCTATACTCTACAAAGTAGACGAAGTAAATACATTAAAATTTCAATTATTTTCAATTCTCTTATTGTACATAATATTTACATTTATTATTCGTTGGGTGTTTGAATTATCGGAACCACCAATTAACCTAATCCAAGTCATTAGCACTCAACTCCAGAACGATCAAGTCCAGTACTCACCGAGGCAGTAACACCTTCTCCAACTCCCTTGATACTATGCCACCACCCCTTAGGAATAAACAAGCCATCGCCTGCCTCCAAGCATGCCTCGAAGCCATGATGAGGCTCACTTGACTCCATAGAGACCGATGAACCCCATACCATCTCATCTAGCAGAGCCCGCTCTCTACCCTGCATCATCTCTTCACCTCGAAAAGCCGCAGCTTCTCGACTCTTACTTTTACCCAACTCTGTCCGCACAGCAGAGAAAAGTGCCTGCCCCTCAGAGGGCGCTAAAAGACGGACCACTTTCCGTCCCGCCAGCTGCACAAACAGATTAGGATTAGGATCTCGGTGCAGCGGAGTGTATGTAGGCGGATGTCCAATCCACACATTTGTGTCATATACATCTCCCTTTCCAGATTTAGCGACAATCTCCGGTGTGGGAAAATCATCCTGTAAAACGGACGGAAGATCAAGGAGCTGGCATTGTGCTAGATATAGCCGTTTAGACTGTGGGATTGTCTCGGCCATGCGCATCCAATCCAAGAAAAGAGTCAACGGCGCATGAAGCTGTCGAAAACTTATCCCCTCGGTCGCATCTTGTTCTGATCCTTTGGCATCTGTGGAATTGAGATCTCGTGTAACGCCCTCGGTAAGTTCGAGGGGTACGAACGCGTCCGCGGCATGTGTTTGTAGGTATTCGACGTTCAATCGGGTCGCAGGACTCGAAGAGCTGGGTATTTCAAACCAGTTCTTCAGCGCGGGCAGATTCTTAAATTCGGATCGAGGAAGTAGACCCGGTTGTTCTGGGTTAAAGCATTGTGTGCGAAAGGTATCAACTTGGGCATCGGGGAGAGGATCGAGGGTTCGGTATGGGTAGGTTGTTAAAGCGGAGAATGGGCGGGCTCTGCGGGTTTGAGGGATGAGTTCAAGGGTATAGAGACTGTTTACAGCCCGCTTTTTGAAATGGGGTAGCCATTGTAGATTCATTCGAGCTGGGGCGAAGACTAGAGTCTAGTCCGGACTGAGTAGTGAGGAAGAAAGTCGTTCCACTTTTGACTATTAAAATTGGTAGTAAGACGGCCCCCACTGGGCAAACTCAACTTCGTATACGCTGCACCAAATGCAGTAGAATATTTCACTGATACCTCCCTTTTTGAGCATTTTTTTTCTGCTAAGATGATCTTATGAGATTTATAAATCATATGACTTTCCTATTCTTGGAGCTGAGGCCCCCAATTAACTTATGACAAGCTTGATCAGTTGTCGAAGTCCAAGTTCATGTTGACATGGGTTCAATAGATAGTATGATCCCAAGAGCCTTTTTTTAGACTAAAATGATATTGAAAAGGAAAGAATTCTTCACCATCTCTTCCGTATAGGGATCTATTATTGGCTCCTACTACAAAGAGCCCCTAAATAGTATGGTCCACTATAAAATTTGGCCCCATTGCCGAGGCTTTTTGGACCCCTCTGAAGGATCCGTGACGTAGACTGAAACGAGCTGCCATTTCTGTAAATCCTTAAATTTGTTTAAATAAAATGATCTGCTATTCCCTCGATCCCACCGTACCTTGTTGTTGTGGGTGTACTACCTGATTGAACGCCGTGCGACCCTGGATTATTATTGAAGTCGTACCTGGAGGATTTACGACTGCGACGCTTGGAATTGGACTCAGCTTCGCTTTTCACAATTGTTTATTGCAACTTGAACGGATTCGAATTCGTTGATTATCGCTATGCCGTCGCTTGGAAAGATTCATAAGCGCCATGGCTATGGCAAGGAGGCGCATACCTATTACCCCGTGCTCATTGTTGGAGCCGGAGAATCAGGTATCGCAATGGGTTGTCGCTTGAAGGAAGTGCTGGGAATGGATCAATTTCGGATTTTTGATCGTCAATCTGGTATTGGAGGCACTTGGTGGATTAACCGATACCCTGGAGCGGCTTGCGATATGTGAGTACTGACATAGCGCTTGGACATAAGTCAATGGTATCTAACGAATAGTTAGCCCGGCAATTCTATACTCTTTCTCGTTTTGTCCTAAGCTAGACTGGTCCACCTTACATCCCCCCGGTGCCGAACTCGCGCAATATTTCGCAGATGTATGCGAAAAGTATCAGATCGTCGACAAGATTCAACTCCACACGGACGTGAAGCAGATTCGATGGATGGAAGAAGATGAAGAGTGGGAGGTCATTCTCTCACATTTGGTTCCTGGTACGGGTGACCTCTCCCAATACGAGCGCGATGAGCTTGTTGCACGGGAAGGTCCAAATAGTGTTTATATGGGTACCGAGATGGTACGAGCCAAGGTGGTTGTGAGCGGAGTGGGTGGACTGGTTGAACCAAAGTCATGGCCAGATGTCCCTGGCTTTGAAGACTTCAAGGGAGAAATAACACACACGGCTCGGTGGAATAGTAATATCGACTTTAAAGACAAGGATGTCGTTGTGATCGGTTCTGGGTGCAGTTCAGCACAGGTTGTCCCCGAGCTAGCCAAAAAGGAAGCCAATGTTCGCTCTATCACTCAAATTATGCGAACTCCTCCTTGGGTACAGCCAGAGATCCTAAAACCAGATGCACTTGCAAGATGGGAGAAATGGAGTCCCAAACTGATGACCAATGTACCCGGTCTCAACAGGTTCTCCCGGAATTTAGTGTTTTGCGGGTCGGAATATTTCTTCTTCGCCATGTTCCCAGACAATGTTTTCGGCCGCTGGGCTCGACCACAGATGGAGCAAGAGTTCTTGGATAATATGCGAGCTTGGGCACCGAAAGAGTACCACGAGATGCTCACACCGAATTACAGTCTCGGATGCAAGCGTCGCATTGTCGACAGTGCTTGGTATCAGAGTCTCAATGCACCTAATGTGGAGCTTACAACTCAGCCCTTGACTCGTGTGCATGCCAAATCTGTCACTATTGGACCTGGAAAATACTACCCACCCAATAGTGCCACTGAAAACGATGTGGTCCGTGAAATCCCTGCCGATGTGATTGTTCTGGGCAATGGATTCGAGACCAATCAATGGTTGCATCCACTGAAGGTCACAGGCAGGGGAGGCAAAGACTTACATGACCTTTGGGCCGAGCGTGGAGGTGCATCAGCATATCTCGGGATTGCAATTGATAAATTCCCGAATTTCTTCCTGCTCTTTGGTCCTAACACTGGTACGGGACATAGCAGTGTTATTTTCGCAACAGAGAATGCGGTCAATTACTCATTGAACTTCATTAAGAAGATTCTGAATGAGGAAGTCAGTACCTACGAGATTAAAGAGGAGGCAGGACGGGCATGGTCGAAGCAGGTGCAGGATCAGCTGCAAAAGACCGTCTTCAAGCGTGGAAGTTGCTCAAGTTGGTATATTACCGCTGACGGATGGAACTCGTCGACGTACCCGTAAGTATTTCAGCTCTGGTTATCCTTTATTGATCTCATATCTGTTTTCATGCTAATAAATCTATAGATGGACTCAAGTTCATTACTGGTACCGGTGTGCTTTCCCAAGATGGAACGATTGGGCAGCTAAACCCACTCGGAAGGGATTGATTAAACAGCAAAGGAATAAAGCCATCCGACTATCTGTGCTCGTTGGGCTTCTTGGTGCACTTGCATGGCTATGGAAGAACCCTGAGTATCAGGACGGAGTAATGGGACTGTTCCTTGCTGGAAAGAGCTGGCTTCTTTCAATGATCCGGGGATAAGATCTTTCATTCATTTGATCAATTGATGTTTCTATTTATACAGTAATCTTGGATAATCTTCTCATGTCTTTCATTTGTTACTAATCCACGTAAGCTACCTACCTATAACTAGTCAGCCCTACCTACATCTTACATATGCATAAAAAGCAAGTAAATACCCAAATAATATACTCTAAATGGATACTTCTCCCTAAACCAATCATGTAAAGACAAATAAGATGACTCAGCCTCAAATCTGGGGAAGCGGCAAACCCCGCGAGGAATCTCTCCGCACTTTCTCGCTGCTAATTCTCCTTAGCTATTCTTCTGTGTGAAGGTTCTTCCTGCCTATCATGACTTCAGAGTCACCTCGGATTGAAAGTACACCACCGCAGACAGGTCCTGGCGATGAGGCCACCACACCGGCTGCAGATACGGCAAAGAGGAAGGCGGAACAGGGTAACGGAACGCAGACGCGCGCAAAGCGGAATCGCTATATCTCCATCGCATGGTATGTATGGTCTGATTCCCGGTATATTCCCGGTGTCTTAGTCGGCATTAATTCATGCCCGAAGCTCCTTGAACGGCATTCACTCAATCCGGTGTCATGCCACCCGGCTCCTCTTTCCGCTTCGGAATGGAAATGTGGAAATAGATTGGCAGTGGGCTGACAATTCTCTGTCGTTCTTAGCAATGAATGCAAGCGTCGCAAGATTAAATGTAATGGACAGGTGCCGTGTCAACGGTGCGGACACCTAAATCTGGAATGTATGAACCCCTTCGGCTGAGATAACTACCGTCTCTGTACGATCTATTCCGCAGTCATCGAACTTGTGGGGCTATTGACTCTCTTCTGACATTTGCGCAGGTCGATATGCACCCAATTGCTGCAATAACAACTTCAAGGACTCTGAGTAAGCCATTGACTCCACCTTGGCTGTGTCAAGCCGTTTCTCTGATACTGATATCTTACTGCAGTGAGTTTCGGTCTATGACAGCCCAGATCACCACGCTTCAGGACCAAGTCAACAACCTTTTCAGCAACATTAATGAACTAAGATCTCAAAAACCAGCTTTTGAGTCTCCTCCCTTTGACCATCTTTCTCGCGATGGATCCCAATCTGTCTTCACTCCCATGCCCCGGGGATCCCAAAGGCTCGATCCCGCCATCCTCGTTTCCATGGCCCAACCAGCTCGGCCTTCAATTTTGATGTTGCCAAAACGAGTCTCCAGAGTATGGGAATTACTCCAGCAGAAGATGGAATCCCCGATGACTTGACAACAGCACATGTCACGCCAGCTGGCTCTCCACCTGCACATCTAGGCCCTCTTGTTCCTACTATCCATCCGACTAAAGATCCCATCTGGTCGATTCGACGTGAGGAAGCTTTGCGTTTATGCAGGGTCTATGAAGAAGAGATCGGAATAATGTACCCTCTGGTTGACATTACTACCGTCACAAACCAGGCTAATCTTCTCTACACGTTCATGGAAGCCGCTACGCGAAGTGGATTTGCTCAGCGGGGTCTTCCAGGAGCTGATAGTCTTCATGATGATAACTCTGTTCTTTTAAAGTTAATTCTTGCAACTACATTGGTTGTAGAAGGGGGCGGCGAAAGTGACATAGGTCAGAGGCTGTATCATAGTATCAAGTCTGTGATTGAATCTAAATTATGGGGCCCTCATGATATCAGGAATATTCAGCTTTTTGCTATTGTGGTATGTATAAAATACCTACTTTTCGCTTTCTTGTTACATTTTCTGATTGGAATAGGCCACATATCATTTTCATACAGACGACGACGCTATGGCCTATCGACTGATTGGGTTGGCTGCGCGAATGTGCTTGGAGATGGGCCTACATCGCCGTGATGCTTTACTGAAGTCTTTCCCCAGTGAAGATCAATGGAATGAAATCACTCGCATCTTTTGGACTGTCTATAGCTTGGATCGGCGATGGAGTCTAGGCACTGGTTTGCCATTTGTCATTCAGGATGAGGATATTGACCCGAACCTTCCAGAGCCGGTAAGAGAAGCATTGGTTTATGGGAATGCCATTTATCTAACTTCAACCAGGATTCCTCTTTGCCCTATTTACGATGTATGATTTCATACAATCGAATCAGTTCTAAGATCTGGTATTCTGGTCTTGGCTCGGAGGGAACAACTGATATTCGGCGAGACGAGATTGGATATTTGGACTATCAGATTCTCCAATGGTATAAGCAGGTCCCGGATGAGCTCAAGTTTTACCCTGTTGAATCTCCTAAGAATGGAGAAGCTGCAAGCCGAGGCATGAGACGTCTCCGGGTTCTGCTGTACCTGCGAATGAACCAGCTCCGAATTCTAATTTATCGACCGGTCCTCCATTCCGCAGCGAGCATTTTAGAAGATCGAGGCCATGCTCAGACTGTTGTGGATATCGCAAAAGACACAGTTCGAGTCCTCACCCGGCTGAACCAAATGTCTGATATCTATCGTACTCAGCAAATCACCTTCAATTACTTCCTTGTGGCTGCGCTCGCGGTACTTTTCCTTGCTGTCTGCCATGCACCATCTGACTTTAATCGCCAAGTGCGAGACGAGTTTTATATGGCACTAGATTTGATCAACGGCTTCAGCACGAAATCCTACGTATCCAAGCGCCTGTGGAAAACTATCAAGGGTCTCAGAAAGATCGGGGAGAAACTTGGGGTTCTTGCACGTCCTTTTGGCACTGATTCCACAGATCCTCATTCTACTGCTGCAGTGGCAATGGCAGGTCTGGCTGGACATTCCATTGATGATCTGGCTGTATACGGTTCAATGAATGGAGTGGATGATCTCGGAAACAGCCCATTGAATGGTCTTCAAATGAGTAATGAATTGACTCATTTATTCGAGGCTGTTGGCTCTTTTGGTAACTTCCTGCCAAGTACTACGGGACCAGACGGGATGAATGGGTTTGTTGGCGCTGATGGCGAAATCCAAAATACTGGGGAGGGACTTTCAGGAATTCTTGGTGGTGAAGAGGAATTTTCCCGCATCATCCGTGATTTATTTTAATGCGAGAAATGAAGATCAATAAGTAATTAAATCAAATGTATGAAGTAGCTTATAGACCTTCTCTATATAGTAAACCAGTTGACGAAACCGGAAGCTTCGCCGCGCACCTTTCACGTGACTTTTACCTCCCACTTCGTCTCCCAACTCTGAAGCTTTCCGTATCCTTGTTCTCCCCACCTTCGAAGCGTCTATCCTAGGTCTCCATCGCATGCACACCATTGTGCCTGCAGCAGCCTGACCCGCGCCATCTTGATCCGTGCGGCCCTTCCCACCGCCCCACGAACCCCTCGAGCCGAACCTCCCAGTACCCTTCACTCGTGGAGAACACTTTTGACGGGGGCCTGCAGCATCCATGAATAGCGTTAAGCTTACCCTTTGATAATCGCTGCACCACTCGTAAGTGATCTGAATTGTATTGTAGGAGTTCGATGGGAGACTGATAAGATTTTGGTGGGGCTAGCCTGAGATACAGAACTCTCGACTCGGAACCGCACAACCTCCCCTCCCGCACATTGCTATGAGCCTGCCAAACCACCTCGACTGATACACCCTTCCAACACCATTCAAGGCGATCACTTTGCGTTGCAACGCCGATTCCGATTTGATGAACTAGACAATCGGATCATTTTTTAAGCGAATTGCCTTCCCAGTCGTCTCCACACATCAACGTTGATCTTCCCGCCCGCAGCTGCTCTGCCCAACCCCTCCCAATTTGAGCGTCGAGGTTTCTGAACCTTCGTCGCAACTATCTTAACCGCCTCACAATTAGAGCGACGGACTTACTTTCGTCGCCATCATCTCCTCTCGTCGCTAACATCCCAACCCCTCCCAATTCGAGCGACGGGGTTGCTGTGCTTTCGTCGCTACTATCCCGCATTCCTCCATACAATCTCGGCAACGTGTCGAGAGAGACAGGTTCGGCGTTGGCCGACGGCCTAGACAGGCTGGATTTGAGTCAACTGTCTGAATCAACCCTTTCCTCGTCTGTGTCCGCCTCTTTCGATATGTCGTCGTCAGAAGGTGCTCCAGAGTCATGGATCTCCTCGTTCTGCTCGCTCATGGGCCACGAGTTCTTCGCGGAGGTATCGGAGGATTTTATTGAGGATGATTTCAACCTGACTGGCCTGCAGTCGCAGGTCCCCATGTACAAGGAGGCGTTGGAGATGATTCTCGATGTGGAGCCCGAAGATGAAGAAGATGAGGAGGAAGAAGAGGAAGAGGAAGAAGATGAGGATGAGGCTTTGGGCGAGGATCGACCACTTGGTTATCGGAGAGCTGGCGATCGCCGACACACCCGCGTTGCCAGTGATTTGAGCGTTATCGAAAGCTCCGCGGAACTCCTGTACGGTCTCATTCACCAGCGATATATCACTTCGCGTCCGGGTATTCAGCAAATGCTGGAAAAGTACGAGATGCAACATTTTGGTGTCTGTCCGCGTGTTAACTGCAACGGGTGTAAGGTCCTGCCGGTGGGTCGCTCTGATACTCCCGGTCAAGAAACGGTGAAGCTTTTCTGTCCCGGCTGCATGGACATCTACACACCACCGAACAGTCGTTTCCACTCCGTCGACGGTGCATTCTTCGGTACAACATTCGGCTGTCTGTTCTTCATGACCTTCCCTGACCTTGATATCGGACCCCGATTGGATTCCTCACTTTCAAGCATGTCGCGAAACACTTCACAACCCGCCTCTCGCACGCATCCGTCAGATGAACTTGAATCGCCCAGCCCTGAAGAGCAACCTCTCGAGATCAACGGAATCCGTACCGCTAACTTGTGCCCGGGACTTGGACGCGGCAAGATTTATGAGCCGAAGATCTATGGATTCAAGGTTGCCGAAGCCTCTCGAGTGGGACCCCGTATGAAATGGCTTCGAATGAAACCGAGGAACATTAATGAACTCGATGAAGCTACAACACACGAACGTCTCGCCAATATGAACGAGGCAAAAGGTCAGGGCAGTGAATCCCGTGGGGCAGACAAGGATGGAGACACACAGATGAATGCCGCGCAATCCCAGGAGGCATTGATCGCGAACCGGAAAAAGGCACCCATGCGCCGACGACGCGTACTTGGTGAATCTGCTCCATCAGACCAGATGAGTGTTCAAGCAGACATGGGTTAAGAGAACCAACTTTGTTTTATCTTTTTTCAAGTTTTCGAAAGGGGAGGTCACTATATCAACCGCGCCCATTTTCAGGCCCAATGATCTGCAACTAAATATTTAACCCGGGAGAAAGTCTCACGGCCGCACTTAGGCAAGACATGAGAGTCCAATATGTCCTGCCGGGGAAAGTTATGAGGATGCTGAGAATTGATGATAACACGACGAGCTGGGCCTTTTTTCTTTTCTAATTCTTTTTTTTCTTGAATGGGATGTTTAAGCTGTCTTTCTTAAATATTGTGCTATGATCTGGTCTCTGTCCCATGTGCATCTTTTCTAAGCCTTCAATGTCATTTTATGGCGCAAATCCAGCATGAATCTAATAAGCTCGGTCTTGTAGTGGTCGTTTCAAGTATTCAAGTTCAAATTCTCTTTTAATCTATTGGGAAGTTATTTGCGAATGTGGAGATGAGTCTTAGATCTGTAGCTGCAGCTACATTAATGTTTGGTTATACCCATATCTACCAGTAGTACCAGTCAGTACCTAGTAGGTATGACTCGGATCCGAAGGGACTCGGACTCGGAGTACGGAGTACTTGTACCCAGATTTTATATGCTTCAAGCCCAGTGCATGCATGAATAAATTGCTCGTATGAACTTAGGTGTTCAAGTTCCTGGTGTGTTAGATTGGGACCACAGTGGTCCCGTTCTCTTTGTCGATATCACCGAACATCCACCTTCTCTCTCCCTCCCTAAGCACTTCCAGGGCTTCCGTTCTGACATGGTGCATGATAAGTCATTTCAATCAAGGCTGTGCTATGGCATATCCTCACTAGTTTAGTTCTACTAGCGGGCCGTGGATGGATGAAAATGGGATGTATGCCTGGTGGTCTATATTAAGTAGATGAATACTTCTGATCATTATGACAGTTAGATCAGGCGCACTATTAGGTTTGAGTCTTAAAACGCCGCGATATTTACCTAATGAGGAAGGTAGATAGCCCTAGAGTACTACTACTTTCTTATAGACCAGATCTCAATACATCCATCAAAAGGTACTGTCACAGGGTTACCTAGGTATTCATAGTCATGACAGATAGTTGCTACTACCTAGTTGGATTATATGGCAGCCTGGTCAACTTGAAGCGAGTGGTCAAGCATCAATCTACAGATGCGAAGTGTATCACACATAGTGCCATATTGATGTTTGATTGAACTGGGATGGTATAAGGTGCTTAGGTTGACTTGCTTTTTAGATTGATAATCCTACCATACATATGTAGAGTTGCATTCACTTTACTGGCAGAACCTGGAATAACAGGGATATAGGATCATGATAGGGCGTGGCGTCGTAGGCGAACAGTCCTGTTTGAAATAATTGTCGAGCTGAGCCTTTTGTTCCTGTCTCTTTCCTAACTAGGGTATACAAGAAAATCCCGAGGTCTGCATGTCGGACTATATTGATTATTGATTATTGATCTCGGATTCAAACACGCATCTTGACGTATGTGAGTTGGCTAGGAAGTCACATGTTCCCATCTATTGAGATCTCGACTGTGGCTAGGACTCTCGGACGAAATGTGGCCCAGTTCAATAGAGTATGCAATATGCATGGAGAAGAGTACTCCGCACTTCTTTCGTCTTCTATTGCATCGGGCTACTCATGGTGATTAGTGATATCTAGCACACCTGGACATAATGTGTATGTACTTCATCACTATCTCGCACTATCTCGCACTATCTCGCACTATCTCGCACTATCTCGTAAAAGCGACGCACCTATAGGACTGTTCCACATATCACTGTCTTGGTTAACGTTTCCTAGAATAAATGGTTCTTATTGGTCTCTTCGGATTTCTAATATCTTGATAATTTACATTACACCCCTGACCCTTGTCATTCTATTCAAACAAAGCTCTTCCTACGAATCATGTCTTTTTACGAAGTACGTCCCGACAGGTTGGCTCAAGCATCACGTCACCCGACCGTGAAGGGACTATTCCCCCTTTGGAAAAGTTGAGAAAGCCCCCTTGAAGCTTTGTAATTAGTCTCATTGGAAATAAATAAGGCGAGATCGGCGAGATCATTGTATCACCCCCATCACATGAAGCTCTGGATCTTTTTTTTTTTTAAGTTTACCGAATCATTTACTCTATCCGGAGTAGCTTGTCCCATTACTCTGGATGAGTTGGGAGTCGATCATAATATGGGCCTTGAATGATTCAGATATCGGAATTTGTCCGATACCTCTCCATCATTACCAGTACCAGTCTATATTCATAGTACTTCTAACTAGATCGAGAAGATGAAGCGGATGGTCCCGCCCTCCACTACTCTGTATATAGAATCAGGGGCTAAATTTAAATTCCCATTGATATTTGCTTTTTTTTTGACTTGTTTCTTCGGCTACGGAAACGGAGTTCTTTCGCCTCTCGGTCCTACGGTCTAGTTCATTGGAGTCCTGTAATGGGGTCCTAAACTGCCGATCGACCCCATGAATCATAATCCAGTGGGGCAACTTAATTGAACTCTTCACTCCCTAGTGCTTAATCTGATTGAAGGATGGTATTCAAACGTTTCGGCCCCCCTCCGATCCCTCGTGGCTGGAGTTGACTAAACTTGACGCTAGGGTTTTTGGCTCGTGGATTCGGATTCGGGGGGGTTTAGTTACCCGGTTCATTCCTTTGAATTCTTTATTTCGAGCTGAACTAAACTGAACTCAACCAGGGTGGATCTACGGAGAAGTCCGTATGAATACTAATTGTACGAATATGGTGGTACCAATGTGGTGGTTCTGGGAGCCCTATGGCCTCATGTCTCAAGCCTCCATGTACTTATGTACTGATGTACATCCTGAAGACTTGTTTATGATGCTTACAGGTCTACCGTTTCAGAATAGTGCCATGTCAGTACAGACGTAGACAGATCTGCAACTAGCGTTGGAGAATATTCTCCTAGATACCGTAAGATCTGATTTGTTAACTTGTTCGGGATTATAACTGTCAAAATTAATCAAATTAATTATGATAATCGCCACATTGTTGAATATGTACTTTATTTTGCCTTCAAATGGATGTTTATCCGATACCGAGTATTCAAATTTTCAAATATTCAAAATATTTGAATTTCATCTTATCTATCAATGTGGATATGGCTCGGTAGAAATCACCTCAAAAATTATTTTTGAATGAGATAGAAATAGTTACTTATGCAGCACTAGAGTATCTACAATAAGGTTGGGGACTTTCATGCAGATTTTCCCTGCTGCAGAACCGATTTCGCCCCCTAGAATAGAACACTGGCACGCTTAAAATTTGAAGATAATGCTCATAGTATACTAGTATGTCTCTTGGGAATACTGAATAAGAATCAACTAACCCAGAAACAGCAAATGAAGAATCCCACACTTTCGGTTTTTGGCCCCTTTTAACCCTTTAACCAATTAAGTGGAGCCCGTGACTCGAATTCAAAATGTTCAGCCTTGAAATTGAAACCCTTAACCGATCCACTCCGGCCGAAAGTACTGCGCGCGGGCCACCAGATTGCCTGAGTAATGTACAGGTCCTTGTGGCCCTTGTGGCCCTCTTGTGGAAGAGATTTCTGACTTCTCTCCTAGGCTACTATCATTGATGCCACTCAAGTGCTTGGACGCCCTACGCGAAACCAAAGAGTCGGGAATGATAAAAAAGCCAAATATCATTTCACTACCCCTAAAATAGAGGCTCAACGTGGAACTTTGCCAATGAGCCAAGGAAGGATTTACACAAGGCTACCATACCTTCAAAGGTAAGTGGGAGCGAAGGACCGCGTGGTTCTATTATTGTTTTTAATTTATTTTCATATCCTTTCATAGGTTCATTCCAAGTATTTACTCTAGTAATTTTTTTTTATTTATTTCCCCCCTATCTCCCCGACTCTAATCTACTTCAATGTTAGTTCTATGTTAGTTTAACTTGGGACTCAGACTCTTTACCATGGGAATGGAATAGAAGCTCCAAATTGCATCATCGGGTTTTGGGGATTACTTAGAGGGGCTAGAAAGAGCTCTTCTAGATTTTACTAATTATGATTGGCGTCTGGGGACTCGGGAAGATGATATCCTAGTTCTGCAGCGATCCTATTTCCAACAGTCTGGTTAGGCCACATGGTTTACGCGACGGATCCGCTCGGATCATGACTCATGTTGACTTCAAATGTTGTATCTTCGAGCACTTCAGGTTGGGTACATTGCATCTGTAAGGGTTGTTTCGGGAGAATCTATGATCCACTTATTCCACTTATTCCACTTATTCCACCCCACTTCATACATTATTTTAAGAATAAACTTGAAAATAATGTAAAATGACATTTGAATGTATGATCTTGTTAATCCCCATGGTCCCCGAACCCAAACTAGGAAAATGTTCTCCCGGTAAAAATGTTTCATATACCGTTGGTGGCGCTGGAAAGGGTAAACGGGGAACCTATCGACATGCCAGAAGTGGACTCGATTGCGTTTTAGCGTCTGGGGGCCAAATTTATTTATTTATTATTATTTTTTTTACTCTCTTTCGCTCTGGGGCGCCTTAGATAGATACTGTACTAGACTCTTATTAGCACTAGAGTACTAGATACCGGTGAAATTCCTGGATTTGGGGGCCATGGAGTCTTTATCCTGTTGATAAAACCAATCGCTGCTGTCGATCAAAAGGTTATTGAGATGGCTTTACGAGATACTAAGGGCTAGTACTAGCAGTATGGAGTAGGCGTTTTATTTACAGAGTAGACTAACCGTTAGATTCTAGTTCAACTAGGGAGCTGCTTCGTACATGTAAAATTTGAGTGATTTGTAGATTGTAGATTTGTAGATTCATTGACGTCAACTGGTTCAAGTTCATACCTTAACTACCTATATTCAAACATGAAAAATAAATTCCAAACGCCCTCAGATGATGCTCGCTCTCATGTCCCAATGAAATACTAATCGTTAAAACACATAATACTAAAGTGGAGAATTCCAGAAAAACTTCGGAGAATCACTGTGGAGCCCACATGATGGGCCACATCTTCTCCATTCCATAATATCCATATAGTCTCTTTTGGACCCAAGATTGCATAACCAAAGTTCCCTTCGGTGCGTCTCCGGGCCATTCAAAATGGTCCCCGAGAATTAACTCGAACATCAAGGCCGTAAATCGTATTCATACAATCCCGGCATGGAGCGCGGGGAACAAGGAGCCGATTCCGGGGTAAGGGGAAATGTAAAGATCGAAGCCTCAGGAGAGGTTGATACCGCACGCTGGCTATCGGAATACCCGTAAAGCGGAGGCATCTGCCATGACGAATTAGCTTGCGGTCGTTGAATTCGACGAATTTTAACGGGCAAAATGTACCGAAAGTCCCGGCTCCGCATGCGTTGGTTGACATAGATCGATTCCTGCCATAGAGGCGTAACTCATACTGAATGGACTCATTATGTCCTCGTCGTATTGAGATTTCCTTGGTGCTCCCATTGCGGCTGTTGGTACCATGGGTACGACAGATGGTATCGTTTCGTTGTACTCGGCATATGACATGTGTGCACCGTGGTGGTGGTGGTGATTGCCATACCCGCTTGGAATGGATTGGTACACTGGAAGTTGGGTGTACTGTCGATAGGCATCATAGGCGGGGAGTTGAGGGTACGAAAAGGCAGGTGGTGGGGATGCTGTTAATTGACGAGTACATTGTTGGGCGAACATGGCTCGCTCGTCGGACCCGTTGTAGAACTCGTATGGTCGTTCTATCTGTGATTGGGATGGTTTGCTTTCTCCGGATTTCGAGCCTCGTTGCTTGGGGCGAGTCTTTGTGTTCTTGGGAATCACGGGTTCTGCGTGGGATTGTTCTGGGGAAGCTGAAGATGCGGCACGTCTTTCTAGATCTTCCAAGCGGCGCTTCAACTTCTTTCCTGGGAGGAGTTAGGTTTCAAGTTCTTTGTTATTTGGGTATAGTTCATTCTCTCTCTCTGTATATCACTCACGGTAATTTCTTTGAGCAATCCGATTTTGGATCCGACGACGCTCTGCTAAATCAGAGATCTTGGTCCAGTCTTCATTTGGATTGGCGTTGGGACTGAAAGCACTACTATTGTTGTGACTGGAAGTGCGCGAGCCCGAACGGGCATCGTAAGTAGAAGAGCGATGCATGGTAACCAGAGTGTCAAATGTCAACTTGAGTAGTAACTTGAACTTGAACTTGAACTTGAACTTGAGAGAGGAAGTTGAATCCTTATGAGTTGGAGAAAAGTAGATCCACTATAAGGCCGGCAACCGGGGAGGGGCTATAGATTGATTATATACTCGGAGTGTCGGAAGTATGGGGCTCCTAATCCCGTCGATCAGCTGTACATTTGACGGGCCTTGCAGACTTAATGCTAAGCCCCCTCCCCCCAGTCTGTGCTCTTAGACTCGAAAGCTGCCATGTGTATTGGGGGACAAGATTCTAACTAATTTTAATTTGGGGGTTATACCAGTGAATAAAATAATCAAATAATAATAATTAAATAATAATTAAATAATAATAAATAATAATAAATAATAATAAATAATAATAATAAATAATAATAATAAATAAATAATATAAAATATGAAATATAAAATACCCAACTTTGAAATCATTTTGCGCATGGACGGACAAGGATCATTCCGGACTATTCAGCCTCGACCCAGTCTGTCTTCTCGTAAACCAATCTGGGCCACGTTTTCAGTACCACATGAACCTAGATGAAATAAATGATAAATCAGTAAATCAGTAAATCAGTAAATCATTAAATCATTAAATCATTAAATCATTAAATTATAAATTACGAGCTAGTATGCGCTGGACTATTTGTTGTTTTCGCCCCGGTGGATTACGAGGAATATCAATCATGAAGATCCTACGGTACAAAGGAAAGTATATGATTGAATCAAAAAGAATAAAATAGTGACAAAAAAGAAGCAAAAAAAAAAATTACAAAAAAAGAAACAATAACTTGAAAATCAACTTGAACTTGACTATTGCATCTGGACCGGAACAAACGTTAGCGATATTCAGACCAGCCTCCAACACGATACAGGGGATGAAACGGGGAAATATGCGTTGTTCAGAGGGGGTTACACTAACACTCTCAAATAAAATGGAAATACTTTTTATTTTTTTGTATCATATGTATTTTATTTTATTTTATTTTTTATAATTTTTATAATTTTTCTTCACGTGGATTAGGAGTTAGAAAGGGGGCCACGTTTTGGAATCTCTGATGTACGCCCAGTCAACAACCAGGATACGGATGCTCCGTCAACAAGGATACGGATACTCCGCATGAAGATAGTGGAGTGGTCCACGGGTAGTTAGGTTACCGAGCTTTTCAATTCATTTTCAAATATAGTATACGGAGTATATATCCTAGATATCCTAAATATACAAGGTCTTTTCTTGGCAACAGACTAGGGATAAAGATCTGACCCGTAGTGGTGATCGTTGAACCCTCATGTTTTACCCGGAGCCCGAGTGTCTGGGGGAAATACTCCAAAAAAAGAAAAAAACATTTACCAAACATTTCATTTATTGCAATTTCACATTTTTTAGTCCTTTTTTTTTAGAAAGAAAAAAAGAAATTATGTCAGGGATACAATAGCTAGGCTCCAATGAGGGGGGCGAAATTCGCTTGGGGCCCCCAAAAGAACCCGGTTTCGCGGAATCCCAAAAATCGCTTAACAATTGCCCGGCTTGAATGTGAATATGAATGTGATCCTTTGGATTGGTTAAATCTTAGAGGCAGTGTACACCCTAATCCTCTCATGGACTAGTTCTAGGAGTGGCTTGTCGCCAACTATATCCCCCAATCTCCAATGTAACCTTCATTATCTATACGGAGAACATCCGTGAATACTATACGGAGTAGCCTATCAACTTCAAGTTCTACCTATATACTATGGTTTGGCCTGAACTTTTTGAATGAAGATCTATGCAGTACAGAGTAAATATTCCGGATTTAACAGATTGAAATCAAATCGTTTACTCCGTACATCAAACAAATTATGAGGGGGTGACGGGGCGCACTAGGGCAGGGTTTGGGGCTTGATTGGTGTAATCTGCACACAGCTGGGATGCGGCGCATTGCCGCATTTTCCAAGGTGCTGACCTTGTCCTGATTTGGTTAGAATAAACGATATTCTCGTGTCAATACTGATTGTTGGTCACCGAGCCGCTCAGCGTGGAATGCAGGGTGTCAACCAATCCGAGTATCAGAACTATCGGTGTTGAATGCATCACTGAATCACTGCAGCATCAGTGGGCATCAGCGGGCATCAGTGGGGAGGGACGTGGGTCCCTAAGTTGGATGGGACGTCCCTAAGTTGGATGGGACGTGGCAATATCAATATAGGGCTGAACTTGGACCCCTCTCATCCAGTACACCCAGTACATCATGTACATTATCTACATTTGGTGGAGCTGAAAGGTTGCCTTATTGGTATCCTCAAGGGGCAGTGCGCATGACTCTCCCTCTTTTTTACCCCCCTTTTTCACCGCTCCTCATACCCCTTCGCGGCTCGATTGTCAAGCCTCACACCTTGATCCCGGGGAACATCTCCCCTCTGACAACAGGGATTATAGCCACTTAGATGTCAGAGTGGACCCCGGATGCTTGGGTGGGATTGTAGTCTGGGCCTTCTAGTAACCGTCTAGAAGAAAGGTTCCTGGCGGTGTGCTGCATTTCACGCAGTCTGCCTGATCGTATTACCCTCGAATGGATTTACTCCAAGGTTGGGTCCGTGTTACTGGAATTAATTGATTATAGAATTAATTATGATGATCCCATATCCTGGGTTTGGGCATTACCCCAAAACTCACTTGGGTCCTAGGGTACTCCGTACTTATTTTTTTTTCAACCCTCTCGGCAATCTCCGAACTCTTCCCATCATACCGGTTGCCCCAGACCATTCTCCAGTTACACGGACGAAATGTGAAATGGACCGAGTACGAACTGAATCGGGGAAAAGCTCCTATCATGCCTTTTTGAGAAGCAAAATAAAAACAATGGCGTTATACGTTGGACAAGGCGTCCAGTCTTGACAGCTAGCTACTAGGTATCCAGAACAAGGCCCATCTCCGAAAACAAATCATGGTTGAGGGTGAACTGAATACTACCTGAGAGAAAAAAAATAAAAGATTCATGGTTTAACAAGTCCCAGTCACAAACCCAGAGCCGCCAAATTCAATCCCGACTGAATGGGGTGGCACTTTGTAAAGTTGACAGGGCAACACGTCATGGTAAACTGGTGTAGCACCAGCTGAAAATATGGGACGAGGTATTGACTGGTGGAAATAATGCAATACATTAAAATTGGAATAAATAAAGTCTCTAATCTTCATGCAGAACAGCTGTCACAGCCACAATCTATGCAGATTCCGATGTCACTTTGTAGGTACGTGCAGACTCAGACTGAAACAAAGATGTCTTGGTTGTAGAATAACTTTAGACTCCAGGACTTCAGATTTGGGGGTTTCTTCTCTAATTTTGACTCCTTTGACTCCGAATAGAACCTAGTATAGAACTTGGGGGACTAATTGACTCCTTTCGTTTCATGCTTTTTCATCCTCCACGTGGGCTACACGTGCTGCAACTCGCCTATCCGGGCTTCCTTGGGAATAGCCTCATTGGTACCACCTTTCTTTATGCCCCGATGGCTTACTGAATTGTGACAAACTTCCGTGGAGTTCTCTTCCTTGGACCCTTTTTTTCTCTCGGCTTACAATACAGCGAGCGGGGCGGGATATCAAAGAGGAAAATGGTGTCTTAACCTTTGATCCTTTACGCCTCTGTTCCCAAAGTTAAGGTGTATGATGCGGTGGCTCATGCCAGTCAGCGCGGGTCTCTGTACAAGGTAACCGTCTGACTAAGAGTATACGGGGTTTCTAGAAGCTTGGCATGCTTTTAGTATAGAATGTATGAACTAGGAGCATTCCAAGGTTGAATATGTATGGATATTGTGTTTCGTGATGGACGTCTTTACTCCGTAGATGCACGCCTATCTTGCCAAGGAATGTCGGGTCCGAGTCAAGTTTATTTCTGGACCTGAATTGGAGAATCGTTTATCTTCGCTTGAAGCTAATAATAAAACTTACACCGCGATTGTGGACTCAGGTTCCACACTGATATTCAGCCGCTTTTCGACCAGGGCAGTATGTGTTACTTGAAAATTGCCCTGGGGAATACTTGAACGAGTTAGTTGTAGTGCAAGTTATTGCGGTGAATGGGTCCTGGCTTATTCTGGAAGATATTGAGATCTCAAGGTTCGAATTCGAAGTTTTTGCGTAAAATAATAACACAATTGGTATACAAAGACACACGAAGAATATCCATGTCTAAGGCCGCCACAATGACGAAGGCAAGCACGATCATTCCATTCATCTCATATGTTAAATCCTTGTATGATAGCAATTTTACTCTAAGAGGTGGTGCAACTAAGGAAAGTACAATGATCACAGTGACAATCTACCACTAAATGATTCAAATTGCATGATAGAGACCAGTTGACGATAGTTGGCAAAGATGAGAGAGAGAGGATAGAGCCCATCGTACAAGAATGTAAGACATCAGAGCACTTAATTTCAACGTCTATTCCAAAACGCCGTGTTATTCATGGATATACGACGCTGTAACATCATAGGAACCTCACAGCAACTTGGAAGGGCCAGGGACACTGACATTAAATGTATGAATAGAAAGCAGCTACGTCGCTTACGGCAAAGTAGAAAAGAACTGGAAAAGGTCCACACTGGCACTGGCACCACATCATTGAAATTGTAGCATCCATGGATCATGATAGAAATGTACCTAGGTATATTCCTGTAACAGAATATGATACTATGCAAAATACAGGACAACTCCCCGGGAACAAAAACTTGAACGTGCCTATGATATCCATCCATTGTATCAGAAAATAGAGACCTCCAATGAGAAACTCATTAGTCGAGGCTTTCAGTTTCAGCAGCAGACAGTTCTCCAACTTCTATTTCATCTGTTGGGCTAAGTTGATGGGGAAATCTGGATATAGCCTTTGACTTACTTCCTCTCCAGTTCTTCAACTTCTTTTCAACGTTTCCTCGCAGTGTTTGCTTCTTGGGCTTTTCAGGCTGGGGGTCGTGCTGCGCTTCAATTCTTCCTCTACATCAAAAGCCTGGCGAACAAGGCTGTCACGTTGTGCGCCAGCTTCCTGGGCGACGAATTCTGAGGCCACATAGTGATACAGCAGCCAAATGACCAAATCGCAAAACTTAGTGTGTTTTTTGGTGTCTCTGTCCAGCAATTCAGGCATTTGGCGCAATAATTTCTCAAGTTTGATCTCCTCCTCAAGCTTTTCGACCAATTTACTATCCTCTTTTGATGAACTCTTATTCAATATCGAATTTCTCCACTTAACTTGCCTTAGCCTTCTGGAGTCCAAAGTTTTCCTCCTTAGTATAACTGATCCAGGTGTTCAGGGTATAAAAAAGGTCATCATAGCCATCATCGCCACAGTTTTCCAGTAATTCTCATACAAGCCAGCTATCCAAGAGCCTCAAGAGCAGGAACATTGGAAGGACAAGCATCCTTAATTTGAGCTGGGGAGAGGTGGCGATAATCAGCCAAAAGTAATTCTACAAGTAAAATAGAGCGTATTCAAAGTCCATGACCATACTCAAAATATCGATAATGAATTTGAGCTCCAACAAAAGCACTCCTAGTAACAATAGCTTACACCTGTATTCTAATCCTCAATTACCTCCCAGTAAATAAAGAAACTACATATATAAGTTATCTAGGTACTTCTATATATATCATGATACTCTTCAATTTTTCCCTTACTACTACTTCAACCGTGACACAACCTATCTCTCACTACAACATAGTAATATTCACCTCACTTCCACACAAGTTAACCTTGGAAGTTCCAAGGTTCCCACTCACTCATTAATAATCCTATCTCTTACTTTAACTTCAGCTGATGTTCGTACTTCAAGTTGATCAAGTTTTCTTCCTTTTTTTGGTTCTTCTCTCTTTAATATTCCAAGGTTCTTCTTTCTCTACCTCACTGGGTTCTTCTGCACATGTGATCTACTTCACCATTGCGAACTTCTTGTCGTTTCTTTTTTTAAATAGATTACTTTTCTCTTTTATCTTGAGAATACTGTGTAGCTAATATCCTAAATCTAAGGACACAACATTTGATAGGGTAAAGAGGCAGAACTGTACTAGTATGTAGTAAAAAGCATAAACTGATCAGAACTAGGGATAGAATTTCACAAAACAAATCCATTCATAGCTCAATATAATAACATAGCTTAATATAATAACTTAAAGTTGAATATGCTTCACGCAGGGCTGATATCTACCTAAGTCAAGTTACATATAAATCTATAGCCTTAGTAAGAATTCAAGTTATTACCAATTTACGACTAGTAGTAATAAAGGATCCTTTAAGTTTGAGCAAATCTAATTATGTCTTACATACACGTAGCCTGAGCCTCACCTCGATATCTCGTACGGATTTAGACTCGGAACATCTTTGTCCTAGTCCAGTTCGAGGTTTTCAAAGACATGGGTTGGGGCCATATCGATCACCTTCTTTGGTTCAGGGCCACAATGCGCGGTATCCAGTGAGCTTAGTGGTTGGTGTGATGATGGGGTTCGCCATGGCAGATTCCCAGAACAAGGTTCCGTGATCGTGCTGGACGCCTAGTACGTCAAATCTTCCGGAGTCCTGCTCAGTGGTGATTTGAAAAGTGATATTCTCCGAGGTAGCCTAGTGGAATTGCCGGATGACTTCACATGGCTGAGCGACAAAGCTTGTGGCTGCGAGGACGAATCGGTTGGTGAAGTAGTGGGCTCCTTTAAGCGTGTCGCCAGCTTTAGTTTCGACTTCGTGGACTGTCGTGGCTTGAGCGTGAAGTTTTCCGCAAAGGATATAGTAGTCCTTATAGACGAAGTAAATGGGAGAACGAATGCCAGTGCAAGGGGTGCAGGATCTTGAGGCTGCCGTGTGATTTTGATATTCCCTGCGCCGTTGAATGTATCCGGCTATCACTTAGGGCGGTCAACTTGAGGAACTTACTTGACGATGAGGTAAACTTCTAAGCTTGTTCTTCTGAAAGTTCAGCTCTGTTGGGGGGAAGATGACAAATTGGTGGCTTTGTCAGTTAACAACGTTCAAATGTTGGTGTTTGTGGAAGTGGGAGCCGGTTTGAAATTCGGAGTTGAGGGTTGGGAACCTTCTAAAGAACCCGAAAGTTGAGTAACTCACACTGTCTACTTTTAGAAAACGCTGGCATTAATGCCTGAATAAGAGAAAACATTTGAATGAAAATGCCAAAGATGCATATGAGACGATTGCTATATTATAAGAAGGGAGACACGAACACAATATATGAAGTCCAAGTCTACTGTATCAAGAACCAACATCGGAATCCTAGGTCTTTTTATGTATCATTCCGTTTATACTTAAACCACAACACTGCAAAAAGAAAACGAGTTAGCAACTGAACTTGTTCCAGGATTGTTCACCAGTATTGACTTACCTCCAGGGGTGCGCCTCATCACCATATTGAATACTCTCCATCCAGTTCTTCATCTGAAGAGCAATCTCACCAGCCTCCTCGTCAGCCTTCAACCCGCAGTCAACCAGCTTACCGCGGTAGCTGATGTTCCGGACAGGGCTAACAATAGCAGCAGTGCCGGCACCAAAGACCTCAATCAGGCGACCCTCCTCAGCAGCCTTAGCAACATCAGCCATACGGATCTTGCGCTCCGAAATGGCCCAGCCCTTAGGCTCCAGTCGCTCGCGAGCAAGCGCAAGCACGGAATCTCTTGTGACACCCTCCAGAATGGTACCGTCCAGAGGAGCGGTGATAAGTTCCTTCTGACCAGTCTCTTTGTTCTTGATGGCAAGGAAGAGGTTCATGGTACCAACCTCAGTAACATATTCCTCCTCGCCGAAAAGCCACAGGTTCTGCTGGAAACCACGCGAAGCAGCCTCAAGCTGGGGCAAGATGCAGGGAGCATAGTTGGCTCCGAGCTTCTTGTCACCAACACCACCGGGCCAGGCACGGACAGCGTAGTCAGTGGCCTCCAAGGAGATAGCCTTGAAACCGGTAGGGTAGTAAGGACCAACAGGGCTGGCAATAACGAACAGCAAAGCAGATCCAGGAGGACCAACACCCAGAGTCTTCTGGGTACCGATCATGGTTGGGCGCAGGTACAGGGAGTAGCCACGGGCACTGCGACAAGTCAGATATAATTAATTCTAATGTTAATTAAAAGTTCCACCACTTACTCGGGAATGAATCGGTCGTCCAACTTCACAAACTCTCCAATCAGTTTTGTGAGAGCCTCGCCGTCAAAGGTGGGCAGGGCAATGCGAGCAGAGGACTTGTTCAGGCGCTCCATATTCTTGTTGGGGCGGAATAGACGGGTTCCTCCATTTTTATCCTTGTATGCCTTCATTCCTTCGAAACATTCGAATGCGTAGTGGAACACACATGTTGAGGGATCCAAGCTGAGGTTCTGGTAGGGGATAATCTGGGGAGTGTGCCAGCCATCGGCAGCTGTCCACTCAATTGAGAGCATATGGTCTAAGATCAAAACCCGGATTAGCCGTTTCCTTCGAGGTTATAGAGCGGTGAGCACTTCTCTTACCAGTGAAAGTCTTGCCAAATACAAGATCCTTGTTAGGAGTAAGCTCCTTAGGAGCCTGGGTCTTGGTGATGGTCAACTTGGAAGCATCCAAGGCTGCCAATTGTGCCGCAGATGCGGTGGCACTGAAATTCCTCTGCCATAGCCGACGAGCGGCGATGGGCTGGGAGGACAGGATACGGGGCATTGTCAGACCCGATAGGGCCTTCTGGCGAGTCAATTGCTGAAAGGACTTCATGATGACTTATGATATCACGGAATGGAGGTATGCAAAGGTGATTGAGATGCTTCACCGAGGGGGGGGCTTAAATTCACAATTCCAATATGACTCCGTACGCAACAATCTTTCGGAGCTGAAGACCAACTCCGATCCCGCCCAACCACAGTGCCGAATTGGCTCACCGCCCAGATCACCCGCGAAACATTGATGAGTCATCATGGGGCTAGTCCAAAGAGCTCGCACTCTATCGACCAATCATCACGTCTGAATTGTATGAAGAGACCCGATTTCGGATGTAAATGGGTCGCCTTACATGGAGCTCATAGCTGGTTGGGCATGAGAGAAGACCATATGGAGAACTCCGCCGTTTCAATTGTATGCTGATCTTGTATAAAGTACCTTTTTAAACCTGAATTTCAAGTCCTCAAATTCTTAAATTCCGACGCAAAGCGCGGGGAGTCACATGATCTCCACTGCTATCACTGCCACGTGATCCTCGCGATAGGAGCATTAGATGTTATCAAAGTGGGCGTGAACTGTGATCTGGTCCGTGTGAATCCCGTCTTAAACCCTTCCAAGGTTGGAGCCCTTAATTTGCGTGTTAGCAGGCATATGCGTCTACCTAATAAGTAGTTGGCTCCTTTGTCTCTCTTGTCAATCCACTGCAACCCAATTGTTTGTCAAAGTCATGCGTGCCGCGATTACTTTGTGAAACAAACATTGATCGGGTATCCTTCGAATCCTTAAGATCAAATCCTCCGTTCCACATCGCCAGGTTCAAGATGTTCACCTCCGCACTCAAGTCTTTCAGCTCCAATATCTCCGCCAATTACCAGATCACACCCCACCCTACGATCTACTCGGGCCCCTGGAAAGTTCACGATGCCAAGAAGAAGTCGACGGGGACCGCGGCTTCGGTCTTTATCTTTGATCGCAAGATTCTCGAGCCACGATCAGGCGGATTCGGCTCTCGGGCAGGATCCTCCACTAAAAAACTACAAGAAGATGTGATTGAACGACTTAAGCGCGAGGCGAGCAGTCTAGCTCGACTACGACATCCTTCGATTCTACAGGTACTGGAACCGGTGGAAGAAACACGTAGCGGTGGTCTTATGTTCGCAACAGAACCGCTCACTGCATCGCTTTCTGGTCTGCTATCAGAGAAAAGTGGCCAAGAGAGCGCGCAGAGCGGGGGTGCCCGATCCAGTCGATATGCGGTTGAAGAGGCAGATGGGAGTCGGAGAAGGCGAGACGTGGAAATTGATGAGCTGGAGATCCAAAAGGGTCTTTTGCAGGTAGCCAAGGGCTTAGAGTTCCTCCATGAATCTGCAGGCCTAGTTCATGGTAATCTCAACCCGGATGCTATTTACATCAATGCCAAATCTGACTGGAAGATCTCTGGCTTGGGGTTTGCAGGCCCACCGGACTCCTCAGAGACCAAGTCTACTCTCCCACCATTGGCTGTATCAGAGGTTCTCTACCAGGACCCAAGACTTCCGTCTTCAGTTCAACTGAATATGGATTACACCTCTCCTGATTTTGCTATGGACTCCAACGTCTCGTCTTCTGCGGACTTGTTCTCCCTGGGTCTCATTATCATTGCACTCTATAACTCACCACACGTCTCACCGATACAGGCACATGCCAATGCCTCGACTTACAAGAAGCTCTTAAGCTCTTCATCTACCACCCCATCACAAAGCAACAACTTCCTTTGCTCAAACCCTATTCCCCGAGATGTTCTATCTCATGTTTTGCCCCGACTGATCACGCGGAGACCTGCCCAACGCATGAATGTGCGCGAGTTCCAAGAATCCCAATATTTTGATAACGTCCTTGTATCCACGATCCGATTTTTAGAGTCCTTGCCAGCAAAGAACTCGAATGAAAAGTCACAATTCTTACGTGGGCTTCAACGGGTGCTTCCCGAATTTCCTGTCTCGGTTCTGGAAAGGAAATTACTGGGCGCACTCTTGGATGAAATGAAGGATCGGGAACTTCTCCCTCTAATCCTACAGAATGTATTTGGAATTCTCCAGCGAATTCCTAATGGACGGCGCACTTTCCCTGAAAAGGTCATTCCTCGCTTGAAAGAAGTATTTGGAACGATGACATCGGCACCATCAAAGGCGGCACCCGCCGAGCGTGATTCGAAGAAGGAGGCCGGTCTGATGGTAGTGTTGGAAAATATGAAGCTGGTGGCGGAAAATTGCTCTGGGATGGAATTCAAAGATGGTAGGTCAATCTTTGTTCTCAACTATAACGATTATCTAACTGTCCATACCAGATATTCTGCCATTGATACGACTTGGACTCGACTCACCAACACACTCTCTGGTGGATGCTGCCATAAAAACTTTGCCTGCGTTTCTTCCTGTTCTCGACTTCAGTACAGTGAAGAATGAAGTGTTCCCTCCGATCGCCACTACTTTCAGCCGCACCAGTAGCCTGGCAATTAAGGTCCGTAGCCTGGAAGCATTCTGCGTGCTTTGTGGAGGGTCTGCTGGTGAGGCTACTATTGAAAATGATTTGTCTGGCACAGTACAGACACCAAAGACCACCAAGTCCTCTATCTTGGACAAATACACTATTCAAGAGAAACTTGTCCCATCACTAAAGGCGATCAAGACGAAAGAACCTTCAGTCATGATGGCCGCACTGAAGGTGTTCCGAGAAGTTGGGAAGATAGTTGACACTGACTTCCTTGCCCTTGAGCTGCTTCCTGTTCTCTGGAGCTTCAGCTTGGGCCCTCTTCTAAATCTTCAACAATTTAATGAATTTATGACTCTGATTAAGTCTTTGTCAACCAAAATTGAGAAGGAGCAGACAAGAAAGTTGCAGGAGCTTTCTTCTGGCGGTGACTCTGGCGGTTTCCAAAATGGAACGAATGGATTCTCCAAGTCGGCGACAGATCTTACAACATCGGATACAGACAATGCAAGGACTAACTTTGAGCGGCTTGTGCTTGGAAAAAGTGCGGCCCCTGCTGCTGGCAACGACATGGATATGTGGGGTAACATGGAATCAGAGCCAGCTGCGTCCAAGCGACCCAGCATCTCGCCCGCATTTTCGTGGTCTACAAACAATGGCACGGCACCAAAATCAGCGAGCTCATCTGTTCAACAGAACTTCCGTTCTATCACTCCGGATCAGAAGCTGAGTTCATTTCCGTCTCTCCAGCCTGCAAGGCAACCATCGCCTGCAGCGGTGGCACCATCTTTCACAACCATGCAGCCTCTACAACCTACTTCCACATGGGGCTCTCAACCTCAAGGAGGCTTTCAAACAAGTCCATCATTATCATCCCTTTCAAATATGGCTACCGCTACCACCGGCTCTCTAGCACCCAGAGTGACATCTCAGCAGACGCCAAATTACTCTTCCTTTTCGATCCCACCCCCACCTGGAGGCATGGCCTCAAACACCACCATGAGATCCCCGTTGAACATGAATATCACGCCCATGTCTTTCTCAAATCAGCCCTATGTTCAGCCTCAGCCATCATCACAGAAGCAAGGACTGGATAAATATGAGAGCTTACTATGAAAACATGATATTACTGGTCTTTGGAGATGTGTTTTCTTTTCTCTCATCATTCTGCTGGGCATGCCAAGTACATAGGACGAATTGAGTGGAGTCATAACTTGTAATTAGAATATTCACGAATTCATGTACTGCTGGGTCAGTTATACATTAAAATCAAGTATTTGAAAAGGATTAATAAATCCATTGCTAGTATACTTAGGTATAAATAAACTCAAGCAGAAAAACAACCTTGGAAGTCACAGAGAGCCAACTAAAATTCAATATCAAATGCCGAGACCGGCACAGAAGGCGTTTGTCCCAAAAGCAATTGACTCCGAGTCATCACCTTCCCACTTCCTGGGCCGAGAGTCACTCCATTACTATTATGACCAGTATTGATATAAAGCCCTCCTACCACGGCTGGCTTGCTAGGACTCACTTTGTTCACTGAGCAGGACGGGGCTGCCTCTTGCGAATGCTTCAGATGTCTTAGAAGTGACCATTTAACTCTTGTTATAATTGGTCTGTCGGGAACAGCGAGTGGACGATAGCAACGACCGACATCAAAAGGATGGCTCAATCACAATGACTTTTAGTCGACCTGGCAATGAAGCGATCCTGTTTTCTTTCAGGGGGAGAGCCAGATAGTAGACCATCGAGAGATCTATGACACCAGCGCCCAAGATGATCGTGGTGCCTTGATCGATCGTGATGGTGGGTTCGTAGACAACATAAGCTGGTTGTTGGAGCAGGAGTCCACCGGTAAGCAATTTGGCGCTGAATACATAAATTGTAAAATTGACAAAAATAAATTTATGTCCCTGGTATGGATGAAGGAAAGCTTAAAACCCTAAAAAGCCCTCAGTGATTGACCGCTGGATGTTGTCAAGCAGGACATACTAGATAGGTATGAGACTCGAAAGATAGTATGTCCACCACATTCTGTCATCAAAGAGATTGTTACAAAAATACTCTCTTTTGATACATAAACATACCCCTGTCTTATATTTAGGCCATAATTACCTATCTAGGAAGGGTTCAACTAATACCCACCTGGGCAGTTGTACTATAATATCCAACCATCTTAGTACTGTACCTCGGCCTCGACGATCATAGCCGTACAGGGTGGAGCCATCCGTGATTGGCACAAATCTCTTTGGCATATGTCATAGCTGATCTTGACCTTTCAATGTTCATAGTCATACCGCCATATGTACTCTCTGCGTAGTATTGCGCCGCGTTTGTCGCTTAATCGGAGCTCCGGTTTACCTCCGCTACCCCTCAATCGCTACGCTCGATTACCTGTGCTCCACATCAATCATTTCTCCCTTTCTTCCACAACTCAAGCAACCACCATGGATGACAACGTTAAGCAACATTATTTGGCCGACTCACCTCCTACGGTAGTCAGGCTAGAAATCAAGCCACACTTCGACTCTCTCAAGGATGAGTCGTTGCGTAAATATGCTCACTATATGAGCAGGTACATATACCCCTCGCGTGAGCACTATGGATTGCAGGAGCTAACCTGGATTTATCTTTATACAGAGCGGCATTCCAGGGAACTCGTGTCACTTTACGTCAGGTCTCCCCGGAGTCTGAACCCATCTACGACTTTATTATATCCCTCCACCGAGCCTGCAATGGTGACTGGAACAGCTTGGCTCAGAAGACCCAGGTCACTGAAGAGCATCTCCGTTTCTTCCTCGAATATGCTGCTCAGTTCTTAGGAAACTGTGGTAACTATAAGGGTTTTGGTGACTCCAAATTCATCCCTCGTCTTCCCCTCTCTGCCCTGGAAGCTCTGGCATCCATTACCCCAGAGATCAAGGCAGCTCTCCAAAAGGCGAACTCTACTGGTGGAGGTCTCTACGAGACTAGTGAACAATCAATGATGCACCTTGGGTACCCTACAAGTGGACACATGACCACATATTACCCAGACTCCCCCACCATCACCAAGGATGAGATCACTGCTATCGGAGATCTAATGGAAAAGAAGGGATTGGCATTGGAGAACACCAGAATTCGCAAGACGACCTCCGGTGACTTTGAACTTCTGATCGCATCTGGTGTCTCCAACCCCCCCTGTTAGGGATCGTGACCTTGGAGAGGAGAATACCTTTGAGCTTGAAGGAGCTCTGCAAGGGAAGACTCTTCGCCTGGTATATGGTGACTACCAGGAGGAAATGGCAAAGATTGCCCATTCAATCAAGCAGGCGGAGCTCAATGCGGCGAACGACAACCAGAAGCGGATGTTGGAGGCTTATGCCCGCTCCTTCGGTGCGGGTTCTATTGAAGCTTTCAAGGAAAGTCAACGCATCTGGGTCAAGGACCAGAAGCCTGTTTTGGAGACCAATATTGGTTTTGTTGAGACCTACCGCGACCCCCACGGTGTGCGTGGTGAGTGGGAGGGTTTGATTGCTTTGGTATGGCCTGTCTATCTAATTTGCGGGGCTATGTTACTGACACTCTTAGGTTAACATGGAACGAACCCGCGCTTTTGGTGCCCTGGTCGATAGTGCTGAAAGCATGATTCCTAAGCTCCCCTGGGGCACCGATTTTGAGAAGGATAAATTCCTGAGCCCTGACTTCACCTCCCTGGAAGTTCTGAGCTTCGCGGGCTCTGGAATCCCTGCTGGTATCAACTTGCCCAACTATGACGATATCCGTCAGAATTTGGGCTTCAAGAACGTGTCTTTGGGTAATGTTCTGAGTGCCAAGGCTCCTAATGAGCCCATTCCGTTCATTAGCGAAAAGGACCAGGATGTTTTCCGCCAGTTCCGCGATCCTGCCTTTGAGGTTCAGGTTGGTATTCACGAACTTCTGGGCCATGGAACTGGCAAGCTTCTTCAAGAAACTGCCCCCGGGAAATACAACTTCGATATCGCCAACCCGCCCATCAGTCCTGTAACTAACAAGCCTGTGGCGAGCTGGTACAAGCCCGGCCAGACATGGAGCTCCGTGTTTGGAGCCGTTGCTGGATCTTATGAAGAGTGCCGTGCTGAGTGTGTGGCCATGGCGCTGGGATGTGATTTCGAAATCCTGAAGATCTTCGGATTCGGAGATGGCACCGAGAATATGAGCAACGAGGCTGGAGACGTTCTCTTTACTGCATACTTGCAGATGGCTCGAGCTGGTCTGGTCGCCTTGGAGTTCTGGGACCCCAAGACTCAGAAATGGGGCCAAGCCCATATGCAAGCCCGTTACAGTATCTTGCGCACTTTCCTTGCTGCTGGCAATGGCTTTGTCAAGCTATCATACACCAAGGATGATCTTTCCGATCTTGAAATCCATCTCGACCGCTCTAAGATCTTGACTCACGGACGGGCTGCTGTGGAGCAGTACTTGCAGAAGCTTCACATTTACAAGAGCACTGCCGATGTCGAAGCTGGCAAGGCCATGTATGATGATATCACCTCCGTCGATAGTTGGTGGGGAACCAAGGTGCGTGAGGTTGTCTTGAAGAACAAGGTTCCTCGAAAGGTCTTTGTCCAGGCCAACACTGTCTTGGAAGGAGATAAGGTGACCTTGAAGGAGTATGAGCCCACCCTCGAGGGCATTATTCAAAGCTATGTGGAGCGGGACGTCTAAAGCCCTGGAGGCGAACAAAGGCGTGTCTGCATCCCATAAAAATCTTTCTATTTTTTTTTCCTTTATTTTTTTTCTTATTGACAATTAAGCGCATCATCGCATAACAACATTATACAATGGCATGAAATAGTCTATTAATTTATGGGGACAATAAGTGCATGAAACCACTAGTAATGGTCTAGAAGTACTCCGTAGTGGTGGCCAAACTCGTGTGGACTCGACTTACCGCCAGACTAGATCGACATCACCCTTTAAGCGCCCCCATTTCTCCTCGTCTTCTTCTTCCCCTCTGCCAAGCAACTCCTCGTCTTTTGGAATTTTGTGATGGTTTTTCTCCCTGTCAAATTCTTGATCATTTAAAAGACCCAGTGATCAGCTCAGCTTCTTGGTGGATCCCCTTTCATCCCGCCTCCTGATCGACATACAAACAAACCCTTTGGGGTCGCGAGTCTGGAGTCCATCAGATCAACCGCTTCGTTGCGATTGGATCTGATCCCTCTGCACTAGCACCGTGTCGAAAGAAACAACCCCTCAAAGCTTCACGACCACGGCGCCAACACATTCTCCGATCGACTCCCTCGCGGAGGACGACTATTACAGCGCGCCCCCGCCGCACTCTCCATCCGAAGCATCTGCTAGCTCCTCCGTCGGTCCGCCACCCTTCTCCTCACTTGACTTTGCCTTTGACACCACTCGGCCTAAAGTTACCGAGTCTGATCCCACTTCACTTCCGGCTTTTGCGCCACCCCCGCCTATCGAGGAGTCCATTGAACCGGCTCCTTCGTCCTCGGTTGTCGCAGATACAAAGGCGAGCTTCTCGGATCCCAAGGGGGACGGACTTGGGAAAGGCTCCGACGACGAACCACCGCCACCTTACACAGAAGGCTACAGTCCGCTTGAATCTTTTACCTACGTGATGGCTGCAGCTGGAGGTGCTTCGAGTATCATTACTCAGGTCCAGCAGACTGGTGGACCACCAATTAATACACTAGGCGGTACGTTCGGCTATACCTGGGAATTATGAGAAGAAAATAAAAGGGGAGGAATGAGAAAAAGAAAGGAGCAATGCGCTAATGTGTGCTGTATATATAGATATTGGAGGCGATGAGCATATCACTCTTGATCTGCGGTAAGGCATTTTTTTCTCTCCTATGTTGGCCGGATTATCACAATACTGACAGACCTCAAAGGGGAACACGATTCACGTTGTCCCGCGATGAATTGTTGACATTGCCAGAATTTGTCCTCCTTTCTTTGTTCCCAAATGGTCTTCTTCCAGACGGACATATGGGTGGCTTCCATGAAGGAGACATTTATCCGGTTGATGTGAGTAATACCTTTTCTATGCTCTGTCTAAAGGCGGAATGGTCTAACAAATCTCAGTACGACCCTGCATCTCTTCAGTATATGCTTGATTTCTTCCGGTCTGTTGCCCAGTCCATCCCATCCTCGCTTCCTTCGGGATCAACTTCCCCGGAATTGGATGTACCAGATGTAATGCAGAATTCCGCTCGGGACATGCTTCAAGATCGTGCTGGAATTATCGTTCTCCGCGAGGATCTCGATTTCTACGCGATACCCCCGCAACGTGACATCGGAGTGGACGAAATGCTCGAGGTCAAGCGGGCAGCAGGTCGAGCCTTGTTGAAACAGGATGGCATCTTTTCTGGTTTACGCAAGAGTGAAGAAGTCGGATCTACAGAGCAACATCTAATCGAAATGCTGACTGCAGGGTAAGCTCATTGACCATGGATATCTGTAACGATATAAGACTAACTCTGTCGGAATGAATAGTGGCTTCGACCGGGATGATCAGTGGGGCCATCGAGCTCCAGAGCCCAACAAAGCGGTTATCTGCAGTCTGGCATTGGCTAAGCTTCGTACTGATATTCGAGGCGATATATCTAATAACAATGCTGTGGGTATGGCCCAAAAGCTCTTGCTATTCTGGAGAAAACCCGCTCGGAGATGCTGGTGGGAAGGTGTAGAGCTTGATGATGTTGAAGGCGTCGAGGGAAAAGTTAAGGTGTGGATTCGACGTGTCTGGACCCTGGAAATGGTAATTTGAACCCTCCCCATCTCACTATATATATGGATTGAATGCTAATTTATCTTACCAGAGTGTAATTGGACTGCGGTGATTCGTCCAGTTCGTTTTGTCTGCATCTGTACCTATACCCAGATTTCCCTAGCTCCTTATTTTGATCTTTACTTGTTACACTCGATGCATTTCTTTCTGGATTCCTGTGAATTTTTGTTTGTTTTTTTTTCTCTCTTTTGTTAGGCCACTGCAGTCCCTTTCATTTGTTCCACCATCTCTTTGCCCTAACATCATTTTCTTTCATTCCCCTGAGCAGGGCTGGCATCCTTGCTAGTTTGACATCCTTTTGCAAATTCCCATAGTTTGCTGATGTGGATATTCCTTAATATCCATTCTCTATGTCCACTTCATCAATAGTAACCGTAAATATCCAATCAAATTGTCATTTTGTACTTTCACCTTTATGGATTTCCCAGATAGAAAGCTGTATACTTCCATATATGCCTCACCGCCTTCCCACCGCCTTCCACACCAAGGCGGTAAACTGTAGACCCACGTGACGACGGAATGAATGAGCTTCTCCCCATCTGGCAAAACGCGACTGCGCAAAAGATTCCCCATCAGATCCCCATCTTCAACTCCGTCAACTCCATCCCAACACAATTCCACTTTGGCTGCCTGCAGTCCTGCTCTAGTTCAGAAGATTGACAATTGATTCGTATCATATGCTGCTCAGTTAGCCGTACCATTGTGCTCAATTCTATCCTACGCCGTTCGGACGCCCTCGTTCGACGCGAAGCCTCGATCTTGAATCCCCGCAAAGGGGCATGTATCAGTCGGGATAGCTCGCCAACATGTCCCCTGTTAGAGGATATATCACAACGTATCCTCCACGAGTGCGCCAATATGCAAACGCCTTGTTGACGCCGGTCTACCCTGCGCAAACCGGTCCCACGCCGCGCACAACGAAGCGCGGTACGACGGCCATTAATTATGCCGAAGATGGATTCGATGATGATGACTTTGATGATAGTGATGGCCCGCGACGTCCAACAGGTCTGAGAAGCCTGCGCCGGGAAGAGTCCAGTGGGGGTGTGATAGCCATTTCAGAAAAGCTGGGTAAAGAAGTTTATGCGCCTGTGGAGGTCCAGGGTGTGTTCCGTGAATGGATGATAAAGCGAATGTTGAGACCAGCGTGAGTCCATCTTTAATTCTTTTCCCTCAGATTCCCCTCTCCTCCTCTACCTTTTTCCTACCATCTCCACCCTCTCTTCCTTTACCAGCCCTCTCTCTACATTTACCCCCAATTTCCTTCATACTTTTGAACAATACCCATCGATCATGCCGTTTGAATGGGGCTTTGTGTTTCAATGGATCTCACCCTCCGTCCTCCCCATAAACCATGGCCCTGCCAGCATTCCCAATGAACAGACTGACGATGTGTATCATTACAACCCAATTAGTTGTGCAGAGCAGCTTGAACTTCAATCACAGCTGCCTTACATTCCCATCCCGATCCGACTCGACGTGGAAGTGCCCGCTCACCAACCAGTTGAACCATTCCCTCCCCCGCGAGGTGCTACGGATCCAACTATCAATCTAGCTCACCCCGCATACCGCCGACCTGATCCTGTTCCTGCGTTCCGTATCAAGGACCTTCTTTTATGGAATCTGCATGAGGCACTATGCACCCCAGATGAATTTGCAGTTAGCTTTGTGCGAGAACTCGATCTTCCTAACCACCAAGCCTTGGCAATGACGATCAGTAATCAGATTCGACAGCAGCTTGAAGAATATGCTGGTGTAGCCTTGCACCCTTTGTTCCAGATTCATCAACCCTCTCGAGTCCAGGAACCTATGCAGACAATGGCTTCTCCCAGTGCGTCAATGACTCCAGGCACAACTACCCGGGCGACGCCAGACAGTCGTCTGGGTGCTCCTCCTGTTACCACAACCGCAAGGCCTCTGGAGAATGATAGCCTCCTAAACCCTGATGACGCCTACCGCTGTTTGATCAATCTCAACATCAATCTTGGGGACAAACTGTATACCGACAAACTCGAGTGGTCGTTGCTCCACCCTCCTGGCCGAGCTGAAGAGTTTGCCCAAGTCACTTGCGATGATATGGGTCTCAAGGGCGAGTGGAAAATGGCAATTGCACATGGCATCTATGAAGCTGTCCTGAAACTTAAGAAGGAAATTCTTGAGAGCGGTGGCCTTCTGACCGGAATCAGTGGCTTGGGAGACGAGATCGACAATGACTCTCCTGACGGCCAGATAGCCGGTATTCGCTATTACCCTGAGAATATGGGATCTGAATGGGAGCCTAGAATTGAAACCTTGTCTGCGGAGGAAATTGAACGCCGAGAGGGCGATCGGGAACGCCAAATCCGACGTCTCCGCCGAGAGACTGCGCGCTTCTCTTCCACTGCTGGTATCACCCCCGAGGCTTCCCGCCAGAGCAGCGGATACTTTGATGTCGACAGTGAAACCCCTCTGGGTCGTGGTGAGCGAAACAAGCGCAAGCGTCGTTTCCGTAGCATCAGCCCACAGGGCAGAGGTGGTACTCCTGGTGGTCGTGGTACACCTGATACAGGTTCTGGTGCTGGCTATGGTGGAGGCGGTGGTACTCTTATGGAATGGTATGTAACTTGAACCCTACCTCTCTTGATCCAGATACTTACGTATCTTTTTTTTCTAGGGAGCGACAGAGTTGGCGTTGCAGCCACTGCCGAGTCTGGGGAACATCTGCCTGGGCCGTCCGTGATGGACCTGATGGTCAACGCGTAAGTTGATATCCATCATGATAATATCTACTCTACTGGATCTAACTTATATCTACAGACCCTTTGCCACAATTGTGGATTCCTCTACGAACGAGACAAGATCCTGCCGGAATGGTCAAAGGATCTTCATCGCCACGACATTCCCGCTGGCCGTCTAGCCTAGATCTAAACTGTCTGGTTCACTCTTAACGCCCATAATACGCCATATCTTCTATCTTCTATTCACCATCATGATGATCATTTACTTTTAGGTGGGCATTTGAAAATTTATCATGTGGTATCAAGTGCGTCCAGGAATCACAGGGAACTTCGGGTCGTCTACTCTTGAAGACCTTAGGATCGCTGATGCTAATGTACTATTATGACTATTTTTTTTTTCTATTTCTTTTCCATCTTCTTCATATTCCTTCCAAGGTCAAAGGTTTTCCTGGGCGGCGTCGTCACGGTGTTTTTTTTTTAATTTCTCGTTAATGTATGAATATGAAGATAGCTTCAAAATGTTTCAACCGAGATGTAACTGGCATCTGCAAGAGTCCAGATGTCCTGCTAGATAGACACGGCCATCGAGTTTCCTACCCGTATATACGTAGCTCCATAGCAGTAGAAAGCTGATTAAAATAGCCTTGGAATAGTTATTACAATATTTGAACTCGAGATGCAAAATGGAAGTAAGGCTAAAGATATCGATTGCAATTGGAGGTGGGTATCACTAAAAGATCGTTGGAATGAACACCTGTGAATAATGTACACGGAGGGGAATCAAAATTAGGTGAAAAAGAAATCGTAGTTCGGCATAAAGGGGTCATGAATATGGATCCTCAAAAAGATTCTCCCAAGTCCACCTAAAGCCACATCTCATGCTCGCCTCGAAAACAAAAGGTCGGAATGCGTCGTCGGTCAACGAGGCCGTGGCTGTGAATCCACCCTTCATAGAGGGAATTGTTGTCTCCTGGGTTGTATGGATTAGTCCCCAAGCGAGGGGACTCTTCGTCATGTATTGAGTGGGTGTATTGAGTATTCGGCATATTATCTACCCATGATGATGGATCGGTCGGGGTTTTTGCGGAGGAATCATTCATTGTCTTCGTTCTTTGCGCGGCTAACTCCTATCAGCAAGGAAAGGAGATTAGTTATTGTTGGTTGTAGTGGAGTCTGAGTTAGGCCATCGACCTGGGTAGTATACCCCGCCAGGATGAAGAGATTGCGCCGTCTAAAAAAAAGGTTAGTAAGAACAAGAGCTGATATAGATAGATCACAGTGTACCGGTGCTCTGTCGCATATGACAGCCCAACCGTCTACATGTTGTTACCAACCTCACGGAACTCATCTCCCTGCACCTCGACTTCACGATCACGGATTCGACGCATCAATGCTAGGAAGTTGCTCTGTTTGAACTTGTCGCTTTGTTCATGACTGATACCATTGAGAAGCTCCCCAGCTGTATGAGCGAGAGCATCCGCGTTGTGGACGCGATTTTGCGAGTCATTGATATTATCAGATCCAATTCGGATAGTAACAGGTTCACTTTGTTGTGCCGGTTCATTTTGTTCATAAACTGGAGCATCAGATTCATCAGTTGCATCAGTCACAGGAGTCCCTGTTATTTTCTCAGCCTCTTGCTCCCACCAATACTCCTCAGTACTCTGGGCAGTTTCGATTTCCTGTGATTCCATATCTGCTTGAGCTTGCTGAAATGCAGCTGCAAAGGCAGCTTCATCATATTGTTGAGCAGGTGTGACCTGTCTGGCAGGTTCTGCCTGGGAAGCTTGACGTTGAAGAGCGAAGGCATTCCCCATGGAATAGTTGGGCGTCAAAGCAGGCAGATATCCGCGGTTTGCGATTGGATGGTTCTGTAGATGTGCAGAAGCTTGCTGGGAGCGATTTTGCTGTCTCATAAACTCCTCCTGCCATTCTCGATAAGATACTTGTTTGTAAGCTGGCGGCCCTTGCATTTGAGGTTGAGCAGGTCCGGCAATTTTCAGTCTTTGGAAATCCGATGCCCAATTAGCGCTTGGCGGCCCTTGCATTTGAGGTTGAGCAGGTCCGGCAATGTTCAGTCTTTGAAAATCCGATGCCCAATTAGCGCTTGGCGGAGCAGCTTCTCGATGCTGTGCAGGAGCACCATAGTTTGCAGGGTGCTGTGCAGTATACTCCAGTGGATTGATATCATATCCAGCTTCAAAGGCGGCGAACTCCGGGTCAAGGATACCATCCCGCGGGGTTTGAGATCGGAAACCCTGAAAAGCATACTTCTTAGTTGGAACAGCTCTTTTTGATATTGGAATGTAATCTTACATGTCCTTGCGGCTGCTGGGTAGCTAGGCGATCCTGCTGAAGAGTTCGATCCACAGACGCATTTTTGCGCAAGTCCTGCAAAGCGTTGGATGGACCACAAACAGCGTCACTCATGGTGGATGCGGGCTGTCGTGAATATCGAAAAGAATATCAGAATGGAATCTGATATAGTGGGTTTGGAAGGCGTATGAATGGTTGAAAATGAGCTTGAACAGAAAAAATTCTCAGTATCGATGCAAAGGTATTATGAAATGAATGTTGAAAGAAATTTGAAGATAACAGGCATGAATCAAGAGCGTGGGGTTGCCGACTAGACCGAGGCACGTGTGTATAGGCGCCTAAATCGGGTAATATTTTACCGCTTTCCCGACCGCCTTAAACAGTGTAGACTGATTTGTCAAAATGTGAACTATACATGGATGCAGGTGTGTACGGTTATGTGTTGTGCATGTACATAACCTTGGAAGTGAGCTATTTATCTGGCCAGAATGGATATTATTTAGTAATTCTGCTCTGTTTGGCTGAACCAGAAAAAAAATTGATTTAAATGAAGCACTTGAGATTATCTATGTACTCAATTACCTAGATACTGCTCAACTACTCCGTATTCATAATCTAGTCTTTAGTCACCAAGTACAGACTCGGAGTACATTTGAGCACATATGCATGGTGTCGCTTGATATATATCCTATAATTCCTATTACTATGATTAATTCAGGCTGTGCTTGTGGGTTCGCATGTATACTAGAATTGGCTTTAATATTACTGAGTGGCTTTGGAGAGTATACCCTTGGAAACCTTCAACGTTCCTATGTATAAAATACAGATATGCGTCAGTCACGACGTTTTATAACATAATTAGCTGGGCAACTTGACTAATATATAGCAAGCTATAACCCTTTATTTGATTGTATTTTTCATTTTCTACTCTCTATTACATAGTAGTGTTCTGCATAAGATTCGGAACGTGCCCAGGTGCACATGTGACTTGGCTGAGTCAGGGTCTAGATAAGATAAGCAGGAGGTTGTTGTGGCCTTGAACCCGCAAGCTTCACATTAGGACCACTCTCCATCTTGGATTTCTCTCTCAACTACTGACAAAATGGCAAGCTTCATCCTCAATCAATCCCTGTGTCTGGGGATTTTGCTAACACCTCATAAAACAGGCCGCCGCCCAGGTGATCTCGAATTCGGGGCACGAAGACATGATTGTACGTATGGTGTCCAGTACCTCCAGGACCAATTGCCCCCATTCGAGCTTCTGCTAGTAACTCTGGACGGGTTGAACTAACATTAATGCTTTAACTATAGCATGATGCTGGACTGGACTACTATGGTCGCAGATTGGCGACTTGTTCCTCGGACAAAACAATAAAGATCTTTGAAATTGAGGGGGAATCGCACCGCCTGGTCGAGACCCTCAAGGGGTAGGCTTTCCTCCTGAGATCTGAAGATATAGCCAGTGTATTTGCTAACATGGTCTAATCTCACAGCCACGAGGGCGCAGTGTGGTGTGTCGCATGGGTTAGTAAAAGCGCAACGTCTCGCCCACATTCCGCGCATAGCGACTGACAATGGTGATTGTTTCTTCTAGGCTCACCCAAAATTCGGTACTATCCTGGCCTCTTCATCCTATGACGGCAAGGTCTTGATCTGGCGAGAGCAGCCCCAGAATGCATCCTCCCCCGTTAGCGGCAGCACATGGACCAAGGTCTTTGATTTCTCCCTCCACACCGCTTCTGTGAACGTGGTTTCCTGGGCTCCCCACGAGAGCGGTTGTCTCCTGGCCTGTGCCTCTTCAGATGGACATGTGAGCGTTCTCGAATTCCGCGACAACAACTGGACCCACCAGACTTTCCATGCCCATGGAATGGGTGTGAACTCGATCAGCTGGGCCCCTGCAGCTTTCGCCGCCAGCTTGATCAGCTCCAACCCCGGACCCGGTCAACAGAGACGATTTGTGACGGCAGGAAGTGATAATTTGGTCAAGATCTGGGACTACAGGTATGACCCTCTCTTGTGTTTTTGCTCTTGTTATATTGTGTCCTAACCTGCATGAACTACAGCTCCGAGTCCAAATCATACAACCTTACCCAAACTTTGGAGGGTCACTCCGACTGGGTCCGCGATGTGGCCTGGTCACCTAGCATTCTGTCCAAGTCCTATATCGCTTCCGCTTCGCAAGATAAGACCGTTCGCATCTGGACCTCTGACGCGTCCAACCCTGGCCAGTGGTCCAGCCAAACACTCGAATTCGATTCTGTGTTGTGGCGCGTTAGCTGGAGTCTCAGCGGTAACATTCTCGCTGTTAGCGGTGGTGATAACAAGGTGAGCTTGTGGAAGGAAAACCTTAAGGGCCAGTGGGAGAAGGTCAAGGACATTGAGGAGTAGTTAAATTTCTTGCCTTGTATAATCTATTCCCATGGTCGTTTAATTTTTTTGAGATCTGCTTTTATTATTTTTGCTATAAACTTTTCGATTCATTTAGATGAACCCGGTGCTGCGCCATGGACCTAGCTGGATGTTTCGCTAGGTCCATATATATGAAATCAAAAATCAGGAAGAAATCACAAAAATCAGGAAGAAAGGCAAGAGAACGAGGGCAAAGAAGGGAAGGGAGCGGAAATAGCTGCAGCGGACGAAACGAACGAACGAACGAACGAGGGTGAATGAAATGCAGAGTCCATGGGCTCTGGGACTTAGATATCCCAGAATATGAAAGGCCCCCTGGCACTCGTTTCCTTCATATCTAGCCATCGCCCCAGCATCATTCGACCCCCAGGGAGAATAACAGCCTCATAGCCATGAACCCAGCCGGGAGACTCAGTGATGCTCTTATCGGTTCCATGGACTTGCTCACAGAGAATGAAGCAAATGCGCGCCCATCCACTGAAGCCACCATAGGCGGTCTTGATGGGCTCAACAAAACCAAACATCGGATTCGCGGTATCGCATTTACCCCCAAATGTTCTCTGGTAGCCATTGAAGTACACTGTCTCCGCGCGTATACTAGGAGATTCGCTCTGTGGTATGATCCGATTGCATCTCTCGGGCCAAAACCACTCAGATGATTGTGCCACAATATCCAAGGTCTGTATAAATATTAGATTCTGGACTCTTCATTCGGGTGACACAGCCACGAATCACTGACCATCATTTCAACCTGATCCCAATGAGAACTTAGATCGGCGCATGTTTGTCGACGGCGAAGATCAGCCAATGTACTCGGGAAAGGGTGAACACAAGCTATTGCAAGGTCAGAGCAAAATGATTCACACGGTTTCCATGAAATCAGACTCACAGTAATATCCTAACCAAGATGTGCACAGGCTCGTGGGGTTGGAACCATCTGTCTTTCGGAATTGGGGTTTCAGGCTCTCGGTTAGTCGAAGGAAACTCTTATAGAACGTTCCCTCATTGGAGGTCAACAGGTGTCTCTGCCAGAAACTTCGAATGTCCAACAGCGTGCCCAGGTCTAGGTTGTTGCCTTCAATCCAAGGTCCACTGGGGTCCTTGGTGTAAGAATATACCTTGTCGATATCATAGTTCTCTCGATGGCAGCCGACACAGATCTCCGGATCAAGTGCGAGAGGAGTTAAGCACTGAATGAAAAGTACAAGCAGTTAGAACTCTCGACTCCAGACTGCAGGATCCTGATTTGGGAATGTGAAAGAAAGCTTACCAGCTGTACGGCATAAAAAAGTTCTGAAGGGTGACTGTTCTTAGGTCGATCGAGAAAGCTGACAGATCGAATCCTCTCCTTGAGCTGTTCAAATGTCTTTGATTTCTCTCCGACACGCAAGGGTAAAAGCAAAGCCTCGAGTGACATAGTCCGGATAACCTCCAACCAGATTGTTTGTTCCAAACGGGGAATTCGGTTCTCGAAATCGATCTTCTGCCCAAGCACAATAGCGCGAATCTGATACTCCACGAATAATTCCTCGGAGCTTCGTCCCTTGGGGATATCATATTTCTGACCGAATCGAGCGCGCCAGGTATGTGCGTTTGGAGCTAGGATTCGAGCGTTCGCTTCTTTGCAGACTCGTCCGAGATTCAGTAGGTCCTTGTCGTTTGGAAGAATAGTCGCAATATACTGTAGAATCTGTATCGTCCGGAGTTCATCTCAGAATTAGTTTCTTTTTCTGTTTCTGTGTTGGGGGATTAGTATCTCACCTCGTTGGGAAGCTCGAGGAGTCGGCTCCTCTTGCTTGGATCAGCTACCGACTCGTATCTGTCGGCTTGCATGATCACTTGAAAAGACCTATATACTGCACGATGAGTATGGCCAGGGTCGATTTTGAGGTATTTACACTGCGACATGACTGGGATGGTAAGTCATAAAGGTGGGGCAGTGGGTGTTTGATATGAGGATAAGTGATGGTGATGGGAGTAAAATGGTATGAAAAAGAGGAATCAAATTTGAGAGACTATCATGACGGTGAGTACGGTGGGCAAAATGAAGGGAGAAGGTTATAATCTATTGATTCTATATTATGGAAGATCAAGTGAGAGTTTCTATGACCTCCTCAGACTCTCTCCCACTCCCCAACCATTTGCTAATAATCCCTTGACTTCTTCAAGACCAAGCCCACTCATCTCAGGATAGATCCTGTGTATAGCTCCCCATCCCACGGCGCATACTCCCGCGTAAACGACAAAGGTCCATGTAGGAGATAACCATTCCATCATGGGAAGGAAGGTCAGTCCAACAATAAAATTGGATCCCCAGTTCGTAGCAGTAGCGAGGCCTGACCCAAGTGATCGAACGTTCAGAGGGAACAGCTCCGCCTGCTGCCATGGAACATTGCCAATACCGAATGCAAATGCTGCCGTGTAGATGGTCAGACAGAAGAGGATCAGTAAGGGAGAAGAGCTATTCTGATCGGCACCATTGTGCTCTTGAGGTGGAGGTTGAGAGCCGAACGAGATATCGATGGAGGAGAATGCAAGAGAGCAACAGCCCAGAGCAAGGATCATCACGGGTATGGAATACAGTAAGATGCGACGTCGACCAATCCTATCAATGAATGCAAATGCAAGAAGAGTGAAAACGAAATTGGTCACAGCAATGGCTAAAGATGTTAGTGTCGGCGAGGAGAAGTTTAAGGCTTGAAAGATGATCCCTGAGAAGTACATCAAGCTATTGAATCCGCAGAGCTGTTGGAGTCCCTGTAGCATCGTTGCAATAATCAATGCTCTCCGACTCCCTCCATCATAGAAAAGCGCTCGCGCCCGGTGCAAAGCATCCTGGTACCAGTGCGAATCTGCTTCTGGAGTTTTATTCTGGTCCAGCTCCAATGATTCTTGGGTAATCTCTCCGCGGATATCTCGCAAGACTCGTTGCACAACCAGATCCCCCTCAGGTGCACTCTGGTAGATTCTAGTCAAGACTGACACAGCTTGTGAATCATGACCAGCCTGTACAAGCCACCTAGGTGTCTCCGGTAGAGCTAATAACACAGCAAATTGCAGGAATGCCGGGGCCGCCCCGAGACCGACGATCCAACGCCAGCCGCCACCGGTACTTGAAAATAACCAACCCACGACATAAGCAACCACTTGTCCACCGGTGATTAATAGACACATGATTATAACCAATCGGCCTCTAGCATGCGATGGCGCAACCTCTGCAATGTATCTTGATAATAGCTGGGTTAACTTGGTCCTTGTACTTTATTCTGGCAAATAAAAGTAGTTATGAACTTACAGGGGAGTGACAGCACTCGCACTGCCAACTGCGAGACCAACAACACTACGTCCCACGATCATCAACCATACCTGACTCGTAGAGCATTGAATCAATGCTCCCAGCGCAAACAGCACATCTGCTGCAAGTATGACTTTCCGACGACCGTATTTATCAGCCATGACCCCCGTAAACGGACTTGCTATTAATGCAAATAGGCTGGTACACGAAGTTATAAGGCTTTCGTCAAGGGTATTCAGAGGTCGATTGGATAAATCAGTGCCAATAGTGACGAGAGTGGAGGATATCACGCCGGTACTAAATGTAAACGGGTTGTTAGAAGGAATACCATAATTGAATAAGGCGAGGATACATACTCATAACCAAAAAGAAGACCGCTTATCCCGGCTGAAAATGTCAGAACCCATATGAACCAGCCTTCTGTGTAGGTAAATTGTGGGGGAGCTTCATCTTCGTCATAGCGGAGTTCGGGAGAGGCGTCGTCGGTCGTAAGTAGAGGAGCACTTGGTCCGGATGGATCTAAATACTCTCTTGAATTCATGGTGAAGGGTACTGTATATCAGACGACATTGGTCGAGTTGACAAACACCTTTGCGTCTTTGTAGGTCAGTAGATGAAGATGGGAGGTCTGGTCTGGGGCTGAAACGCGATAAGTCGGTGATAGGAGCACGGGACCCACACTTCATTCCATGCACAGCATGATAGGGCATCATGTACTCCGTACGACTCTTCTACAAGTACAATTATCTTGAACATCTCAGAATATAGAAAGTCATAAGAATCATCCCCGGTATCATTATTTTCTTCTCTATGCTAGTATACTTAGTGGCGAGCCACAACACCAGCCTCATCAGCCTGAGCACTGATCTTCTTCTTGTATGCCTTCACATCACCATCGAACTTGGTCACAGTGCCCTGGTCACAGACCCAGAGACTCTTGCAGACATTTTGCAGCATGGTAACATCGTGAGAAACCATTACCACACCACCTTCGAATCGCTGGAGCGCGTCGGAAAGCGCATCCATACCTTCAATATCCAAGTGATTGGAAGGTTCATCAAGAACAAGAATGTGAGGGTTGGTCAAAGACAAGCATGCAAAAGCAACACGAGATTTCTGACCTCCAGAAAGAAGCTCCATGCGCTGGAGACCAGTCATACCGGTGATACCGAACCTATGTAGACAAAAATGATTAGTATTGAATAAATATCGTGTAGAGGAATGGTCAACTTACGCGCCCAAGTGTCTTCGGTACTCCTCGTCAGACTTTCCGGGGTATGTCTTTGCCATAAAGCTGACAGCGCTTGTAGTCAGATCGAGAGCATCAACGTGGTGCTGAGCGAAGAATCCAATACGCAATCGAGAGTGTGCAGAAATGAGACCCTTGGTCGGCTGGAGCTGGTTGGTGAGCAGTTTCAGCACAGTGGTTTTACCGGCACCGTTAGGTCCAACAATTCCAATACGCGAATCCAGTTGGACATCAAGATCGACATCCTTAAGAAGAGGCTTTTCAACAGAGTAGCCGAAGCAGACATCTGACATTTGGACAATGGGAGGCGATAGCTTCTCGACTTCGGGGAATTGGAAGTGAACGACGTATTCGCTCTCGGGGGCCTCGAGAACGGGCATACGCTCGAGCTTCTTAATTCTGGACTGTGCTTCTGAGGATTTAGCAGCATTGTAACGGAATTTGTCGATGAAAGCTGAGCAAAGATGTTAGTATAACTGATAATGAGATAAGGGAGAAATATCCAACCTTGCAAATGGGCCCTCTCTGCCATTTGTTTCTCGTATTCACGCTTGGCATTCTTTCGTCTCTCTTCCTTGGTTGCGTAGAAGGATTCTAGAATTTTTGTTAGTCAAATCAACGAGAGAACAGATCAAGGATACATACCGAAGTTAGCTCCCTTGTAGTAATCCAATCTCTCAGAGTGTTGGTGGACAATATCAGTGGCAACTTCGTTCAGGAATGCACGATCGTGAGATACGACCAAGACTGTGCTAGGGTATCCTTGCAGGTAATTAGCCAGGAAAGTAATGGACGGAACGTCCAACATGTTCGACGGTTCTGTATGAAGAGATTAGCAACATGCCCTATTACCAGAGTTTTTTTTTTGGAATAGTGATTTACCGTCAAGAAGCAATAGATCAGGTTCACAGAAAAGAGCTCGTGCTAATGCAAGACGCATTCGCCAACCTCCAGAGAATGTCTTGGTAGCATACTGTTGTCTCTCTTGTGAGAAACCAAGACCAGCCAGAATACTAGCTGCTCGAGACTCTGCCTTGTCGGATTCCATCTCATTGAGCTTGGAGTAAATATCGCTCAAGGTGATATCCAAACCTTCTCGTTCATGATCTAACCTGGCAGCATCCTTCGAAGTATCAGCCAGAGAGGATCGTTCCTCTTCGATGGCAGCCAACTGTTTTGAGATTTTCTGCGAAGTATCCAGTTAGAAAGATATCACCAATTTTTGCTTGAAAAGAAAAACTTACTTCTTGCTCTGCAAGAAGGTGTTTGCGCCAAACGTCGGCATCCAACACCGCTTGAAGTGCTGGTGTATCATCACCCGTAATCTGCATAAACATGTCAGTTCCTGTCAACTAAATAGTAGCAGAATCGGGAACTCACCTCTTGTTCAACGTGAAGAATGGAAATATGGCTAGGAATGGCGACTTCACGACGACTCAATGCACGCAACAGGGTAGACTTTCCGATACCGTTCTGACCAACAAGACCATAGCGACGACCGTATGCGAGAGTTAAATCAGCATCCGTCAAAATGCGCATTCCACCAATAGATATATCAATTCTATCCAATTTGACATCCTTGCTCTTGGACTGGGCGTCCGCACCAAGCTGGAGCGGGTTAACAGCCATGAAGAACTCTTCATAGGTCATTGCTTCATCTGGCTGGTTAAGCAGACGTGAGGCCTCGTAGGTGACGTTCTTCATTTGTTTCTTCTCCTGCTTCGCGCGAATCTTGCGCTCAGCCTTCTCCAGCTTCTTCTTGTCGACACGCGATTCCACCTTACGGGCATTGGCCGATTCCAAGTCCACATTTCCACCAGTCAGACCCAGTGTAGAGGACATGTTTCGCTGCGAACCGACATTGATAGTTTGGTCGAGTTTCTTCGCAGCGAATGGCATCTGCCGACGCTCATCATCAAGGCCATTGGCAGAGCTCAATGTGGTAATGAACTTTTCCACCAACTTGTTAATCGCATCCCGATTCTTGGAGGAGAAGTCGCCTGATGCCGATACTAGTAGTTCGCTCACGCTTTCAGCGGCCTCGGTTAAAGGGGATGGGGCGTTCGCATCTTCCACGTAGAGATTGGAAGCATGGGTCAAGTATCCCTGAAGTGATTATATTAGCATTGAGATTTGAGCGTCCTCCGCTTCCCACAATGACATACCACAGAGTATTCGGAGATGACCCGGTCCAGGCCGGGGATCTGGGCTTGTAATTCTCCTTCCATGATTGATCTGCTACAGCTGAGCAAGAAGAATCCACGGCTTAGAATGAAGTGCCCACTTGATCGAAATGCGAAAGATCTGGGGTAAAGCTGCCCTCATTGAAAGTGGCGTGTTTTTCGGTGCGTTATCGATAAGATGCACGTGATCTGTATAGCCAGTTGACAGGACATGATTGTGCTATGTGATAGAATACTTTTACATACTCTACAATGATCTCTACCTAGGAGTATAGAAAGATTCGAGCAGTTTGTCAGTATGTGGGTTACAGGAATAATCCACCTAATAGCAATGGCGTGGGTCAAAGAATCTTCACGCCGTCAACTGGCATGTACTAGGTAGCATCTATAGCTAGCCTACACGCTTGCCGCGATAAGCTCTCTAGAGCACCGGTGAGTTCTCATTTCTTTTTTTATGATCGATAATCCGCCCATCGATCGGTGTTCTCAATTGCTTCTAGATCGATCTAAATTGTAAAATTGGAAGTCCGGGCTTTGTTTATACGAGAGCATTGAACCTGTGACGAAACCGGTGTCTGTTCGAGATACTCCCAATACCTGCCAAGAAAAGATTCAAGTCAGGTCTGCAAGATTCAAGTTTCAAAGATTGAGCACTACTCCATACAGTCTTTCAATTGGGCGGCAGCACTTGGAATAAGCTCTTTTGGATATTAAAATTCAAAAGACATGAGTCCATGAGACATTGGCTATCACTGAGTATTCCATATGGATTCGGGTATCCAAAGATAAACCCATAGCCTCGGGAGTAAATAAATGATAGGTCACAATTTGGTCACAAGTTGGCAATGGTTGATCTTGTATGATCAAAACCCAAATCCGCTCGAGCAAGTTCAAGTTCTGGGTAACTGCATACGTTGCCCCGTGTAATTCCCCAGCATTCGGAGCCGAGTGTTCTAATTGCACCTAGTAATTGTGATAGACCCGATGTTTGCATATTTCTGGTCCTTTTGCGTAGCCTAGTTCATTTGAAGCTTAATGGCTGTATATCTCTTTCCAAAATTAGAATAGAGTATCGCCAATTTCAGTCGGTCAGATCGGCCATGTTTCATGTCTGTTATAGTAAACACAACAACAAGATAGAAAAAGCAAAATGAGAACACAAAGTGACAGCAGGTGGTGCAGGAAACATATGCTTCCACCTGCAGGATACAACGGGTGTTGACAGTTCCCTGTGCAGGGTCATTGGCTAGTGAACTATTGCAGCTACTGTAACGATTGGACCAGAGCTCTGGAGAGTATCTGCAAGTGACAACTGTACCACGTTGATCTAGGTTAACACGTCAACAGAGCTCTCGGAAGCTTATTAGCCACACAAAAATAAACACAATTTGACTAGGTAAGAACGGGGAGCCTGTTGCCAATCATCCCGATTATCATTTTGACTGCTTTTTCACATTGAAAATGTGCATAGCAACTGAGTCCAAACAGGCTTTTCCAGGAGCTGAGTGGATCGGCAGACTACGTAGAGCTCATCCAGGGGGAGGGTCCACAGAGAACTGGCAGAAAAAGAAGTCGATCAGAAGTAGATATAGATTTTTTTTGTAGCTCATTTTTGAGGCCCGGAAGGCTCGAAAGCTTTTAGTTCAAAGTATAGAGGTAAATACTTGCAATTGGCGCCGAGATCCAAACCAGATGGCCCTAAATCGGCAGCAATGAACCGATTGTCTTTCGCGTTTGACCCACGGCAGGTTCCCCTTTCATTTACAAAGTGGAGAGGGGTATGACGATATGGATCGGAGCTCATGCCAGGCTATTCCAGATCCCACATTATTTCCGGTATTTCCTGAATAGCCCCGCTTAGAGAAAGGAGAGCGGAAAATGGTACCAAAGAAGCAGGGGGGGAAAATAAAATCGAAAATCAATAAAACTCAACCCGCGGTACAAGGCGGATCAGCAGTTGAAAAGAAAGGATCTAGTGGATGTCAGCCTTCGAGAAGGATTTTGCAGACATCATGAAACTGAAAAGAACTGAAAGAAATGTACTCTGTATGGACAGAGATGCCCCACGACCATTGACCATGGGGCACTCGTGCAGGTTATCATGGGGGAAGAATTTGGGGGGGGCCCTGTTTCAGATGATTGACAGCATTGGGGGGGTATGTAGTACCCTGTCAGTGCTCAGGGTACCGGTAAGGGGAGCACACTTTTTTACTAGACGGAGCACAAAACGCTTATGTAATAACACTTATTATATAATCAACTTTTTCTCAGCCGAAAAGAAGGTCACTGCATATAATATCACTGCATATAATTAAAATAAGATAAAATAAATCAAATTTTAGACTAATTATTTACATGATCGGATCGTATGCCCTATCACCCCACATTTCGAACATTTTGGTGCTTTTTTTGGTGCTTTTAGAACATTCAGAGCTGCTGTTGAGACTGATGCAGGTGTATGAATTTCATTAGGGCTAGGCACCCCCCCTAGGCCCCCCTAGGACCCTAGGCTCCTGTAAGGTCCAGGCTAATGATTCAGAAGAATATAGCCTCCAAAATGGGTGTATCGCAGATATCGGAATAAATTGTTTACTATCAATCCATCCTTTAATCTGATGTGCACACGGTAAGCCCATAGTTCGGATAAAACCACCTGTACAGGCTTTTAACGGGGCCTGAGCTGTACATCTTTTAGCAATTTTAGCCTGATCAATCACTAAATTCATCGAGAATCTAGTAATCTTTCGAACTAAATGTTGAAAAAGATACTCTCCTTGGGTGGAAATTAGGGCTTTAGTCTGATCATTTAAAAGATCATTCTCAATAGCCCTAATTTGCTCTGGTAGTGCAGCAGAAATTCGGGACCAAAGGGTTAAAATATCACATCTTGATGTTTTAATATGTTTCTTAAGAACAGCATGGGCCCCCTCAACGCGTGACGTTGTTGAATTTCCTAGGTGAAGATATTGATTAGTCCAATATTTAATAAATTTTTCTTTATGAACCAACCAAATCGATTCAATATAATAGATTAAAGAGGGGTACTTGGCCTGATATTTTTCTTTGAATTTAATCAAATTTGATTCATATTCATATAAGGATATAGAATTTACTATTTCCATCCAATCAGAATAGAATTCATCCCATTTCTTTTCCTTTTCATCTGATATTTTCACTGTTTGGTCTGATGTTTTTTCAAGTGTTCGGTGGGCGTGTGAGTCTTTCTCTGTTATAACAGGCTTGCACTTAGCTAGAAAAGCTTGATTTATATGCCAGAGACATAGAAGATGTGGAAATATAGAATATTTTGTCCGGATTGCAGCTAGTAGGGCAAGGTCTCGATCAGTAACTAAAACAGGTGTAGGGTGTAGGGGGCCTATGGGCTGGGGGGTAAGCTTAGTCTGTTCAATAGCCTGTGTATCAGCCTGTTCAATAGCCTGTTTAATAGCTTGTATAGCAGCCTCTGTAGCCGCCTGTTCAATAGCCTCTTCAACAGCCACTTCAACAGCTACTTTAACAGCCTGTGTGGCAGCCTGCGTAGCTGCCTGTATAGCTGCCTGTGTAGCTACCTGTGTAGCTGCCTTGGGAGTGGCCTCGGGGGCCTGGGGGGCCTGCCCAAGCCAAGAAAATAGGGTATCTAGTGCCCACTCATAAGCTGCTTGCTTCTCATTCATCATCAGACCAAAAGCAATTGAAAAAGAATGATTACTAGATGAAACCCCAACAATATGTAAAAGTGGCATATTGTAAATATTTGTCTTATAGGTGCAATCAAGACATATAACCCTATTAAATTTATTAGCAAAGTCGATCATCTTTGGATGTGCAAACATAAGAAATTCAATATGCCCCTCAGGGCTTGTTTTAACCTGATGTTTCCACTGTTTTAATCCTAACTGTGTGATTAAATATTAAACCTTTGACTGATCTTGAAGCTTTTCATTCCAATAAGTCTTCCGTAGATTGTAGATATCTTGAATCTGTATTAGAATATTAGGAAAATCTGTCTGGATTAGTTCTAATATTGAACTTGGTGTGATATTTTGATTGAAATAGGTGAAAATTTGCTGTTTTTGGCTATCTGTAAGCTGCCGGGCCCCTGGATGAATAATTAAATTAGCAATATTGACCTGATGTCCTGTATGGGTAAGGTTAAACTTAGTGATATGCCACTTTCCATCAGATGTTTTACGTGTAGATCTACAAGCGTAGAGAAAAAAACAACAATCTACACGTCTAGTACTTGTTTTTCGACGTTTAGCCCCATCTTTTGCTTCAATCTGATCGTCATATCTGCGAGATTGATCACACATTAGCCTCATATTTCGATCTTTATTATTACTAGTAATAACAGCAACAAATCCATCCTGTAAGGCCTGTGTTTTAATAGCCTGGACTAGCTGATCACTAGTATCAAACGATTGGTTCATAAGGGCCTCCATATTGGATGAAAGATTAAAGAAATTTGATAAACTCAGGTGAATAGAAGAAGAAATTTTAGTAGAATAATTGTTTATAATTTAACTTATTATTAGTTGCTACAGTGACCTTCTTTTCGGCTGAGAAAAAGTTGATTATATAATAAGTGTTATTACATAAGCGTTTTGTGCTCCGTCTAGTAAAAAAGTGTGCTCCCCTTACCGGTACCCCAGTGCTCAATGTGGGCGGAATCACTTTCTCGCTGTTCTTTTCCCTTTCTTTGTTTTTTTTTGTTTTGTTTTGTTTTGTTTTGTTTTGTTTTCTCTCCCTTGGGACCGGGAACCGTTCATCCAACCGGTGGACACAGATCGGCCGTACTGGGGCCCTTGCGATCGCGCGACTACCGATCCTGGGAAGGTGAGGGGGACCAACAAGGCCAAAACGAGGTGTATGTGGGGATCCTCTGGACCGCATGGCGTTTTTTTCTTCCCTTGTGTTCTGCTGGTCTCCGCTCTCAATTTCCTTTGGCTCCTCCACAGCCACTTGCATCCACTTGCGGACTTCTCCGTATCTGTGTAAGCTCAGCTAGTTTCGGTCTGGACACGAGCAATGCAGAGTGAGCCGCAAGGGGTCCGCATTTTCATTTTAAAACAGATAGAATTGGAAGATTGAAGGAGAATTTTTTCATAGGTTCATAGGTTGATAGGTTGATAGGTTGAGAAGATTAGTTAAGATTTGGTTATGTAGAGGGAAGAGATGAGGAACCTTGGAAGGTATAATAGAATGAGAGGAGTTCAGCTGTATTCTAGATCAGCCACTATCCGTATATCCCAACATCACAACAACAACACATAATATCCAATATAATAATAGTTATAAACACGTTTTGTAACATTTTAAAAGTAAAAAGAAAAAAGCCCTAACGCATGAAATCATGCTTTAATTTATATTACAGTAATTCTGCAAATAATAGGATATGCTCCTAGCGTACAGTATAAACCCCCCTCTCCCAGGTTAGTTTAGCGTTAAATCCCCGAATCTCTGTTGTTGTTGATTCCAAACTCCACTTCCCTTCTCCCTCGTCATCGGTTTTCCTTTCTTTTGGGTAAAATGTCTCTATGACGGGCAGGGTTGGGTTGATTTTCACTTTTCTTTTTTCACATTCTTTTTTATTTTAACCTTACACCCTTCCCCTTTTAATCAACAAGCGCATTTGTGTATTCCCCCTCTCCGCCCCGTTCGCGAAACCATATGGGATGTCCTTCGCAACGATCAACTCTGCGGAGCTAAGCTGGAGGGTGCTTGACACTCTTCTTGGCGATCTCTGAGGATGGATCATATTTCTACGGTATGTTAGAGTGGAGTTACTAGTGCAATATGGTGGTTTTTTTGAGGGGGCTGAGAAGACTAACGCGTGCTATTCTAGCTCTGTGCCTTGAGCACTGTCGGCATTGCTACTACAGGATTGGCGCTTGGTCGCGTTGAGCGAACAAAGTCTAGTCTATTGCGACGCAAAACTCTACCTCATAATCAAGTGTCGCCTCATCCTAACGAAGCGCCAAATAATAATGTCCGACCCCAAACCTCCCGATCACTACGACCGAAATCTGCGGGGACAAGTTGGATCTTACGGGAGAAGCCGACTGAGAACCAGGGATCGCAAGATACTCAATCTAATGGACCGGATCTTCGAAAGGCATCACTCTCCTTTGGCGCTGCTCGAATGCGCCGCCGTGGTCAAACCTTAACCAACCCACCCCTACGAATTCCAGAAAATGAAACAACAGACCCACCACCATCCCGAAGACCATCTACTGGCTGGTTACGACGACTATCAATAGTATCATTTCAAACTGAAAGTCCGTCAACTAATAGTCCTGTTACTCCATCCTTCAATGGGTCAGCGAGTCCAATCCTTCCCCGTCCTTCTAGCCGCAGATCTCCCAACAAACTGGTCAAGCGGACGTCACAACATTCCAATGTCCCTCTTTTTGTCAACCCTTCTGAGTCTCCCAATCCTGGCTTACGCAGACCAGCAACTAGCTATCAACGGTCAGAGTCTAGGCAATTTCAGTCACCTCTGGTCACAAATTTTGAATCGGAAATCTCAGAGCGCTTTTTACTTGACTCGCCAGGATTTGATGAGTTCGGGCTTCATTCTCAAGATGAATGGAAACCATACTTACTTCCTAAATCAAGTGGCTTTCCTGCAAAACTTGCCCGAAAATTGCCCGCTACAGGAGGCCCCATGGGTTCAGGTGTACGACGAATAACCTCCGATCAAGACACCTTACCAGCTTTGGTCCTTGCAACCAGCATCATAGCTAAAGCTCCTAATACTCAAATCCAGACAGAGCCCCCTTTCACTCCTGTGGAATTTCGCAATCCATTCCAGAATAATGGGACTGATCAACTCACTCCTCTACCAACTCCTCCTCCAGATAAGCCACGTCACAAACATTCTTATTCTATGAGTGACGCAGAGCCTGAAAGAATGATTGTGAATACTGTGACTGGATCCGGAGACCCCATTCTTGGACGGCCTCGTGGTGGCTCATTAAAGCGTGTAAAGGGTAGAACGTTCTCTATTCCTCGAACGGAGCTTGCAAAGTTGGAAAAATCAATGCCAGGTGTTCCTGCACCACCGCCACAACGGCGGAATATTACTGATCCTAGTATCTTTCGTCAGCCACAAGGATTATCTCCATCTGGCCTTCCTATCTCTACTGCTGGAAGAGACGCACAAGTTGGACCAAGATCAGTATCACAAGATTACAATATTGGTCTACGTCATAGCCGTCCATTGACTTCCGATGCTGTCGCTCTATCAACTTGGCAGCATTCTTGTCGGCCAAGTGGGCCTGAAAGTAATGTATACAGTTCCTCGTTACGTCGTCGTCCTAAAAGATTTTCAATTGCTGCATCAGATCCATCAGATCCATCTTCAACTGTAATTGGATCTGATGATACACGTGTTTTCACGTCGAGCGATGAGTATGAGACAGATATGATGACAGATTACTGGGACTCAATACGCACCCGGCGCACCAGTGCAAGTGGGTTAAAGGGCTTACGCATCGAAACTATGTTTGATAAGGCAGGTGCAAACCTTTCAAATGAGGAAGTCACAACACTCGCAGATCTACTTCCACATGGGTCGTTTGCTTCACGTATTGAAAGGGACCCGCCCATTTTCTCTGGCGCTCTTCTTCCTGTTGCCCCTCTCCACCTCAACCTCAGCAACATCACGGCCTTACCAGTAGCTGAGGACGAGTCACAGAGCAGCATCGGTGCCTTGCCTGAAGACTTTGACCCTCCTTCCTCTCAGGAACACCGAACCACAGACTTCTCTCCTTCACAAAAGCATTCCTTGTCAGATTTCCCTCCTTCACAAAAGCGTCTGTCAGAGTTCCATCCTTCACATCCTTCTTCACGCAAAAACCCCTTGTCGGAATCTTTGTCGAATCCCTTTAAGATGAACCACTTAGATGACTTTGACTCCCCCCCTCTCCCTTGACATGAGTGACCCGGGCTCCCCTCTTGACGATATGTGCTCCCTGCGGGAGGACACGACAGTTAAGATGAATATCTTTGACTGGTCTGAGCAGCGTGAGTCCGAGTCCGAGGCTCGCCCTCGAACTGTACACGGCAAACAACAGGACATTAACCGTGGAAGCCGCGCTGCCTGCCGCAAGGTCCCCTCTGCTATTCACCTCCGAAGCCAGAGTGTTCCCGTTGTTGGAGATGCCACCACCACCGACTCACGTCAAACCTCCGGAAAATTTGGTACCTGGGCCCTGGGCACCAAGGGCGTCAGTGAGGACTGGGACAGTGACTTCGACTTTGAGGATGACGACAATGAGGCTCCTCCAAGCCAGGATACCAAGACCACCACTGATTCTGAGTGCCTTTCCCAGACCGTTGCTGTTCCCCAGGCCATCTTAGAGCGTCAGGCCAGTTTGCGCGGTCAATTCGGCCAGGTGCAGGAGTTGACACTGCTTGTCGAGGAACTGAAGCGTCTGCGTCACCAAGCTGGACTTCTGAGTCTTCTGGACGGCCCCGCAAGCGAACTCTGGAAGGAAGCCGAGGGCATCATCAATCTGGCGACCATCGACGACGACGACCACCACCAGCACCGCTCCTCGCCCCCTGGATCGCCTTCATCCCTGACTTTCAGCTTCGACGACTCGGACGACGAAGGCTTGAGCAATGCGGCCAAGAAGTACAATGGGGGTCGGAAGAGTGACGGTCTTGATGGACTCGCCCAGGACACCCAGAAGTGTACCTCAGCTCTCGAGCAGCTCTCTATGCACTCGCCTAAGTCCAAGTCGGTCCTTGACTTCCTTCACCCTAGCCAGCGAACTGAGAGTTCCACCCTGCCTCGCGTCTCCCACCATGCGCGACCCCAGAAGCTGCCCTTTGACACTTCTTCCCTCCGTGATCTCGTGGTTCGTGCTGGAGTGGTGACCCGGGCCTTGAAGGAGGTGATCCGTAAGGCGGAGGGCGTTGATGCCAAGCCGCAGGACATCTTCCCTTCTGACCCTCCGTTCCGTCGCATCTTCGACCAGCCCTCCCAGGATGACCTGGCGAGCTTTAAGGCCGCAATGGCCGAGATGCACTGAATGACTCACGGGTCCGTATGCCAGGGCCTAATCAGTGGGACGCCTGGCATATGATATCATGAAAAGCTCTCAGATATGTACTGTCAATCTCAGCTTAAAAAGTGAACTTTTTAAAAGTTGTGTATGTACTGATTCTGATGACCTGATTGTAAAAGATCTTTCGCCTTAAAAGGCATTTTTGATTCCCTTCTCTTTTCATTTTCTCCCATGATTTCCTCCATTGAGCTTTTTTAATACGTGTCCATATAGACACCTTAAAAAGTCTTTGCGTATACCTGTAAAAATTTTCTTTTTCTTTTTTTCTCGTGTACATTTCTCAATTATCTCTCTCTTATTCCCCCTTGTGCAAGGACTACTTGGATTTACGTTCCTTCCTCATTTTTGTGAAGACTATGTCGATGATTCTGGCCATGGCATTGGACACTTTCTATCTAAGAGATGGAAAGATCCAGTCGTCCCTTTTGTTTATTTTTGCACTCCTTTTTTCATCTGTGGCATATTTGCGTGGCTCATACATCTCATAATTACGCTGTACCATTTACAGGGGCGTTGATCAGACCGATACATCGTGATGATTAGTGAACGAAGACTACTATGAAAATCAATGACCTCAGGTCCAATGTAATGCATATAATTCAAGTATACTCAAACTGACTGTTACCATGATATAAAAGCTCAATAGTGTTGTTTGAAGGCTAGGAAAGATCATCGTAAATAACTAATTAAGCAACAAATGGGTATCATAATTCAGACTTTTAACAGGACCTGTGGTTTGGACTAAATAACACATCATCTTTGGAAGTATGTATGCCCATGGCCGTCATCGGGCTTCAAAGGTATGAGCTTGAGCAATTGGCGTGTAATCAGTCGCGAATTTGCTCCTTGCTCGGAGTTTTGAACCGTAGAAATAGAACAAGATTGGCATGGGAATCATTAAAGCTGCTATACATGCAAGCAATGTACTGGCCCAATTCACGCCAAGAGAATTAAACTGGATATTGTTAGTATTGGGATCTTCACTTCATGTCTGGTAGACTTACCATATACTTTGCAAAGAGAGGGAAGACTGCTGCGGCCGAGGATCGTAGGATACTGTTGGCAGCCAAAGCAGAAGCAGCACTAGAACAATCATTAGTAGGGATTCAGATGAGAGTTTCATAAGAAGAACTCACAAAAGAAGATAGCTATCAACAATATAGTTGAAAGCTTGCATAAAAATGCACAGTAAGCCGAATCCAGTCAGGAACCCAGCCATGGTAGGTACAATCCAGGGAATATCAGCCCTAAACCCGGACCATCCAAACCAAAATAATCCCGCAGTAAAAGCAACACTACCCACGATCGCAGGAGGTAACCGCCATTCCGGAATGGGAACACCATTATTGGCATCGAGTTTCCGATTATACCATGGCTGAGTGAAGATGATAAAAAATCCACCGAGGAATTCACCCACAATCATACCGATATATGGCAACCCGCTAACACCTTTGTCGAATCCATGAATCTCCTGAAAGACGATAGGGTATGCCGTTAAGAAAAGGTAGAGTAACCCATACAGAAACGCCATATAGATACTGAGTGCGAGAACAATCGGCTCTGTAAATAGGATCGTAAGCGGTCGACTGAAATTCTTCTGAAGAAGCTCTTGTAAATTAACCTCAATCTCTTCCTGTTTCGCATGAATCCCCCAATTCCTCGTCCGTCGTCGAAGAATAGCGGCTTTCTTGATTAAGATAACAGGAGGGTATGTCTCATGCAGAAAGACTACATCAATGATGAATGCGGATGCACCCATTATCCCGGTTAAGTACTCTGTCCATCGCCAACCGAGATTACTTTCCACGATAAATCCACCGACTGTGGATGCGAATAACGGACCCGTGAATACCGTCATCGCGAAGACTGTAATTGCTAGTCCGCGAATTCGATTATCGAATATGTCGCTGAATACAGCTGCAACTACCGCAACGGGACATGCGCCGAAGAACCCGCCGAAGAATCGACAAAGCATAAGAGTCTGAATATCTTTTGCGCTCGCAACGGCGAACTGGAAGATCATAAACCCAAATGTGGAGACAACGATTGGAAGGCGTCGACCATGTAATTCGGATAATGGAGCCCAGATTATTGGTCCTGTTGCGAAGCCGAGTACGTATAGTGATAACCCTAACGTAGCAACTTCAGTTGAGATATGGAATTCGGCTGCGATTGCAGATGCGGCAGTTGAGTAGATACTACTTGTGAATGTCGCGTTGAATGTAGTCCAGGAGAGCATGATGGCTGTTATTATCTTGTAACAAAGAGACCAGTTCTGTGGATGGAGAGGGTCATCGGGTCCGGCGAATTCTACCACATATTCTTCTTTGTTTGGTAATGCTGGTGGGTAGGGTTTTCCGGCGCCGAAATCAGGGAGAGCTTCAAGTTCTTTGAATTCTTGTTTGGGACTTGCGCCTACAGTGGCATTTTGTTGACTGCGTTGAGTCGCGATTCGACTTAGGGCTGTTGGGTGTCGTTCTAATCCTGGTTCGTAGTATGATTGAGATTGGGCGGTTTGGACTCGAGATAGGTATTCGGCATCATAGTCTTGAGAGGATGGTATTGAGGACTTGGAGCTGAGGGATTCGGTTTGGTAGGCTGTACTGTCGATGCTGATGTTTCCATCGTGGGTGTTGGTGAGGTCTCCTTTTTCGAGGTCTGATTCCATGGGAGAGTCCATAGTAGCAATTGCCAGTGACACTAACAGAGGTCTCTATGCTGAATAGAAACTTGAATCTCGGACTTCAAAATTGCTTTTCTTGAGAACTGAAAGGAGTAGTTATAAGACAGAAGATAGAAATAGATAACTTGAAATAATATAGTCGCACTGACACCGGGTATATGGCATATGGATCTGATTCTCTTTCTCTCTTTGCCTGTCTTATGCCCGACGAGCTATACCATTGGATGCTTGGCAACTTCAGCGGCAAAATATGGAGACATTGATATCGATTGATCCCATAATGGAGCCAAGTAACGGGTTTCGTCGGATGGGCGTTGCGGGCCTGGGTCTGGTAGGGACTTGAGCGATTGTATGGTTCCGTCCAAACATTTCTATGTGCCCAGGTGTGCATTTTGTTTATATCTACTTCGATTCTCAGTTCCCTTGCATTATATATTTAAACACTACTAATTGATCAAAAATATACTGAGTGTAGGAAAGTTACTGGTCATTTTTGAAGATTTTGAAATTTTCATCTATAAAAAATTTACTATCTCGGAAGTATATATCTCGGCTCGCCGAGTGTAAGCCGATTCAGAGTGGCATCAGACTCGGGATGGAGGATCCGCTTAGATAGAAATGCGTCTCTATCGCGTAGAATTCACCAATTTTTGGTCGTATCTATAGAAATTTTCATAAGACGGAGTCCTTATCAGAGCTTCAACAAGGCTATCCTCGGGCAACGGGCGGACGAGCTCGGTTATTCGAGGGATTTACGTCATGGGTTGGTGATGTTGATAAGGGTGTTATTTCCCGAGATTCATTCCTATTTATACTGTCAGTTTGTTTATTCTCCATAAATTCATATCATCCATGATATTGAACACCAGGTGAGATCAATTGATGCAGGATGATAGGGTTTAGGTTAACCCGTGATCATTATTCCCATCTGGGCAGGTGATGTCGATCTATCCGAGATTGACCAGTTGAATAACACGTGACCCTCAAACACGTGCACATTCCTTAGAGGCTTTCCACGTTGAGCCATAATCAATTCCATGTCTACTCCTATGGATTCTAAGGTTCTATAAGGTGATGAATGAACATTCCCCAATTATTTAAGCGGACAGAACACATGTGCACCATGGGCATTTGAACCTTGAATGTTGGATCCGTGGAACTTCCAAGGGTGAATTTGAAATTAGGGGTTCCGGTTCGATAATCTAAGTACTTGAGAGTACTTATCTGAATATGATATCGCTGGCAATTAATCCATAGTCTTATCATTGTTATTTACTATTTAATCTGAGTTATTCCACCATTTATACTCCGTATATCTCTAGGCTACTATATACTACATACTCCAGGTCTTGTGCGTGCGTGGCTCGGGGCTAAACGAAGTGGATCAAAAGTTCGTTAGGGTTACCGGAGTACGGAGTAGAATACTAGGAATAGACTTGTCCAACCTTTATATAGAATAGCTTCAGTTTATTAACAAATCAGAGATTATCCTGTAAATGATTGTATCGTACTCGTATCAATACTAACCTTGGAATCAAATGAACTGAGGAGATTGGGGCTTCATTTCCGGTTCAGGGGCAGTCCAATACTGATTGGTGAGAGAGCTGACACTTTCCCCACTACCTAGGTAGTACCTTGCAGTGAACATCAGAGTCATTCAGACAATAATAAACAGGTTGCTATGGAATTTGTATAGAGTAAAGAGTAACAAAAAAGAGAGAATAACTAATTTAAAATTATATATTATAATATTATGAAATTTTAAATCTAACCAAGTTGAGTCCAGGGGGGGGAAAGGAAAGGGAAAAGGGGAGTAGTCTAGTCCAGTCAAGCAACAGCCCACTCAATCTTAGTCCCAGTTAGTCTCTTTTTCGCCCCGTAATGGGAGAAACGGTGGGAGAAATACAGAGAAGGTCTCGCCCCTTCTCCCTTTTCCTTTCTCCAACTTCTCAATCGTTCTCCAAGGCTGCTGGCCGCCATTCTTTTTTTTTTACATCTAGAGGGTGTTCATTCTTTTGTCCCTCTTTTTGTTCCCCGCCTGCAGTTTGTTGTTTTTCTCTCTACTACACTCTTTTTTTTCCCGCCAGGTTATTATCGAAACGGAACCTCCTGATCATTCACGCCGGTGCCAATAACTTCATGACCTCGACTTAACACCATTTTTTTACAATTCTCGTGTGTCGACAGGCCGACGTGCTGGAAGCGGGAGCCGCTCGATAATCTCCCAATATGCCTCACCATCATCCCGACCTGATGATGGGGCACCGGTTTCGACGGGATGTCATACCCGGTAACCGTTTACAAAATATTGCCCCAACTTTGACCGACCGAAGCTTCGATATTCCTTCATTAGTCGCCCGAGCTGCCTCTTCTTCTGCTACAACTTCTACATCAAGTTCGGGCGAGAAATCTACAAGTAATCTCGACACCACCGTGTTACCCGTGGTACTCGGCGCTGGGTAGGATTTCCCTGCACCTAAATATCGAATCGAAGCCTTAAAATTACAGTGTCACTAACCGGCATGCTCTTCCTTAGTGTTCCGATTATCTGTGCCATTGTGATCTTGATCGTACTCCATCGAAGACATGTAAAGAAATTACTACGCGAAGATGCCGAAGATAAACATAAATCCCTGGATTTTGGCATGGATCCAGTGAACCCTAGGCGAGACGGGCCCGACGGCCATCTCCAGATGGTGGAACCAAACCATGCTAAGGGTCTCTCGCTGGATGTGCACCCTTATCTGTTGCCTCCTGGCCTTCACGGCTCTCGAGACTCATTGCACTCCCTTTCCCGATCAATTGATGATGACAAGTACCGCCAGGCTTCATTTATTCCGCAAGACGGTGCATCGATTCGATCATTCCCCAGAATGAGAGATGACGCTTCAAGTATTGCAGGATCAACGTCCCGGTTTGGTGGCACGGAAGAGCCCAGTTCGGGTCTATTGAAGAACGCACAGAACATGTCTCGGTCATCACCTCCTCTGTACCGCAGCCCTGTAGAGGAACCGGCTTCATACCGGTCTTCTCCTCCCCGCCAGGAGTACCCTGCTCCATCAGAGCATGAGCAGCATCCTGGATTGGCCTTGGGCAGCCCCGTGGGCCCGACACCTCCACCTCCTGCTCGACTTGCTTCGCCTGCTGCAACAGAGCCTCGATTTGATATGCCGGAACCAGAATTCAACTTTACATCCAGCCCGGATCTCCATTTTGATACGCATAGCAATGACGTGAAGATGGCCCCTGAAGATCGTCCCGACTTCCCACTCCCCGCCGGCGGGTTGCCTCATCATGAGCCCTTGCCTGAAACTTCTCCAACTCAGCTTCCTCGGATCTCATTCCCCGCCAGCGATGTCACATCAAGTGACTATGGTGATGACCGTCGCAAGTCAGAGTTGATGATCCCCGAAGTGAACATTCCTATTGTTGAGGAGCCTGAGCATCACCAAGAACCCAATCATATCCCGGAGGTTCCAGAGGAGCCCCAGAACCTAGACCCAACCTACGACGCTCGTCGTAACACTCGTCGGTTGACTCTCGGAGTTCGCCCTCTTCCCCAGAGGATCCTGCCGACAACCCTGAGCAGCGTGCCAACCGTATCCGTTCGTTCTACAAGGAATACTTCGATGACAGCAAACGAGAGACTACTTATGGAGGAGAGGGTGTTCAAGACTTCTACGACGGTGGTTATCTGTATGACCCTACTACGGGAGATTATTTAGATGCCACCGCTCCTCCTCCTATGCCCTTTGCTGAACCGGTCGGTCGTCGGGCCATGACTCCTCCTCCTCGGGCTCCACCCCGATTCCAAGGAGCAGCTCGTCATATGGCGACGAACTCCGCTGGAGGGGGCATGCGTAGTCCTGGTCCACGGGCCTTCTCCTCGGCTTCAGGGCGTCCTGGCCCCGGGGGTCCCCCTCCCAAGGAACGTCGGCCTGTGCCTGTTCCTTCACCACTTCAGATTCTCCCAACCCCTCACATGTTGAAGGATGATTCTATTATGCTCGCATCAGAATTTGCCCCTGCCCACAGCTTCCGTGAGCGAGTAGCCGGTCGTCCGGAGACCCCGACTGGTGGAAGGCTACCATACAGTCCGGCGATGCGTGCTCACACGCCTTTGATGTCATCCTTTGACGACCTTGCCGTTATTCCCAGCGCGTGAGTTATCTTCCGTTCCTCTCCTTCAATCTAATCTTACTAACCTACTTCTCTAGTCATGCTCTCCGTAAGTCCGGCACGTTCACGAGTCTGGACTTTGCTCCTCCACCCCGATTTAAGAACTCGGACAGTGGCAGTGATGCAGGTAGCATTCGCAGCAACCGGACAGGTATCTCCAATACGCATCAGAATAATATTCGTATGGGTAACTACCGGGTTAGCCGTCTGGCCAATGATATGGTCGGTACCAGGGATGATATTATGACCAGCTTGAAACCAGATTGGGGCATGAAGCGATAGAGCGATAGCGGATTCTTTTTCCCTGTCATGACATTTTTGGCGTAATCGCTCTCTTTTTTCTCATTTCTTTTTCATTTTCAAATAATTTAAAACCTGTGATGACCTGTTTCTCATGGTTCTGTGGAGGCTGGAGGATGGTCTTTTTTTCCCTCCCTTTGCTCTTCTTTTGTTTCACCCATCTGGATCTCTTTGGCGTAAATAGATTGTGGTTGGAAGCTCTTGCTGGGGTTTGAATTTAATTTCTTGGATATAACATCTGAATCCTGACTATTCTGGCCTAGATGAAGTTTATTGGATATTTCTATTTATCCGATCAGTTATTACTAATAGTTAAGACTAAACGAACCGGCAAGTAGTGCTAGAATCCATTAGGCGGTTAGCGATAGCGACTAATAGTTAATGGACCTATGAACTATCACATACGTACTCTCTATGGAGATGAGGGCAACGTAAGGTCGAACCACAGTGGAGTTCCCCTGACTTTGTGTACTCCATCTCTGTTACGCACCCGATGTTCCAGACCATAAGAAGAGAGAGAATTGAGATCTGGACCTGCACAGAATATAAGTATAAGAATCAAGATCTGATCTGATACACTGTCTCTTGACGTCAATTTCCCCTGTCGGGTATATGTACGAATGTGTGTGTTTTTTTTCTTCTTGAACCTTGGAACCCGCCTGAAACCGCGCCAAACAAAACTGGGAAGTGGTCCAAATACCCGCGTCATTACGAGTTTGTGAGGATTCTTTTTTTGAATGTAATCCCAGGTTGGATGAAGAGTTAAGGGATTGGATTATATAGGTGGCCTAATTTAGATGCACTTTGATGGATGTCAGATGGGGCCATTTGGGCAATTAACATTAGGCCTTAAAGAGAGAGAAATGGTATTGATGAAATAGTAAAATGGTAAAATAGTGAAAAAAAGGTAAAACCGTGGAAATGAGTGTTTATGTAAGCATTTAATTGGGGGCCTGAGTGCCTGAATGCCTGAGACTTTAGTTTATGTATACATACGAAGTACACACTTGTTTATTTTGACTATTCCCCGGAAACATTGAAAAAATAAAAGTCCAGTAAGGGATATACATGGGGATATCATGATTCAACGTCTTCATCTAAAAAAATACATAAGCACATCAAGTTGAACGCAGCCAAGTGGATTCATGCAGCTATTAATACAACTAGGAATGCGGATACAGCACCGGGAGCGTAACCAAGTTTGACTCCACTTTTTCACCTTTCTCGCTCTTCTCCCTCATTCGACCCGTTTTCCCTTTTCCACTCTGCTTCACCCATGGCTCCCGACTAGATTCGGCGAGTTGATCGTGTCTGGGATCGTTTTTCTTTTTCTTCTCCAATCCCATTTTTATTATTTTTATCTTCTTCGTCATTTCAACCCTACCATCTTGCTCAAATCTCACACATTTCAAGTCGACTGCCCCTGAGGTTACCCAATCGACCATCTTTCAGCCCTCCCCGAATTTCGATTTTTTTTTCTTAGTTCTCTCATTCAACGCGACTTTGCTCGAATCACCATTCACTCTTTAACGGGTTGATAAGCGCTATCTCTCCTTTCGAACCTGACTCACTGCGCATTCCTCGAGAATTGACGTAGTAAGCCGTCTAGCGATTTCGGCATCCATCCCGCAATTATCGGGTAGAACAAAGAAAAAACAACAACACACAACTTAAACCCAACCACAAGAAACAAACCAGTCGAATCCAAAATGTCGACTGCCGCTGTGAAACGAGCTGGTACGGGCTCAAGCGCCGCTGTCACAGGTGTGGCCGCAGGCGCGGGTGTTGCTGAAACAACAACTTCTGCTGAGGCTGAGTCCACGAGCGCAACCCCTACGGAAGCCACCTCGACTACTCCAACTTCGACTAGCGAGAGTTCGACCAGCACCAGCACCACCAGCACTAGTACTAGTACCAGTACGACTAGCACTAGCACATCTACAACTGAGCCAACCACTTCAACCACTTCCACTACTTCAATCCCGACTACTACTTCTTCTACGACGACTACGACCTCTTCCGAAACCCCTGCGTTGACCACCTCCACAAGTCAAGTTGAGCCGACTTCTACTTCATCCAGCTCCCAGGGTGAAACTACTATCTATGTGACTTCTACTGCAAATGGTGTTGTGGGTGTGTCGACTGAGACCTCCGCGATAAGTTCCACCACTAGCTCGGCAGCTTTGTCGACTTCAACTGGAAGTGGAGGTGGAGGTGGTCTCTCTGCAAGTGGTACTATTGCTGTTGCTGTGGTGGTGCCAGTCGTCTCTGTTGCCCTGATTGCTCTCTTGGCGATCTGGTTCTGGCGCAAGCGCAAGGCTAACAAGGCCAACGAGGAGGAACGTCGCAAGGAGGTGGAGGAGTACGGTTATAACCCGAACAATGACGCTTCTTTCCCTGGCATGATGGCCGCGGCGCCCAAGGATGACACTTCTGGTTACCGTGGCTGGGGAACCACCTCGGCAGGGCGTAAAGCCTCGACTAATCTGTCCAGTGGAATGGGAATGGCCATGTCTGAAGGCAGTGGCCAGTATCACCACCAAACCACCCCTAGTGAAGGAACGGTGCAATACTCGGACGGTGTTCGACCTGACTCTGGCGAGATTGTTGAACCTGTCGGTATTCTCGGGGCCGTTCCCACCGCCAACAACAACAACCGCAATGGCGATATCCACCGTGGACCATCTAATGCATCATCTGCTTATTCGGCTGCCAATCGATCGGATGTCTCCGAGGAAAGCCACATGTCTGCAGTACATCCATCTGGTGGCTACTATGGAGAGAGTCCTTATTATGGGGAGGCGACTGGACACGGGGCTTACGGAGATGATAACTACCAGCCCGTGATTCGAGATGTGCAGGCTCGTCGCAATACACGCATTGAGAACCCGGGTGTATACCCCCGACAAGGGAATGCTGGTATTGCCCAGAATTTCTAGATCTAGATCTGGTCTTGAACCACATCTACCTCTCATTCCTCTTCAGCTCTTTTAAAAAGTTCGGTCCCATTCCTCCGTTCTGGTCCAATCGTTTCTCCTACCACCGATTCCATTCATTCATTCTCATGGGTTCCATTGTAATTCTTGGCCCGGTGCCCTTGATGTCTCCCGGTGTGTTGGATATTCTCTTCATGTGTTTATTGACTCTGTAACCTCATATTTTTCCTTTCTTTCCTCCTCGTTTATAATCAGTTTGGGGGGACTTATGTTTCCTGTCTTTTTTTCCTTCTTTTTTTTGTCGTGATGCAGCCACTGTCTCCTTGATTCTTTTCCTTTTCACTATCTCTGTTTGATATATCCCTCGCATCTGGTTTTTTACCATACCCATCGTTTGTTTCTTTTGACTATCAATTTCTCATTCCTCATCATATGTTCATATGTTCATATGTACATTTTGCAGTGCTACACTGAATATGGGAGGATTTTTCAGAGAATTATAGTCTCTTTTTTGGATGGATGTTTTTGATTTATTATAGCTGGAATAAAATAAATCGAGTCCTCGATTTGTTTGAGTTTGAGGCTTTTGAGTACTCTATAAGTATAGATAGTAGGAATGACCTAGACGATCTATATGACACGAGTATTTCTAAGCTAAATTTGAATAAACCTCAAGTTTTCTGTACCTTACTCTTACCGTTAGACCTATTTCTCTTGTAGATCCCATTCTTCTCTGTACCAAGGTTAACTATAGTTGACTATAATACTTAGTGTGGTACCTGAGCGATGTAGTTGCAGGACAATTAGCCCCTAGTACATGAAAGGTACTTATAATAAATATGTGATCTACATATATGATATAAGTACCTATCTAGTATCGTAGACCCCGATCTCATATCCCGTTGACCCAAAACGTGCGCCCGCTGTTCACGGTGATTGGCGGTCCAAGCTCCCCACCAGCTTTAAACCTCGTGAACATCGCTCCTGCCACTTTTGATGATCAATGAGAATCGTGCCTTCTTCTTTGGATTGGTTCTGGATCCTTACTCTTTTGGTTCAACTTGTGACTTGATTCTTACTATGATCATGTACTTTTAACCATCCCTCCCCTCCTAACAAAAAAAATACAACCTCGATCCTTCCCTTGATGTCCCTTCATCTCTTGATGGAATACTTCCACCAAAACGGGCCATCTTTATACCAGTTCTTGTCATACGCCCGGTGACATTACGGAGTGCACCTGTCCCACTATCATCTTCCCCACTCATCGTGCTGTTCGCCCCTCCCCCCTCGAGTCCCTGGGGTGCCTGGGACCTCTCTTCCTCTTTCCTCTTCTTTCCTCCCCACCCACCCTTTCTCAATCTGTCCTCTCGCTTTTTATTTATTCTCGGAGTCTCCCTTTGAGTCACTCCCTGCCATTTTCTAATTCTCCACGAGCGACCCTACGATTTTTCCCCCTCGTGAGCGCTCAAGCTGAGCACCTGCGAATATGTGAGTTTAGCGGCTCCTTCCCCCGAAGCAATGCGCCGTGAGTCTCATAATCCTGACTCTCTTGCAGGAAGTTCGGCAAACAGATCCAGCGCCGGCAGCTTGATCTCCCCGAATATGCAGCTAGCTTCGTCAATTACAAGGCACTGAAGAAGGTACGAACTATTTCCAGTCATAACGGATCGGAACACCGGAGCTAATCTCTTCTTTTCACTATAGCTTATCAAGCAACTGAGTGCTACACCTACCATCCCGGCTCAAAGAACCCCAGAAGAGATTGCTCAAGATGGCGCTCTCGACCCACAAGCCTCTTTACGAGCGAATAAAGAGGTGTTCTTCTTTCGTTTGGTTCGTCGATCATCCTATACACTGCTATTACTCGGGATTAACGGATTTGAGTAGGAGCGAGAAATTGAAAAAGTCAATGCTTTCTACTTGCAGAAAGAATCGGAGGTATTTTTTTTTTCTCCTTCCTTCCTTTTGGAGTAGCTCAGATGCAAACTCACACTCAATCTATAGTTCTCCCTCCGTCTCAAAACTTTGGTCGACAAGAAGCGCGTGATTCAATCCCGAACAGTATCCAACTCAAAAGCCCCATCAAACTTCAAGGCTTTATTTGAAGGACTGCAACAATTCGATGGCGACTTGAATAAATTGCAGCAGTTTGTGGAAATCAACGAAACTGCTGTATCTAAAATTCTTAAGAAGTGGGATAAGACTTCCAAATCTCGCTTAAAGGAGCTCTATCTGCAGCGTGCAGTGGAGGTACAGCCTTGTTTCAACCGGGAGGTTCTTCGTGATCTATCAGACCGAGCGACGACAGCCCGGTTGGAGTCGGAGGCTTGGGCAGAAGGCGAGAACTTACAGTTTGATACGTCCCGCCCCACCGAACGTACCATGGCACCTGGATTTGGCACCGAGGAGGAAGAGCTGGACCTCCAGATCTTGCAGTCCGCCTCAACCGGCAATTTGCAGACCCTGCGTGAGTGGTTAGCCAAGTTGCAATCATCTCCCGATGCTCGTGATCGTGCCACAAGGACATTCTTAACTGCAATCAATGGGTCTTCGGATGAGGTCCTCGCTCTTCTTCTGGAAAGTGGATTGGTTGACGTCCATGCTGAGGATGATATCAATGAAAGGAATTGCCTTCACGAAGCTGCTATCTCTGGACGAGACTTCGTCCTCGCAGCAGGCATTAAGGCATCGGTTGATATTTCTCGATCTGATGTCTATGGCCGTATTCCTCTGCACTATGCCTGTATGCACGGCCGTGTGGATATGGTGCGAGAGTTACTGGCGGTTGGTTCACACACGGTAGATGTGACCGACCATGATAACTTCACTCCCCTGATCCACAGTATCGTGAAACGTCAGCTTGCATGTGCCAAGCAGGTTCTCATTAACAACGCTCGCATTGACCCGTCATCAGACTCAGATCACATCCCACTGAACCTTGCCTGTCAGCATGGTTCTTTGCCAATCGTCCAGATGCTTCTAGAGCGAAAGGCTCGCCTGCTGCCCGATGCGGAGGGTCTTTACCCCCAACACATGGTAGCTCGCGCATCGCAATCGCCGGACCTGCTCCTGCTGCTGAAGCAACATGGAGCGGATTTGAACCAACAGGATAAGCTGTATCAATGGACGCCACTTTTCCACGCGGCAAGCGAGGGCTGTGTACCCTGTCTACGGACACTTCTGGAGCTTGGCGTGGATGCGCAGGTTGCAGATGAAAAGGGTCTTTCAGCCATGTACTACGCTGCCTGGGAAGGGCATCTTGAGTGCATGTTGCTCCTCTGGGCTCAACCAGTGGAGGAAATTCCCCCACAGCGACCCCTGGATGTCCTGAACGGGTTCAAATTCCAGTCTTCTGATTCGATGGACATTGGACGACGAGCGAGTTCGGCGGAGATGGAGATTGCTGATGGTATCCCTGATCTTTCTCTGCCTCCTCCAATTATTCCTCTACGACGCTACGGCCACAATTTCCTCGATAAGAAGGTTTTTGTGCAACTGCTGTTTGATCAAGGGAACGCCAGCTCCATTGCCTTTGACCAGGCTGGAAGGCATCCGGCTGCTAGACTTACTATCTCATCTAAGATCTCCGATTTGATTCCAAGGACCATCATGTTACCCATTCAAGATGATGCTCGCACGATATCCTTCCATGTGGATAGCCTGGACACTTTCACTGTCGATTTCGAGATCTTCCCTACCTTTGGTTCCAAGGTTATCGCGAAGAGTGTGGCTTTACCAGTCATCTTCCGCGCTGAAAAGTCTAGTACGGGAACCTGCTGCCTGCCTCTCTTTGACCCTCGTCTTCGGGCTATCGGGCAGCTCCGATTTAATTTCCAGGTTATCAAGCCTTATCACGGGGACCCCCTGGAGATTACACACTTTGCGACGTACTGGAAGGCAACGGGGGCTATCGATTCAGAGCACAACGGGCTGGTCACTGGTTCCAGCTTGTCTGGAGATTATGTGCAACTCTTTGTGCAACTGACTCGAGACCGGGTGCCGGTTCTTTACCCGCAATTCCTCATCAACCATCATGGAATTGACCTCCCCATTTGTCAATTGACATACGAGCAGTTCCAGACTATTGGTGCGACGCGGGGTATTGACAGAAATACTCTGCTTCAATTCTTGAAGACTCAAGCTCTTGAGGATATGCCCCAAGCCCATCGTCTTCTAGCGGGATCTTTCATGTCACTACAGGATGTTCTGCACGAGCTTCCCATTGGCTTGAATGTTAACCTCTCCATCCTTTATCCATCTAGCGCCGAGGAGAAATCCCTTGAGATGACTTCTCTGGCTGACGTTAATAGCTTTGCTGATGCGATCCTAACTGATGTGTTCCACCATGCCCGGGAGTCTCGTGATACGAACCTCGACTTTATGCGCTCAGTGGTGTTTACCTCTTACAACGCTAACATCTGCACTGCCCTGAATTGGAAGCAACCTAATTGTGAGTTTGCACCATTTCTTAGTACTTCATTTAGGATCAATTACTCATCGTTCATCTCTTTAGATCCCGTCCTTCTTTGTAATGACCTGGGCCAAATTCGAGACCTGGCTCGCAATGTGGACACCCTCCCCCATGTAAACAGCAGTGGACGAACCTCGATGTCGATTAAGGAATCTGCGCGCATCGCTCAAAGCAATAACTTTATGGGCCTAATCTGCCGTTCAAGTCTCTTGGTATGTCTCCCATTTTCTCTCTATTCAATCTTGAATTCATCAAGAATGATCCCTAACTGGAAATTTATTAGAACGTCGTTCCTGCTCTTGTGGAGACTATCAAAGAACTCGGCCTTGTCTTGGTGGCTGATACCTCTGATGAGACTGGTCAACCTGAACGCAGAGACTCTGTGGCTGATGCCGATGCCATGGGTGTGGCGGAATGGGCTTACCGAATGCCTGACGGTGTGAACGGCGCCATGAAAGCCAATGGTGTTCTCCGATTCAACGATATGGTCGATATGTGATCTCGAAATCACTTTCCATCCAATCCGTCCTATTGCTTTCTCTCCCTTCCAAACTTTTGCCATTTGAGACGAAGATTACGAGATTTCAGTAGCTTTATGCCATTTTTCCCATGTTGACGACTTGCTTTTTTTTTCTTGTCTTTTTCTCCTTGGCCAGCTATCCGGATGGCGGATCATTTGCGAGCGAGTTGTAATTCCAGTCTGGGTTTCATTTCTTCACGGAGGCTCTTTTTTTCTGCTCTTTTGATTCTTTACTTGTTCACATGGTACCGCTGGGATAGAAAAGGTCAAGGTTGGCGCAGAAAGGTGTATCATATCTTGTAGATTGAGTGGGGAGGGCGCATACTTGCGCCGGATTAGATTCTAAAATGGCTATCTAATGTACAATGTTCTGCTCAATGCCAATATAAGTTAACATCAAGTCAGGGTTTCAGTAGTGGTAAAATGTTGTTTCAAGGGGTCTTAGGCTTGCGCTTGCCAATATCCCAGCCCCAGCGTCGCAATGTCTGCACAACCTTAGGAGTCACGGCGGCTGTCAATGGAACACGGACGAAAATGAAGACACTCTTGTGGATTGCATAAGCTAATGCAAGCTGTGTCCAGATACCTGTGTAATCAAGAAAATGTTAGATCATATATAACCCGTTAGAGTAAGGAGGAGAAAAAACATACTGGCTTCTTCAAGGCTAGACTTCTCAGCCTCAACAATAGCACCCACTTCACCTTCCTCGGTCTGAGTTTCCTTCTTAGGGAAAAGAGATGGGAAAACACCCTTCACAGATTCAACAACCGCATGCTCAAAATGTCCAATTCGCTCAACGCCCAATAACCGCACCATGGCAAAACAAATAGGGAAATCCATCGCTGATAGTGTCAAGTAAACACCTAGCGCAGCCCATCCATATTCCCGTGATAGTTTCTTTAGACGAGCTGAAATCGATCCGCTTTCTTTTGATGTAGATGTAGATTGCTTTGAGGCTCCAGAGTTGAATCGTACTTGGTTGGATTTCGCGCGGAAGAATGGCTGAAATTGAGACTGAGATCGGGGGAATCGAATCGAGCGCGACAGCATCGTAGGGTTATGAATCTTTGTGCTTGTGCTTATGGAGCGCTGGAGGCGCATGTTTTTTGAGAGTATTGTGAGGATCCGTGAGGAGAACATCGCGACTGCTGTTTGAGGGTTTCGTGGTGATGGGGTTGTAAGTTGGGATAGGTGGGTTTTAAGACGTGTATTAGGTGATAGGAAAACAGGTACTGCACATGTGTGAGGTTTGTGCAAAAGGTGACTCTGACTCTGTAAGTGAGAAAGGGTTCTATCGGGTTCTCTTTTTTTTAGAGGATCCCGGCGTCGGCGTCGGCGTTAATGGCTCCGGTCCGATTATACGGGATTGATTTATTTGTACTAAATTGGAGTAATTGATATTGGATAATATATAAAGAGATATGAGTAGTTAGATGTATGTATTTTCAGCATGTATTTAGTATGAATAAAGTATCTAATGAGACATAATATACTCCTTATACTATGTACTGCACTACTTGTATACTCTGCCACAGGTGCTCTATATCCGCGCTGACTCAGCATCGACCAAAAACTTCATTCAATACTGTACAATGATCTTCCTATTCTTCACCTCCACTAAATCACCCACCATGTCACTGCGTCTATCTGGAAAGCTATTCCAGCTTTTCGCATCCGCTTGGGATGCCCAATTCAGCGTCCCCCGCATCACTACCCGATCCTTCGGTATCAAATCTCTCAACACACCTAAACCAAGCCGCTTCAGCATTGGTCCCGGTCTCCCCGTCCTCGAGTCTACATCCACAGCTGCTCTCCGCCGTAAAGCCTTTTCGCTTCCTCTTCGCACCGGTGCCGTCGCTATTAAGAAGGGAATGACAGCTATCTTTGATCCCGAAACTGGAAAACGTACCTCCTGCACTGTCCTGCAATTGGATCGCGTGGAGGTCCTCTCCCACAAGACTCGTCAGAAACATGGATACTTCGCTGTCCAGGTCGGAGCTGGCTGGAGACACCCTAGCAATGTTACCAAGGCTATGCTGGGTCACTTTGCTGCGAATGGTCTCTCCCCTAAGCGCGATATCTTTGAATTCCGCGTAAAGGATGAATCTGGTCTCTTACCTGTTGGTGAGAGTATCCCCGCAAGTTGGTTCCAGTTGGGTCAGTATGTCGATGCCCGCTCGAATACTAAGGGTAAGGGTTTTGCGGGTGTTATGAAACGTCATGGCTTCGGTGGTCAGGATCGTTCTCACGGTGTTAGTTTGACCCATCGTTCTATGGGTTCGGCGGGTCCGAGTCAGGGTGGTGGTTCGCGTGTTTATCCTGGAAAGAAGATGGCGGGTAATATGGGAAATAACCAGAACACTTTGCAGAACTTGAAGGTTTTGCAGGTGGATGTTGAGGCTGGTATTGTGGTTGTTAGTGGTATGTTTGAGGCTCCTCTCAACAGTCCGTGTTTCCCATGCTAATACTTTGATTATAGGCTCCGTCAGTGGCCCCAAGGGATGTGTTGTCCGTATTCAGGATGCTGTTAAGAAGCCTTGGCCTGAAGTCCCTACTCCTGAGTCTGCCTAAGCAATAGCTGCAGTCGACAGAAAATATGTACTAGTACACTATTCACTTCACCATACGCGCAATACTTTTTACTTGAGCGGCGTTTGTATATGATACATCAAATGATATCCTTTTTTTCCTTTTTCGATTTTTCTCCCACTGGCAGGTTCAAGTCTTTCGTCTGTGGACTGGACTGGTACACGAATATCAAGCCTAACGCCGGTTCCATGCACAAGGCTATGTATTGTACAAATTCGCTCACGCGAATGATTCACTGTTGCTGGAAGGGGTCGGTATCCTTATCCAGCAATTGCACCACGGTTCCATCTTCGGTTTCGAGACTCCATTCCTCGGTGCGGAACTAGATGATGAAGATTAGCATCTCAATTGAACAGGTTATTCAGATAATGTAACGCCAATCGCAATCACGGTGGAACTCACATAACTCATCCGATCAGGTCGGACACTCTTAAACCTCATCTTTCCAGTAGTCTTAGTCCCCTTAACCCAAAACGAAATATCAATTCGTCCATGCAACTGATTCATCTCTCCACTAATCCATGGAATCTGCTGCGCAAAATAGATCTCATCTCCGAGGATCTCCCGCGCCTGAGAAGATGTGCGTAGGGCGTACAATGTGCTACTAACAACACTCGATGACGACTTCTGGTAGTTGAAAATACCGAACATGGCAGCTCCGACAGCCACAGCGAACAGAGGAAATGTGCGCATCCATCGTCGGTTCGTGTTGATGTTAGGTAGCTCCCGATCTGCTCGTCGCTCCATTAATGGGCCGGTGTTTGGGCCTGGCGCCGGGATCATCGTGCGTCGGGGGGCATTTCGAGAGAGTTGTTTTAATTGGGAAAGTCCCGTACGTCGGGTAAGGCGTGAGGTGAGCATTTTGGTGGTGGGTGTAGTTTAGGATCTTGGGGATGAGCTGATGTTCTGATGTTCTGATGATTGGGATTTCCGTACTATGTACAAACAGGACAAACATCCCTCCCCGACGTCACCTGAATATACATTTCTACCTAAATTATTTACTTCCTTTTAAATATTTACATTTTACATCCTTCCCTGTTATTATGGCAGCTGTACGACTACGAAAAGCTTTTCGCTATCCTGAAGATTCAGATGAGAATGAACGTCCAGAACTCGATGAGGAGGAACAGGAGCGTGTGATCGAGCAATTACAGCGCCAGAATGATGTCCGCAATGCTCAATACAACGTATATCTAGCCCCCACTGATTATTTTTATTCATTTCTGACATCTCTAGCTCATATTTACTGCCATTCCATTGCTTTCTATAACGGCTTTTATCTCACCATTATGGAATGCATCTACTCTGGATCGTCTCTGCTCTTTCTTAGGCATTCTTTCTCTACTGGGAACCGCTTATATCATGCGCCAGTTTCCTCTTCATCCAGATCGAAAGGGTAAGAAACCTTTATTTGTCGATGATGAGCATTTGGTACTTGTTCGGAACTCTTTGATCCCCGTTAATTCTGGGCTTTGTGCACTGCTGGGATTGTATTTCTTTTTCGGCGCTGGTTCTACACACTGGCCTGCAGTGTATCTTGTTCCTGGTGGTAAGTTATTCTATACTGATGTGTGTTGCCATATGCTTACATTGCTTTATAGCTATGTTTGGAGCTATCTTGCTTGCAAGGGAGGTTATGCGTGAGGTGGATCTCTCAGCTCTTAAGGATCTTCAATACGACCACAAGGGTGCCTAAGTAAATGTAGTTTAGAATAATGGAACTTTTTTGATTATTTTACAAGTGGTCATTATTGCGCGTAGCAATGCGGGATATCCTGATGCGGATAATCAGTAGTTGGAGGGTTGCGATCCAATTAATGCATCCTGCACAGAAAAGTCGGATTTGTCCGGGGGTATCAAATTTGGTGTTAATCAAAGCCGATGGCAATGAAATGAGAAGTTAAACAGGAAATTCACTCTGTTTTTTCTTCGTACTGGGAGGATTGCCAGCTGGGGTCTGGTGTTGATATGAAATTGTTTCATCAGAATGAAACCAGATTTGTTCAAGGACATCAATTTTGGCATCACAAAGGCTGGAGGCAATGATGGGAGCGATGAAGGTGTCGAACTAAGAGACCGTCGACTCATTTTCCAATACATGTTCTTCATCCTCTACCGGGCCGGTGTATGGAAGGGTGAGAAGGGAAGGGTCAACTGGAATATCATCTGTGTCGTCTGCTGTTCTTGTTGGTCCACCCCTCCTTCTTCCCCGTGGTCACCCATCCCCGAGGATGGCTGACTCATGAAATTCTCATTCTCTTTCCAGGTCTCCACTCGCTTCATTTCAATGTCTGCAAGTTGTTGCTCCAAACGACGCATGCTGTTCTCCTCCAAATTGGGAATCCATCTCCAGTTCGACATGCGTAGGTTTACCAGGGATTCCACACTTCGCGGATCTGCAATCTTTCGGGTATCATGGCCAAGCATAATATGCTTGGGCTCATGTGGCTTCATCGCGGGATCTCGCTGGCAAGGCGTACAGTTGCACCGCTTATGGCAGCGCGGACACAGCCAGTGTGACTGGCCCATTGCCTCCTCTGGCTGGATATCAAATGCGCAGAACAAGATAGCATAGCAGTACTTCAAATTGCACCCTGAACATGCTGCTAACTTCCAAAAGGGGATGGTGTTTCGGCACATGTGGCAAGAGTCCATCCCCTCTTCCTTTTTTCCATTTCGAAGCTTTCGTCGCTTCCGAGGCTGGGGTCCATCGTCGTCACTGGCATCACCGCTAGGGCTGATGGACTTGGGTTTGTCCTTAGGCGATGACTCTAGGGCTTTAATATCAACCCATGGTCGGATTTTCAGCTGTCTCTGGCAAATCTCTGCAATGGGATTCCACTTGAGCTTGGAGCGTGCAGATAGTAAAGGAAGATGCTGGTCCTTGCGTAATTTGTTGTCACTGTTATTGGTCATCCCAATGATTTGGTTGCGCCAGGACTCGTGCTTGCTTCGAAGCTCCTCCCATGGAAACTGCTCTACCCATCTGAACCCAGAAATACATTTGCAACTTCTGCCTAGCACGTAGCAGTCCAGGCAGATATCATAGTTATCATCATCTCCCACGGGACAGGAAGGGCAGGTAAGGAAACGATTGAAAATATTGCAGCGGCAGTAGGAGCAAACCACATTGCCCTCAAACTTGATCAGTTCAATGTTCTCTTTGGTTGGCTCGAGAGCGGGGGAAAGACTCTCAGACAGTAGAATATCAGTGTAGAGAGAGAATAGGTTCTCAAAGTCTTTCCAAAGATTATGGACTTCAGTATTCTGCACTGGGGCCTTGTTTTTGAGAAGTTGGGAATAATGATTGAGTGCATAGTAAATGATTGCCTTGTTCTTGTACTGTTCGTCACGGCAAATCATTCGTGCACTCGGAAGTGCATCGTCCAGCGCCATCTTCAACGTCTCAACAGTGGTTCTATTCCATGCCACTTTCATGGTTCGAGTGCCACGGTTCCAGACCTGATGGGCTGCCAATGGTGGGACCAGGATAAGGTCTCCTGGTCTCTGGTTCACAACGTACGTCTTGAAAGGAGCCGCCTGCCATGCCTTCATTTGCGCAAAATGGTCCTCAATGTCAAGGTTGTGCCCTAACATGGAGCTCCAGTACTCGGAGACAACTTGTCGCTCCTTCGTTTCGGTCATCAACCAAATTGAGGATCCTGGCTTTGTTGCTTCACCATTTTCCATGTTGCCATTTGACGCCTCCACCATGATATTATGACCAAGACTAGCACACATCTCTTGGTGCGCTGGGGTGTAAGTGCCTTCATGGCCAATGTAGCACATGAGATTCTGCGCGCGCATTTCTTCCGGGAGACAACTCATCAAATCGCCTGATCTGGCGATTAGCTTGCCAGGCTTTCCATCTTGACCCTGCGTCTCGAGGTATGTTGGAGTGTCTGGACCTGGAACTGGGCGAGACCCGGGACCTGAGTACATGTGAGGTCCATCGTTCATGTAGAACAAGGACGGCGGGAGGAGGCTCTTTAAGCTTTCTTGCCACTCTGGGGGGGCAATCAATGTCTTTCAAGTAGAGTCTCTGCGGGCGATCAACTTTTCTGTAATGTGACCGAGAGAGGGTTGGCAGACATCTCAAATAATGTGAGAGGCTCATAGGTTTTGATTCTTTCTTCACCAGGTCACACACATTCTCCGCTATTTCCTCGTTAGATATGATCTATTTGTGGATGATTTCGGTGTCCATAGTGTGAAACTTACTCCGGTCGCACCTCTGAAGAAAGAGTCGGGAGAACAAGTGCGCGTTAAGGTGTGAATCATACCCCTCAATAACTAAAGGGATACCTTTCATAACCACATTCAAGCGTATAAGCTCTTCAAAAACATGTTTGGAGTGCGCATTGATGGAGTCACACAGAATTCGTGGTGCGTAGCTAAAGTTTGGCGTGGCTTCCACGATTTCATCGATATCAAGATCAACGGGGAAAGGCTCAAAGCCCGCGCGCGGTGGCGGACCCATGATGGAACAATTCAGGGTAGGCGGATTTAGAAGTCGAGGACTTTGTAGAGATATCCGGGTAGATCGCGGGGTAGATCGCGCATTCCGCGCATTCTCGATAGGGTACAAGCAACTTTGCTAAGAAGAATCAATTAGTTAGCTCTTTGTGATCCAGATGAGTTAAAGAAATGCATATAGATGAATGTATACCTCTCACCGCAGCCAGACAATGACCTTACCTCCTGACATAAACTTCACAACGCCGCCTCAAGAATCAGTGAACCAAGATCAGAAAATCCTCAGGCTGAGCTTTCGTGGTGTTCGGGGTAGTCGTGGTGGTTGTAATGATCAGGGTGATCGTGGTCACGATTCGTAGTTGTTGTGGTTATCGGGGTGAAAGAAATAGTAAAGATGGGGGTAGGTGAGGGAAGTGAGGGGAGAGAGAAAAACCAAAAAAAGATAGTGGTTCAATTGAAAAAAAGGGAAATGACAGTAGGGCAAACTACTCAGACAAGAATTCAATTTTAGTGAGAACTGTAAAGAGCTCCGAGTTGCTCAGATGGTGATGGTGATTACCACTTTTGGTCTAGCGTAGATCGGGGAAGCCCTTTTTTTGCATGAAACGCGACACGTTCTAGTTGTAGTGCTTGATACCAATTGACACCCTTTTTTTTCTCTTTCCACTTGATGATACCAATGCAATCATCTACTAAACTTCGCCAATTACTGGTGCAACAGGCCCATGGGTCTTGTTGGAGGTTCTCAGCTCGCCAACACCATAATCAAAGCTACAATGCACCCCGGAAATCCTCGGAGTTATCGACAGCTCTATATACTCGATCTCCTCGTTTCTCCCTCTCGATTCCCAAGACAACGACAGCAATTCAACACTCAAACATTCATTTCACAGCAGGAAAACCTCTGGCGCTAGAGGTGAAGACTCCCAACCCCGCGACGCATTATATCCCACCCCAGACCGGCTTAGTCGCTTCATTGCCTGCATCATGGATTCCATACGCCGAATTGGTTCGTCTGGATAAGCCCACTGGCACATATTATCTGTTCTTTCCGACGCTTTTCTCCACACTATTGGCTGCGCCAATGGCTACTGGTGTTACCCCGATACAAGTACTTGGTACAGCGGGACTTTTCTTTACTGGAGCTTTGATCATGCGCGGCGCGGGTTGTGCTATCAATGACTTGTGGGACCGAAACCTCGACCCACACGTAGAACGTACGAAATTCCGTCCCATTGCTCGCGGCGCGCTCTCTCCGCCTAAAGCTGTGCTCTTCACGGGTACGCAGTTACTGGCTGGATTGGCCGTTCTACTACAATTCCCTACCCAGTGCCTTTGGTATGGAATTCCCAGCTTGCCAATTGTGGTAGCTTACCCCTTGATGAAACGAATCACCAACTACCCACAATTGGTACTCGGTTTTGCTTTCTCCTGGGGTGCAATTATGGGATTCCCGGCTCTGGGTGTAGATCTACTGGTCAATCATGATGCTCTCTTAGCTGCTGGGGCATTGTACTCTAGCTGTATTGCTTGGACCGTTCTGTATGATATGATCTATGCGCATATGGACATCAAGGATGATGTGGCTGCAGGTATTAAATCGATCGCCCTGCGCCATGAACATAATACCAAGGCCGTCTTGACCGGTCTGGCAGCGGTCCAGGTAGGCCTGCTAGGGGCTGCTGGAGTTGCCGCAGGTGCAGGCCCGATCTTCTTCTTTGGAAGTTGCGGAAGTGCCATCGTTTCCCTGGGTCTCATGATTTGGAGAGTCCAACTCAAGAGTGTTTCAAATTGCTGGTGGTGGTTCAAAAATGGATGCATTTTCACCGGTGGAGGAATCACTTTGGGTCTTGCTGGCGATTATGCAGCGCAATATCTGGGGCTGTACAATGACAAAGTGTCACTACCGGAATCTGAGTCAACACAAGCACCCTGATGAGTTATCTTATATCTCCCTCAAGATTTGATGGCCGAAAGGCCCAGGTGCTCTTCCAAATGACGGACAATGTCTCTCCAGTCCATCATTCCACCATTTCCAACGTCACCACACGCCAAGGCTTTATCTATTGGAGGAAGAACAGTCACCCATCCTTCAGGATTGGCAGAACTCCATCCCCATTGGTCTCGTAGAATGCCTATTTGTTGACTAGTGATGGGTTGATTCCACATCGCGCTATTCATAGCAGGTGCTACGAAAATCCGCGGCTTCTCTGCTTTGAAATTCCCATCGACTAGGCCAGTTGTATCCCAGGCGCGTATGACTGACAGCAGGAGGTTGTCTGCGATTCCTACAGTCATCTTTGCCATTGTATTTGCTGATAGCGGTGCGATGAGTAACACATGTGCCCACTTATTTCATCGTCAGCAAGTTCTTGAATTATCCCAAAGATGTTAATTATTAACCTTGCGTAACTCGATATGCAATATATTATCCCCACGAATCCATGGTTTGGTCCATTCGTCCTCATCCCGATAAATTGCTTCCACGCCCTTGATCTTTTGAAGGCTATCCAGAATAGGTTGTTCGTTACTTTGACCTGATAAGAATCTTTCGGCAGCTTGAGTGACTATTATGCGCACCGAAACAGATGGGTGTTGACAGAGGGCCTCAGTAATCTGCGATAACTTGATAGAGGCTACTGAGCCTGAAGCGGCAATCAAACAATGGATTTTCTGGTCATTTTGATATTTCTGGGCTGAGAATGACTCGGAAGGAGCAGAGTCCATCATGGAAGAGAGAATCATGATATAAGGTAAATTGATTTATATGGAGGGGAGTCAGGGGACTATGATGTATCATGTAGGCTCCACATAGTGATTAGATAATAAAGAATATCAATTGGCTCCGGCTCTTAACATCTTGCTCCGTTCTTCCGTCACTCTCCAGTTCACTCCACTCATCATGTTTTCCAGGACAGTTTTCTCGGTATGATTGTTTTTAACTCCAATAACATTGTTAAACGTATGACAATATGATTATCACTGCAGTATCTTACCAAGATTACAGGCCTTCCGGCCCATCTCGCGGCCAGCTCCTCTGCGCGCTATTCGTGCCCCAGCATACCCTCTTCCTTCCATTCTCTACGCCCGCCTGATCTCCACAGAAACAAAGGCTGCAATTGATAAGGCCGTTGCTTCAGCTCCCGTGGTTCTGTTCATGAAAGGCACTCCTGAGACTCCTCAATGCGGCTTCTCACGTGCCAGCATTCAGATCCTGGGTCTCCAGGGTGTTGATCCTAAGAAGTTCGTTGCTTTCAACGTTCTAGAGGACCCTGAATTGCGCCAGGGTTAGTTTACTTGCTTGGCTTATCTGCTCACACTTCATAGCTTCATATACTGATTTGTCATCTCTACAGGTGTCAAGGAATACTCGGACTGGCCTACTATCCCTCAGTTGTACCTCGACAAGGAGTTTGTTGGTGGTTGTGATATCTTGATGTCCATGCACCAGAATGGTGAGCTTGCTAAATTACTTGAGAGCAAGGATGTTCTTGTGTCTGCGGACCAATAGAGGATTACTCTATTTCCTGTCCGTTCAACACATTGTATTATAAGATAATCACGTTCCAATCATCTCTCCTACCCTTACCTTGAATAGAAGTTCCTGGTGGATATCTATTACAGATGAGTTTGAATGAAACTAAAACTATGAACGCGTTTTCTCACCAAAGTAGTATGTGAAAATAGCACTACTAGTACCCTACATTTACGGATTGAGGTGCAAGGTATAACCATGAAATTATTAAAGAGACACCTAATAAGGTGTAGAAAATAGATTAATATTGCAATAGAAGTCCAGTTGATGGTAACTTCGCCGTATGTACAATGCCCGTTCTCTTTCTAATGTTCAATGTTTAATAGCCTGAGCTCCATGAGGATAGTGCAGTTTAAGCTGACGCTTGTTCTTGAGCCTTGACCAAGTCTTCGTTGACACTCTTCTCCAGCTTAGCCCGTTGTCGTGCCTCATACGCTTCTCGACTCTTTAAGATGCGATCAACAATTTCGCCTGCATTCACATGCTGGAAAGCATGGTGTGCAACCTCCTGGAAAATGCCCATCTCCTTTGGAGCAGTGTATGGGTCGTATGTCAGAGGGATGAATGTTGTAGGACCATGGTAAACGACATCGGGTACACCCAGCGGCAGAGCTCCCAAGTAAGGTCGGCTTGGTGTGAAGGGAGCCGAGAAGACAACTGCATGGATGTATCGGCATTGAAGCACGCAAAGACCACGCTCAAAGATGTTCATGATGGGATAGTTGAGACCCTTCCAGTGGTTAATGACATCGTCATCATGAATACCCGCAACGATGTAGGCTGGGGCGTAGTCTTCGTTATACTCCTTCAGTCGCTTCTCTTTCTGCTCTGGGTCGAACCAGCCCCGCTTCTGACCTTCAGCCTCTTCCATCTCCATGACCTGTCGAAGGAACTCGATATGGCCGGATGAAAAAAGATCGAAGCCGCCATCAACATAGACGACACGCTGGCCTGGTCTCGGGCCCTTTCCATCTACCAGAGTCTCGAAAGTTCCGGCCTCCTTGACACGATGATCAATCTTCGCCATCCCGGATGCAGTCCATGTCCAAACCTGAGGACCAGGCTCATGGCCACTTTCATCAGTTGCATAATCCCGAATTCTTTGCACAAGATCGGCTGCCGAGGCCTTGCGTTCTTCGGGGCTTCCTGATCCTTCTTCTCCTGTCAGAGCTCCCTTGACTGATTTGATGAAGTGGTTCTTTGTGCAAAGAAGCATGCGGCCAACCAAATCCGTTGTGGATATGCCAGGTGTTCGTTTCACAACCTTGAAGCGCCCAGCTGCCTTGACATATCGATAACAATCATTGCCATCGCTGTCTGATGTAATGTCGTCACCATGAACAACGTATTTACAACCGTAGTGGGAAACCCAGGGTAGGTAGGTCACGTAGGGAGCATGAGGAACGCTTTGAGTAGCCCATCGACAAGCATCAACGGCTGAGACTCTATCAACCAAGCAAGGGACACCGATCAGCGAATGTGCTAGTTCAAAGGGGAAAGAGTACAAACCGTTCATCCAAGGACATCACTGTTGGTCCCTTGTTTTCCAGAATTGCTTGATCAGAATGGATACCGACGTATAACGCCTTGCCGAGTCGGCGCGCCTGAAGCATAGCACCAGCATGGCCTGTTTGTAGTAATGGTATCATGATTAGAACCCCCAATTTACCAATGCTTGGGGAAGCAGCATATCTTACCATGATGACTGAAATCGAAACATCCATCAACCCAAATACTATTCTCAGAGATAGGAAGATCCTCCTGAGGATCTACAGGCCATTGGCCTGGTTGGGGGATTTGTTCATCAAGAGGGACGGTATCCATTGCGGGTTTGGGTTCTGTTTGAATTGTTTCTTTGAATTGTTTCTTTGAATTGTTTCTTTGAATTGTTTCACAAAGAGTAGAAAGGAAGCTAGAAAAAGTATGAGATATCCTTGATCATACCAGAGAAATCATTCTGAGAAGAGAAAGGGGGGGCTCTTTATGTAACTCCAAAAAATAGAGGGGAGTTAAGAGGGAAAGGAAAAAGAGAGGGGGCCCGTTGTGGGGAACTCCAGATCTCCTGAGATTCGGCATGTTTCTGACCTTCCCACCTTGTTGACCCTCTACCGGACCCTTGGGCCCTCTGACACCACTGAAAGTGGTTGAGGTCGATGACTTTTTTTCCCTCTGTTTATTCTCATCTTTATTTTCCCTGCACAATTCATCGTCATTATGATCTCGTCCACATTTGCCCCAACCCTGTCGCGCAGGGATACAGCCAAATCTGGCGGGGGTTATGACGGCGCTCATGGCAGCGCTCCTCCAGTAACGAGTGGTGGAGGACCATTTGGACCACAGAGTGCAGGTGCAATCTATCAGCAGATTCATGATATGGCCGCGAAACGGATATCTACACTGGATTACTTGAGAAAGGCGTGAGTTTGATCGTCTTCATGTTTGGCCCCCGGGTTGACAAGAACTGACCATTGATCACATTCTTATAGTCTCGAAGGTCGTGCATATTGGTTCAATACAGTTCATTTCTCGCGAGCTGATATTAGTCGATTACCATATTTCGATGCTCGCAAGCTATCCCGTCGCGCTGTCAATTACCTCCTTTTGGGGTTGTCACTACCCTCGATACTGGATGTCAACTCAACCCCCTCGGAGTACCTACGAACTCTGCATGCGCTACTACTAGAATTCGAGGCATTTCAGGCGGTCCATCCACCTGATGGCAGTTCCTCTTCTAGTCTTGCTCGCGCACGTATTCCCCAAATGTTCAAGCGAGCTGCTCATGCAGGCACCAAAACACGCCGAGCCAGCTCAGCCACTGAGATCGGTCTACCAATGCAATCGAGTGACCCCACAGATCTGAAAAGCACAGTCGGAAATATCACCTCTCCTTCTTCTGCGGCCGCTTCTGTTATCTCATTCCCTCTCGCCGAGTCTTCTGATTTACTTCCGGGTGAAGAATACACGTACCTTCTCACGCCGTCATTACCCTTCGAGCCTGACTTCTTTGAAACTTTCGCTACATTGTGTGATGTTCTCATTGATTGCTATACTCGTATCACATCGCTTGTATCGTCGCCTGCTGTCTGTACGGTTGCTTTAGGGGAGACCTTCTCCAAAGCGGACGCTAAGTTACGGAAGATAATGGTGGCTGGTGCAGTACGGGAGTTCGAGGATGCCAGTCGAAATGGTGCTAAGAATGAGATCTCCGGCGTTAGCCGTGTTGTTCTGGGTGGATTGTTAGGATAAGAGTGTGGTCTACATAGGCTTGCACAGGAACGATGTCAATGATTTATGAAAGGCGTTTTGGGGAATCATTTGTGGCCTAAATACTTTAATTTTGTCACTAAAATAAATGCATAGCAACAATGAAGATTGTCTGAATAAAGATTGGTTTATGTGCGTGAGCAAATCTATATCTTGAGTGGAAAGTAATGTGTCACTGATAAACGGATTGAACGCTAAAAAGAATCATGAGAACTTTTTTCGGCCATGTCGCATCATGAAGCCATGGGGCGTGGTATCTTAGCGCGAGGCCGCTCTCTATGAGAAAGAGACATAAAAGAAATGATAAGGAAGACTGAGGTCGATAAGAGAGCAGGGACCGATAAAAAAATGGGAATAAACTCCGGAACGCGCTGTAGGCTTTTAAAATGCTGGAAACGAGAATTGGACGCCGAAAAATGCAATCGCTCGATGCAAGGAACGGGAGAGGAAAGATAGTTGTGAGAACAGAGGAGAGACACAGCTGAGACGCGTTTCGGTCTTATCACTGCAGCTGCTTCTCCAAGTCTCGTTGTTCACCAAATACGCGACGGCTCATCTCGAGGACAGTTTCAAACCCTTCACGGCCACGTTTGGCATTTTCTCGGAATCGCTCCACGCTAGCCTCTTCCACCTTATTCTTGATCTTCTGCCATCCACCACATAGAGCAGTGATCTTGGCTTCTTGAGTAAACTCCGTTGTGGCACTAGGGGAGATTGAGGAAGGTCGATAAACCACGGTCTCGCGAACATTCAACACATTTGACCATGTAATATTGGTAGAGCACATGGTCACTTTCTTGGAGATGGGGTCAACGTAGGAGACCTCGTAGACGTGTGAAGTAGGGCTTCCTCCGAATAGTGAGCTGACCCATTGTGGAACAGACTGGTCGCAGGTAATGAGACGTTCGGTGCGTAGCTAAGAAAAGAAAACAAAGAGATTAGCTTCATGTATCAATCACATGTTGACTCATAAGAGACTCACAATGCCAGTCTTGGGATCGACTGTTCGAGAGAGCGTGTCTACTCCCACGACATGAGTGGCCTTGTCATTCCATGGACAATATTTGCGCCAGTTTGCTGTGGATACCTCATCCCAAGAGTAATCAAAGGTGCAGGTTGATGAAAAGACCTTCATAGCTTGCGCGCTCAACAGAGTCGCTGTAAAGTAGAGAGTAAAGAGTGTTGTGGAGTGACGCAGATGAATGATTTGCAAACGAGGAATGAATTAAAGAGAAGAGGCAAAAGGATTCATCTAGAAGAAAGAAAAAGATGGGGACGCCAGATGTGGGTTTTCTTCGGTGGCGATCGTGTGTCAGATCGAGTTTTTGAGAGGGGAAAACTTTGAAGTTCACGGGTCAGGGCAAAAAGCCGGAGAAGCCTCGGGTCTTCCCGGTTGGATGAGTAAGCAGTTAATAAAATAGAACCCTTTGTACCAGTTGACAATTGAATAGTGACAACCTTGAAAAGTAACTTATAGAAGAGAGTAATAAGATTTAGATTGAAAAAAAAATATTATTGATTAGAATTGTTCTCGTTTAAGACATCTGAATGATTAGTTTCATTATGCCTATGTAGTAGACTATATGCATATATACTATATATACTAACCAATCCTTGTATCTGATCCACCTACTTTATGTAGATAGGTACCCAGTTTGTACCCACTATCCATACTTCGTGAGGAGTACTCCGTACACACATTCCATATTAACCGCCCTATTATTATCTCCCTCTTATTCCTCCAGGATTATCCCCCCTCCCCCCCCCCCTTTTTTTTTTCTTCTTCTTCTCTCCACTTTCCCCGCTCCATAATCCTCTCCTCTACTTCCTCCCCCCCCCCCCTTTCCCTATCAATTCGTGGCCATCATGGTTGAACTTCGCAAGCGTAAAGCTCCTGCACCACCTCCCGTTGTGCAGAAAAAGCCCAAGTCAACAAAATCCACTGCGAAGCCCAAGGAGACAACAGCCACTCCTACCACCACCACCACCACTACCACTACCACTACCACTACCACCAATGACAAGCCCCAGCCCCCAGCTTCAAAAAACCCTAAGGTTGATGACATCCTTGATTTGGAAGAATTTGGTGGCGAAATCCAAACCAACGATGGCGACACGACTACTTTGAAAAAGCTACTTGAAGAGAGCTCCGGAGGTGTTGTTCTATTCACCTATCCCAAAGCTTCGACCCCTGGATGTACGTACTTTTTTTTCCAAGCTATGACCACAAATATTTCAGTCAGCATCTGGGGAGTCTCGCTTAAGAGCAACCCTAGTTTTATTTCTATTCCTAACCCCCCACGCTTAGGTACCAAACAAGCATGTTTGTTTCGCGACAATTACAAACATCTCACTTCTACCGGTCTAGCCATTTATGGTCTATCGGCTGATTCCCCCAAGGCAAACACGACCTTCCAAACAAAGCAGAACTTACCTTATCCACTACTCTGCGATCCCAAAGCAACCTTGATTGGTGCCATAGGGCTCAAGAAGGCTCCTAAGGGTACTACCCGTGGTGTGTTTGCTGTGGATAAGAAGGGCAAGGTTTTGCTTGCTGAAGCAGGTGGTCCAGATGGAACAGTTGATGCGGTGCAGAAGCTTGTGGCAAAAGCTGCCAAGGCTGATGCTTAAGATAAAAGATGATAGTAGTACAGCGAAAGTAGTTGGCTGTAGAAGATTCTTGCCTTTAAGAGTATGGAGTATGTCTGCTAATGTAGTAATTAAGAAAGGCACTGGCAGCGATTAAGAAAAGAAAGGGGATTCATAACCTCCTTTTCTCGTCTGAACCGTGGAGTTCCAAGGGTTTTAATTATTCTCTCCATTTAAACATACCTCTCTTCGTAACAATATCTTCCAAGCCCCGGAGGTTGAATCCAGACCAGAAGGACATATTAGTAATACATGGACGGTCGAGCGGCCCCAACTTCCAAGGTTGGAGGAAAGTGTGATGCTTCATCGGAAATACAATAATCCGAAACGGAGTGCACCTCTGTATCTTGCCGCATTGCAATCCCACTGCCTATTAGAGCACATCTCCACATAGACACGCCTGCCGAGGACTTCAGGTAAGTTCAGACGGCATATATATGCCCCTGCCATTTCTTGTTCACCATTCCTTGCCCGCCAATCTCAAGAGCGCAACTGACCGGATACAAGTCAAAGTCTTCAATCATGGCTCGCGGTATGCAGAAGGCCGCCAAGGCCGCCTCGAATGTCTTCTCAATTAACCAGGTGGGGGTTTTTTAACATATTTTGAAGTCTTAAGGGACTCAGTATGATGGAAGGTCTAACAAGCATATAGAAATATTCCCTCCAGTCCACCGGTATCTGGGAGCGAATCCGCCGTGTCCTTGCCGTTGATCCCGACCGTTCCACTGGTATCCCATTGAATGCGCAATTCCGTCTTCCTACCCCTGGAGCTCTTCCTCCTCTGTCCTATGATGACCCCGTCACCGTCCCAGCTGCCGATCTTGCCGACAACCCTTACTGGAAGCGCGATGTCCGCCGCAGCTACCCCCAGCTGAGCACTTTCACCCAGGCTGATACCGTGAGCCTTCTCACTGTTGGCAGCCAGGCTGCCCCCAAGGACGATATCCTGCAGCTCGGTGAAGCTGGCAAGCAGCAATTGGTCTCAGTGAAGGAAGAGGCCAAGGAGCGGGGTTTGGCCGCTCTATTCGAGAAGAACGAGAACATCATCCAGGGTGTGCTGGCCGCAAATGGCTTGCCTCCTACACCTTGCAACATCAACCCGGTTGCTAAGTCACAACAGTCGCAATACCTTCTGAATGGAGAGGAAGGCTACCCTGATGTGTATGTGATATGACCCGCAATTTCTTGTTCTGTCCGGACTAACCTTTATATCCAGTTACCCTTGCCGCACTTTTGCTTAAATAGATTTTCTTCCGGGGCGTGTGAGCTCCCGATTCCCTGCAACATAAGAATCTACTAGTTTTGTTCCATCAATCAACTTTTGTTTTTCTTTTCCTGGATGCTCTGTTGCCCCGAGATAGGGAACTCTTCGATCTCACATTTCGTGCCGGGTTAGCTTCTGGGACTCGGTTCTACGAGCCGGAACTCGATTATTGAAGACATATTCCCCTTCACTTCAGTATTATTCAACGCATCCTTGAGGTCCTTAGATGGTGATGCTTACATGATAATACCTTGTCTACGAAAGGACTCGGGATAGGTCTATGAGGTTGGCAGTTCATTTACATTTGATTAGCTAGGAAGGTAAGACAAACAAAAATAACTATATAGATATTCTCTTCCAGCACAACAGAACTCCAGGTGACGCTCCAGCTATATAATTCATAGCTTATAACTGAGCTTTATTTAGTCGAAAGGATGAGTGCGGGTCCCCCACCAGGTCAAGAACAGACTGAGTCCGACTGTCTCAAACACCCGAGAGACAGCCCCAACTGCCACTGTATCTAGTGGTCTCTTCTCAGCGAATATCTGGCTGACAAACTATACGACACAAGGTATTAGCAAATGGGAACCGAGAGATCAGAGGCAGTCGTGATAGGAACACATACACCAGGAGCAGAGCTAGCGAAGAATACTAAAGTACCCAAATAAGCAGCACCCTTGTAGCTCAGAGTACCAGTGGCGTTGATCAATGCAGCCACGCCGTAGGTCTGGACAGCACTTCCAACGAGCGAGCTACCCCATGCTGCGGCGGCACCGGCTGCTTCCTTCGATTTGAGAAACTCCTCCTTGGAGTTAGCGGCCTGAGCCCGGTGGTAGGTGTCTCCAAAGAGAGGAGTGAGAATTCCTAGAGAAGCAGTGTGGGTGAAGAATGTACCCAGGGCGATAGCCGAAGGCTTCACAGGAGGCAAGTCTGATATAAAAAAAAGTTATTGAACTGCCAGTGTAATTTTGTTTTAGAGCTCTTGAGCATGACTTACAGTGCAAGGTAGTCATGGCGATGTCAATGATACAAAGATTTATAGTACTAGTAGGATAAAAGTACCTTAATTGTCTGAATTGGATGAGCCTTTCTATAAGGATATTTAGCTTCTATATAGGGAACTTACAAGAGAGTGACGTCGTCATGATTCAGAGGTATGCGGAGAATGGCATGACGTCAAGTGATTCAAGAAAACGACTCAATAAGAGTATAATAATCTCCGCATTGAGAACTAGAAACTTTTATCTGGGTAGAGAGATGAAAATCTTGATTTTATCATTGCATAACTGGATCTATGTTCTCATTTCACCATATTAGTCTACGGGTTGTACATTGGTTGTAGAAGAGGGCGGAGAGTGCCGAGATGGTCGTGGGGACGTGGAGACGCAGGATGCCGATCCTTGATTTTTCCTTAGCTTGACCTGGAACATGCGCACGGGCTCAAGCTTAGATCTAGAGTGTTGTGCATAGACATACATAAATTTTAAATATTTGAAGATGGAAGACGAGAACCCTTTCAATTGAGGTCATATCTCCCGCTTATAACGGGTTAAAATTAATCAGAGTTAAATTTTCATGATATAAGAAGTCGATATTTAACAAGTTCATATGACTTATTAAAATGAATTTTGATCAAATATCACCATCTATCAGACTCAAAAATCTTACAGAGGATCTTAAATATCTCAACATCTCACCATCTCACCATCTCAACCTCTTACCATCCATGGATATTATGGAAGCACGCGTTGCCTAATTGGGCAATCATGTGATCCCGCAAAACCTCTCAATGTTTCTTTTTCTTTGGTGCTGATTTGTATTCCTTTACATATCAACCCTTTTTTCGCTTTATCATTGCCTCATATTCATTTCAGTGATTCAGATAAATTCCTGGTTTTTCTGATTGATCTCTCGATTGCCATTGGCATTAACCGATCCGAAGAACCCACAACATAAAAAAGAAAGGGGGAAAAAAACAACCAAAAAAACCTCCAATGGAACGCTCATCCAGTCCAGACTATGACCAAGATGGTTCATTCAATGTGAGCACCTCGCTGGCTCCACCACGAAACAACAAAATTGCCGGCACTACCACTATCGATTTTGATGGATGTTTGTCAGAGCCACTCTTGCTCAAGGAAGATCTCAAGAATGGCTGTGGGGGTCAACTTTGGCCCGCTGGCATGGTCTTGGCCAAATATCTTCTGACTCGCCATCAATCTGATCTATCTGATAAATCAATGTAATTTCAATCCCCCATCCTTGCTACTTTTTGTTTTTGTTTTTGTTTTTTTTTTTTGTTTTTTTCCGTTTTCCGTTTTCCGTTTTCCGTTTCCCGTTTCCTGCTGCTCTTTTTAACATATCAACACAAAAATGGGTCTGATACTAATGAAACCTTCAGTGTGGAACTTGGTGCCGGTGGCGGATTAGTTGGACTTGCAGTCGCTCGAGGATGCAAGATTAACCTACCTCTCCATATTACCGATCAACTGCCTATGTTCTCCCTGATGAATGATAATATAGAATTAAACGGTTTTAAATCGACCGTCATGGCATCGATATTGAACTGGGGAGAACCGCTTCCAGGAAACATCCCATCAAAGCCAGCCGTTATTCTCGCCGCTGACTGTGTTTACTTTGAACCGGCATTTCCGCTTCTCATAACCACTCTTCAGGATCTCTTGGGCCCAGATTCGGTCTGCTATTTTTGCTTCAAGCGTCGGAGAAGAGCTGATTTAAGATTCATGAAAATGGCGAAGAAAGCTTTCGACGTTGTTGAAATTCGTGATGATCCCAATGCGACTTCTTACAACAGAGAGAATATCTTTCTCTTTAGCATTCGACTCAAATCTACAAAGAGTGTCAAGGTGATTGATGCCAAAAGCAGGGAAAAGAACAATAGAAATAGTCCATAACGAATAATGCATCAATGATATTATCCCCAAAACATAAAAAGGAAGAAAATTTTCTATACATGACAGATGGTGTCTATATCCAATGAGCGAGTTTTACAGCTTCAAAGCATCGCCTCTTTTCTTGATCTCTGCGCCAACTCTCGCGCCATCCATATCTGTAACTTGTCCCTCCTTGTTGACAACCCTCACGCCTCCCTTCTTCAGATCAGATACAAGCTGCTCCTTCTCGGCTGCCTTGCCCTTACGAGCGGTAGGCTCATCGCGGCCCTTGTTCTGACTCTTCTTCTGGCGTCGGGCCCGGGCCTTGTCTTCTCGGCTCATCTCCTCCTTGGAGATAGTAGCACCACTCTTGAGGACAACTTCACCCGCAACCTTGCCATCATCACCTGGAGCGTAGACCTCCTGGGGTGCAAGTGCTGAGGGCCCATCAGCCGCGCTACCAGCCATTGGGCGAGCATCCTCCATCATGATAGTTGGCGCGTCAGTCACCACGTTGATGTTTGCTTGTGGTGCTTGAGGCTTGTAATGCCAGTTAGATAGAGTATCCAGTTGAGAGCTGATCTCCTTCCAGAGGTTGTTGATCTCGGCATGTTCACGAGCCAGCTTGCGATCCTTGGTATCGACGTAGTTCGGATCGTTGGCACGGAGATGATCGGCTTCGTACATTTCTGCCAGGCTTTGTTGGGCCTTGGTGTCGTCAAGTTCGAATCGAGCACGTTTGGAGGACTTGGTGTCGACAGCGCCAGGACGACGACGAATCACTTCATCGAACTCCGCAGCGATAATGCGACGCTTAATGATCTCTTCGATATCCTCGGAGGTCTCGTTCGTCACGACAGGAACGGGCTTGCCAACTCGCTCAAAGTCTAGATCTTCTTCAATAAGGGAGTTGACAGGTCTTTCAATCGCTCGGGCCTCTCCAACAAGCATCCATTCTTTCTTTGCAACGCTGGCCGCCTCCAAGCGACGGATCTCGTCTGCAATGCGCGCTCGCTGTTTCTCGTGCGAGGACTGAGGTCCTTGTGGCTCGCCGGATTCATCAACCAGACCTTCCTCCCCTTCAATATCAGACTCATCTTCGAAAATGTCGCGTCGTACATCGGCCATCGCACGGTCGACATCATCTTCTTCGATGGGTTCTGTGAACTGGGTTTTTGGGAGGGCGCGACCTTTCTTGGATGAGGGTTTGCGGGGTGGCGGAGCGAAGAAGTCGGCGTACTTGATATCACTTGTATCCATCATGGCAGTAGGCTCCTCCGCATCACCTATATCGGACGCACCTGCATCGGAGTCGGAGTCTGCGTAGAGATCGGCGTTTCCGAATGTTGGTCCTTCCTCCTCACTGTCATCGAAATCCATTCCATCCAGCTCTTTCTCTTTGCTGGATGGCTTTTTCTTAGTCACGGAAGTAGAAGCTCCCGCTGTAAATGGATCGGCATGCCAATCAAGATCGTCGTCACTGTCATCGGCATTCACTGGTTCTCCGTTGGCATCTTGTCTTTCCCAGATTTCTGTTTGCTTGTTGAATTCATCAATAGAGAAGAAACCATCGTTCAGTCCAAAACGATCCTCGACGTAAACTCCGGGGTCTTCGTCGGATTTTATTGATGCATCCTCCTCTCCTGCTGAATCCCCATCAATGGGCTCCATGTCCTCCTCGTCTAAGTCGCCGTCTTCAATGTCAGACATCTCATCCATATCCATATCCATATCCATATCATCGTCCTCCTCATCCTCGCTTCCGTCCTCCAAGGCATCCTCATCTAACATGCTCTCATCCTCGCTTCCAGATTGCTCCAGGCCCTCTTCAAGGTCGGAAGAGTCTAACGATTCCAACTGATCATCATTTTCAGATTCTGAGAATTCATCATGCTCGGCGAGTAAGGTGATATCCTTCTCAACTTCACTTCCAGCTGCCTCGAGAATCCTTGTCGCCTGTTCCCAGATCTGATTGGACGTGAATCCCTCCACGTAGAGATTTTTCAGTTGAAGCGGTGGGGTGGCATCCTCATCAGATCGCTTACGCTTCTTGTTGGCCTGTCGACGAATGAATTGCTCCTCTACGACAGAAGCAGCGAGTGGGTCTAGGATTTGCTTGGTGGATGCGGCGATGAGGGCATGTAATTCATCGGTGGGGTGGAGGAAAGTCCAGGGAGTGGATAGTAGAGATGGAAGGTCTTGCTTTTTCGGAGGTTGGGGCTTACTCCCCGTCTTTCGCTTCGCCATGTTGGAGGAAAGCGATATGGTGAATCGGACTTGGAGGAATCGGAAGAAGAAGAAAAATTGTTGCACGGAGGTTGACTCGGGAGCCAATCATCTGTGATAGCGATAAGATAAGGATCTCCACTATGGTTGGAGTAAAGTATTCTACTTACAGAACGGAGTAGTAGATTATGATGAATTGATTTATAAATATTATATATGAACCAATATGAATATGATGAGTTGAATTATTATAGTGTTAAATTCATGTAATCTGTGACGCCTATTATGTATACCCGTGGACCCAGAAAGGGGAGAGATATATTGACGCTGCGGAGCTCTACCTTGTATACCGTGACCTTATGACCCCACCAGCACTCAAGTGCTCACATATGGCAGTCTATCCAGGCACCAAACGGACCCAGGGGCCATCAATGTTACCTAGGTACATAATCAAATGATTCTAGCCCATCTTGCATCGAATTGTCGCGCAAGTGCAATCTACTAATTGAAAATTAAACGTTGAATATCCTACAATATCCAACATGATGCCCAGGTGGGTATGTACTTTATGTACTCTCTCGGAACATCGAGTTCACATATTATTTTTGTTCAAATATTCTCTCAAGATTCATATACTCAGTATCTGTGCCTAAAAGGGGTGTTAGACATATGTGCATACTTCAGTCGAATTTGATGGCTAAGTCTTCATGTTAAATATGCATATGGGAATTCTTAGGCTCAAGCATTCACCTGAAAAATGACTCGGGCCACTTGGGGCGATATCTACTAGTATTTTACGTCTTGTAACTCATCATAGCCACAGTGACAGCAGTTCAGAGTCATATTTGAGCATTCGAATTGCCCCATGCCACCCATATGGTTGATCTAACTGGCAGCCAGCCAATGGCACATACAATCTGTTAGTAATATTGATGTCATCTCGATATCAGCCACCTGGGCATGCTTCTAGAATTTGAATACAAGGCAATAATGGTGGCAACAACTAACTTTATTACCATGTACAGTAAAATCATTGATAGTCATCTCATAGAAGCAAGGGCACGTTGAACTAAAAGCTAGACGTCCCAAGTGGCGGGACCGCTAGATGCTAGACTTAAATAGCAGCCAGCTTCATCATGCGATCCAATGTGTTCGATGCAAGTTACCATCTAATTGATTTGTTTCGGCATAAAGTATAATTCCATTAACTCTGCCCTGGTGCACCTTGCACACATACCAAAATGTCGCCCGTTGCGCAGTATACAGAACGACCCGCCAGCGGGTCCAAGTCTCAGTTTCAGCCAGGTATGAGTGAAAGAGAATGCCTCCACCTGGAAACATAAATTATTATGCACTGTGAAATCTTACCAATCTGATAAACAGGTCACAAAATCCCCATCCAGCATCTGACAAAGCCCGGCTTGCAGTCTGATATGGAAGATCCCAAGCCTGTCTCCGCGCATATTCCAACCGACGATGGCGGATATCAACTTTATAAGGCAGCAGGAAAGCTTGGAGGAAAGAAAGCCATCATTACAGGTGGAGATTCGGGAATTGGACGAGCTACCGCCATTCTCTTCGCCATGGAAGGTGCTTCAAGTTTGATTGTCTATCTCCCAGAGGAGGAGTCAGACGCACAGGAAACGAAACGTCTGGTAGAAGAGGCCGGTCAGAAGTGCTATTGCGTGGCCATTGACATAAGGAAGAAGGAGAACTGCAGAAAGATCGTTGACACCGCCCTTCGAGACATGGGTGGGGTTGATATTCTAGTCAACAATGCCGCATTCCAAGATATGCTCAGTGATATCAGCGAATTAGATGAGTAAGTTCCAGTGGCCTTGGAGAACCGTTTCAAGTGATTATCTGACAAATGTATTACCAGAGAACAATGGGAAAAGTCCTTCGATACTAACATCCACTCGTTCTTCTATCTTTCCAAATACTGTCTCCCGCATATGAAACCAGGATCGACTATCATCAACTGTTCCTCGGTGAATCCATATATTGGTCGAGGCGATCTATTGGACTATACAGCCACCAAGGGAGCAATCGTCGCATTCACCCGGGCTCTATCAAATCAGCAGGTTAAGAAGGGCATTAGAGTCAATTGTGTTTGCCCAGGTCCAAGTATGTGATCGATGATCATCTCACATTGAAAATATGGCTAATCAAGATACAATAGTCTGGACCCCACTGATTCCATCTACTATGCAAACCGGCGCTATGGAACAATTCCATGCTGTACCCATTGGTCGTCCTGGGCAACCCAGTGAAGTTGGAACTTGCTTTGTCTTCCTTGCAAGCCAAGATAGTAGTTATATCTCTGGACAGTGTCTCCATCCCAACGGTGGTATCATGGTGAATGGCTAATCGGAAGCCATATATATGATGATGTTCAGAGAAGGTGTGTATTGTTCTATTTGAAACCCAAAATGGAGTTTGAAAAAAAAAATGAAAATGAAGATTGATGTATCGGATTTTTTAAAAAAAAACGTTTATCTGTACCACTTCATGAAGTTGATGAGAGTTCAAGTCGTTGCGAATGGTGTCTGAAATATGCGGTAGGACAGTAGAAAGAACCGGGTGGCGCCGGAATATAGTTTGACTGGGAAATTACGAAAAAAAAAAGGTTCAAATAAAAAATTTTGAATATAAAAAGGAAATTGGCTTTCAGGAGGGACAACAAACAACCTCAATACCTAAGATTGATATACACAATAACAAAACACAGACTCCAGAGGGATGGCTGAATATTTTTGAGCCAACTGTGTAAGGTAGTTTAAAAAAGGAAATAATAAATCAGAATCAGGCGTTAACGACGGTACCACATGCGGGTGATACGGGTATGTCTCATCTTCTTCTGCAGCTGGAAGATACCGTACATGAGAGCCTCGGAGGTAGGAGGGCCTGGATTTTGGTCAGCTAACTTCGAATAAGAACCAGGTATGGAAATACTCACATCCGGGAACATAGACATCCACAGGTACGATACGATCGCAACCACGGACTACCGAGTAGCTGTAGTGGTAGTAGCCACCGCCGTTGGCGCAACTACCCATGCTGATAACCCACCGGGGGTCAGGCATCTGATCGTAGACCTGACGCAGAGCAGGGGCCATCTTATTTGTCAAGGTACCGGCCACAATCATCACATCGGACTGTCGCGGGGAGGCACGGAAAATGATACCAAGGCGATCCTGATCGTAACGAGGGGTGGAAAGGTGCATCATCTCGACGGCGCAGCAAGCAAGACCGAAAGTCATGGGCCATAAAGAGCTCTGGCGAGCCCAATTGGCAACCTGATCAAGGGTGGTCCTAAGCAGAAAGGGAAGAAATCAGCACCTTGGTGACAATCGTGAGGGGTATGGCATAGGGTGTACATACAAGACATATTGCATAGCGCCTTCTTTCTTCTCTTGACTGCCCAGAGGAACCTCTGTCCGCACTTTGCCGGACGCGGCCAATGATTGACCTCTTGGGGATTGACGCTCCAGCGCAGTTGCTGATTTCACGGATGAGGTTGACAGGGCTGCAATGGCCTGGGGACGCAGGCATAGCGCCAGCTGGGGGCGTGCTATGTTGAATGGTCAGTGGGCAAGTTCGAAAGACTGTTAAGAAGGTAGTTCATACCCAACGCGCCAGCAAGAGCAGGTCTCGCCATGGGAAACATGGTGCCGATTCAAAGTTGGGGACGTTCTTTTAAGGCCCACAAGCTTCAGAGGTGGCGATGTTCTTGTTCCAGGTTGTTAAGGGAGGACTTTTGCCGGGTTTGAGAGGGAACACCAAGAATGACGCCGGTATTGATACTGTGTTGATATATGACATAAGCATTCCTGTGCTGTTTTATTGGTTAGTTTGACATTACAGTGACAGTATTGTTAAGGCGGTGAGCTGCTGGTAAAGGCATTTGAGCACATTATGATTGGCTGTGAGTTAAGCTTATTTTAGCCTAAATTATCAGGTGTCAACTTTCCTCTGTACTCCGTATGTACTTTACTCCGGTCCCGCTACCACGACTGGTTGCTTGAAGTGAACACTCAATCAGCTGGAAACAGTCCGAATCACTAGTACCGTGTTGAGAACTCGGATGGAGATTTATTCTGCAGGATGGCGGGTCCAAGGATAGCCTGCATTGGAGTGATCGGAAAAGCCGTATGTGATGGTGTGGTGATGAGTCTTCCCCCAATACAGTTGCTAATCCAGATTGAGTGCTCGTAACAGGACAACCCTCTCCATATTTCTCTCTTTCCACCGTACAAAGATTCCAAAATTGAATTCTCATTCCTCCTGAATTCATGTTTGGATATTTTTGACATTCAGCGGAAGCAGACCTCCATCGACCAGGAACTCGGGTTGCTTCAAGCTATTGATGAACGGATAGCCGCCTATGGGTGGCTCACAACTACAGGGGTGAAGTTTCTGATAATCGTGGACCTTTTTGGACCAGAGACCAGCAGCACAAGGTTGGCAGGCCCTGCGATCAGTGGTCTCAATGATTCGGATCTGAAGCCGGTACGTCACATTATACAATCTCATTACACACTCACTGATAAACCGGATTAGGCCTTCCGAGCTTTACAGACTGCTTATATTCAGCTTCTCCAAAACCCCTTCTATTCTCCAGACTTCCACGCCCCTGCGCTAGGAACGACGGCTGGACCGACATCCACCTGCCAGCCTATTTCCAACCCGCGATTTATCGCAGAAGTGAAGCGCATCGGTGCCACTTGGACACCCGGGGCCACTTTTTAATCGGGGTTTAATTACGGAGCACAGTCCCTTGGCTTCTTCTGGGAGCCGAGGTACAGATAATGATTGCAAATTATCCTTCCTGTAAATCCAATCATGCTGGCCCAAATAACGACAGAGAACACCTCCAGATAGTCAAATGAACTACTACCTTAATCATTCCCAAGAGGCTATGTACCTGGCAAAGAGGGATTACAACTTCAAGATCCAATCACTTGAAAGACTACTACCAGACCGTAGTACCCTTGATAGTAGAAAAAAAAATAGCAGCAGCAGTAGTATCCATTGATATGACTGCCAGCACTTGAGCTCTCTAGTTATGATATTGTAGTTCATGGACATTTGAAGGATGAATCTCAAAAAAGCTACCACGTGTCATAGACATAAAACCTCGGGGCATGACATGTAAAGGTAGCTCAAGAGGATTGAACCTCGAATTCGGTCTTCTCCAACGCAAGCAAAGTCTCCTCCATCTCCCTCGGATTAGAAACAGCCCACACACCACCACCCTTAGTATCCACCCTCCCAACTTCCTTTCCCACCAGATTCCGGCCTACTTTGCCAGGTCCAATCCCAATCCACCGCCGAATTCCCTGATTCTGATGAAGATGTCGGATACTTTCCCACCATCGTACAGTATCAATGCACTGACGTGACAAAAGATACTTTAAATCGTCCTTGGATTGGAAGGGCATTGCTGTGACATTGGAAATGCATGGAACGGAACCAGGAAAAGTTATATCCACCTCTTCCATCGCAACCCTCATATCCTCTGCAGCAGGGAACATGACTGGACTGTGGAAAGGGCTATCGCTTTTCAGCCTCACCGCACGAGGATCGTGTCCTCCAAATTGGCGAAGCTGCACAAGAAGCGCTTTAATCTTTTGGATACTCCCACTTAGAACGATCTGGTTGGGGGAGTTGATATTGGCTACCATGACTGGCGGTCCAGCTGGACGGCCACTGTGGTCGTAGTAGGAAGCTCTAGGGTCAAGGAATTCTTGGATGGTCGAAAGTAGGCTTTTTAGGTGATCAGTCTCACAAATAAGAGCTACCATCCCATAGCTGTCTCCCGATTCTTGGGCCACTTGCTGTGTACACCGTGCCATCACCTCGGCACGGCGGCGGACTAATCGTAGCGCATCTGGGAATGTCAAGTGTCCAGACGCGACTAATGCCGCGAACCCCCCCAGGCTGTGACCCAAGGTGAAATCGACCCTAGAGCCAATGTCAAAACCGAATTCATTCTCTAAAATGCGAAGGATGAGCACAGAGACTGCCATAATTGCCGGCTGTGCATTCTGAGTTTGGTTGAGCTTAGAGTTAGGACCATCCTGGATAATACGAGATAGGCCAAAGCCCAGGATTGAATCCATCTCGTCCAGAAGTGCATTGGTCGTTTGAGGGAAGTGATCCAACCAATCATTGACCATTCCCACTCGCTGCACTCCATGTCCTGTTTGGTATGTTAGTTCACATGGAAATCGGTAGCAGGAGGAATAGGGACAGGAGGAATAGGGGCAGGAATCAACAAACCTGGAAAAAAGAGTGCCGTATGTAGTGCTCTTTTGGGGTGACAAGGCCTAGGTATTGATCTCCGGCCCATGGGCATCATAGAAGCCCCGGACAGGGCCTGACGCAGGGGACGTGCCATGATGGAAACTATTCTGCTAGACTACATACACAACAGCCCCAGGATTCGTCACGATCCAGTCCACATAGCCAAGGAGCATATTGATGCCCGTATTTGCAAAAGGTAGAGTGGCTAAAGGTTCAACTGTAGTCCCCTTTCAGATGCCGATGTGGAGGTCTGAATTCACGTGAGCCATGGCATTCTTGTCCGGATGAGCGGAGCCGAGCTATTAAACAATAATAGGACAAATGGAACCTGGAATAAATATATATTTATATATAAAATTTATTTCAACTCGAGACTGTAGATACGCTCAGATGGCTTCAGATATTTTTTTTTCTTTATTCATTTATCTCTCTATACCATAATCTTTATTAAACAAGTTACCTAGTCAAGATAGAATGACATTCAAATTATGTTGCCATTTCCATAAGGCAGAAGCTTCCCGTGTCGGCGCGAAGTCACTCTCACCGCCTTCCTACATCCATCTTTTGTTATTGCTCCCTCGCTTTTTCTCCATCACATCACTTCGGCGCCTTCCACTTCACTACTCCTGGCCTCTGGGCTTTTCTTGACCGTGCAACCCGGGCGCCGTGCTGCTTCACAATGTTTGTCCCAAAAGCAGCCTCACGAAATCCTCGACGTCGCCCTCGCACGAGCTCCGACGACTCAGTGAAACCACCTAAAGCTAAGAGACAGCGCTCCGTGTTGCGCCAGAGAGGGGACTCGCCATCTACTACTGTGGAACAAGAGAATGGACAAGAATCAGCAGAATCAATCGCATCAATCGTACCTGGCGATCGCAATGATGCGGATTTACACCTTCCCATTCGGCCTGGAAAGCCAAATGACGAAACTGGTAGCGACCATGATGGAACCATTGCTTTGGTATGTCGCCTTCATATCTTTCTATTTGTTCTATTCTGTTCAAAGCGCCTTCTCTTCTTATTTCTCTTTCAGTTCACTGGGGCTGTTTCGAAGAGCTTAATTGCTAACGCCTACCTTACTGGGTCAATTAGTCAAGCACAGATTACTACACAGCCGATCAACTTCCAGCATTGCCTGACCAGATCCGGGCATTGAAGTCGGGTAAACCACTAGTACCATACCCAGCATGAACTGAATATTCAAGCTGACATTTTGAATTATGACATAGATCCTTTGAAGTGCTTTTTTTGCAACCGGCCAGCATTATGCACTCGCGTTGACCCACTCTCATGCGATCGTATGGCCTTATTCTGTTTCAGCATCCGCGCCACCCCCCTCGGAGACATTTACCATATCGATCCCGGAGTCTTGTCGAGATGTTAATGGGACCGCGCCACTTGGTATCCTTCTTTCAACTGCCACTGGAGAGTATCCTGGTCTCTTGGTGATAATTCCATCAACCGGAAGGATAATTTACTGGGAAACAGTGTCTAGTGCTGCGATACTTGGACTATCTCGACAGAAACAGAATGGAATCCAGGGTTTTACACCTGGCCTCCTATCTGGTGAATACGCCATTGAACTTATGAACTGCGAGCCTTCAGGCCTGATTGCAAACTTTTCCTCGGGACGTACAGCGCATATCACACTCAGAGACCCCCAAGGAAAACCCTGTGTGCTTGTGAATTTCTTGAGAAGCACAGTTGGTACTGGAAGCGGAGGATTCCTCGGGGGAATCAAGAGTGTTTTGGGCGGCGGGTATTGGAGGAAAGAAGTCGCCGCTGTGCATACCGGTGGAAGCCGTCAGCGTGGCCAACGAGATGTGATTATTGCCACTTCAATCGGTCTCGTGGAGATATGGGATACTCACTGGAACCATGGAAATGCGCTGAAGAGGAAATTCAGTGTCAAGGAGGACATTGCCGCTGCAATTTCTAGCGATTCCCTTGAGCTCGGAAAGCCAGCGGCGGAACTGGACCTGAAGATCATGGACTTCGCATGCTCCAGCGAACAATCCGTTGAAGAGTCTACTTCCCAGGATGTTGATGAATCCTGGAGGTTATATTTGGTTGCCAGCTCGACACAATGGCTGGAATCGAAAAAAATCTTTGTCGTCGAATTGCATTTGTGTGGCAGCGAATCAACTGTGTTGTCCACTCGAGCAGTGGATCTCAGCAGCATTCCGACTATTCAGAACGACTTCAAACCGAGAATATTGATACCAAAATCTCAAAAAACCGCATTCATTTTAATCGAACAATCGGTCGTCATTTTGTCACTGACGAAAGTTATTGAAGACACACCAAGCTCGCAATTACTCTCTGGCTCACGCGGGCTGTTTTTGCCCTTTCAAGATATTATCCATCTTCGGACTGGGAAAGAGTACGAAGTCCTGGGGTACGGCTTAGAGGATGTTCCGGAGGGAGAAAGCCGCGATTCATGTGTGATGATGATTCGAAACTTCGGTGTTATTCGTGTCAACGTGGCTCCCCATTACCTTGCAGATAACGCAATGGACGAGGGCCAACTCAGCGCTAAGCACAAGCTTGAACAGGCAATATTTTTTGGAACCATGGTGTGGAATCCGTTAGATTTAGTCGGCGAGGGCGGCTTAGATTTTACGGCAGCTGAGATCGAACAAGCCTCTCTTGAGATCTGTGGAGATCTTCTTCGATCGGAATCACGGTTCATTCCCAACACGTCAATATCGACCGATGAGAATTTGAGGCTGAGAGCAAAAGCACTAGATGACCTTGCTTTGCTTTTGGGTCAAAAGGGAAACCCACTGAGTCGTTCTGCCAGATGGGAACTACTGTGGGGTGCTGAAAAGCTCGCTGCACAAAGGGCCATGTGTTCATTGGAACAGAAATTCCGGTCTGGAGATGAGAGCCACTTCATCGGCCAGGTTATCGATTCTATGAACGACAAATTCAAGACGCGTCCAAATGCCGAACAGGGTGAAACCGACTATAAGCGCCAGTGGTTTTTACGTGACTCCTTCCAAATGGAACATATCATCCCCTGGATCAAGAATGCAATCAAACCGCGCCGCGGGAACTCTAAGCAAGCTCGGAAATTATCGGAGCAAATTCTACAAGCAAGCGAGCTGCTGCTCGCGATAATGGAGACGGCGTATCAATTCCGTGATCGACATGCTTCGTCGTATGGACTTGGTGATGATTTTCTGGAGGATGGTGTTCTCGCTGACGGCTACGAAGGCCTTTCCGAGTTCTGGACATCCAGAGCAATGAGCTATGCGGAAACAGGTCATCTCCTTGACTGGGAACTAGACAGTTGTCGTGCTTGGATTCAACAAAAGACATCCAACGCTGACTCGCCTGATGGTCATGTATTGAAGAAAATCGCTGAAAATAGCGCTAGACATCTCCGCGTTCTTGGCCAAATGCACCTGGAGCGAACCCGCTGGCTTGCAGCTCAGCACGACACGAAATTAGCCGATGAAGCTGTCTCTATTGAGCATTCACATGTCAAGGAGCGCAAATGGCAACTTTTCAAACTGGCAGGTATTGGCCATCTACAGGATGCACTTAGCCTTGCGGAGCGATTTCGAGACATGGGAGCTTTGGTTGAGCTAATCATTGAACTCCAAGATCAGGTGAAAAGCCAGCCATCTCAGAATGCTTCAACAGATTCGTTAGTCTTAAAAGAAACCGAGGCAGATGTTGCTCAGCGAATTTCTCAGTATTTTGAAAAGTTCGGCGATTCATGGGCTAACGCATACTTTTCACGACAAATTTCAATGGGGCATCCCGGAGCCCTACTTTCTATGCGGAAGTACCAATCATCAGTCACGCGTTTCTTACGAACAACACCGGCATATTCGAAGCTCAGCTGGGTCAATGATGTGAATGGAGAGGATGATTATGAGACTGCTGCAGTTTCTCTGGAAAACTTGGCTCTTGATAATGAGAAGAAGCTCTGGTGTCATCGTGTTCAGGTCTCGCTAGCAAAGCTTGGCAGGTTGGCCTCATCTGAGAAGATGCCAACTTCTAGCTACGGATCTGCATTGCAAGAGAATGTCAAACGTCTCGATGATTACAGCGAAATTGACGAAGTACAGGAGCTTCTCCAAGTCTACGTTCAACCTGTTCTAGAAGATGCAATTGATCAAAAGGCTGAGGCCGAGTTAGCTCTGGACCATTTTGGGGCCCATCTTAAAGATGACCGCCCCTCCATGCACGAGCTGCTTGGTGAAAATCTGTCTACCCTGATCAACCGAAACATTGTCGGAGCTGACGGTTTAATTGACTTGTTGACGCTAATGGGATCGGCCCAGTTCTCCGACTACGGGGACAATGAGCTTCGCGGCCGGGAATTTTACCATGCGCTCCGAGTTCTGGATCGTAGTCGCTATGCGCAGAGAGATCCATCTTATCTGTCAGCCCTGCGAAAATTGATTTGGCGGCGGTGCATGATTAAGGATGATTGGAAAGCTCGGGGGAAAGCAGCAGAGCAATCAACTACAGACGATAACAACACTGCTAATTCCACCGCTCTCCATCATACGCTTTACTTTTGTCTATCCGGTGAGTGTACCCGATTCTATGCGGGATGTGCACACAGTAGCTAACATCATCATTCATAGAACATGGCGGGTCAACTCTCCAGTCCCTGTACAAGCCTCTTTCCCCAGCTGACAGTCTGATGGTTGATTCGGAATCTGAAAAACTTGTCTTGCGCTTTCGACCCGAGCAGAGAGCTCGGATCGCCAATGACCTGAAAAGAGAGGATGATCTGCTGCGCGAGTACATTACAACAGGAAAGCTGGATTTCTGGTTTCAAAATCTACTCTCTTCTATTGAGTCGCGAATAGCGTTGAAGAAGCTTTCTCGACAGCAAGATGCGGGTCTTTCCGACGTGCATACAGATTCCAAGGCACGGTTGACATGGGTATGAGCAAATCTCAGCCTTGCATGCTAATAGTTACGGTTACGGACGACGGAGTAGGCGGGCGATTCCCCATGTATTTTGTGAGAACCAATTGAATTTGAATGATATCTTCCTTTCTACCTCAATATTTTCTGTAGTTAAGGCTGGCAAAAAAAAAGATGTGGTGATTGTTATTTGGATTGAAGAATGGGCAGCCTTGTAGATTCTGTTAACGGGCTGATGCCTTCCAGAGGTTGGATTCAATGTGTTAGTTAGCATGTTAAAATCCCAGACGATTGTTATTAAAAATGATACTCACATCTACCGTTTAGACTCAGATGCCTCCATGTTCCAACTCACTATCATTGCTGCTGCTAGTAGACTCAACTTTGCTCATCGCACTTTCATTCCCCGTTTCCACATCGGAAGCGCCGTGAACCTTTTCCTCGAAGACAGGTTCAGGCTCGACGGTTTCAAACTTCGTTCTGAAGTCAGTAAGACCCTGGATGCTGCTGTTCGAGCGGCGTCGGGTATTGGTGAAGTTGTAACCATAGTCCTGGGATTCATCCCCAGAACGGCCCCTAGGATGACCATAAATTAATACCTTTTGAAGTTCAGAAACACAGGTGTCGGTACATACCAATTGCCTTTACCACCCCCATCTTTCTTAGTCTTTCGAGGGTCAGCGTCAGTTGGGCCTGACTTCGCAAAGTAACGTGGCAAGGCGTCACGAGTCACGCCATCGACGGGGTGATCACGGTCATTGAGTTTATGGGAACGAGTCACTGGCTAGTCAGTATCGATAGACATAAATTAGATCGATAGGGATCTCACTGGTGGATAATTTAATCAAAGAAGCTCGGTAGTTCAAGATAGAAGGGGGAATGAAAATGAAAAGAAAACAATCATGTCCAGAGATTAGAGGGTGGCCACTCGTGACTTGTGACTCGTGACCTCATACCTTGAACATAGAATGCGGGGTTTTGCACTAAGCACTAAGCGTCGGCTCCACAACCTTAATCATGAGACCAAAAGCAGCCCTAGGTACATGTGTGTATGTTATATACATATAACTTGAATAAGTATAATATTCTAATCATTCTATTCCTAAAGATAGACTATTAATTAAATGACGAATGACGTTATTGTCACAGCATAATTTCTTTGCAGAAAGAAATCAAAGAGTGGAATCAGTCGACGTAGTCTTCCTGCCAATCGAATTCGTTCAAAATCTTTTCCGTTTTATAAGAGTACTCGAGACTATTATCTACCCAAGGTTCGAACCGTACTCCAAGCTGAGTTTCTCGGCGAACAGTGCTATATGGGTTTTTTTTTCCCCAGCTGGGCTAAGTCCGGCCCCGAGCCTTCGGCCCTTCGGGTACCGGTCGTGTCGCAGAGGATAGTTGCTAAGTACCTAATGGAAAATGCATATTGGCATTCCAATAAACAAATCGCGCTTCGAGAGCCTTGATTTCGTAGCTCATTCCCTGGTATCTTTTTCCCCCTAGTGAAGACAAATGTTCATCACGTGATTCATCGGCCCGGTTGGATGTCTCGACTCGCGCTTGATTACGCTCGATTAAACATGACTATCATGCGATCTCTCGCTTATCTGATTTGATGTGTCTCTCTTCTCAAACTTCTTTAATTTGTCTTCCGAGACCATAGTGCAGCCATATCTTTCAGAAGGCCTGGGGCTGCTGTCGAAGCCCAACCTCACCAGGAAGTCTCGGCTTTGTTATACTCCTCTAGGTGACCCAATAACTGAACTCATTACCTCATTACTCGGTCAAAGTAGTTCATAGAATGGAAGTAATGGGACCTTCTCGTATTGAGAAATCACGTCCGGCTAAGGTGAGTGAATACTCGGCGATAACCGTTGCGCATTGAGTTTGACCAAATATAGGCTTGCAACACCTGCCGAAGGAAGAAAGTTAAATGCGATGGAAAACGACCAACTTGCTCAAAATGCGTGATTTTTAAGCTCCCTTGCGGGTTTGAGGATGCTGGGAAACATTCCAGTCGCTCCAGAAAGTGAGTCAAATTCAGTTGCAAGTCGCCTTGTGAGTAGGACATAACAGACTTGGCATTTTGTAGGACATACGTTGAGGAACTAGAGCAACGTGTCAGTCACATGGAAAATCAATTGCAGCGGGTCCGTCAAAGTGAGAGATTACCTGAACAGACCATCCAATATTGCCAGTCCCCTGGTCCAGCTGCAAGTCCAATCAGAATTTCTGAGATTGATCATGCGGTCCCTCGGGCAGAAGGACACATCCTTGCCGGCGCTGAGTCGCCTAATGATGAAACTGAAGTTTCTCAAGCAGAGAAGAACACGTGCAATCCGCCATCTTACTTTCTTCGAGTGCATGACGGCAAGATGCGCTTTTTTGGTTGGCCTCCTTTACTTTCCCTATCGTCCAAAAGCTGACTCGGTAATTCAGGAGCTTCTTCCGGGCTCGGTATGCATGATTCGGAAGAAGTCAATCGCCCAATGACCAAAAACCCAAAATTTAGCCGGGAATATACGTCCCGACGGAGTACTTTTAAATGGCCGTTGACAAACTGGATTCCCCGGATTCTCCAAGACAGCTTTGAGCACCGTACTACTCAGCCTCTACCTTCAAGGGAAGCCACATTGGCTCTAGTCACTGGGTTCCTTGCCAACTTCAATCACACTATTCCGCTAATTGACGATACCTCACTCAGGCGTTTAGTGGAGAGGCAGTATTCTTGGAATCCGGACGATAGCCCTTCGTCGTGGGTTTTGCTTAACGTTGTGATCGCTTTTTCTTATAGGGAAAGGGCACAAGCATCTTCGGATGCGAGTAGCGATTGGCAGAAGTCATTAGGCCACGTGAAAAACGCATTGAACGTGTTGGTAGACCTTTTCCTGCGCAATGCCGATCTTGCTGCCGTACAAGGGCTACTGGGGTTAGCTCTTTACTTCCAGGGGACACCGAATGCACAAGCCCAATATATGCTTGCAGCATCGGCAATGCGCCTTTCACACTCTATTAGGTTGCACAGAAACGTTATTTCAGGCTTTACCCCAGCCGAAATCGAAGAAAGACGGAGAACATTCTGGATATCTTTCATTCTCGATGCTGAGATCTCCCTTCGTGTTGGACGCCCACCGGTTCAAGACATGGAGGACTACAATACACCACTGCCGGCTAAACTGCCTCACGATGGTCGAGGTATTATTTCTATTAACGGGATTTCAGTCAACTACTTTCGCCTGCTCGCTCAGTTTGCGACTATGCAGAGACGTGCCTATCGGTGCATCCAGTCCGGGCAATGTCGCAACAGCCCAAAGACAAAGAGATAGCCCTGAAATCGGCCAAGGCTTGCGAAGAAGGTCTTTTGTCATGGCGAAGGTCTATCCCAGATAGTTTTCATCCAGAGCAATTATTTGCTTCTGGGCCCGATCACTCCAAACATCATCTCCTTCGTTTACACCTTGCATACCACTCTTGCTATGCAAATCTCCGCCAATTGTCGATCCTGACCTCATCTTTTCCCACCAAAAATTCTCAAGAGCCAACAACAGGAGTCGACAGAGCTATTAAAGAGCTCAGTCTACGCGCTATCGACTCGGCGCGCTCTGCACTAGCTTTCCTTCCATATGTTCATTTGTTGGGCTCCAACTATAGGTGGTAAGTTGCAAATGGATGACTGCCCCAGAGATATAAATCAGTACTTAACTCACAAGGAACGTGCTTTACTTCTTTTCTGCCGCATGTGTGACATTGGCATCCGAGATACACAGTCATTCTATCCATCAACAGTCCAAAGATGATCTCACCCTCATTCATGAAGCAACTGCTTTCCTCACGAATGTTTCAGATGAAGAACCTGGCACATTTATCGACTTTATACTGGACGTGTGCTCCGATATTGAAAACTCTGCCAGACGCGCCAACCAACAAGTACGAAGCGATAACGGTCGGCCATTGACACATGGTACCAATGAAGATGTTGCCAATCCAGAAATCGACCTGTGTGGACGGCAACAGCCTGCTGACCACAGCGACAGTAGCTTCTTGAATAACGACGTCGATCTTCTGAATGATATCAATCTCAATTACATCACCTCAAAATGGCCTAATCCCCCGTTCTGGAATTGGCAGGATATGCTTGGAACGCCCTTGTCTCCGGATCTGAATAGAGAAAGAACTGATGATTGTACATGAGACCCTCAGTTTGATTCTTTCTAGCAAGATCACCAGACTGCATATAAATTTCAAGCTCCGTGGCATATGTATCGTGCAAAGAGAAGCTATATGAGAGAAATCTTTGCGGACTCGTAATTTACTCGATTTTCTGATATGTTCAGCATACTGTGCAGGTCTAGCACTGCGATATCAAATAAAACATGGCCTGAAATAAGCCCTGACATCTGCGACTAGAGGTCACAAGCTCGTGCTATTACTCACCAAGTGTAGTTATACTACGCTTCGCAAAGGTACGGTGGCGAAACTAAGGGGAGAAATGGTAAAGACCGTCGGAGTTCCGAATGGTTTGCGATCTTCCAAGGTTTACTTTCCACAACATGTCTTTTTTCCGAACACATTCTATATTTTGAAGTCCGGTCAGATCTTTGGGCAGAGCGTGATGTTTTTATCGGACAGAAGTAGAGCTAGCGATACACGGCACATGAAAACTTTCTGTTAACAAGTGAGATTCGGAGTACTAGTACCCTTATCATTAGCATATCCCTGCCTACACTGTGTTGTTCAAACACTCCCTCCGGTAATTTACGGGTGGCCTGCTTCCAATCGAAGTTTACAATTGTTCCGTCCAGTCAGTTTCGTGGCAAGATTTTATGACTAGTATTGTAAGGTTGGCTAGTGCGAGCCCTGGGCACTGGCATATTCAAACATGATTGAATCATCATGTTGCATGTGGAATATATATATGTATATACTGAAAACTTCACGGTCCATGGAGCTTACTGCCACGGGATTCTCCGAGTCCTCCACGGACCAGCGGTCCACGCTTGATTAAAAACGTCAACTAGCGGTTCTATATTTGCTTGGCTAGTATATTCAACGTTTCTTTTGACATCACAATGTGTATGGGACATTTGAATGGGGTATCATATTGAAATGTAGCCCTTCAAAGGTCCTTTTCTATAGCGCTGAAGAAGGTGGCCCTCGGGATATTATATGATGCGTTGGGCTCATTCAAACATTGAGATGTTCGAGTATACTAACCTATCGTGACAGAGCATGACAAGGATAAGTGTAACATATTGCTCCCACATGTACAGAGAGATCGACATCTGATACATACATAGCTACATTCTCAGAATACATTTGGTACTACATAGTATTGTTCGGTCCTAATCCAGATGTCCTCTTTTAATTGAACTATGATTTCAATATGGAGCACGTTGTCTTCAGAGTACCAATTTGTTCAGGTCGTGTCCCCACCTGGGCACCTACAGCCACTGAGTATTCTTCGCATGATGGCAGTTAGGCACGGAAGGAGTTGTCCATCGTGGTGTGGCTGCGTCATTACCAAGCTTCACAACTGGTTTCAACAATTTCTGTTGCCCCCACGGCCCATGTTGATAATCCGTCATCAGGTGTGAGTTCTCATCAAGATACCTGGGAAGGTCTTGCTTCCAACCATCAATAACCTGAAGCATGATTTCAGAAACAAATTGATCAGAGGTCGATGGCGCAAAGCCGAATTTGTTCACAGTCTGAGCAACAACCTCTGGCGGATATAAACCAATTTCCTTCTCGAGCGCAATCGTATCAGCGGCAACCAAAGAGAAAATGACATGGTACGAGCCTCCATTTATGGCACGATCACGAACTGCCATCATAGCTTCAAGTGCGCCGACGATACCAGTGGTCATATCTGACACTGGAAGATGGGGCAAAACACTGTGTCCTTCTGGGTATCCCAAAGACTTGCCAATCACATATGAAGTTCCCGAAGCAGCATCTCCAATCTGTTGCCAACCAGGGCGTTCAGCAAATGGGCCATCGGGCCCATAACAATTTTCGTCCCCGTATATGATGCCCTTCTTTCTCTGGCGGCGAGCTCAAGCATGCTACGAAGTCCGAGACCTTTTCGTTCAAGCGATCCATAACGGTAACCTTGAACGAAAATATCAACATCCGCAATAAGTCTATCAAGTAGAGCTCTATCCTCAGTGCTGGTAATATCAAGATCTATCGTACGCTGACCAGCATTAAGAGTAAGTTGTAACACCTAAATAAAAGAATTAAGTTAGCTATCTTGCATAAGAGTAAGAAGCTTTATGCATGTTCAACTCACATTTAGATCCACAAGTCTACTACAGTTCACTTTAATAACATCTGCTCCATATGAAGCCAATGTAACACCAATGGTTGGGCCTGCAATAATTCGCACCATCTCTAGAACTTTGATCCCTACCAAAGGTCTACTATCTGTAGTAGCGATAGGTAAAGGTACCTTAGGGGTTGGGGCGGTATATGGTTGGCAGTTGTAATTCACCAGAGGATAGGAGTTTAGGCGCTGTCCCATAACTGTATTTCTCCATGCTGCTGGAGAATAACAAATGCTTCCGCAAAGACCATGGCGGATATTGTGCATCTCAATTTCATCTGGACTCCAGTTCGTGACATATGTTTGGATATGATTATAATACTCCTTCATAGTGTCGAATTCGACGTTCGTAGGGATTCCCATCTCCTCAAGAGTCTTGTTGGCGTTAAGAGAGCCATGGAGCTGATACCAGACGTTTGGATCCTTAGTCTGGTAAAGAGCTGTGGTTCGTCCGGCAAGACCTTGGCCGAATCCTTGTTCGAAATCACGGTTGAAAATAGAGGCTAATTTCTTCGTACATACGAGAGCTGGGACATCCAATCCATTGATGTAGGTTGTAAAAGTTGACCCAAGCCAAAGACCCGCATGATCGGTATCGACTGCCACCGTACTATCCAGAAGGGCCTTCCCATCTCGGAGTTCGAGAAGTTCATTTGCAACGAGGCCACACATAGCGTGAAGGGCGGCAGCAATCACGGGGGCCTTGATTGGTCCGGGAATCATAGGCGTAGAGCCTCCGCTGAAATTGACTGCACTCCAAGCATTTGGGTCTTTGGTGAAACTGGGGGTGCTCAAAGCGAGAAATTCGAAGACACGACGAGCATCAACGGGGACGGGGAGGACTTCCTTGTCGATGAAGGTACCGGGACCGTAAATTTCGTCTCCGGGGGTTGTCTGGTGTGTAGCCATAATTATTTGCTAACAACCATGAAATCTTAGGGCGAATCTTTCTGCAGTGAACCTATGAAAATATTGATAGTGGGAGATTCATGCTTTATAATGTGGCAAGGACATACAATATCATAGCCGTTGTTCAACTCCTCGGCGCCCACGGAGCTCTTGACTCCACGGCCCGCGGGATCTGGCGTCGTCATTCAAATCAATGATCGACAGCAAAAAAAAGCAAAAAAAGCAAAAAAAGCAAAAAAAAACCTTGGAAGAACATCTGGGAGGAGGGATAATTCTGTGACGCCTCGGCCAACTCAAGGGGATTAATTCAAATGTTGCCTCTAACGTGGGTCGGGGGTCCAAAAATGCTGACCTACATATACAAGTTCATATCTACCGTTTCTTGTATAAAAGTTCGGGTCTCCATCAAGATATCGCCTGCACATGTGATTTCAAGTTTTACAATACACTAGCATTGTGTTAATCAAGATCAAGAAGTTGATTTCAACGAATACCATTTACAATTTACAACATGTCGCGTGAGATCGGAAACCGTCCTGTTCGAGTGGCCAATTGCTCTGGCTATCATGGCCAGCCCGTCCTTGTCAAGGCACTAGGTAGAGACATTTTGTTTCTAAAGCTGATTCTATAGGTGATCCTGCATATGAAATGTACCACCAGGCGAATATAGGCGACATTGATTTCATCACAGGTGACTATCTTGCAGGTGAGATGGTCTATTCAGACTTCCTTTAATCATATGCTAACTCTTCCCACGGGATGGAACTACAGATGTGAATTTGGCAAACAATGCTACAGCCTGGTTTTAAAATTACTGCCTGGGAGGGGCTCCAGCAGACAATTGACGTGATCGCCGCTCTTGCTCTGTTGGTTCAAGATTTGGTAAAATTCAAAAAGATCCAACGTGTGTCAAGCAAGAAAAGGTCTAATAAAGGATTTTCGGCATAAATTTCAGAGAAGAAGTATGATTTGAATGTTGCTTATCTCTCTGGTGATGACCTTTTCCCTTGATTCGGACCGAACATGCCATCAACGAAGAAAGATTTGCATCTTGATTGTGGAAATTCTTCTGTCACCCCCTCTTCTTTGATGTATGCTTTCCTTAACGCAAAGGAAAAGGTTTCTATGGTCTCTGCCCACGCATACCTTGGTGCTCGTGGTATTTTGGACGGTCTACGGCGTGGGGCTGACATTATATCTTTAAATATCTGCTATAAAATAAATCCTTCTGTAACGGGTTATACCCGTGCCTGATCTATGGCCTGCGGCCATAGCCCTAATTGATTTGATATGTTTCCATCGGAAAGATTCTGCCACCGCCTTTCCTATATGCACTTACTGCTACTCCGCTTGTTCCTCTCTTTCCCTTCTCCAAGCTTTTTATGGACAGCATGTCGGCCTAGCCCGTTCTGAATTTAAGACTTGACTTGAGCCCTTCACACCTTCTATTATATCTATCTATAATATCTTTTTTATTTTTATCTAGATACATAACAATTCTTTAACTATCTTTAATATAAAAATCTATCTATATTTATTAATTTTTATTTCTTTTAAAATAATAATTAATTTATCTTAATATATTCTTTATATTTGTAACGGGTTGAACCCGACGAGGGCTTGTCAATCCTCGACGAAGCCCAAAGCCAGGATCACGTACGGTCACGTTCGACGACAGTTGACCACGGATGTCTCCGCTTACAGCTAGACTTCTCCAAAACCCAACCGACCCAAGACCCAACCCGACCCAAGACCCAACCCGACCCAACCCACCATTGGGTTGGGTTTGGGTCCAAATCTTAGACCCAGGCCTGGGTTTTGGGTTTTTCCCTTGGACCCGACCCAACCCATGGGTACCCATTTGGGTCACAAACAGAGCAAACATGCCCAGACTTTGCTGCTGCATAAATTATGCATTTTGGCGTTGTATTTTTGGGTATTTCCCTTACGGCCATTAGGCTTTTGGATGCTAGGGCCTTAACTAATTCAATCCACTCTTAGCTTAATCCACTTTATCTACTCTGTTGCTATCTAATTCTTTCTTCTATTTTGTCCATTCTGTCTGTTCCATCCTACCATCCTGTCTGTCTTCCTGTTCTATCCCGTTTGTCTTCCAAAGCACATAAACTAAGATAGGCTTTTGTGTACAAAATGTAGTCTAATAAAGTCTATAGAAAGGCTAGCCACCTCCCACTGAAAGCCACACTAATAGGCTTTTGTGCATAAAACTTACCTCTGTAGCATCTAAATGCTATTATCGCTACCATCGCCATTGCTATCACCACTACCACCACCGTCGCTATCGTTATTGTCATTATCATTATCATCGCCATTACCATCGCCATCGCCATCGCCATCGCCATCGCCATCGCCATCGCCATCGCCATCGCCATCGCCATCGCCATCGCCATCGCCATCGCCATCGCCATCGCCATCGCCATCGCCATCGCCATCGCCATCGCCATCACTATTACCACTATCATTACTACCATACTTATACTTACCCTTAATCTCATGCTGAGACCCAGACCAGTAAACACCCTCTTTGATAAACACAGGGGTAACATCTAGGCCAAGCTAGGTCCGCTAAAAGAAAGAGTTAGCCCCAAATGCAGCACATTCAGCTGCAACTAGCTTTTCAAAGCCAGCAACATATAGCTGCTAAGCGCGTTTCCGCCATATCTGTATTAAATCCCAAGCAGCCGTATCATCATCTCCAAACAACACATCAAGCTCTTCTCGCACATCCACCTTATCCTAGCGCATCTGCCCAACCAGTATATCTGAAATTACACCTAGACGCCTAAGGTATATAGTTACTAGGAAAATATGATCCATATTGTCACGGGCCTGCGCCCGCTGCCTGATCACATGTAGTACACGTGCCCTTATATACCTCCACTGCCCCCTGTGTTTCTCTATTCCTCATGTTATTCTAGACAGTACGTCCGACATAGCTTGTTCTGAATTTAAGTCCTGCTTTAGTCCGTCACACATATACCCTCCAAAAGTGCTGTTAGGCAACCCTGAAGGGGTCCTGGTGCCAGAGTAAAAACAACAGTGATAGTAAGATAGGTCATCCCATATTCCTGATTTAGCAATATCTAGTATCTGGTGGTCTTTACTAATACTTATAAACCAAGGTAGGATATTAAGACAATATGAGATAGCAGGACCAGTAGAACCATATGGCAGGCTAGGTAGACTAAGGCGTATATCTCTAATAGTATGCTTCTGCTTAGACTAGGTATAGCTAAAGTGGTCCTTATTATCTTTAGTCTATATCATAGGCTTAATCTGCTATATATAGCTATCCTTAGTATACCCTTGGAGATATAGGCGGTTATACTATTCTCTAATATCCTAATATATACCTAGAAGTATCTCTATATAATTATTATCATCCTCTATAGATAGTATAAGACTATCTTATAAAGCATTCTGCCCATACCTAGTACATACAAAATCAGTAATATTCACATCAATATAAAAAAATGTTGATTCCCTAGGATAAGTACTCTTGGTATAGTAAGGAAAGGAGATCAATCGCTAAGGATGGTCTAGCCGGAAGAACACATAGAATAGTGTCAGCAATTCAGGCTGATTCTCTGCCTGAATTCCTGGGACCAAAAGTGGCTGACAGAACACGGGTGCAGAACTAGCCCAATTGGGTTAGTTCAAACCACTATTGAATGGAGAGCTCTGATTGGTCGAACCAGAATGGATCACATGACCGATCAGGTGATCTCCAGGCAGAATTTATGTGCGTAATTATCAGAATGAGAAAACCAGACCTGTTGATACATCCCATTGGCGACCGCCTACTGCATTAGACATTGTAGTCTGTCAGTGGCTCTTTCGGTCTAAAGATTGTGCTGACTAATTCATTCCGCGATCAACCATTTTGTTGCGGAATGAATGGCTATTGTTTTGATCTGATCCATCAGATCAAAGATCATCTTCTCTCGTCCGAGAAGATTCGCAACCCGAACCCCGTTGTTGAGATCAATGGTTACAAGATGAGATGAAAGACTCGATCATTTCGGATTCCGTGGATCTTTCATCCCATGTTCTGAGACCTTTGGTCTTATGTTTATCTGTTTAGTCTAATGTTCTATAAAACCTGATCTTACCCCTTAGTTAGTGGAGCATCGAATTCAATCTTTTTGGGATCAGTAGTATCTTTGTTTGATTCTTTCCTTCCATTCCATCCTAAGTTTGGATCTAGCTTGGTCGTATGTCATTCCATCTGATCCGTGTTGTCTGATCTTTTGGTCTTATCTTTACCCTTTCCTCCTAAGTCCCCTGTAACTTGGTATCCCCTGTTCAGCTGACATCCTCTGCGTGACGTCATCACCTCTGGTCTGTCCCCGACACGCTGAAAAATAGAAACCAGAATATTAGCTTTAAGATATTAAGTAAATAAGAATAATAAAAAAGGATAATAAGTGTAAGGATTAGGTAGGAAGTATAGTAGATTAAAGATCAGAAATAATAAATTCTAATACATTTAATAAGCATATATATATCTTAATAAATAATACTAAATTTTAAACCTAACAAGACCCAACAGGACCCAACAGGACCCAAGAAAACCTTAGAAAACCCAAGAATTACCCAAGAATTACCCACAAAAACCCAAGGAGACCCAAGAAAACCCAAGGATTACCCAATCCCACCCCAATTCCGTCAAAAATCTTCCAAAAAATTTTACCCAGGCTTCTTTAGTTTAGTCCTCTATTTTATACAGACTATCTAATTTAATAAAAGATTATATTAAAATATAGAACTTAAGCTTTAATTTAATATTAAGAAACACTAAATTAGCTTAAAAATAAAAAAGTAGTACTTTTCAGGGCATACACCTAAAAGATCTACTACCTCCACAACATATAAATATATATTTCTACAAGCTACTTATAACATTTTTATAACATTTTTTCCTACTATATACAAATACTATATTTAAATGAGAAGTCTATTATTATTACTAGTAATTAATATAAAACCTTACTTTTTAACATCTATCTCTAAGATAGATATTTAAAATTCCCTATAGCTACATATAAAGATATAAAGATTCTAATAGACAAACCAAAACAAATGCCAAACACAGGTAAAAAACAGTATTTTAAATTGATGACTGAGCAGAGTTATGTACGCCAAGACCTCTTTTTTATGCAAAATTGGGTTTTTCTGGGTACCCATTGGGTACCCAGCTTGGGTCTTGGGTTGGGTTGGGTTTTTAGGTGCTGGACCCAAGACCCAACCCACCTGGGTCTTGGGTCCATACCTTGGACCCAAATTGGGTTTTGGAGAAGTCTACTTACAGCCCCACACGTGATCCGCGGAAAGATATATATACCCTATCATTACTATAGCTTCCTCTTCCTTAAGCATAAATATAAACTGCATGTCGGCCTATATCGTTCTGCTTCAGTCTTTATAGAGCCCATCATATACATTCATACTTCCTACTTCTACATAAGGCCACATCACTGGAAGTTAGGAATCGATAGATTCGACCACGACGACAACAGTACAGAACCCCTGGATTCGTGCAGCCCACGACGGATATAAGCCGTACTGAACGTTCAAGTTCGCACGCTATTAACGATATACGGATATAAGTCATATAGAACGTTCGAGTTTATACATATTCAACAACGTACTGTGTTGAAGAAATTCTAGTATTCACACATATACCCTATAGACCTAAGCCACATAGAATGCTCAAGTTTGCCTGTAGTTAACAATAATAAGCCATATAAGACTTTTGATATTCTCTATACACAACCCCTATAAGTACTGAATAATTAAGTTCGTACAACACAACAACACCTAAGCGAGACATTTCACCCCTTACTTTCGGACACAGTGCTAAACGGTCAAATTCGCATATACCCCACAAAAATATAAGATATACAGAATCTGTTAAACCTAGGCCTATAATATAAGCATAAGCTGTAGAAAGAACTATACCACTACTATAGAAAAAGTTACGGAAAAGTCCAAAAAGGCCGTTATATATAAAGAAGTATAATAGAATCAGATACCCCTATGCAGATAATACCCAAACAGATGCTGAAGCGACTGTTCACCCTGTAAAACTAAGCAGGAGAATGTGAGCAGGAGTATATGGCCTATCTAAAAGAAGAAAGTGAGTATTTTGTAGATATGAATTGAACTCTACTGGAATAACTAGAGAGAATGGAGGCTGTGTTAAGAGAAAGAAACCTTAATATTGATAGTAGTGTCTGTATGAACCTGTCCGGAGTTCTTAATATACCGATAGTAGAAGATACTATATAATACCTATATATATATCTACCTAATCTCCCTATATTTGATGGTGGAAGTAATAACTGGTCTATCTGGAAGATAATAATAGAAAATAAGCTTTCTGTAGATTCTTAGGCCCTTAGTATCCCTTAAGACCAGTTTACGTATATCTTCTTACAACTAGAGAAGATTATAAGTAAGAATGTTATTATATATATAAAAACCAATCATATATAGGGTTTAGTACAAGAACTATTAGATTACCTTAAAGGTATATATAGTGATCTAAACCTAAAAGCATAAGTAGCAAAATACCTATACCAGCTTATATAGTTAGAAAAGACCTTATTTACTAAGTTTCTACTGATATTAGAAAGAGAGCTTGCTGATACTAGTACCATAGACTAGCCAGATAAAGCCAAACAATATGTGATGGGCTCTATAAAGACTGAAGCAGAACGATATAGGCCGACATGCAGTTTACATTCATGCTTAAGGAAGAGGAAGCTATAGTACATGATGGGGCATATATGTCTTTCCGCGGATCACATATGGGGCTGTAAGCGGAGACATCCGTGGTCAACTATCATCGAACATGACCGTACGTAATCGTGGCTTTGGGCTTCGTTAAGGATTGACAAGCCCTTGTCGGGTTCAACCTGTTATATTACCCCCCTCCTTTAGCTATAAGCTCCCTTAATACCTTTGTAGATATTGTTGGAGGATTTGGATTTGGATGTCTACGAGTGAAGAAGGCCAGAAACACGTATTGAAGGAAGCGTGAGGAGGGAAGGATCTCCACGTGCAAGTGAGAGCTAGAGTATATGGCCGCAGTGGTCCAATATCTACACGCGTAACGCGCCGGACCACTGACACACCCCCCGTAGCTCTCGCAGCACGGAGACCTCCGAGACCTCCTGAAATGTCCATTTCTGCAATAAAATAAAATCAGGTGTAGTTACCCAATTAGGAAATAATAGATCACATGATTTGCCTTCCTTTCTTTGTTCTTCTTTATGCATCCACCATCCACAGTCCTTTCCGGAAAGCTTTGAACTTGGTGGTGTCCAGGGCCTTTGTCAGGCCATCGGCGACGTTGTCCTCGCTGTCGATCAGCACCAATTTGATCTTGCCGAGTTCGATTCTCTCTTTGATGATGTGATAGCGTAGATCTAACCACTTTGTCGCTGGCTTAAAGCCGATACCGTGTGCAAGAGTGTATGCATTGTCGCTATCAGTGTAGATTATCACGGGGGATTGATCGAGTTGCTGCATGTCCACCAGCAAAT